ATGCTCATTTACGTGCTGAGTTTCGCAATGCCCTGTGGGAGCCAGGACTTCTAACTGCTCGTGCTGCTGACGCCTCCTCATTAATGGAGCATGGCCGCGGAGCAACGTTAGCAGCCTCCCAACCTGGAGGGAAGGACGAGGCAGCTTCGAAAGATGGTGGAGAATCGAAGAAAGCCGACAGTTCTCATGACTCGTCGAAGTCATCTTCCACCAAAAACACCCGCTTTTCGTCCTACCTGTCGCAGCAGCAAGAGCCTGGCAACGAACACGCTCTGATCACTCCATTGCGGTCGGCGTATGATTTGCTGTTGGATCGTAAGTTGTTTGCCTCAGGCAACAGTCTGATGGACATGACGGGCAACGAGAGCTATACCTTCTCTGGCGAAGATACGTACGGCTCAATGTCGTTGTTCGCGAAGGGGAACGTGAATGGGACGTCGACGGATGCTCAAAAAGACGGACGACAGGTTGGAAGACCATTGTTAAGACTATAAAAGTTTTATCCTGAAGATCTTCTTGTCGTTGTCCTGCATGTACTTGGGTATTGATATATCTTTCAGAAGAAGAAGTTCTCTTCCGTCTTCTCGTGAAAAAAATCACAAACTGAAACTTTCCCCTCTCTCCCTCTAACACCAATGGGCGGCTTGTTGTTCCGTCGTCGCAACGGCACCTCCGGATCCACCTCCAGTCCAAATGCTGGCGCATCGAGTATGTTCGCCAAGTCCCTAACTGAAGCGAGTGTGGCCCAGCGCGTTTTAGCCGCAAAGGAAGAGGATGCACGGTTCTTTTACGCCACTTTGCAGGCACACGCAGAGGCTCTAGATTTCGCGGATGACTGGGCTTACAAAACGGCGCATGACGAAGTAAAAGTGCACGTAGAGGCCGTCTTTACGGCGGCTGGTCGAGTGCAGAAGTGCGAAGATGAGAGCAATGAGCAATGGAAACTGGCTATGGACGCGCAAATGAAGAGCATCGATATCGTGGCAAGTGGGCCTCAAACTCTCACGCCTACGCAACAGAAGACGCAGGACGAGAAATTATGAAAAGTCTTTTCAAGGAGTCTAATATGAAAGTGAAGTTGAAGACACTAGACAAAGTCCTGCATGGTCCTACGCAGGTACGCAAGAATCGGTAAATAAGTATCAAAGAAGGTTGTGATAGATATAGAGCATCAAGGGTGACTACGTAAAATCTTGCGACGGCATCAACCTCTCCTCTAAGAAGCAAACAAACGGATGAAGCCGCGGACATCTACGATCAGCTGACGAAAAAAATGATGTTGATGCAAAAAGACAGCAATGTGGTCGACAAGGGAGAGGGCAACAATGGCAATGTCATCAAGAAGTCCAGTCGCTCTTCAGAAGAAGATCCAGACCATGCGGTTGAATTGGAGGCGGCGCCCATAGACCTGAATCGGGATCCTTTTGAGCCGCAAGACGCTGAGGACGATGATGCCTATGGTTTCGTTTCTGGTCCAAGTGCGGCGCAAGAAGCGAGGGCGGTGGCGGTAAGAGAGCGGCTGATGGCAGACCAGAAAGTGATGGAATGCTTTGTGGAGCGTGACGGATTTCATCAAGCCATGCAATCTTAAGGCTAGTTGTACTGAATGATTCTGTTCCTATGTACTTATCATAAGCACTCTAGTATTCTCGGTGATGAACTACAAGGACCCTTCCCCTTGACGATAAGCTCCGAGAGGACTGTCTCGGGATTATGTCATGGCAGGGCGATAAAAGAACCATCTCTAATACCCCCGCGCCAAGGCCTCCGAGAAGGTCCGCAAAGAGCAGACTTATATGCGTGTGAAGTGGCAGGGTCGTTTGCAGGATGCGGAGAGGATGCTTCTGGTGTCAGAGCAAAACAAGATTCGGGGAGAACGCGAGTTGCTACTCACACAGGAAGATCAGACCTTTGCTCAAATGTTGCAGTTTGATGAAGGGGGACGCACAGCTGCAGCGGCGAAAGCCAATTCAACTTTGATTGTTATGAAGCATACTGGAACCGGTTAGTTTTTACCTCTGTCACGTAGGTCTATCCCTTCAAACAATATAGTAATTGTAAAAATGATCGTCCGAATCCATCGTTACAAAGGCACCCTTGTTCGCTTGTTTTTTCCTTCAGAGCGAAGATAAAGCCCCAAGACTATATTTGAAGCTATTTTCTTGCGTAGGCCGGCCGGATCCTCTAATCGCAAACTGGAGAAAACAGAGGCGAAATGGGTTGCGCGTCGCGATCTGATCGGCAAGCAGTTCTATAGTCACGCGATGAAGCTGCACAAGGACTTCAACAATCGGGTACAGTTAAGGCACAGAAAAACCCAACCCTTTACACAGCCCATTCTTCTCATTCCCCTTTTACACAAGGGGAATCCATACTGGGTTGCTGGCGTAAGGTTGGGTTTTTCTCTTCGCTAATACAGGTAGCATTGAAGATCGAGTCAGATCTCACTGATGCGCTAGAGAAAACGCTGGCCGAAGACGTTCCTCTAGCTAGACGGGAGCTCTTCGCGCCTCTCTTCGGCGCAAGGGCAGTGTACGAAGGCGCCCGAGCGGCACGAGTGAAGCTGCAGATCTTAGGCGGAGGAGAGAAAGACCGAGTCCGAGTTGCTAGTACAGGGAAAGCAGGAGCAGGAGACCAGTCGTCTACGAGTCTGTTGCAGCAAAACAGTGATCATGTAGGATCTGCAAGTGCGCCAAGTCATGACTCGTCGAGTGATGCTTCTGATGCTGCAAAGTCGTTCACAGGTCAAGAACCTACCCAATCCGAATCATCTACTTCTACTAAAAACTACACATCAATCAGCTTTTCCTCATCATCTTCTAGCAAAAAACGTTTTACGCCAGCTACGACGACGGGGATGTCGGAAGGCGACAAAGAGCATGATCAGGCAGTTAGAGACGCTTGGAAAGTGGAGAAGCAGGCCTTCCAGACACTGCGATATAAGATGCACCTCTACAAAAGTACGATGGATAAAGCAGAACGTGAGAACTTCATGCTTCAGCGTGTCTTTTTGGAGGTTAATGTGGCTACCGCAGAACTGTGGCGCGCACGTGATATCTTCAACTCTATCTTAAGGCTCATGGTATGTCAAAAGGTTAAGTGAGAGTGACTAGATGAACTTCGAGTAACGTAATCCAATATGAGTGAGTGCACCCTCACTGGGCTGGTGAATTAGAGTGCTACTCGAACTGGCGAAGTAGGAGGAGGACATCTTTCTCTGTTTTCTTCTTGGAATTATACTGAGAAAATGAGCTCCTGCCCAAAAGAATAAGGCCAAGCTTCTGAGCTCCAACTATCTTGACCGAATATAGCATGGAGCGATCCTCAGCGCACAAGGAGATAGCAGATCGCAATGTCAAAGCAGTTGAGGACGAAGTAGAAAAACTGGAGAGCGCACACAGAATGATCGTGGACATGGGTGAGCACGACGACTATTTCTTAAGGCTCAATTATACTCTTACTCATTTCCATCGAATTCATATCTACAGTGTACCGTTCGTTCTTTCCTGTGGGTTTCCCTTTTGAAATTCCGAAGCAGTGGACCACTGAAGAAATGTAAAATGAATTGACTTTGAGCTCCTCTAAATTTGAATGATTTGGCCAAGAACTTGACACATTACATCGGATTGCAGAAGGTTTTTCAAGGAGAAGCGATGGAAGAATCGGGTCGACTTGCAGAGCTCTACAATCGTGCCAGAGAACGTGATGAAAAGGCAAAAGCACGAGCGGCAGTTGCAGGCGCCGAACTGGACTTCTACTTGGCAGAACAGAAGGTCGAACTGGGTCGTACGGCTCTGAGCGACGTGAGGACAGCGGTCAGTGCGGCGGCAAATCGCGTGAAGGCAAGAGAGCAAGCGTTGAAAAAGACGATCGAAAAGGTTGAGATTGCGCGTGGCGTGGGGCTTGTACGCGGACGAATTGAGATACGCTTTGATGCGGGAACCGTCGACGAGTTCTTCGATATCGGCAAACTTCCAGGTCATGACGTGGTGGTACATCATGGGAACGAGAAATCAGGAAAGCAGAGTGGGGTGAAGGTTAAGGATGTCGATTCACGTTGATGTCACGTTGATGTCACGAGGTTCCATGACATGACATGACATGTCACAAGCCAAATTTTAGATCTTCCTACTGACTTCTACGACCTCTTGAAGGGGCACCATCTAACAGTCGCTCGACGACTCCGACTCCAGGCAGTCCTGCTAGTGGCTTCAACACTGCTGCGCCCGCGGGAACGACGGCGGCGCCGACCCTATTGGAGGAAGGGGAGTCTGTCGAGAGCGATGGACGTGTCACGCCTGGCGGTAACGCTAATCTCGAAGAAGCGGAAGGAGATGTGAAAGAGCTGTTAATGCTACTCCAGAGCGCCGCTGAAGCCTCTGACGGAACGTCTTCTTCTAGTGATGGAACTTCTACTAGCGCCAAGGAATCCCACAAGCAGGAAATGCTATTCATGCAGATGGAAAGTACTGCTAGGTCTGCTCGTTCTAGTTCGAGGACTACCTCACCTACAGTTTCCCAATTCGAAATGTCAGTAGTTGAGGATATGATTACTGATGATCACTTGGGGTTGCTGGGGTTGCATGATTTAGCGACTTTGGGGTCTGCAGACTCTGACAGCGGAGGCGATTCGTCAGTTGAAGTGGATAGTAATGGAGCTTTGACTGCATTAGAGGAACGAGGTAGAAGTCTTACTGGTGAGCATCAGAGTGCGGATCATAGCAGTGAGGCTTCTGGTCATGACCCTGACGACTTCGCTTTCACCGCTGGTCCCGATGGTGAGGCATTTGAGGCCAGTGCGGGGCTAGTGTTGCAGAAGAACGAGCATCAGCAGCATCAACAAAAATTGTTGTTAAGGTCAGCTTTTATCCATGTTTCTCGGCGTCTCGGTACCCTTTTACCTTGTTTTGGAATACAAGGTAAAAGGGATCAAGATGAGGGGGCCGAGATGCAATCTAGCAGACTCTAACTTTGGAGCAAGGGTCTTCCTCAAATAGCTACGCCTCTTCATCAACAGAGGAAGAGAAAACATCCACAGGTCGTGGAGTCTATCCCCTCGACCGCTACCAGTTCAAGAAGCATCCCGACTTAGGCGTTTCTTCCCTCGGACAGGATCCTCGCGTAAAATCTGCTTTGAAATTAGTAGTGACCAAGCTTCTGGAAGGACAGCGTCTCACTCATGACAAGTGCAGTCGGACTTGCGTCAAGAACCTACAAATGGAACCTCATGTCCGCGTCATACGGGCACCAGCTGTTCCTGGTGGTAAGCCTTTGTCAGATGAGGACAAACGTGATAAGTTCAAGGTGGCTGATAAAGTCCATGAGCCCGCCTACACCAGCTGGGAGATCGAATTCACGTTCATGACCTCGGAAATCAAAAACAAAAGGGCGCTGGCACAGTTAAGAGCAGGCGATGTTTTGATGAGTATATATGTTGCTTTTCTTTTTCATGGTTTTCTTGTATATCTCAGGTCTAGCATCTTTCTTGAAATTATCTTTCACCTCTAACCCACCACTTTACCTGCGTAGGCAAAAAGGCTTGTGCTAAGCACACACGGGATCTGCAGGCAGCCATGTTAGATGGCTCAGCAGTAGTACAGCACAACCGTTTCGACGCGGAGGTAGCCCGCATGTCTGAGAAAGAGCTGAAACAAAAAATAATGCAGATGCAGACATTGATCGCGCCGGAACTAGTTTTAAGGGTGACACAGTATTTTTTCAGACTATTGTTTACGTAGTGTGATCTTGACTTGTACTAGTTTCTATGAAGGACACATATTACAGAAGATCGCCAAATCAAATGTTTCTACCTCTTCTAATCCTCCTAGGCGGCAAACCCGGTACCTTAGTCCCTGAAGAAAAGCTGGCCATGACCGTCGAATCCGTTACTCCGCTCGCCTTCAGCCCTTCTCACCCTTTCAACCCTGACAACGCCACCGACGCCATTCCTTGGGTGTATGCTGCCGCAGGGATGCTCGCCACCCGCATTCGCTTAGAGGAGGACATGAGGGAGAAACTCAAGTACGAAAAACGCATGCTCGACGCCATGCAAGACCTAGCTACTGCCGTTGAGGAGAAAAAAGCTCTTCGAGCGAAGTACTTTGAGGCGCAAGCTGAGAGTCGTCGTGCAGCGGCATTAGCGAGAGCAATGTTGAGTAGTGCTTTGGAGGAAGACTTTTTGCGGAAGAGCTACGAGAACGCACTGCTTTACTCGAGGTTCTGGGCCTATCAACGTGAGATCTCCGATGGTCTGGATTTAAGGCTTCTAGTGCAAATTAGATTTTAGAACCGAAACAAACTTCTTGGCTCCTGCTACTACTCCTAAAAAGAGGCCAAGCATGCCATGCTGCTAGAGAAAGTGACGCGTACTGATACTAGTAGATTAAATCTCTAACAGATTCCCTGCGTATGCCCCAAGCAACAGTCGCAGCAGCGATGGTAAACGTAACACAGGCAGAACAAGATATTGCAGAAGCGAAGAAGATCATCGACACGACTGATCGTGCTATCCCGAAGCTGAAGCAACTGTGGACCTTAGCCGCAGAGGATCCTGATATCCCGCAGTTTACTAATTATGGTTCTTTGTTCTTGGGTTTTTTGTAGGCCTAGGTTTGATGGCAACGAACTAAGAACACGAAACCGAAGCTTCAGAATATCTTCAAGCTCATTCACTTCCGCTTCTCTAATCTACAGACCTCTTAAGAGAGCGCGTGAACTACAACCAGGATAAGAACAACCAAGCGAAGGTGGATCTCCAGCATGCCAACAAATTCTACGACGCATCGAGCGCTGACTTGGACGCGAAGATGAGAGTCCTACAGAAGATGGCAATCATGGTCATTGGCCATAATGAAGAGTTGCTATGGCTGCTAACTGATTTTTGATAGAAGCGATCTGGTGCTGTGATATTAATCCGTCTTATAATTATCCTGGTTGTGAATAGATACTTTCCTAGTTCCTTTTACTCAGAATAGCGCTTACTCTTCTGAAGGGATTTTTCCCAGGAACTTACGCACTCACTATAATGCTCACTCACTGCTCAAGTCAGAAAGTCCAAGCTGACAGCAGGATAGATTCCCAAGGATTTACTTACTACAATAAACTACGTACTCGGGTCATTCAAAAAACTAACAAAACATAAACTCCCACTCCCTCCTCTAATATCGCGAAAGAAGGTCGGCATTGAGATCCTCGTGAAAAAAGCAGAGGCAGAAGGCGAATTAGAGAAGGCTCGGGAATTACCAGCTATGAATCCGGAGGATCGGCTGGTCAGGGAGACCAAAGTCCGCGAGGCCCTACTAATGGTCACCCGCATGGGTGGCCTCTTCACAGCCATGCAGAGAATGAAAGGCTACATCCGTTTTGGAGCGCAATACACGCAAATTCTTGGGTCTACGTACCTGAAAGCGACGAAAGACGTCCTGCAAAAGGAGAACGCTATGATGAATCGTATGAACGAGTTAGTGGATTGTAGACGACGAGGCTTGCCAGAAGAACTATCGGGTGACTTGGACGACGAGGAAGGAAGCAGCATGATGTTGTTGAATGGGAAACGGCGCACGAGGATGCTGTCGAGGCAAGTCGAACGAAAATTCAGCGATCTGGCGAAGGCTAGTAGAGCCGCTGTTGAGGGGTCTTCTGGTAGGACCTCGAGTCAACATAGCTCATCCTCGTCTGATGGTGCAGATGACACTTCTGGACATCAAACAAGTCTGTTGAATGAGCATCAACATCAAGAAGGTGCAGCAACTAGTGAAAAAGATGGTGTGGAGTCATCTACATCGTCCTCTCCGTCGGCAAGTACTAATACGCAAGACCAGGCACAAAGCGTCAAAAAAGCTGAAGAGGAACAAACGATCCAGGGAGCTTTCTCGTATTTGTTGAAGAAATTCTTCGGATCTAACGCTAATCAAGCCGCTTTTTTGCAGACTGGAGCAGCTGTGAGAAATGCTACTGTTATGAATGAACTTGTTCTCGATAGGATGCCATGAAATACTTCTTGAAGGTGAATAGCAGACTTACTTTTCGAGTTTCTTTTCTAGATTTAAGTAAAAAAATCATGCTCAACTCAATTTCTTAAGAAAGGACATCATCTTCTGATCAAAGGAGAAGAGGCGCTTCTCTAATAATCGTGATCCTACCACGACCCCGAGCCCACAGGCTGTGGTGGATGACGTCCGCTTGCCCAACTGCGATGAGGAACGGGATAAGCATCTCAAGGCACAAAAAGCGGTCCAGATGGCACGAATTAAGCGGCAAGAGGTGGAGTCCTTCTTAAAAGCGGTCGAGAGGCGTTTCGACCTAGCAGCTGCTGGCTTAGCCCAAACAGCTGCTCAAGTCGAAACCGAAGAAGCAGAGGTTTTAGCGGAACGCAACACAGCTACGTTCCGTGAGTCCGTTGAGATCGTCGCACGCGGCAAAAGAGACGTGATCACCTTCCAACAACGTGTTGCGGCTTTGGAGATGATGCGATCCGAAAGCGGAATCCCTAAACCTTCGGTGTACACTGCTGAGGGTGCTTTTTTGGCCTCGGCTGATGCAGTCTATGACTCTGGTCTTGATGCAGACGTCGTGCACCGATTCAACAACGAGACGATCGCATCCCGTTTGCGATACGGCAAAGAGCTGGACCTGTTGGGGAAGGCGGTGGAAGCTAGTGGTCGGTACTTTGCGCGCATGCGGACTACGAGGACCAGGAAGCAATTGGCCAGGAAATGGGAAGGTTTGTTGCTCTCACAACAGGATCGTGAAGAGGAGAGTGACGCGCATGGAAAGAATGATGATTATGGACTGCACTTTTTTTCGTTCCAATAATAAAGTCATTTTGCATAATTAGACTTCATTATAGTACCTGAGACAATGTAAATGCAGCAGCTAAATACAAACAATTTCATCTGATAATAATTAAATAACCTCCTCCTTTAGCAGGCATGTGCACGCTTTTCCCCGTCTCTCTGAGGTGTGCTGCAAATCTTGACTGGCTTCTCCCTTTTTATAAGGTTGAGGCTTAGGCCCAGCGGCGCCCAAAGCACTAAATAGAGCAACCGGTTAGTTTTTACCTCTAGAGATTTAGCCCTTCCAACAATGTAAATGCTGCAATCATGTACGAAGAGTAGTCGAAAATGTCTAAACAACAGTGGTCCTGAGGATGGAGAAAGCGTGTCAGAGGCTATCGGACGATCTGGCCATAAAGCATGAGGAGCTCATGAAACTGGGCAAGCAGCAAGCAGAACTCGCACTGAAAGTAGAGAAACAAGAGGAAGAGCGTGCTGCTGCTGCCAGTACAACTGTAACGCTTTTGGAAGGGGAACAACAAGATGAGTCAGGTACTCGCGAAGACGGTTCTTCCTCCGAAAACCAAGGGCCAACGGCAAGCGTAACTGCACATCCTTCCTCTGCTGTCAGTCCCAACGCGGGTCCTACGGTATTTACGCCTTCACCTGCAGTTACAGGAAACGGAGCGGCTACAGGAACACCAGGTCCTGCACTTGCCGGTAGAAAGCCTAATCAGTACAAATTAACAGAGCGTCAGTTGGAAGCACTGTCGACGAGGGTGGAGACTATGGAACAGCATTTGGCTTTGCTGGAGTCCCAGGCTAGTCGGTGCGAAGCGGACATGGCTGAGGAAACGGTGCTGCAGGATGTGAGTCACGGCCAGTACGTGCGTGCGATCCGTGCTGTTTTTGAGAAGAGACTCAAGTACCGTGTTGCATCGTTTGAGTATCGTACGGAAAGCGCAAAGCGGGAAGTGACAGAGTCAAGGCAGGACATCGAAGATGACAAGTCTTTGCACGGTTTTATCGACACAGACCGCGAGAATTTCTTGGTCAACATCTTAAGGCTGGTTTACCACTCGAGTTACAATTCAACACGAATATCAATTACAGTGTCTACATTGAGGGGTGATTTCGAAGCTTCCTTTCTTCTATCCATCAAGTCACTCCTTCTAATCCAGCTGCAAAAGATCCAAAAAACCGAACGCGAGGGACTCGAAGCCCTGTCTGAGCAGTTGAGGGTAACGGAGCGTGAGCAAGTTGATAGGAATTTGGCCCGGGCAGAGGTCACGGCTACCACGGACACGGACATGCTTCTGAATGCGACGCAAGCGGTCAAGGTCGTCAGAGCCGAATTTTTTGAAAACGAGTATGAGGTTATGACTGGTTGTCTTAGTAAGGATGTTCGACCATGCTGCAACATATGTTTCTACCAGTATTTGCATTAATGCACAAGTGCGTGCTGGACAAAGTCTCAAGTTGTATTGATGGATTTGTTTTTTGTCATCCTCTAACGACCTCGTCCGCACAGCAGATGTATGGATCGGACAGAAGTATTCTTATCGCAGCAGCGATTCTTACGAGAAATGGCGAGCCAAGCTGAAGGAAGCCGAACTAGCCTACGACCAGGCCTCCGATGACGCTGCAGCCACTAAGAAGACCCTAGAAGCGTCGGAGCGAGCTGCGGATGTTTGGGGTTTGGAACTGTCTCGTGCACAGGCCAAAGAAGGCCAATTTCGGTCTGAGGCGTTCACTTTGGGCGCGAAACAACTGCGGGAGACAATCGCAGATGTCGTTTGGAAGAGCTTGCAGGACACATTAGGTTTTTACACTATCGTAAAGGAGCAGATGGACGCGGAGGCAGCTGCAGTGAAGGAAGGCATAGCGCAAGCGAAAGAGAAGGAAGCTGCGGCTAAGGAAGAGGCAGCTGAGGCAGCCGCAGCAGCTGCAGTGAAGGCTGCGCCGTCAGCGCCGTCAGCTAGTCCGAGTTTGGTCACTGGCGGTAGCAAATCGACAACGGCTTTGTTGTTGCAGATGATTGCGCGACGATTGGGGAGTCTCACTGGATGGTCGGGTTCTTCCAGGAGGACTTTTACTAGTGAGGAAGATTCGAAAACGCAAGAGTTCAACAATGGAGGTGAAGACAGTTTCAATAGTGGACCCAGTGATATGGTTGCTGCACCACGCAGAACTGGCGATGAACAGACTGAGAGCAGGAGCTCTTCCAGACGAGGAGATGAACATGCTCCAACTGCTCACAACAAGCGACAAGTCTTAGGACTATTGCAGATGCTCGCAAGCTCTGGCACTCCAGCGGTTCATGAGAAGCATCAACAACAATTCCACAGTGGTATGGGACCGAAAGGCTTTGCGCTCATGCAGGTTCGATCATCTCCCAATCCTTCCTCCTCTACCAGTAAAGCAGCACTCTCCACCAATAGTCTCAGTCGCCTTGCTGTAACATCTTCAAAGGCGGATGACGATGTCCTGGCACTTTCTGAGACAGAGGACGTTCTACGTGGTCGACCGGGACCATTCAGGTCGCCGCGCAGTGACTTGGTGCTACTGGAGACTGAGATTCGCAATGTCCGTCATGCAGTTGATCACGCGAAGCAACAGAAGAGACTTGGAAGTGGTCAGAGGAGACAGAGGTTTGTTGTGACCAAGAAGCCCTCCAGTGTGGCTGCTAGTCGACATAGAACACAGGGTTATGGACAAGAACATGACAGCACGAAGACCAAAACAGCATTTTCGTCAACTTCCTTCTATGAAGATCACAAGCAGTTTGCTTCGACTGCAGGAGCTTCCTGGAGTGAAGTGAATGCGATTGCAGGTGCCCAAAATTCACCAGCTTGGCTCTATGACGGTAGTTTAGAGGACCATGCTACGAACGCAGATGCGGAACCGACGATGTTGCAGGACGTGTCCGAAGACGAACAGGAAAATGAAAATCCTCATTCTTCCACTATCTTCGCTCATCAACAACAACAACATGGTTCTTACCCTTCACGTGTAATTGCGCAACACGAGTTTTCTCTAGTGGAAAGCCGTAAGGGTACGACTCCGGCGCCTGTGGCTTTGAATGGCACCACGAGTGGTGCTGCGATCACTGGTGCTGCTGGCTCGTCAAACTTTATGGCTATTATAAGGTAAAGCTGGTTTTCACTGTATAGATAAGATCGTAAATGACTCACTGTACTTATCGTAGTAGCAGCTTTTCTCAAAACAGCTCTAATCCTCCCTCCGCCTCGACAGCTGCGCCGTACAACACGAGTGCGATTGTGGTGCCTGCTTTTGCGAATATTCCTCCATCGAATTTTACGGTGGGGACGGGTAGGTTGCAATTCCAGAAACATCCCCAGAACTACACAGTTGCCGACAAGGAGAGCGGCAAAGTGCGCCTGGGTCGCGCAGTGAGAACCTACAGTTAAGGCTCAAAAATACGTTACCATTCATTTCTACAAGGCTTTTTTCTTTTGTTTGCTTGATTTTTTTTGATTTTGAAGAAATGAAGGGAAGTAGAGATGAATGGCTTTGAGCTCTAATAGAGCGATGCAAGTACACTGGTTGCACGAATTGAGCGTGACCGCATGACTGCGGAATTGATGGCGCACGTCTCGGAGACCCGGTCGGTTCATGCTGCGGCTAAATGGACCATGCACCGCGTGAAGAAGGAAGTGGAAGAAGGACTGCAATTGTTGACCGCACAACAAGAGATCGAGAAAGCGGTACTGAGCAAATTACTACGTGAGAGCTGTTCTCATCGCGAAGATGAATTCGTGAAGATGTCCTCGAAGACAGATGCCCAAGGCAAACCACGTGGAGACCCAGACAAGGTGGATGTGAGCAAGGGCGAGCTGCACCAGCGAGTGAAGGCGTATCTTCCCTTATGAGGAGCAGTTGATGACTTTTTTTATCTAAATTTTTATAGATCACGACATAATTCATTGGCAAGTAAGAAGGTGGAAAGATATGTTCCACCACTAATCGCACTCATTTTTAGAGACCAGAAGTAGTCACATCCTCTTCTAATTCTATCCGTCGACGTCTTCAGCGATATGCCTTTTTTCCAGGATGGAGAGAATGCTGCCGTACCTCACTTCGCGAAGCTGCTGCAAGTAGGACGCAAAGGAGAAGAAATTCATCACGATCGCAGAAAAGTAGGTGAAGGTGCGCAACAACTCGTTGAGGAAACTTCTTCTAGTAGGACATCGTCGTCCTCTGATTCTGGTACTGAAGCGGAAGAGGATGAGGAGTTCTCCTATAAGAATTCAAATGCGCCTTCTAGTTCTTCCAGCTCTGAGAAAGCGGCTTCATTGCTGGAGACTAAAGCTGAAGAACTCCTGAAGAAAGGAGGTAGTGGCCACGACGATGTGGATCATCTATTCGTCGAGGACGGTCGTGTTGACCCAACTGACGCCGAGAATTGGCTGCACAACGCTAACACTCTAGTCCCAGTTCCTCAACTGGCGCTTTTGCAATCGGGTATCGAAGTAGACGGTCTGCGAGAGGTGGACACACTGTTGCGGGATTCTACCGAGATGCTGGCGGAACGTCGCAGAAAACGCGCGTCGTTGCTCAGCAAGGGCAGTTCTCTTAAGGCTGTAGTTAGAATGCTTGTATCTCGACAGTGCACACGCATGGAATTTCAAATTTACTGTTCCCTCGAAATATTCCTAGCTTTAGATCTAATACTCAAGCGAAGAAACGAGACGACGATGATGATGCAGCAATAGCGCAACCTCTGAGCCCCGAAGAAAAGGCAGCTTTGAAATTTGAGCACGATGAGAAGATTTGCAATGAGCAACGTGCCAATTTGCGCATGTCAATCTTGGAGCATGAGCGTCGCGTGCAATCTTTTGGACGGCGCTACAACATGTTAGTCGATGCAAGGAACGGCTTACTAATCGCTCGTGCAGAACTGCAATTGGCGCAAGAGCGTTACTCGCTTTTCAGTTTCCAGACTGCTCAGGAGATGGGTGACAATGCGGCTGGCTTAGGCTCCCTAGTGGACATGTCAGTCGCACGCATGATGCGGCGAGTAACCTTGGCGAAGGAAGCGTTGTTGTTGATGCGAACTCATACGCGATTGGAGAAGTCGAGAAAGCAGTTACGTGCGGCCGTTGCGACGGTTCAGGCAATGAAACGCAAAGAAGCTGAGGAGGGCGACAGCGATGCTTCAGGTGACGTCACTCTAATCCGCACAGGCATGTCTACTTTCAATTATGGGTCGTTACCACAACCACAATGCATTCTTCACTACCATCCTTCACGTGCTGTTTTCCAGTAGGAAAAGCCTCGTCAGGGATGTGATCTGAAGAATGCCGTGTCGCAATCTTTAACTCAATGGCGAAGATTCGACAAATGGCGACACATCTGTAGAGCAGCATCAACGTCAGCACTTAGAACTTCTTAAACCTCTTACAGGACGAGGAGGAGTTTCGGCCTTATCTAGAAGGAAAATTACTAAGGCAAACGATAAGGACAAGGACGGCAAGGGTAGCAGGATTGACACCGATATTGAGGTCGGACCAGAAGATCTGGTTAAAAGCTATATCTCAGAAGAAGGCGCTATCAACGTCTTTCTCATGGAACAGCAGGAGTTGTTGTCTTTCGAAGAGAAAAATTCCGAGTTGATGGAAACTAGATTAGGTGCTGGTTACGCGCGCTCCGTTGACCTGGCCAAGGTGGACTTGGACAAGCAACAGGGCTTGACCGATGCTACCTCGCGTATTCCGACTGCGGCACCAGCATCGGTACTGGCCCAGCTAAAGAAGCTGGAGGCTGCGCGCTTGGCGAAGCTAGTAGCCTATCAAGAAAACCAGGTGCTGGAGTTTCAAATGCGGATGCAAACGTTGGAGAGGTCCGCGAACGAGTTCTTCTTGAATGCAGACCCAGAGGAGCAAAACGACGAAGACAAAACCCAAGCTGAGAAAGACGAGGCAGCGGCTGAAGCAAAAGAATCAGCGGAGAAGGAAGAGGAAGGAAAGGCGGCCATTGCCAATGTCGCGACCGCGGATGGAGGCTCAGCTGTGCAACAAAGTGTGGACACATTGACCAAAATCAATGCCGCCGAAAAAGACACTAATGGTCTTCTATTGCTAGATCAGAAGAGACGGATCAACTTGGGATTGGGTGGTCGTAGTGCTGGTTCTTCCTCTTCAGAGATGAGTAATTTTGGACTTGGAGGTGGTGAGCATGATGTTGACAACGGTTTAATTTCCTCCATGCGCGAGATTATGGGTGGAGGACTGCCGAACGGCGAGAAAGAGATATTATCTTCCTCATCTTGGGAAGACGAAGAACTTTTCGAGCGAAGACGACTGGAGCGGCGTCAACATCGTCTTGATGAAGAAGAGCTCCATCATTTTGATGCTGCTGTTCGTCGTGGTCAACATGCCTCTGGTAGTACGACAACTTCTTCTGGACAACTTCTACAGCAACAGCGCCGTGCACTTAACCCTTACAGAAACAGTAAGAGATTTGTCTCTCTCCTGGACGTGACGCCCAACTATTCCGAAGGTGTGACCGAAGATCTCACTGCAGGCGTGGCCTCAATCGCGAAAGAGATCGCTCAGGGACTGAACTTCAAAGATGCCGAGATGCGTCGCAGAGTCGAGAAAGAGCATTTTGATGCTCGATTGTTTTCGCCGAACTTGGCTTTTACTGCGGAGGACATCAAGCAGCAAGATTTCGATGGAGATGAAGTCGACAATGGCGTGGATTACACTGGCAGTGTGTCATCGGATGGAGGCGTGAAGATCATGCAGGACCGTGGTGAGATTGCGCGATTCGGTAACCCGATGAAGATCAATATGATGTCATATACGTCTGCTCTGCGTGCTGGGAAGAAGAGCAGTGCTAGTGCCAGTGCTATGCATACTAAGAAGCATCGTGACGAGACTGACGGAAATGAGGCACTGGCAAGCGACGTTGAAGAGAATTCCTCTGAAGATCAAGAGGGAGGTACCGAATCGACAAGCGACGAAGCTGAGAACAGGATTGCCCCGATGCCAGGAGTGGGGCAAGGGATTCAGTATCCATCGGCTGTGTACGGACCTACAGCACAAGTAGTGAGCAACGCGGCTCAAGGTCTTCACACGGCAGCGAGAAACACTGTACAAGCTCAGAAAAACGTAGCTCAAGCCCTCACGAATGCACTCAGCGGCAGCAAAGCGCCTGGAAGCAGTTTTTATGAAGATCAGTGGTTTTGAGTGAGCCAATCTGTAAGTATCTCTTTCAGAGGTGAATCATGGATCATCAAAGTAAATCAGGTTGGGTGAAAGTAACAACGCAACAACAATAAGTTAGAAACAGATGGTCATTGATGTTGTTAAGTCACGTTTCTCACAGTCCCCCTTCTCCCTTTCATTCCTCAGGCAAGAAGCTGTCCACACAAGCGGCCAAAGCAGCAGAGAGCCAATTGCGTGCTCTGGGACCTGCCGCTTACAAGGCTGGAATTGATAAAGCGAAGAAGGCCACGCAAGAAAAACTAGCGAAAATGCAAAACGGAATGCAAGGCAGTCTTCCAGGACCCAATGGAACTGGATATGTTCCTGTTATGGCTCCCGACCCTCTATTAGTGTTCGTGTAGTTGTCTGCCGAAGATGAGTAGGATGTCGAACTCGAAACGTATTCAATAGATACACAACTCACAGCTCGTCTATTAGTCTCTAATCTCAGCACCAATCCACAACTGTCTGGCAACGCAACAGGCGCAGGCTCAACTTCGCCCACTGAAGATTATCATTCTGCAAAGACGGCAATTTCTGCGATCATGGCTGCAGTGCGAGCGGGTCGGAGAGCGGCTTTAGGTCACCTCGGAGGTCTATCAAGGAAAGAGCTGGCTGACATCGCGAGAGAGAGCCGACGATCCCGTACGTCCCTGACAACGCCGCCGCCTGAAATCGCAACTATCTCAAGGAAGAAAGTGGACAGCTTGCAGGCGGGATTGCAGAGGATGGCGATCAGGACGGATATCAGTCGTTTCACGGCTATGGCCACTAAACAGGGCAATCTGGTGGAAGCACTGGCGCTGAAAACTTTGGTCGCGTCATTGGTAGATTCCTACAGCTCAGTGGAGGACAGCATGGTTCTCGTTGAGAACGCAAAGCGCGAGTTCGACGCGCAAACAGTCTTTGGAGGATTGCCGGAAATGGGTGAGACAGTGCCTGTAGAGCCAAGTAGTAGCGCGTCTTTGGCAGTCGCTAGTCGACGACCAACTGTTCAGGGCAGAACGTCTTCTCCTGGACGTCGTGGTGCCATGGGACTGGCAATCATCCCACGTAACAAAAAACATCATTATACTGGTCGTCGTCATCTTCAGCATAGTACTGGAAGTACGTCTTCGCGAACGTTGAATGTGAATCTCCTCGAAAATGATGACAGTGCTGCTGCCGCTGCCAGGGAAGTTTTCGGGCCAGCTCTGCGACGCAATGCAGAGGCGATTTTGCTGTTGAAAAAACGACTGCAAATTGACATCGATGCTTCCCAGAATTATAGCAACAATAATGATCCAGCACAATCAACTACTAGTTCTTCCGGAGCCAACCTCTTCAGAGTAAGCCAATCACATCAAGGACAAGTTACCAGTCTAACCGCAAGTAGCACCACTGCTCCTGACCCAGAACCTATAATTTCCATTGTGGATGCCAAGTTTGGACTACGGGAGAGGATCGAGAAATACCAGGCCACGTTCAAGTCCTTCGCTGATGCTGCACGCATCGCACTTGCAGCGCGTAACACCCAGGGCATGGCCGAAGCCGAAGCCGTGTTGCTGAAGCAGAGAGTGTTCCACTCTCATCTCAAGAAACAACAACAGAGCCTAGTCAAGGAGACGAAGAAAGCGAGGAGGCGTGGAGAAGTCTCAAAAGTAGTCTTCCTGGAATATCGCAGAAGGGAATTGCAAGGTATCTTGGTCGATACACGTTTCGACGTCGCGATTTCTCGTCAGCGTTCTTCGCTCTTGACCGCGGCAGCACGAGCCGACGTAGCTGCGGAGGCGGTCAACCGAGCAAAAGTGACCGAATTGAAATTAAGACTCAACTTTCAATGCTCACTGGGGTTGGTTAGATCAACTTTCAATCCTCACTGGGGTTGGTCACTGCAATGGTCACCGTTGAGTTGATTTAGTACAATCACCTGAGACGTAATGATGATGATGGTCACCGTTGAGATTGGAGTCACTGTTGAAATGGAAGAGGCGACCTTCCCTTGAGAGAATCACTGTTGAAATGGAAGAGGCGACCTTCCCTTGAGAGTAGAACAGGGGAAATAAACGAAGGGAAAGGGGAGAGCTTTGGAGGGGGTCTCTTCTGTTCAGAGTCAGTGACCATTGAGTGCTGGGCTTTAATGTTAGCACGCATGCTACTCGCGCAAGCCGTGCGGGATTTGGAAGGTGCGGAACCCGAGAACTTCCTTTTGCGCGTAATCATGCCAGCAATCTTCTCGGCTCTGCGGAAGCTGTATTATTAAGGCCATCTTCTATTCGTTGAGAGGCGTCGAGAGCTCGATCTATAAGACCATCGTCCATGAGGATCATTTACAACAATCTTGGGTTCTTTCTGAACATCAACCTTTTACAACCTCTTCACTTCTTTCTGAAAATCAACCTTTGTATCTTCCTTCTAGGCATCAACTGCAAGAACCGCTCTAAGAAGCCAGTGTTTTCAATGGTGGTTCTGGCATCCAGCACATCAACTTACCTGGAAGCAATGGCACAGCTGGCCAACAGCGTGATGACTCGACTAGTTCGAACCCATCACCAGTGTATGTCAATGTGACCGGTGCAATGCAATCTGGTGCCAATGCACACGCCACAGGCACTACAGGAGGGCCACCGGGGACTAGTCAGACTAGTTTCTTTGAATCATCACCTTCGGCGTCTACTGCTGCGTTCTTCTCGACTACTGGATTGGCCAGTTCCAGTCCGTCTACCTCATCTTCGAGCATGGCTTCAACTTCTTCTAGTATGGCTTCGACTTCTGGCGCCTCTCTGGCTGCGTCAACTTCATATGCCTCCACCTCGAGTTCCGAGATTCGCTCCACTACCTCCGCAACTTCCAGTGGCGCTGCACTTTTGTTAGAGACAGGGCGATTTACTAGGACTCTCCTCGGGTCACCGCAGCAATCTCAACTACCAAGTAACAAGACCAAGAACTCAGGTCAACGTGTTATGACCTTTGAGGAACAAGCCAAGGCCAATGTCGAGGAATCCGAGGTCCGACTTTCATTCGCTATCAATCGCACCATTGCGATGGAAGAGGAAGCACAACTGCTTGAGCAGAAGTTCCAGGACGAGTTGGAGCATCTGCGTAAACTACTCAGAGATGCGACGGAAAGCAACGAAGAGGCGAAGGCTGATTAAGGAAGAGGACCACTACAAAAAACACTGATTTGGAAGGAAACGGAGATGGCCAGTTAGAGGGCGTAACCCTGCTCCATTTTGCAAAAATCATTGACTCACACTAAACTGTACATCACCAATTGCATCCCCTCTTCCTTCTCTACACCAATTGCATCCCCTCTTCCTCCTCTGCAAAAATCATCCACCTGCACCAAAATTTTCTTTCCCAAGTAAAACCCCTCTCCCTGTGCGCCTTTACAAAAATCATCCACCTGCAGCAAAATTTTCTTTCCCAAGTAAAACCTCTCTCCCTGTGCCCCTCTACAAAAATCATCCACCTGCACCAAAGTTTTCTTTCCCAACTACACTCCAACCTTCTCCTCCCCGACCTCTAATCCAAGGAAAAAAAGCGTCTGGGCTTGCACGAGTCTCGTGTGTTGTCATCTGAAGGCCGTAAGGTGTTTGCAGAGCAGACATTACAAGCGGTGCATCCAGCCGTGAAGGTAGCTGAGGATGCAGCACACGCAGCAAAACTGGCGTTGAAGAATCCAACCTTGCAATCCAACGCAGAAGAACTGAAGACAGCGCAAGAGGCCGCGAAGACGGCAGAAAGGGAGGCCGAGAGGGTGGTGCAACGATTGAGAGTTATGGAGGATTACAGTGGGATTGTGCAACAAGCAGATGAGTTATAATCTATACCTCCTGCTACGATTGGCAATAGTTTGCCCCAGAACTCTTCACCCCTCTAAACACAACTTAAAAGTCCAAGTCCGCGACGCTTCTGCAGCGATCCGCCAAGAGAAGCAGATGCTGAACCGTGTAGAAGGTCGCTTGATCTCTCTCGATGAGCGAGAGGCATCCCTAGAAGAAGCTTCGCAAGGCGTCGAGGATCAGGAACGACTGCGTCTGAAGCGAAGAGAGGTCATGTTAAGGCAGCTGCCATGATTACTATTTTGAGTATGTTCTTCTCAGGGTATCATGCGTATGCGTGATAGTCCTGATGAATAGGTGCATCCTCGATAAAGCATTTAAGTTGAAAGAAACCCTTCTAATACCCGACTACGTCGCAGAAACCTCAGGCGCCTTCCTGAAAATCTCTTTCGCGAACGAAGAGTACAGTCCAGGCGCCTACGGCCTCGCAACCGAGGAATACGCAGCTTGGTATGAGCTGCAAACGGGTCTGTCAGCGCTGTTGACTTCGGTGACGACACCAATCTATGACCCGAACGTAAGTCCCGCTGCAGCAGCCGCCGCTGCGGGTCAGCGAGTTGTGAATGGCCAATCGGGAACGGCTGCTGCAGCGGCGGCTGGCGCCGCCTATCCACAGCTCGCGCGTAACAACTCCGCAAGTGGAAACTTTACTGGAGCACCGAGAAATGCATCATCGAATCTGACATTTGGTCCTGTGATCCCGACAACAGGTGCTCCGCTTTCCGCAATGTATTCGAGCACGTTTGCACCATCAAATGCAGGAGTGACTGGCCTTAACGGTTCGGCGTTTGGATCGAATGCGACGTGGTCACCGACCTATGCAAATGGTACGGTGCCTGCTGCACCTAGCAGTGGGACTTCTTCGGCTGTGAATGGAAGCAGTATTGCTACGATGCCTCCAGGTGGTTCGTTCAGTGGTGCCTCGAACGCAACAGTTTTTGGCTCTGCCACTACAGCAGCCGCGACAGCGAGTGTAGCTGCAGGTAATACAACAGCAACAAGAACATCGTCTCCGAACGCCACAGCTGGTGCCGCAACAGCAGCTGCTACCACTGCTTCTGCTGCGATGACGCCAGCAGCGGCAGCTGCAACTACAGGTGCTGTGGGCTCTTCGGCAACGAGCACTGGATCGCCCGCGGCGGCCACCACTGGTGCCGCAGCGTCAGCTGCTACCACCGCTTCCGCTGCCACCACCTCCGCTGTGTCGTTGTTCGAGAAAGCCGACCTCACGTCCTTCCGCAGAGTCATGGACTCTACCACACAGCAAGCTCGCTTGTCCGGCTTCACCACAGCTGCCTTAGCAAGAACAGGCACTTCTGCACTACAGCAGCAACAAGGAGACGCATCGAAGAGCGGACAAGTCTCGCTGATTGGTCCCGGTAGTGTCTTTGGCGCTCTCGCGTCGTTTGACAACGTCGACGGAGCCGCTAGTCGTGCCAGGTTCCGACGTAAGGACGCACGAGATGCCATGAAGCGCAGAGTGCAAGAATGGAGGGCATTGAACTCCCAATGCAACCAGCTCGAAGCGGGTCTTCTGGCTTTGCCACTGGTGTCGCCAAAAGAGAACCCTAAACTGGCGATGGAGAGGGCAAGGCTACGTGCTGATTTTGGAGCTGCTCAAGCGGATCGTAGTGATGCGCTGTATGCAATCGTTGATGCTGAGAAGGTGTTTGTTGAAGCACAGAGACTGGACGTCCTGCGTCGATTGGAAAAACTTGCAGGAAGGGCAACTGAAGTGTACTAAGACGACATGTCAGGAATTTGAGTCAGTTCTAAGAGATAAGATGTGAATTCGCAAGTACGTAGTTGGACAATGACTTTCAATTTCAATGGATTTTTGGAAGGATTAGGATTAGAATGGAAATACAGCAAGATCTCTGATCGTCTCGTCACCAAGTTTATATTACCTCACGCGCTCTCTCAGTTACCTCAACGAATTCGGTGGCGCCGCTGGCCCAGATCGGGAGCTGATGAAGTGCAACTTCCAAGCGAAGCGAATGCAGCTAGATTTCGCAAGAAAGGCAGACTTCGAGTTGAATTCGGCGATTGGATCTTATCCTCTCGAAGTCCTCAAGGAAGCAACAGAGGAACGTGCTTTAGCCCAGTACCAAATGGAGGAATATCTGACTTGGTTGACGCAAGAGCATTTCCGTGGAATTTTGGAGTGGTCGAAGAATGCCACTACGTTGTACTGCAACCCAGCTGCTGCGGCTTTGTTTGGAGCACAATGCGAGCTGATGGAACGTTATCTGGAGAAAGTCGAGTCTCGTTTTGCCGAACTCGATCAGGCAAAGCTGATGTTCGAACTCAAAGAGAAGGAGGAAAAAGCCTGTATGCAGATGCGATCGCTCATGTTGGACTATATGACGAAGCAGTACGACAAGAAGCTGATGGCGGCATGGAGCGACAGTGAGATTGACTGCAGGTTGGCAAGAAGTGCGACTTTCGAAGCCAGTCTAAAACGAGATTTGGAGGAAGGAACTGCGTGTGCAGCGGAAGTGGCGCCAGCAACAGACACACACTGCGAAAACACGGTGAAGCGGGCGAAGGAGTACTAAGTCGATGTAGTGTGTTGATCTCAATGCAATCCTATAATTGTTTTTTCGGTAGATGATGATGTTGATGATGATGATACTCAACGTAGATGCTCCTCCTCAACACTGACAGGAGCACTTTCACCTCAAAACTTCACAGGGCGCTTCGCGAGTTCGAGCTAGACACTGGCTGCGATTCCGTTGAGTCTCGCGCACAAATTCAGCTAGATGCTCTCCAGAACGCTTTGGACATCGCAGCCAAGGAGGATGCTCCGGATTTGAAGTTGGTACGTGATGCTTTAGTAGAGGCTGACGTCGCCATGAAGGAGCTGGCTCATGGTGGTTGTGTCATGGAAGATGCCTCGATGGAATTGATGAAAGCACAGGCTATGATGCTCTGTTAAGGCTCTAAATTCTTTCATCTTTCTTGACTGAATCCTTGAAAAGTATTTTGTTGGGAGTATTTCAATTTCCGGGGAATAGTCATACTCTCCCATATTTATTAGTTTTTCGAGGAAGATGCAGTTGAAAGATGAATCGCGGACAGTTCTAACTCTGCGGAGACGAAGGAAGCTCTTTAGAGTGTTTTGACCTGCCTGACGACTTTGATAGCGGCACGGCGGGAACGTTTTCGATGAGCTCCAGCATCAGCTTCAATGCTCTGACGGGTACGGGGTCGGAAACGAGTTCGAGTTCATCGAGTGAGCCAGTAGTTGTTACCTCTAGTGCAAGCAGTAGCAGTTCGGCGGGACCAACTACTGGCTCGACTTCTGCATCCACAGACGCAGCATCTTCGGCAAGTGCAACGTTAGGAGCTTCACAAACGACGGCATCTGCTGCGCCTTTGACCTCCTCCGCTGCAGGGGCAACATCAAGTCTAACCTCATCTGCAGGACCATCAACAACGCTGACTTCCTCATCAGATGCATCCTCCTCTTCTGGCTCTGGTACTGGGTCCTCTAGCACAGCAACAAGTAGTCTGACTTCCTCTTCGGATTCGAGTTCAACTGCTGAAGGGTCCTCTAGCACAGCAACAAGTAGTCTGACTTCCTCTTCGGATTCGAGTTCAACTGGTGCAGCTGCAAGCGGTGGAAGCGCGCTTCTCGTGAAGCAAGGTGGGCAAGACGAAGACATTCAGATTGCGGGAGAAGATGCAGGTGCGGCTAGGGACTTAGCGTTGCCGTCGAATGCTGGATTGACAGATTTATGCATGACGAGAATACAGACTAGACTGATGTCCTTTCTACACTCTTACTCCACCGAAATACTGACCTTAGAAAGTCCTAGGCTCATCTTATTACTTCCTAGAATTGTTGTCAGCTAGTATGTGCACAAAGTATCTATACTGCTATGAAGTAACTACACAAAGCTATTGTTACATTTACTACATCTGACTATCTAGTACACTCTAACACCCGTCGACCTAGGAATAGCGCCACACGACAGCAGTGAGATGACAGCTGAGGAAACAAGGTCGTCTCTAGGAGCCCTCGCGGACGCAGCTGCTGGTGCATCAGATGAGTCGCTGGGATACGATAACGTCGGTAGCAGTGGTGCTCAAGACGGAGAATCATCATCATCATCTAGGTCAGTCACAGCTTTTGTGCAGACATTTATGCTGGGAAAGAAGCATCGTCAACGAGAGAGACAGCTGTCGAATGCAGCCGTCACCAGGAGTACAACTAGAAGGAGACTTGGATCTTATCTAGATCAGCCTTTACTTGTGAAGCGCGTCGGCTGTAGCACGCGAGGAAGCTTGACGGATCTGAGGATGATCCCGCAGGTTGCTTTCGTGCAACCAGGAGTGACATCACAGGAGAACACGGCTACAGATCTGGGTGCTTTGAGCTTCCTTCAGGAAGCATCCTCTGAGGCAGCGGAGGAAGAGGAAGAGGATGCTGATGATGATGATGATGAGAGTACCGCTTCGGACCGGGAGGAATCGGAAATGGAAGCTACAGAGGCTTCTAGCAATGGCAGTGACCACGATGAAGAGGTGGAGCATGAAGGCAGTGGCGAGGAGGAGGATTATGAGCAGAGGTACGACGACGAGGAGGAGGACCAGGCAGACAGCGAGGATAGTGAGATCAATGACGATCATGACGAGGAGGCTCAGGCAAGACTGATTGCCGCTAAACCTTCGAGCCTTACTAGAAAAAAGTCTGATGTGAAAGGCAAAGGAAAGGATAAGGATAAGAAGGAAAAGGACAACAACAAAAGGAAAACTAAGAACTCCTTCAAGTTCGCTGTCACCCCGACAAGTATAGGTATTTCCGGTCTGCAAAAAGACGCAACTCTACATGAAAGGGAGCATGAAGACGCGGCACCTCAACAGCTAACGCGGCGGAAAGCCTCAGGTAGTGGCTCTTCTAGTAGTAAAGGGGAGAAGGTTAAGGACAAGAAGGAGAAGAAGAGAAAGAGTAAGAACTCCTTCAAGTTCGCTGTCACCCCGACAACTATAGGTATTTCGGGCCTGCAAAAGCAAGCTACTCTACATGAGAGGGAACATGAAGACGCGTCACCGCAACAGCTAACCCGGCGTAAGGCATCACGGAGTAGTAATAAAGAGGAGCAGGATAAGGACAAGAAGGAGAAGAAGAGAAAAATTAAGAACTCCTTCAAGTTCGCTGTCACCCCGACAACTATAGGTATTTCGGGCCTGCAAAAGCAAGCTACTCTACATGAGAGGGAACATGAAGACGCGTCACCGCAACAGCTAACCCGGCGTAAGGCATCACGGAGTAGTAGTAAAGGGGAGAAGGATAAGGACAAGAAGGAGAAGAAGAGAAAAACTAAGAACTCCTTCAAATTTGCTGTGACTCCAACTACTATCGGCATCTCGGGTCTACAAACCAAGTCAACGCTCCATCAGCGATCACAGCCAGATGGCGCGAAGCTGAATAGGAGGAAGTCTAGCGAAGACGAGCAAAAGGAAAAAAGCACGTCCACCAAAAGTAAGAAGAGGACAGGAAAGAAGAGGTCAGGGTCATTCAAGTTTGCCGTAACTCCGACTACTCTATCCATTTCCGGACTGCAAACCGGATCCGCTGTTCAGAAACGACATCAATCTAGTAGCACATCTTCTGCAAGCAGACAAGAACATCTTCACTATCAACAGGAGTACGAACAAAAAGCACTCCGTCCGATGCTAACAGCTGAATCGTGTGCACAGCATTGCCGACTCTTCTATCCAGAGAGACCGTTTGCAGTGTTGTCAGACGATTTGCTAGAAGGCGGCTGCGGTTGTGCCTCGTACACCACAGATGTGGCAGAGGAATGCGCTTCGCATTTGACGCCTGTGGAGCTGTACCTGTGGTACACATGCGATGTGTGTGCTGCTGGGAGTGCATAGCCGCGGTAGTGTAATGCCAAGTTTTTGTAACCTAAAATCGAAACCTAACGACGCATTTTCACACAGATGAAGTGCTGTAAATACAAAGATGTTCTATGGTACCTCGTTGCTTGTCTAAATAAAAGTGTTAATCTTATTCTTTCCAATACTGTTCATCATCAGTTAAATATGCAACGGATTCTTGTTTCGATAGTCACGTCATCACCAAAAGTTTTTAGTTTTCTGTTTCGAATCGCCATTAGCTACAGCTGAGACGGAGGTTGATAAAAAAGGCTATAATTGTCTTACTAAAAAAGGTAAAGATTCACTTTACTGATACTCAATGTCAATCAAAAATTAATAATCCCACTGTTTTTGTCACATTTCCACAAATTAGCAGTTCCGAGAAAAAGGTACGCAGACAATGGCACAAAGATCGTTCGAGCGTGTCATCATTGTTTCACCACATTTCAAAAAGGTTTTTTTCGTAACATAGATGCGATGGTTTCGCTCGCTTCACTTAGTTTTGACATCCATCCCTGTAAACACATTGGTTCTCATCATCATATAGTAGGTAGTACAGTCATTTTTTTTGTCATGAACGTACGAAGTAAATTTTGATTCTAGATATATCTCCATAGTTTCATGCACAGAACACCGCTGCATGCTCCGCTGTTTTCAGCCGTTTTTTCTTTTTAAAACATTTCAGCGTTTCGTAGTGTTTCCTATCGGGATAATAGTTGTGTACAGTTTGGACAAATAGTACTAGTAGTGTCAAATAATGTACGAGAACGCGACCGCGCTCACAATTTGTCATGTAATCAAGATTTTCGGGGTAGATCAATGACTTTGCATCACCGAAAGGAAGATGGAACAAATCCAACGAGTGGGCTGCACTACTTAGTGAGTACGAACAAGTTCTCGGACCATCTTAGAAGAAAGTCGGTGTCCAGCATTACTAATTCTTGGTGAGAGTGCTAACACGAACATCGGTTAAATGTGTCCGTCGCACGAGTTAGGAATAGAACATGAAACAGGAAGTGCTATGTTAAAGGTCCATAAACGTATCGGTCACTACATGCAGCTCTCGCATGCTTCGGTTAATTTGATGGCATATCCAGCCTATACGCTCACTCCGTCACAAGTGAGCCCACTCCTATCCTAACCAAGTTAGATCTGAGCCTTGACATCCCTACTCCGACGAACTTTCAACCCCAAGACAATTCGCCAAAGTTGTCCCTTAGTCTTGCTTGTATTGCACATGTGTACAGTAAATGATCTCATCGAGAGAACATATCTATCCGTTGTCTATCATCTTCATCCTGCATTAAAAATGCTGATCAGGGTTGCACTGTAGTTGAGCTCATTGCCTCTTTTCCAACCCACGCACGTGTAGCAGGAGTACAGATAAAGACCGGAATAATAAGTACAACCACGCGGTTGATAAAACAGACTAGTACGTTCGTTGCAGTCGAAAAAGACACCACCCAGCCGAATACAAGTAAGTAGACTGAGTACCATCTTCACCACGACAACAAAGCAAAAAAGAATGGACACTGCTACTGGTTCTCCGCGTACACCCTCCGCTAGCTCCAGATTTGATCCGAGAGCATGGCCAACCCAAACGATATGGGAGGAAGACCGTGAGGATGAATGTCTAGGCCATGAAGGTGATGACATCCATCCATCCGTACCAGAAATAGACCAGATGAGCCACATGCTTCCACCTCCAGGCACACCATCATCATTAAGGCTACCAGAAATCCATCTTCACAGGCATCCTGAGACCGTTTCCAATGGGAGAAAGGTGCTAGGCTGCCACTCAAGATGGATTTCTCTTAGCTCTAACCTGACCCGACGAAGAAAATTATACCTGGAGTTCAGACACACAATCCTGTTCTGCGACGCATAGTGTCGCTGTTGCTGCTACAACTGGGAAGAAGAATACTTCCATTTTGCCGCCGATTCCGATATTGAAAGATGCGTCCAACTTCGTCCGTAAGGATAAGCAGCCACGACATGTAGTGAACGCTTCTAGTACAACTGGTGCGACTAGTTCTAGTTCTAGCAGGGCCTCTCCATATTGGGCCGCACCTGGAGTGGAGATTACAGAAGACGGACGTTTCGGTAGTCCACAAGAAAATGGAAGTTCTTCTTCTGAAGAACGAGGGGCTGAGGATCCAGAGCTCACCGGTCAAACCCCGCATGTGCATTTCACATTTTACAATGATTTAAGGCATGGAGCATAATTTTAGTTGCTGTCTCACGTACCTTGTACACAGAAATAGCATGTCGATCGTGTTGTCCAGACTGCTAGTCTTCACGTAGTCGGGGAGCTCTTTGGAGTAGAGTACATCTCCCTGAGTACTTTACTTTCCCACCTTTTTGGCTACTTACTAAAGATGTAAACGATTCAGTCAAAAATCATCAAGAACATCAATGATAATCTGGATAGTACCACGCTGACTTCTAACCAAAACCGGTTACGGAACGATGCATGACAGTCCGCGATACCAACCTGCAGATATGAAAGTAGTGAAGATTGACCACGGCTTCTCACGCGTACACAGAGAAGAGATGAGACAACCATGCTGTACCATGGTCGATATTACTGTGGGGTTTCTTTATGGAAAGTCATCAGGTGAACTACGCGAGTTTTTTTAGATGACTTGTTGATAGTTGCCCTCTTCTCTTTTATATCTTCCTCTGGTCTGTCTTTTTTCTAGTTAGGTCGGCTCCACCACATATATTATGAGTCGCACAAGAACCTCCTCCTTGCTTCTAGATGAGTGGGGTATAATAATGATTATTCTTTTTCTCACTGTAATGCAGTACTAGGATGCCGGTGCAATGTGAACGGGGATTAACAAGACCAGGGATTCATAATTTCATTGTATTTCTTACTTAACGTCAAAGCCATCTTCTTCAAAGCCACCTTCTTGAGGCCTCTCAGCATTGTTCGTCACCAGTCCCTCTCTCTTTTCCTTCTAATTACCAGACGTCTGTGCTATTCTTTTACCCTGGGTCTGCGCCTACTGGATCGGACCGAAGTGGTCCTATGCATGGTGGTGCTTAGTAATTGCAGGTTTATCGTCGATCGTTTGCATGGTGTTTCATTGTAGGGGATCTGAAGCATATTCCAGGTTTCTCGTACCAGGTTTGCTTCCGAAGATGATCTTCATTGTCACGTGGCTGGCAGCGGTATAACTATCGAAGATTTGGATTTTTTTCAAATGTGATTTCAATTTCTTATTAATTTGGTCATGTTTTTATGATCTTCTTGGGTAGTGATATCGAATTCTCTGTGCTGATGTCGTGATTTCTTTCTCTAAATTATAAAACTTGCTCCTCCGGCTCCGCGCCTCCTCCCCTCTCAAGCTCAAAGTCACGACATGATTCCCCGTCAATCTAGCTTCTATTCCAAGTCCCTGTTTTTCCCATCCGCTTAACTCAACAACAACCACATCTTCACTGATAAAAACTACAGATCTTTCTCTACTATCTTGGAAATACGTGCGTTACTGTTCCCCTGTTTGGGGAGAAACGAGATGCGATAGCCTTTGCCAGGAAGAGCCAGGGAAAGAGTTTCAACGAACAAGAGTTCTCCGAGAACTGGGATATTGCGAGGTTGAGAGTAATACGGAAATTCTGGATCGGACTCGGAGGAATTTATGAAGAAGTGATGCAAACTAGTAACATGTAGTCAACATAGAAAACTTCAACGTCTTGGGTTTTTCCCGCTTCGGGTTTGTTCTGAAGTTGTTCCGAAAGCGCGACGATTGGAAAATCTTCAGAACAAGAGAGTTAGTACTCATTCAACTCGACCACTTAGAGTTTCCTGACTTCTCGCTGCCAAATTCCATTCGGCTCTAATCCCCGCTAGCATTGCACGCCATCGGACTTACCATCTATTTCTACTGCGGGTACAAGCCGGTCACTGGCTACACCAGGATGCGACAGCGAAATCTGACGGTGCAGAACATCTAGGAGGTTCACCTGTAACCTAGGAACTTCTAGTGAGGATCAACACGGATGAGGATGTTCATCTGATGAAAACAAATTTACATTTGGAAGACAAAAATAGTGGTGATATCTTCGCATGAATATGCTGATGTTGCTGTCAAAGAAATTACTTACTACATACTTCTAGATATGCGCAATGATCATTTATTGATTAGTTGCTTGTCAATTCTTATTGGTAATTTGAGATGAACTATTCACATGCATTACTATTTCAAAGACAGCCACATGCACATCATTCAACAAAAAACCACATACACATTATTTGCTACATAAAATTCAACCACGTTTGTATTCCTCGGTATATTTATAACAAAAAGCATTGACAACTGTACGCAGTAGCACACCACATAAAAATTTTCTTAGATAGATTCAACCCTGTAACTAATTCATATTCAAACTCTTGTTCCGTCTAGTTCTACACCAATATTCCATCCTGTAACTCTGTTCAAATGTCTCTTTGTTCGTTTGGTACTAGTTTCAGAGCAATGACATTAGCAATTACGTCATCGTCGATACAACATTGTCATCACATACACATTATCCGTCGTTATCCCACATTTTGGTAGATCATCTTCATACATAGCTCCTTAATATACACTTATCAAAGTCCTTAAAATCTTCGTATCAACTTCTTCACATCAAATTGTTTGATAATCTCTCTCAGGTACGTAGAAGAATCTTCATGACTGCCCTTGTCTAAGGCCCTTGTCTAATACTCCCATTGAAAAAAGAAGCTTGTACATGTCAATGAACCCCATAACAAGGATGTTACCTAGTAAAATGCCCTCCTCCTGACCCGTGAAAAAAGACAAAGAGATACTTCCGTAGAGCACGTGATGCCTCTACTTTGGTGCAAACCTAAACTGGTGTTGCAAAAAGGAACCACGATTGCTTTCTCCCAGCTGGAAAATTGTAAAAATGGCTTCTGAGCAAATACGGCAAAAAACCGGAATACGTATCTATTAAGAAAGTGCTCGATGATGATATGATAGCTCGTACTTAGAAGTGTGTCCTGGTACTTAGCTTTTCCCTTTTTCAAAAAAACAACATTTCTTTCGAAGGTCCGGATGTAGTTCTTGGTGCTAGACCAACAAGCACCCTCCACCCACACAAAAAAGATGCCTTCTCCCTTAAAGGAACGCGTTCCAGGGCGCGCGGCTCGCGCATTCTCGCTTCAAGGACGTCCTAAAGCTGATTTGGAAGCGAAAGCTGAGGAAGTCAAAGCGGTAGAACAGTCTGCAACTACGAGGACTGTATCTTCGAAGACAGAAGAAGCGCCTGCATCGACTGTAGTATACAGTTGTACTTCGAAAGCGGTGGAAGCTGCTTGTTTATCTTCAAAATCAGAACAAGCGCCTAGTAGTACCAAAATCACTCCAGAGCAGACAGTCCGTAGTCGATCCTCGGAGGACTCTCCGACTAGCGCTTTATCGTCACCAGAGTGTCCGCGGGGGGGGACGGTCTTGTTTTTCGATGGTGCAAGGCGGTTACAGAGCAGCGAATCCACTATGGGAACTGGTGGAACTAAAAGAACAAGTAGCAGTACTAACGCAGTTGTGAAAAATGCAGTACTAGAGAAGGATAAAGAGCGTTCAACAAGCACCTCCACATCGAAGACTTCGATACCAGACGAAACAACTGTGAAGACATCAACTGTGGAGACATCATCACATGGATATCAAGCTGCAAATTACAGTAGAACAACTGTGAAGACATCAGCACATGGAAGATATCAAGCAGCTACAGATAAAAATAGTCTTGCTGCCTCGCCTCCAATGAGTCTAATCGCCTCACCAGAACAGGTGCAGCAATATCTTCGAGTGAATGCCTCACTGACGAGTCCAGCTGCGTTTTCACCCGCAGAAGTCTTCGACATCGCGACACCTGCAGGTTGGCGTGGCGAGAGTCAGAAAGGTGCAATGAGAACTGCTTCTTCTAGCAGTGCAACTAAAGAGCCAGAAGTAGCGAGAACAGCGAGCAGAACAGCTTCATCGTCCTCAACATCAAGTGCGCATAAGAATGAGGACAGGAAGAGCGTCGACACCCATGAAGATAAGAAGGACCGTGATGGTCAAACGCAAGATCAGGGTCAGTCTTCTTCTTCCACTTCAGGACTATTGTCTAGAGCTGATAGCCTTGATTATGATCGGCGAGCTGAGGATCGCCTTTCCTGGATTATGGACGACGCTTCAGGAGTCGGAGCTTCTACTTCTATAGCCTCATATATCAAGGCGATTCATAGCTCGGTCAAGAATACTGGTTTTTCGCGGCCCTCTAGGGGTGCAGTGATGTCTCTGCAATTTCCGTCAGGGACTTCGTTTGCAACAGCTGACTCATCCATTGGTATTCCAGCGGGGGTTACCACAGTACATTTAGAAGAAGAGGGGGAGGAAGAAGGAGAGGAGGATGTGAAAGACCAACATGATGTAAGACGTAACAAGGAAAAAGAAGATGAAGAAGGACCACAGCCTATGAACTCCTCGTCTTCTACAGAAGTTACTTCAGGAAGTACAACAAGAAGTAGTGCAACAAGTGGAGGTCAACAAGATGCTGCAGGACAAGAAGGCCCATCTTCCCGCAGCACGACAAAGGAGGGCCCACGGGATCCAGATGAGGTGAGTGCGATCGAAGTAAACGAGCCACGCCTTTCCGCAGTTCCCTCGGAGGCGAGAGTCTACCATCAAGTAGATATATCCACGAAGAGCTGCGGGACGAATTTCGTTTCAGCTGCTTCAAGAGCAGCTGCAACGGGTCACGGAAGCAAAGAGTCTAAAGAACAAGTAGGCAAAGATCCGTCTTCGGTCAGTTGTAGCGCACCTCAATTCATGCAGGTAGCGCCTGTTCTGACTGTTGTGGGTGACCCTGGTCTTGAGGACTCCTCCTGTAGTGCCTCAAGTGCTTTATTACCTACCATGCCAACGTCCCGAGAAATCTTAGACGAGCTAAATGAGGCACGGACTCTCCGCTCCGGAACCGCCATCGCTGCAAGGACTAGTGCTGCGTCAGTAGACCCGTTTCCTCTCAGTGAATGGAATAAAGTGGACTTGGTAACCGGAGGAAACTTCTGTTCCATAGATTCTAGAGGCAGTGGTCTACGGTCTGGTTGGGTGCGGGGCGTCGGTGCGTCTTCTTCCTCTCTTCTCCCCGCTGAAGAGCCACCACCCGAGGAGGAAGAACAGCAAGAGTGGCATGAGCCTTTGTCTCGACCGTCGAGCGTTAGCCCGGCAAAAACACCTTCCGAAAAACGCTATGGTGAGGTTGTAGCAAGGGCACGAGCAGCGGCTTCTTCATCTTCTACGAGCAGTAGTGCTAGTAGGATTGGTGGATCTGAAGCTTCGCAAGTGCGCTTCGAGAGTTCACGTTTAGAAAGGTGTTCCTCTTTGGCGGGTACCACAGATGTGGCGTCAACAGAACAAGACCGCACGACAATCTATACTAGAGAACCTGAGCCTCCAGGTCCAGTGTCTTCTTCTAGCTCCTCCGCGGCCTCGCGTATCTCCAATACGTTTGAAAAACACATCAAGTCCACCGCGGGTCATAATCCAGTAACATCCACATCAGACGAATCCTCTACAAGTACAACATCAATAAACCCAGAAATAGCACTGCGACGATTGCGTGACGAACTGAGACGAGAACGCGATTTAAGGTTTGCGGCCGAAAGTCGGTGTAGCCAACTGAGGGCGGAGGTGCAGCGTCGACAAACTGCTCAGGTCGAACTCACACAGCGTCTCCGCAATCTCGAGAACAGCCAGTTGCCGCGTCTCGCGAGAGAAGTGAAGTTATTGTTTGGTTGAAAAATTTGTATTCCGGAATTTCCAAACCTAGAAACAACAAGAAAGTCACTGATGACATAAAAACTATTTCCTTCTCTAAACGAAGGCCTCACAGTCGCAAGAAATACTCTGGAAAGAGAGGCTCTAGGACTACGCAAATCTCTCGCAGTATACAAGGACCGTTACGAAGGACAGCTAGATGGGCAGCAAGACTTAGTCAGAGAAGCGGAGACATTGATTATGGCATGTGAAGAAGTGTCAGAAGAAATTCGATAGGGTGTGAAGTTTGCGTATGAAGAAATTCGAGTCCATTTTTTGGTCACTTTATCCTTTCCAATACCTATGGAGGCGCGCTTCTTCTAAGACAAGGACCGAAAAGGCAGAGGCGGACCGACGGGCAGCGTTTTTCAATGAGCGAGTGGACGAGACTATGGCAGAAGCCGCGTCTTTGCGTGCGGATCTTTTAGACCTCAAACGTGCAGAGAGTGACCGGTACAAGAGAGGAGAGAGCATGGCAAGGAGTCGCATTTCGGGTTTGGAGCAAGATCTGGCGCATGCAGAGAGTAGGAGGTATTGCTATTGCGTTCAAGTGTCACTGGGTGCCGTTCCTGCAGGTATAAAGACTATAAGCTCATATTTTTTAGAATTCCGAGTAGCACACTTGTTTATATGAACTCTACACCTCCAACATCAACTTCCCTCAGTGTCCGCCTTTCCGGTTCTCTTGCTGCTGCGCAAAAACAACTCGAAGAAGCTAATGTAATGCACAGTCAACAACAGGCCGCAATAAAGCAAAACCATGACCGCGAGATCACAAGTCTGACAACGCAGCTAACTGAAATGAAAGCTGAGTTTTTGTCTCGTGCCAAATGCTTAGCTGCCGAAAACGAACGCCTTGTGACGCAAGTTGAGGCTTTGCGGAGAACGAATGCTGCTAACGCGCACATGCACACAACAGCACCATCAAGTGGCATTGCGCTCCAGCAGAGAACAGCCGGCGGTCAGCATGATCTTGATGATGTGTTTTATGGCAAGAGTCTAGAGAAATTCTTGAAACAGCCATTTCGTAGTCCATAACTGTGAGTAAAAAGAAGTAGATTTCTTGTTCAAAAGATTTCCTCTTCAAGTGAGACGTCCTCCTTGACTCCCCATTGATTACGTTCTCCATCTCCACCTTCTAACTCCCACAACAACTACACGGCGCCGAGCTGCGCATTTGCGTTTTGGAACAAGAAAAAACATTACTAGCCGATGAACTTTCCGAGTGGAAGGAAGAGAGGATGCGCAATCTGCAAGCTGTGAAAGAAAAGGCCGCTTTGTATGAAAAGCGGCGATTGGAGACGAAGCAGTCGCGACACCAGTTCGAACGCATGATGCTACAAGCGTCGCAGAAGTCGTGATAGGACTTCGAGAGAGGAGTACGCTTACTTCAGGTTGAAGTTGCTTGTTTTATAGATTCACTTTCTTGTATCTATCGTAGAACTTGTTCTAATTGAGGACAATGAGAATTACATGTTGATGTTAGACGACACCGACGAGATGACAGTTAGATCGTCGCACCAGTCGTTTATGTCGCCCAGCACATTTCTGACGCATTAATCTTTCATGTCGCCAGGTGAAGAAGGACACATCAACAAGCCAGTGACTCTCTCGTACTAGCAAGGTGTGTTTTCGAGTCACCAGAGAGAGTGATGACCAGTCGAACAATCGGTCTTCTGAATGGCAACTGAGAATCTGATCTCGAAGAAGAGAAACTGAGAGAAGAGCATGCATCTCAACACCGCCCAAATTCCAGCCACCTGCGAAACCTCCCTCAAGAACTCAACGTAATCACCCATACTAGATGAGTGATGCGTAGTGTTGTAGAGATTATTTATAGTAAAAACTACATTCTACTGAGGTTGAGCAGACGTAGTTTATTATGGAGTGTTGATTTTAATTTACATTTCTGCTTACTAGTAGTACATTATCTAATCTTAGTTTTCCTTCCCCATCAAGTAGATATGAATCAATCATTTCAATTAATGCACATGTCAGGATCTTTCCATCTTCAAAATTCAACCTACTACTGCTCGTTGATAGGTATCGGGTGGGAAAAGTGGAAGTAGTTGTTAGGGTTTAGTTGAGCTCAATGGAGGATGAGCGTCGTTTGATGCTCATCCTAAACCACTTATCTACGAACATCGTATTTGACGCCTCTAGGATGCAATGAAAATTGAAAGCAAGAATCTTCTAGTCCCTCACAACGTATTAAGTACAGGTACAAGAACGAAGAAGATACAAATATGTCCTGCTTCATGTCCTTGTAGATCATTTTGGTCCTCTTCTATACGTGAGGTTCTGAGGTCCTCTCCGTCTACTATCGACGTCGCGCCGCACGCGCACTATCACGACAGGCTTGCTTCTTCCAAGAAAAACGAGTAAAATCTTAACGGGCACCTGTTTGACAACTACATCGACCGATAGCAATAGCACCGACAAGCGGCCAATGCTAAGCAACAACATCTTCGCAGTAGTACAACCACGCAAATTAGTACAACGACTGTATAAAAACGACTTCTAATACGGAGCAGATCCACGACACTAGACGTGCACGATCCACGTTCCCACTACTCACCATACAGAAGTACTCTCGGCTACCTATACTACCTACTTTGCGATATCGACGATAGTCCTCCAGACCAACTACGTACAGTGTGCTGTCATCGACGTCAAAAAGCAAGTATGATTCCACAGTATCTCCTTCTTCCGCAGAAGATGCTTCTAAAACAGTCTGCTAGCATCTCAAGGTCAACATCGACTATCTCAAGGGCAGATGCCCACTAATTATACGAACGTTAGGCCGAAAACTATTGGCGCCAAGAGGTGGCCGGATCATTCGCTTGCGTCTTTATGACTCTTGAACTTGGTTAACTTTCATCCATTCATCGTTTCATTCTCTCCCTAGTGTAGTTTAAGGCTAGACTGGAAGAAATGGAATCTGTTTTTACAGGTTAAACTCTTAATCATGAGTCCTAGAATGGAACGTGTTACAGGTTAAACTCCTAGTCATCAATCCTAAAGTACTCGCACTAAAAATGATTGACGACATTCTTTAAGATCACGCGGTAGCTCACAGGAGGGGGTGGATTGCAAAGGGGTGGAGTCATTGTCAGTGGCCGACTTTGAAGTTGTTTCGTCGACAACCATCTCCCAAGAACACGGCTATTTAAGACGAAAAGATAGTACAACGGGTACTCTGTCTGATACTTTGCAATCTTTCTTGCTTCAAGGACAATCTCGTCCCAAGAGTTGTCAAATGGTGTCAACTCGGAATACATAGTGCGTGGTAAGAGTTTTCACGTTTTTTAGTAGACAGCTACAACATGGATCATGATTGCCGCTTCGAGTTTGAAGATTTTTTGTTGCCCTTCAAGGAATTTCAATTTTTTATGTTTATCCTCGAACAAAATATACATAGGTACAACAGGCAGTTTAAAGTCCCCGGAGCGGAATCAACAGGCAAGAGAGTCACAGGGGGACCACGTCGTGGGCAAAAAAAGCGCCGCCGAGGCTTTGGTGACGGTACTTTTGTTTGAAAATACTAGTGCGTATTGCATAAAGTTTGACTAAAATAAACTCCTGGAGATGTAGTTCTTTGAGCCGATGGTTATTGTTTTCAGAAGCCTTTTTGTCCAAGCGAATGCATTACACGACTTCGATACTGGCTGCAGTCGCACTTCCTTCCTCGAGAGCCTGGTGCCTTTTCTTCTATTCTTTCTTCTACAAAAACTTTCTGATCTTGCCTCCTTCCACCTCTGCCACAACAACATGCTAATACTTTCTGCTTTCTTGCCTACTCGACAAGCATCAAGCTCAACCATGCCAGCTGCTGCGACAATTTCCACAAAATTACCTGCTTCATGAAGATACTATCGCTCCAGGCACTGCGTAAAGTATTTGATTGCCTGAGTCCTCATCTCCTACTGCGTGTATAGGAAAATAGTCAAATTCCTATAAGAAGCTAGTCCATACTTGCAAACTCGCCGATTTTACTTCCAGGCTCCGGCGACAAGTACTGAAAATATAAGTACTTACGAAGATAGTGTCACACTGTATACAAGGATAAGATCTTACTCTTCGTGATCAGATCTAAACCCATCACTCTGTATTGTAGTTTACTTGGCTTTACGTGATCCGTAGAAGAGATTTTCATACGCGTTAGAAAAAACGCAGGATTATGATGCATGAGATCACAATAAGAAGAAAGATCATAATGGAGAAGAAAATGGAGTAGCGAAGATCAAAGAGCAAAAGAAGATCCAAGATCACAACATGATAAAAAGCATGACGATCGTCCCCAAAAGAGGGATCCTTGTTTTCCGTTGTAGCTCATGAAATACCACAGCGAAATACCACAGCTGGTTCTACTTAATACAAAACTTAAACTTATTCTGAGAAATATCTCACTTCACCTTGATTCATATATTACTTCGAAAGATCTTAGTCCTTCCTCACTATCTACCTTATTATTTAATCCATCTCAAACCAAAAGCAGGGGTGGGGATAATTGTTTTGGCTTGGTTTTGACTTCTCTAATCCTTCGATTATAACGTAGCGGTTAAAGTAACTTTTATGATTTAGTTCGTCTTCGTTGTGCCATGATTTGCTAACGCGATTACCTTCTATTTGATTGCCCATATTTTAGAAATTGCCTTGTTTTGTCCCTCTGTCTGACCGACCTAACCTCTAGACCTTTATAGCCTATCTACACCTTTTTTTACAGCCACCATTCAGTAAACTTATCATGGACCTGACTCCTTCTACAAGATTTAATCTTACGGTCGTAGTCTCCCATTTCTTGTCACTAGTACTATAGAAGACCCGATACTTCTCCTGTATCCCTATCATCTCAGTCCTATCATATTGACCTCGCCTAAAGTACTACCTATATCGAAATCGCCCACTGTAATGAAAATTAGAAGTGCGTTAATTTGCTGTCTCTGTTAAAGAAATACTCCCGTGAATACCTGCTCTTTTTTGATACTGGCTTTTTGATGCATGCCATACTCCCTGTGAATAGAAACCAACCTGTAAGAACTCGATATTGATGAATGGATTATCTAAGGTAGAAGATACTGTGATGACCGCCGACACCTTGTTGTAATATCAGGACTCAGGACGACGAACTACCAAACTCCTCAGGTAACGTATAAAATATATTTGTTCCCACGCAACGTACAAGCACTAGAATGTCTCTCCCGCTTATCATTCTTTCAAGTCCTAATGATTTGTTGCCCTCGATCTAGCTAGTAGCCAGGACCACCCGTGATACAGAGTTTGATGATTGATCTTCGACAACCCAAGACGACATCTAGTGCAAAGACGTATCTTTGGTTCGAGCCCGTAATAAGAATGATTATGCTAATATTTACATGCCCAGAAAGCGGGCCCATCAAGGGCCCGCTGCGCTGGGCATAGGTTAACAACTAGACAGGTTGACTACTAAGAGACAGAAAGACAAACGAAAAAAGTCGCCAAGGAAGTCTGCTCGCCAAGGCTGGGAAGCTGGCCCCCACTGTGGCGAGGCTAGTGAGGAGGTTACCGCTATGGCTACTGCCTTGGCCAACTTGCTTGCTAGGGGCAAGCCAATGGGCGCCAAGGCTGGCCCGCTGAGCGTCATGGAGTCCATGAGAAGGCCACGCTTGGACATATGTAGGCGCAGAGGTTGGGCCCTTTTGAGTGTGATCATGTCCAGGAGAATCCTAAAGCATAGCATACCCATGGGATGGCAAAAGGCTGACACTGGCGAGCGTCATGGACGAGGCCCATGAGAAAGCCACGCTTGGGCATATCTATGCGCAAAGCCAGAAGCTGGGCCCCAACCTTCAGGCGCGGGGATGTGTCTATAAGGTTGGCTCTTTCATGGACATGACGCAAGACGCCCACCACGGTCCGCGCCGGCCTCAGACATGCAATTGCCCAAAGTTATCATTCTCACACACAGGCATCGACGTCCTCAGCCTTCAGCCTTCACCGACGGAGATGCATGCGCCTGGCCTTCTCATGGACATGATGACGCCCGCCAGGGTCCACCCTTATCTACTTTTTCACAGACATCGGCATCCCCAACGGCTTCGACTTTCACAGGCAAATCTGTATACCTTTGGCCCTCTCATGGATGTGATGACGCTCACCAGGGTCCACCCTTCAGACACGCAAGTGCTCAAGGCTATCACCCTCACAGACATCGACATCCTCAACAGCTTCGACTTTCAAACGCAGAGACGTACATCTTTGGCCTTCTCATGGATATGATGATGCTCACCAGGGTCCACCCTTCAGCCATGCAAGTCCGCACGGCTATCATTCTCACAGACATCGACATCCTCAACGGCTTCGACTTTCAAGCGCGAAGATGTATACCTTTGGCCTTCTCATGGATGTGATGACGCTCACCAGGGTCCACCCTTCAGGCATGCAAGCTCTCACGGCTAGGGCTATCATTCTCACAGACATCGACATCCTCAACGGCTTCGACTTTCACACACAGAGATGTATGCTCTTGGTCCTCTCGTTGATATGATGACGCTCACCAAGGTCCACCCTTCAGACATGCAAGTCCTCACGACTATCATACTCACAGACATCGACATCCTCAACGGCTTCGACTTTCATGCGCAGAGATGTATATCTTTGGCCTTCTCATGGATATGATGATGCTCACCAGGGTCCACCCTTCAGACATGCAAGTCCTCACGGCTATCATTCTCACAGACATCGAGGCAACATCCTCAACGGCTTCGACCTTCACGCGCAAAGTTGCACACCTTTGGCCTTCTCATGGATATGATGATGCTCACCAGGGTCCACCCTTCAGACACGCAAGTGCGCACGGCTATCATTCTCACAGCCATCGACATCCTCAACGGCTGCGACTTTGAAGCGCCGAGATGTATGTCTTTGGCCTTCTCGCGAATCAATATGATCACGCTCGTCAGCCTCTACCTTTTCAAGTGCTCACCCTCTCCCTTACAATTCTCCCGCTTTTGTGCTGGTTAGAAGTATACTGGTCAACCATCTCCAAGGGCTGCCGCGCGCTCCTGTGCCGTGGTCGATTGCTGTGCGCGGAAGGTAGTCGCGGAAGGGGAGCGAGCTAACTTTTTTCCAAAAACTTCAGGGAGGTCGTTCAGTTTTCTCTGTATTTGAATGACCTCCCTGAAGTTTTTCAAAAAAAGTAAAGGCGCTGGGCGATATATGACAAGGGTAGCGGTTGGAAGTTCGTTGGGGCGATTCGCTAGGGGTGGGCGCGTAGTGTCTTGCTGCGGATGTGGCTGGTGTACGTGAGTAGCCTACAAACTAACAGCCGCGAACACGTTAGCACGTTCTTGACACTTTTGAACTCGTAGTACTAGCAAGGTCCTTAAGGAGCCGTTGTTATTAGCCCAAGTTTATAACAGCTTGTCCTTAAGGGACCTCCTTAAGGGAATTTTTTTCCTCTTAAGGAAAGTCATAATAACTTTGTATAATAAAAATTCCTTAAGGAAACTGATTTCCTTAAGGAAGCGCCTTAAGGAAGCTCCTTAAGGGAGCTCCTTAAGAGATTTCTGCCCATTGCTAATACTATAAATACTAATATCGCGCATTTTTTTTTCATGTTCTTGTTCTTGGGTATGAGTTGTTTACAGGTTGTTTAGGATTACCTCCTCTCTGAGTCAGTCCAGCCTGCCTCTGCCTGAGTGGCTGCTACTGTCTTAGTACCTGCTCCTGTGGTCCGAGTTGTAAGTACCTTCTAGAGTCTAGTAGCGGTATTAACGCAAGTCCTCCTCAGTACCAGTAGTAAGTAGAAAATCCTTCTCCCGTGATCCCTCTCGTGATATTTTGGGGTAGGTGTCAAGAAAGATTCGTTTCGTTTTTCATTTTCGTACTTCTAGGTGGTAAAAAAAACTACAGCACAAGCTGACTAACGAACCGTTTCTGTCATTCAAGCACGACCGTCTGACTTGTTATTGAGATTTGTACCCGCACATCAACACTAGTTCTTGTTGTGGAGCATACAACTATTAATTTAGTAGAATCTATTCTCGCATGTATTGATACTGATCGAAAGACTTAATGTCCACGTTTACTTGTTGTGAAGAATTTGTAATGAAGCATAGGCTGATCATCCCGTGCTTTCCCGAGGTCGTATAGGTTCACGAGCAAGGTAATCAGTGGACCTTGTCTCAGCTGTGCCCAACCGAAGTAGCTCACGCTGTCGAGTGAAGCTATACCTAATCTTCGCCACGCCGTCGCACTTAGCGTCCTGGCCGAAGCGAGAAACCCTTGAACTTGAACTTGAACAACTATATTCTTATCGAGATAAACTATAACCTCGTTTCTATCGTCGGAGCCACTAAGCTGCCATTGCTTGCACCAGGAGCTTGCTACATTACGTATGCAACAAACTAGCTGACCTACTTGCAACTGTGTAATGCTGATCATAGTAGTGCATAGAGTTTCTTAAGTCATATGCCTAAGGCGCCCTTAATTCCATCTCGAACGAATCAGATATAGTTGCAAGAAAGAAAAACAAAAACTATTGCAGGTACTTACACCACTAAATAGAACGTAAGAATCAAAAAGTGCGCCATCTATCATAGTCTCGTAGGTACAAGTCTAAGTTCTTCATCTTCTTCTGAAGAGAAACTGCCTAATATATCCTCTGCTAAGCTAGTTGGAACAAGGATCGTCGCGTTCTTTCGTTTGCTTTCTTTTGCCCTTCAGAACTATTTCTACCATTCTCAAGCTAGTAAAAGAAGCGCCTAGCTAGAAGACTCTGATAGAGTTCCAAATACTTAAGAGAATTCTTGGAGTCTACTTCTTTACCCTCTGGAGTACTTCTCAAGACTGCTTTTCCCTCTCGAGGAGTACTAAAAACCTCTTCGCGACAAGTGAAGGAATCAAGAACCACGTTTTTCTTGATCTTTCTTCTTGACACGACTTTCTGTCCGAGTGGATTTCTATTTGATACTCTGCTTCCCCGTCTCTCCTGTCCCCGGCTTTTTACTCCGCTGCAGGGTCCTTTACAAGCGCAGAGATAGAGAAGAGAAGATGTTGGGGCAGCACGGCCACTCGTCTTCTAAAAAAGGGTCGGGAGGTACTCCCTCTCGAAAACAAGAACAGTCTGAAGGACACGCAATGCAAGAAACGCAAACTACTACGGGACAAGATCCAGCATTACCAGGAGGAGATCTAGTTGTATTACAACATCAAGCTCCTAAAACTTCAGCTCTTGATCTACTGGTACAAGATTTTCATATCGACAGTTCAAGAAGTACAACCGCCGGCGGTGGGAGTGCTACTCCCTCCACTAGTGCTGGCGGCACGACTTGGTGGAGCTGGGTGACAAATTCGACACAGGACACTAGTTGTAGCACGTCTAAGTTCATGCAGGAACAGGGTCAGACGCTTTTTCAAGATGATCACAATAGAAGCAGTACTGGGCACTCCACAACGCCTTCTTGTGAACACAAGAATGCTGAAAGTCGTGCCTCGAGATTACGGAATTTGTGCCGAACTATGTTCACCAGCATGCGAGCGAATCCTCTTAAAACGGAGCATCATCATGAAACTTCAGCATCACAAGACGATGCTGAAGAAGAAAAAGTCGAATATTATGTTGGAGAAGATGAAAACGAAGACTCCTTGAAGATTCCCTCTCCCATGCGAGGACCGAAGTTGCTGAGAACCAGATCCTTGAAGTTCTTCGATGAGGTCGAAAACACGCACCTGCAGATGAGGATTGCACAACAAGGGCATCAAGGTCATCAAGGATCTTCTTCTAAGAGTCCACCTGGTGAGTCGAGATATGCGCCTAATCCAATGCTTCTTCCTGTAGAGCACGCTCATCCACTTCCTCCAGGAAATAAGCCACATCGTGTGATAAGTGTGTCCTCTTCTTCATCCTCTTCCATGTTTCGCACTGCGAGTAACGGCTCTACTTCTGCACTGGTTAATATCAGCCCTGGTGCGACGCGGCTCGCGAGGACCTCGACGACCACGGGTTCGATCCGGAAGGATTGCAATATACTCGTCGTTGCAACTACCCCTGCTAGTGGTGGTGCTGTGGATGTTGATGCAGCTTCAGCTACTGAGTCCAGTTCCAGTAAAAATGTTGTCACATCAGGAGCTGCTAGTTGTTCATCCAGCGAGGCTATTGTTCCTCCTGCTGTCGAAGACGTGGAGGACGTGGATCAAAGCACAACAACAATGGTGGATCGTCCTCGCACCGATAGTGAAAATCATGCAGAACTCGTGAAAACCTTATCTGTGATATCAAAAACTACTCGCGACGGAAAAAGGATGCTTCCTTCCGCACCATCTACGAGCATCAGCGTTCATCATGCAGCCACTTCGACTTCTTCTAAGAGGACTAAAAGGGGGCAAGAAAGAAATGGCAAGAATTATAAGGAAGCTTCTAAAACAACTAGTTGTACTAGTGTTGCTTTTGCTTCTAGTCCTAGTACTGCGAGGAGCAACAAAAAGGTAGGAGACTCTAGTACAACTTCTACATTGATGTCTCTGGCGGAGAAAAAAGAGGGACAAGGAAAACAAGGTGAGGAAGACGCACAGAAGTCGAGAGGACAAGAAAAGTTTCGACTTGTAACATCCAAGGGAACTACGACGATCAATTCCGAAGTAGAGCTAGAGCAGCCAGGTGTTACAGCCGCAAAGATTGCCAGTGCTCTTTCTCTTTTTTCCCGGAAAACGTCAGGTTGTCAAGAGCGCGGACGTCAACGAGGGGGCGCAGACCACTGCACGTCCACTTCTTCTTGGACTTGTAATAGTACGAGTGGCAAGCAACAGCAAGCTTCAAAAGGAGGCACTACTAGCAGCACTACTAGGAGCTCGACTAAGCCAAGGAAGAAGAAGAACTACCTTGTCGAGAACTCAACATCCAGTACGGTTCTATCGCCGTTCTTTTTATCGTCGTCGATAGACGTTCCGGAAGATCATGACCGCGAAGATGACATTATACACAAAACAATCATGTTTTTAGACGATGCAGATTATGTACGTGGTCCTCGTGAAAGAACTGATGAAAGTGGAGTAGCTAAAAAGGGCAAGAAGAACGAAGGTCTTATTGCTACTAAGGAAAGTGGAGACCACGACATCGTAAAGGGCAAGAACACGACAAGTAATAATTCTCGTGCTGCTGGACCTCGAGGAGAAAAAATAACTTCGACTAGTAAAAATATTGCTGGAAGCTCAAGGGACAATACTCGAAGTGGCTCCATGTCAATGAACAATACGCATACTCCGCATACCGGTGCTTCGACGAGCAAGAGCAGAACGACTTCTGCGGCAGAAGCAGGAAAGGGAAGCAAGAGCACTTTGGGGACTTCTGCCACACCAGGAAGACTTCTACCAGGAGAAGAGGAGAAGGAGAAGGCGGAGCAGGAAAACTATAAGGGAAAGAAGGGAACACGTCGCCAACATAGAGGAAGCAAAGACGTCAACAAGAGCAGCCGCACCCCTAGTGAAACCATGTCGAAGAACGAAACAATGTCGATGATCCACGAGTGGTGTAGGAAGAATCATAGTAGAAGTCGAAGCTTTGCTAAGATGAAAGGAGTCGCTCTTTTGCAGTTAGAACCGATGCTTGCTGGGCAACTGCAGACCGACCAGAACGAGCCAGATGATAGTACAACAGAGGACAAGAAAAATACCAGTGCTAGTTGTTGCGACCTCATCATCGAACATGTGATAGAAGGGCGACTGGGCGGCAGAGATCCCTCCACGTCTTTTCTTGGGCTACAAGGCAAAGCTAGACTTGACCCTTCACGCAAACACCAGTTCGGGACACAGTATCACGGTGGCAAAGAGCGCAATTGGTCTCAAGAAGGCAAAGCTTCTAAAGGATCTGGGAAGATGAACAGCAGTGATCTGGCTCGTGATTCCAAAGGATCGGGATCTGCTTCAGAAGGAAAGAACGACAAAAACAAATCTGCTACTTCAGCAGCGTCGTCTCCTTCAATGACGCTCAACAGCACTCCTCATAGTAGTACGAGAACTTCTGCGAAAGCTAAACAAGGACACCTTTCTCGATCTCCTACACCAAAAGGAAGTCCGCAGACGCGCAGTCTTCGTTCGTCGCCCACTCGCTTCCCTCCGATACAAGAAGAAGGACAGCCCGATGCGGGGAAGGGAAAAAACCAAGGCCAAGGCGCTTCTTCACCTCAGAATCAGACGAGCAATGTCTTTTGTCTCGCTGACATGCTAGATTGCAGCTCTTCTGCTACTAATACTTCTAAGAAAGGAGCTCCTTCGCCTCGTCCAAGGATGGAATCTTCTCCGCCGCCTCCGCCACCCTATGAGGCGTCGCCTCAATTGCCACCTCTACTTGGTCCTCTAACCTCTGCTTCTAATATAGGCGGAGTGCCTTTATCAGGAGGGCAGTTAGGAATGCCAACGCCTTTAGCAGGAGGGCAGTTAGGAATGCCAACGCCTTTATCAGGAGGAGAATTAGGGTCATTAGGATTGCCTCCACCTGCTCCAGGAGAATTGGCATTAGGATTGCATCGACCTGCTCCAGGAGAATTGGCATTAGGACTGTATCCACAGCGAATACCTCCAAATCCGAATCACGGAGATCAAGACTCTGAGGTAGACGAGTCTGTCTCTTTGCTGCTAAAAAACTGTGCTCCATTGCCGCCTTTAGATACGCCTACTCTGTCGCATCAACAAATTCCTCACAGCTCTACTTGCTTTCCACCTCCTCTTCCTGGTCGTATGCTGTCTTCTACTACTGCAATGCCGTCCTCGGCCTTGTTGTCAATGGTGTTGCCATCCCCATTGCCGTCAACTATGCCTCAGCCACAGACTATGCTACAGTCGATGATGTCTCAGCCCTCGGCTCCTGTGCTACCGCCAACGATGTTGCAACCTGCATCGACTATGGTCGAGCCGCCCTCGGCATCCAGCACGTTACAGGCCTCGAGGGAAGATGCAGCTGGGCTCTCGACTGAAGATGGAGTTGAGCCTCTAGCTTCTACGGTTCGCGGTTCGTCTCTTCCAGGCTCTCGTCCAGACTCGCTACAGATGTGCGCTAACCAGGACCAAGACGTGCTGAATCTGTTAGCGACCATGTGTCAGGATGAAGCAAGTTTGAAGCATTTATTGCAGATTTTGCTAAACGGCAGTCTCCCAGCAATTACATTATTCAAGAACCTCCATCAAGAGTCTCTATTTGCTGGTCTCCAACAATCTCAACACCAGGATCTGCAACCAGAGGTCGAAGCAGCTGCCAACGACAAAGTTCTTGCAGACGAGCCAAAAGGAGCTGACGAGGACGATCGAGTAAATATAACCGCATCCGACGAGGTGGAGCCACGAACTTCTTCTAGTTGTTCAGTCTCTACAGAGGTTCTTCCACAACTACATTCTCAAGAAGAGCAGACTCAAGAGCAGACACGACAGGTAAAAACATCATTTTCTTCTCGCGCCACGTCGCCTAACACCAAAAAGCAACAACAAGGAGAAGAAGAAGAAGAAGAAAGTCCTTCTAGTACTCCTAAGTCTTCCGGTCGACCCGCTAAATCCCCTAAAAAGACGAAGAAGAACAGAACCAGACGTCCCGCAATTAAGGAAAAACGTATACGTACAAAAGATGACAAGGAAATACACAGCGCCATTCAAGATCCTGCGAAGGAAGTAGAGGTGGAGACGCTCCAAGAAGTGACCAGTGGCCAAAGTGTCAGGGAAGTCAGGATATATCCTAAGAAAAAGAACAGCAGTCGAGGAAAGTCTTTGTCTTCGCTGCTTTCTGGTGAGTCTCACGAACACCTGGATGAAGAATGTCTTGCACAACAAGCACAAGAAGATGAAACTCTGGTACAAGATGAAGAATCTGCGTCCTCCTCTTGGGCAGGAGAGCACATCATGACCACGACTACCATTACTCCATCACAACATCGTCCACGTGGACAAGACTTCGCGGCAATGACACCTGCTTCGTCGTCCAAGAGCGGTTTTGCCCCTTACCCGCGTAATAGTACTTCAGAACAAATGGGTACTAGCACATACACATATGCTGCTGCAGAGGATGATCTTCACCGACACGCTAGCAGTGGAGCAACTTCTTCGTCTGGTACTTCCTCAGATTCGCCAAGAAAACGGAATCATTCTACTAACAGCAAAGGCGGATTTCATAATAAACATCGAGGATCGTCGAAGAACAAGGGAGCCAGTAGAACAACATTGTCAACAAGCAGCTCTCCATTAGGCGGTCCGGTAGCGGTTCAATGGTCCTCCTCTAGTGGTCGTGCTGCGGTTGGATCTGCTCCTGCTGGTGGGTCTTCATTTTCTCTTGGAGTTTTTGGAAGACAAGATTCAACTACGCCAAGCTCTTCTACTTCTAGATATGGAGGTGAACAACAACAACATCATAGTGCTACTGCTGCAGGAGGTCATATGACAGCAGCACACAATACAGCACCATACGATAGCACCAGGAGAAATGACAGCACTACACTAGGACAACTTGGAGGTCTACTAACGCAACCACATCAAGCACCTTCACCTAGTACAACCGTACAAGGTATATTAAATTTGACAGATCAACAGCAGCGACAAGGTATATTAGATTTGTTGCAGAAGTCAGTGAAAACAACCGCGAGTTCAACTTTAGCAGGACTTCCTGGCTCTTTAGGGAATGATCAACATGTTGCAGAACTACCATCGGATTCCACCGACCCATTAATCGTCAATGCACATGCTGCTTTGTTGAAAGGGCAATTGGTGAAGTTCGCGCAGCAACAGGCAGCAAATGGAGGAGGACCGCTAATACCTCCCGCACAGCTACAGCAACAACTTGTGAACAACCTTGGTGCCAGTACTGCTTTATTGAATAGTTTGTCTTCAAGCGGTGGAGGAGTTGGCGGAGGATTGGGAGATAATATTAGTTCTGGAGGAGTGGGAAACAATTTGCTGAATGATCTTGCTAAATCAGCGGCACTTCTTCAAGGTGCTGGAGGAAATTCACAGATTCCTCTTTTTGGTGAAACAACGCCGGGTGGAGGAGGTTCCTCGTCTTCGTCCTCCTCTGGTGTCCCAGCTAGTACTTCTTGTGATCTTGGAGGGGGACAACCACAACTCGGAGGACTACAACTCGCTGCTCCAGGTGGAATTCATCCAGGAGGAGGAGGAGCTGCTCCAGTAGGAGCTTCAAGAAAACCGAGGACCCCAGCGCCACAACTATCTCCAACAGGTCGTATGATGGAACAGCTCATAGCCCATGATCCTTTGAACTTGAGCGAGGTACACCCTGACCGACCTAGCGCACCAGAACTTCCGTGGAAAGAAACGCTAGGCACAACAAGAGACGCCATTGAGATCAGACGAGATCAGAATGACGTGAATTGGTTCGTGTATCCACCAGGCCATGCTGCGATACCGGAAACTGCTACCACGAGTGCGGACAACTTGAAATGCACGCCGATTTGTTGGGGACATCTCTTGACGACACAAGAAGAAGGTGGAGAGGAGTGCGAAGGCGAAGGTGAAGAGGATCACATCAGGGAGGATCTGAGTGGAGGTGGCACCATAAGTCGTCAAGCGAGTGGATATGGAGAGAGTGGAGCAACACCTCCAGTGGCAGAAGCAGGAACTACGTCGAGAGTAGATCAACAACGGTCCTCGTCGGTGATAATAGAGAACAGTCCTGCGGGAAGAGGCGCCTCTTCTGCCGTTAGGGGAAGTCCAGCAAACAAGGGCTCTTTCGTATCGATGGGAAGCACTACAGGAGCAACAGGGACTAATAATCTTGGTCTTGGAGCTCAACTCCTTGCCGCACAGGCACAGCAAGGACAGTTTCTCCGCCAGCTTTCTCAGCAAGGGACGCCCCAAACGAATCCACTGTCAAGTAATCCACTATCAATGGCAACAGCCCTGTTGTTGCAGCAGATGCAGCAATTGGCCGCTAGCTCTACGAACACTAATATGACCACTACAGCTACTAGTACACCTTTCCTACCAGGTGGCCCTAGTAGTGCGACTCCCTCGTCCAGCACCTGTTCAGGTCGTCCCCCTTTAGCGCCTGAACCATTATTAACGTCCTCCTCTTCCAGTAGTGAACATCTGCATCAACGTGGAGGAGTGAGGACTGTGGACTTGCAGAGACTGGCAGATGCTGTGATGGAACATTCTCCCTCAAAAAAAATTGCAGCTGCTCGCCGTGCTGAGGGAAGCACAAGTAGTACACCCCATAGTTGTATGCAACAGCTTCAGGGTAGTGTTAACAACACGACCAATAATAGTAGCTGCTTGGTGTTGAATACCAGCTGCTCTCGTAGCTCATCGTCGACGTCAGGACCTTGCTTTAATACTAGTAGTACGCCAGGAGGACAACTACTGGGAGGGGTCGGGCTGGGAGACTGTATTCATCCTTCCCCTGCTTGTAGTTCTAAAAGTGCTCTAGAACAACGACAGCTGAATGCTTTGCTCGCTGAAGCGGCCATGCAAGGTGCTGGACTGTTGCAGTTGCCGTCATCAAATACAGCAACTAGCAGTGGTACTCCTGGAGGGAGTATGCATATTACATCTGGAATGAATATGATGCAACCAACTTCTTCTAGTACAACTTGTACTTCTGGACAACTGACTTCAGCGCTAGGAGTACAGTCTTCACAGCAGGAGGAACATCTGCACCAGTTAGAACAACATCAACAAGGTGGAGTTGGAACAACAGTGATGGCCTCATCGTCGACTGCGTCAATGACAACTGCTCTCCGTCTTAGCCCTTTGATGATGAATTCGACCGCGGCTTTACAGGGTTTGGGTTTGCTTTCAGGGCAGGCACACTCGGAAGCAATTCGTGCGCAGCAGCAAGCGTTTCAGCTTGCAAATAGTAAGGGTGCAATTCCAATTTATTTTCTGGGAAAGTCAGGAGGTGGAGGAAAGTCCTCTACTTTCTCCAAAGAGGGCAAAGACTACGGCAAAGGAGGACATTATCAGCAAGACAAAGGACAGCACACAGGACAATATCCAGCTCATCATCTCCCAGAATCTGGAGAAGAAATGCCATCGTCTTGTTTCGCAACAAACGGTCCCGTGTTGATGGGAGCAGCCGCAGCAACTGAAAAATATCGAGGAATACTTGCTGGCGCGTCTAAAAGCGGACTTCTTGGTTCTGCAAATAGTGCACTTCCGAATAGCCTGAGTGGAGAGTTTCGACTTCCCAATAGCCTCACTGGGACACCAATCTTAGGAACCACGCATGCTGGCGATCATCATTTGACTGCTAGTGCGGCAAGAACTAGTGCGTCCTCCAGTGTGGCCAGTACAGGCGGTGCCACGACACCCATTACGTCATCAAAACGAGGCAGCAAGAAGGGGGACATAGGCTTAGGCTTTGGTTTTCCTCCGAGAGGAGGAGAGTACAAAGGTGCTGAGTACAAGAAGGGCGGAGACTACAACACTAATACTCATAGCACTAGCAATGTCGATTTTGTAAAGGGAGCAGAACATAATTTTTCTGGTGACCAAGGTGGTAAGCCCATTAAAGGTGGAAAAGGAAAAGGCAAAAAAGGAGCAATAAAGGGCCTCAACAAAGACGGAGATCAACTTCAACATCTTGGAGGTGGAAAATCACAACCACAGCATAAGGGTAAAAATACTTCCGAGTTCTCGACTAGTACTTCTCAACAAAATCCTGCTAAGGGTAAAACTCATCAACTAGACCTGAAAGGCGCCGGCCGACAGCTTCCACCTACTGGTCCAAGGCATTTTGGAAAGCAAGGAGGTACAACTTCCACAGCACATCAACATCAAACAGGACCTACAGGACCTACATCACGTCAAGGTCCCTCTTCGACGTTGCGAGGTGCGGCGGCCACGACGGGAGCGGCTGTTCACTTGCAGCACCCGCATCCGATCGTGATTCCAGGCATACTAGGCGGTAGTGCTAGTGGTGCTGCTATACTATCTTCTACGCCTCAGGCAGGTTCGATTCACTTCCCGATGATGCAGGGAGTTGGAGATCGGAGCCACTTCCTCTGCTACGGAGCACCTTACGCAATGTCGTTTGCGCGCGCGGGACAAGTGTCAGTAGGACCGAATGGCAGGCCAGTCTTTGCGGCACCTGGTATTATTTCTTCTACTTGTTCATTGCCAAGAGAAATAAGTACATTGACTTTTCATTATTTCGGTGTAGCTGTTGCTGGTACTTTGATAGTCATCTAATTCCTTCATTATAAGTAGTTATAGATTAAATTTCTGACGAGAAGTACGCTATTTTTAGAAGTCATGACAAATTTCAATTTCATTTTCTTCTGTCCATCCACAACAACAGTTGCCTCTGACGGCCAAGCTGGCGGCCCAACTCATGTAGTGATGGTAGCAGCTGACAATAGGTCTCTCCTTGGGGGTCAGAATAGAGAAACCGCGCCACCACCTTTCTACCCTGACACGGAAGAAGCGCTTGATGCCGAGTTGCACGATTTTCTAGAGGAAATCAAGATGTCTCGTAGGGAGAAGGTGGCAAGACGAAAGTGGGTCTCGAAACTGGAAGCATTGGTGAGGGAAAGGATGGACCCGGAAGTCAAGGTACTCAAGCTGTACAGCTCATGTCTTTGTTCTTCAGACTCGAAAACTGAAAGTCAACGAGTAGCTAACTGAAACAACTGAGTATCCGAGAAGATCAAGATTACTCTCTTAAGTTACTCGCTTATTTCAGTTTTTCGAATACTAACTTTGGTGGAGTGCGATGTAGTTTCTTTCGTTTGATTCCTTGAGGCTATCAAAAAGAACAGAACATTATGATCATATGCAGCCTCTAATTAAAAGATCTTACACCCCGTGAGTGGGTACATCTATCTATCTATCAATCTATCTATCTATCTATCTAACGACTTCCATGTTTCATCATCTCAGCTTCACCCACTCCAATCTCCTCAGGTCTCGCTCTTCGGTTCGATGGCTTCTGATCTGGCCTTGTACTCTGCTGACGTGGATATGTGCGTGACCTTCAGCAAAGACGCTCTCGACAACGTGAAAAAACGAAAACGCTCTTGGTCTAGTGACGACCACAGCAAAGATGCAGGAGGAAGTGCTTCGCCAGCACCGTCTAGTTATACAACGCCGTCATTATCGGAGGAACCAGAGGTTACTCCGGTTGTAGATAATAGCGGTGGAGCTGCTGCTATAGAGGACAAGAAGGAGAAAGATGAGACAACTTCATCTTCTAGTAGTACCGATCAAGAAGCTGTTGCTTCATTAGGTATTAAGGAATCAGCAGAGATGACGATGAGGAGTTCGACGTCAACGACCGCTAGAGGTGCGTCCTCTTCATCAGCAAGCTCTTCTTCAGCAGAAGCAGGCGAGGTCGTCGCGGAGAAAAAGGACGAAGTAGTTGTACCAAGTCAAGATCCAGAGAACAAGGAACAAGAGGAGGGACCACCGACCACTAAGAAGACCAAAAAGTCAGCCGCTAACGCCCAGAAGAAGAATAGTGCTGAAAATGGAGAGCAAGATGGGGACCACAATCCGAAGCTGGAAGCTGCGACGACTGCAATGCTGATGAAGGTGATGAAACGCGAGATCGAAAAAGCCATGGGCCCGAAGGAGATCGCCTTTATGCAACAGATCAATACTGCGACCATGCCAGTCATGAAAATCCACACGACTACTGGAATCGCGACGGACATTGTCTTCAATTCCGAGGGTGTGCGGTCAACGAACTGGATTCGGCGGGAGATGGAGGTATTCACATGCGGGTACAAGTTGTTCAGAGACCAACGACGGCAATTTCTTCTGGAGAATGGAGTGAGCAACACCGTAGGAGACGGCGCACGACTCGGCGAAAGTGGTCAGCTATCGTTGGGAGAAGACCTTGCAGTAGGAGATTCTAGTAGTACGGTCGCAAAAGATAAAGAGTCTCCAACATTTGATGGAGGATTGTCAACCTCAACACAGCAGCAGCAGCAGGAGCATGTTCCTTTTGTTGGCACGTCAGGAGATAATTCTGCCCCAACAGCAGGTGATCCATACGCGGCAACCAGGACAGGCATCATCAGGCCCTACACGAAATGGCGACTTGGCGGTCGAGGCTGCGCTTCAGGAGAATATGACGACGCGTCTGATGCAGAGCAGAAGAATGACGTCAAAACCGAAGGAGCAGCACCATTGAATCAAGCAGAAAAGATTGATCAAGCAGCCATTGTTGAAGCAGAGAACACTTCTTCTTCGTCCCTCGTTGTACAAGAAACACCAGATGAGCTACAGGCAGGAGGAGTGGAACCTCTGGAGGTGGAGAAAAATCCGTCTCTGGGAAGCCCTCTTGCTGATGCGTTAAAGATGGGCGCGGTTGGAGAGCAGAAGATCACAGTGCTCCGACGCCCATCTTCTCACACTGGCGGCAATAGTTCTTTCAGTAATTCCAGTAGCAGCACTACTCTTGGAGAGACAGCGTCTGCATCGGGCAGTGCTAGCGGTAGCTCCAACATTTGTGAACTTGTACTAGATCATTTAGTTCCTGTTCCCTCGTCAGCACAAGGTGGTGATGTTCTCGAGAAGTCCGATGCAAAACCAGATGGAGTTGCAGGAGCTGCAGTTTTCTCAAGCGCTTGTTTTGGCACTTCTACCCCTTCTACAACTGCTGCATCTTCTTCCATCGTTCTTGGGGAGCTTCCTGCGAAGATCATCTTGCGAAAAAATTCTAGTGCAGAAAGTCAGGAAAAGGAAATGAATCTACTTCCTGTAGGTGAGCAGCAGCAATGTACGCCTACGCCTTCTTCTTCATCAGCTTCTGCCACTCCTGGAGACGCAACGATCAAACTAGGCTTAACCAATGTTGTGAGCAACGTGACTAGTTCTGTCTTGCACGATCTCGGTCATCTAGGAGGTTCGCCTACTCACGGTCTTCGTAGTTCTTCTTCCTCTTCTTGTTCGACTCCAGAGCGCCCAAGAAACATTGCTCGACAGCTAGTTTTGTTCACAAAATTCCTGTTGAACTGGCACAACCTGCACGAAACCTTCAGTGGTGGTTGTGGGTCGTTTTTGCTAGGCATTTTAGTGGTGCACTTTTTGCGCGAGCGTGTACATGCGAGCGCCAAGTTGCGAGGAGCGCAAGGCGCAGCAACGTCTCACAGTGCGACGGCGTCCGCCTGCATGTCCGAACCAGGTAGCGGGATACTAGCTCTCTCAGCTACTAGCGGAACTGGAATGCTACAAAAAGTTCAAAAGTCACTGATTGCAGAACAGCCATCGCCGATCGAGTCAGAACAAGCTATAGCTGATGTCAACGTGAGAAAGGACGATGATGTGAGAGAACAAGCTAATGGTAATGCCACCAGCAGCTCTTCTTCATCTTATAGTAATGTAGCGGATGGACTACAGCAGGACAAGTCTTCTGTCGCTAAAACATCCGCGTCGAACACGGTCACAACCCTTGCTGCGACCAGCACAGGATCTCCTACTCCTGGTGTAGAACAGGTTGAAGCTGGATCTGGAGTGGTCACAAGCTCGTCTGCATCGTCATCCGCTAGCTCCTCCTCTAGCTCATCTTCACGTGATCGATATCACTCTAGTAGTACAGCTCCTACTCTTACAACTGCGACTGGGAACACGAACACCATGGAAAAACCGTTCCAGGATATGCAAGAAGATGTCCTGAATTTGAATTTGGGCGTTGTTGGTGGTGGACAACTCCGCTTCGATTTGCCCTCACCCGTAGAAGGACTTGGTAATAGGCAAGGGATGCAACTACATCATTCATCCTCATCGCCTACTTCTACTAGGACCGGAAAGGCTAGAGCAGCCAAAAACAACAGCCCGGTGAAAGGGGCAACTTCGTCCCGTCCTCCAGCTGCGGGTTGTAGAATGCATGCCCGTGGCTGTTCCAGCATCAATTCCAGTCCGACTGTGGGTGGATGCGGGGCGTCGTCCGTTGCTAGCGGGTTGGCGGAAGACTACGTGCAAAGGCAAAACGAGTACGCGTCGCTGTTTGAGAATGTCACAACTTTGAGGTTATTGCTAGAGTTTTTCACGTACTACAGTCGCTATGCGTCAACGGTGCCAATCGAGATTCAAATGCCGTCGAAAAAGAAACTCAAACGAGCCAAACTAGAGAAGGACCAAGGGTCAGAATGGTATACTATAACACAACTGTAACGCATCATCTTAGAAGTGAAAACAACTGTTGTGTAAGCGCAAGTGTTTACATACCGTAAGGGATTGAAGATGAGTTTGACATTTTGTTAGACGACATGGATTTCGATGTTGATGATAGATAAATCTTTTTGATAAAATGGATCGTATACTTCTCATCGGAGACTTGTTGTTGCTCTAACGGTATCTTTCTTCTATCATTGACATTGATTTATTACACCGCTAAACAATCAAATCAGGGGTCGTACAACTGCGGTTTCTTCTCCTGCACTCAACAAGAACACTGGAGTAACAACTACGCCAGCGGGTTTATCTGGCTATTTGTCCGTCATTTCTCCTGTCGATGGTGTCACGGATTTGGGTGCCAAGTGCTTCCGGTGGACTCAGATAAAGACTCTCTTCGCCCATTGCGCAGCTACGATTCGAGAAGCCTTAGCGTCCGCGCCTCACATCAAAGGCAGTCTCGCGGAAGCGTCGATTATCGCCAGCATTTTCCCGGAGATGGAACTGCGGAGAACCTTAGACTGTCGCTCAAGCAGTCATGTAAAGCCTGCGTTGGGAGGCAATTCCTCGAACAAGAAGAATCGTGGAGGAGGTGGAGGAAATGCAAGAGGCTCGTCACCGGCTAAAAGTGGTTCTAAGACCGGTTCTAAGACTCAGCAAGCGACATTGGCGACAGTAGGCGGCCCTCTGACGACTGGCAGTGAGCAATTCTTCAGAGGATTCGTTTCATCCAAAGAGACGCGGAATTCCTCAACACAAGGAGTCGCGACATCAAAAAAGCAGATGCAGACATCAGGCGGAGCCTCTTCAGCGAACAAAGGACAAGGGAAGCAGCAAGGGGGTCAGCAAGGAGGTGGTCCTAAGATGAAGAACGCAAAGCAGACGCCGAAGCAAACCCCCAAACAACCGGGAACTCATCCAAACAAGCTCCAAAGTTGTGGAGGGGATCTTTCATCTTTGCCTCCTGCTCTTCCTTCCTCGTCTAGTTCTACTTCAGCACAGGCGAAGGCCAAAGCTGCTTCAGCTTCAGAGAACAACAAGAAGAAGGCAGCTACTCCATCTTCATCAACATCGAAAGATCAACTAGCCGCGGAACAGAAAACTAGAACTACAACTTCTTCATCTTCTCTCTCTTCGGCATCGGCTTCTCAGCCTCAGGGTGGTGCAAACACTTCTGCCTCTTGCAATCTAGGAGGTGCAATTTCTACAAACAACACCAACGGAAACACTGAGGATCTTCAACAAGATCTATTGTTCGTAGAGACTCCGACTTCAGAGCAGATGATGGGTTCTGTGGCTTCAAATGCCTCAACCCCAAATCCAGGTAGAGAATCCACTTCCAGCAGCAAAAGTTCCAAAAGAAGCCATGTCAACAGCTGTCTTAACCTGGCTCCTGCATCAACGACGGGAGTACTAAAGGCGCCTAAGAGAGCTACCTGGGTAAGGAAGAACAGCCGAAACTTCTCTGATAGCGGTAGGAGCTCATCGAAAGACGCTGCTAGTAACTTTGGAGGTACTTCTAGTGAAGCAGAGCAGACTGTACAACCTGTGGAGCCAACTTCTATACAACCTGGTGTAGTGGGAACAACAAGTACTTCTAGTTCAGCAACTCCCCTTGTGTCCAGACGGAAGGATAGCAGTGGTAGCAAAACTGGAAGCAACCACAAGAGAGACTGTAAGCAAAACTGTAGCAAAACTGGTAGCAACTGTAAAGCTCCTTCTCCTAGCGAAAGTCCAGTTAATCCTGGAAGTGGGAAGCCGAAGATCAAAAAATTTCATCACCAAGGTGGTGAGGACAAAACGTACTTACTTTTTTTATATCAGATGTAAATACTTTTGTTTAACATGATGAAGATCAATTAGTCGCAGTACTACTATCCAATAGTTTTCCGATTTAATTTCCGTATGCATTCCACCAATCGAATTTCCGTGCGCACCATTCCATTCTTTATTCTTTTATCTATCTAGACTAACTTCATCATCTATCAATCTCCATACAGGTCTCCGTCTGGAGGGTCTCCGAAGTCGGGATTGAAGTAACGCCAGGATGTGGGACGCCGAAAATGCTTGAACAAAGATAGATGAAGTGCTTTTTTCTTACATGAAGTGTATGTCTGTCTTGAAGAGTGCAATCGAGTTCGAGATGATTGATTATTCCTGTCAGTTCTAGGATGAAAATTCACTAGAGATTCATTACTGAGTGTGTTTTTTGATTCTCAAAGTCAAAGATGGTGGTGGTCTCAAAGATAGATAACCTAAAGGTGGTGGTCTAAAAAGTGACCTTTTCAACCCTTATGAATTTGTGATGTTGTTCCTTATTAAATTGTGATGTTTTGTCGTGTACGACGCTATCAACAAAACTTGTATGAAGTTCTAATTGTATTTTTTAGCTACTTACTTTGTTCAGTATGATGTTCACAAGTAGAATGAAACTGCAACAAGACACGAGGCTGAAAGAAAGTATCAATGATATATAATGTCTTTCTTGTACAAAACAATTTCAACAAAAGGGAAAGTCTGCAGATGAAGTCACTCCAGATGCCAAAGCTTTCCCGTAGTGTGCTAACGGTATGCTGTGTTGCGTACTAGCTATTATCATGTTGTAACAATGTCGCTATGTTGTCTTTTTCCATTTACACCTTCGTTCTAGTATTGCAAGCCGATTTGATGTCCTTATAATCGCAAGTTTTGACCCTTCTGAAAGTGAAACACCTCATAAACAAAGACCTAAAGCACTGATGTTCGTGCTGCTACTAGCTCCTATTATACTTCTCATCAAGATTGTGCTCGTTGTCGTTCCCGTGATCGTCTTACCGAAGAAAGCCACCTCAGAAAATATACATAGAGTAAAAGGATTTATGTATAAGAATTTATGTTATTTAAGGTCGTCTATCATGTTGTGGTGAAAAATGTTTTCGTTGTTATTGCCTAAGTTGGCTCCTAATTACTATCCTCGTGATCATTTCCTTATCAAAATTTCAAAAAATAAGCAGAGCTTCATCCACGTAAGGCTCGCAACGCTGATTAAAGAGCCGCGTCTTTGACTTGACGTTTTCATAGAAGGCGGTCGCTACCCACTACGATTGGATCGAAATTCTACAGAAGGACCTTCATATAGAAGATATTTTACTAGGTTCTCATAGAAGATGATCTTATGATACAGCAATCTAGAAAATGCTTCATACAGTCTAGAAAATGCATAGAGGGTAGTTTATATTCTCATTCTTATTGATTCATCGAGTATAAAGAGCATCCTTACACGCTGTTCATCGTGACCTTCTCGAGACCACCCTAAGGTAAGTTATATGATCGATCTAAATCGAATCTATCACATGAATCAGTCGTGGTGGTGTCGCGAGGACAAACAACTACAAGAACATACAAAGATTGTATTGAAAAGCCCATACTATAACATGATGAAGGTTTCCGATTGAACACACAGATCAGAAAAATGTAAGAAGTGAGTGTACCCGATCACATCTATTGTCAACAAGAACATGAAAATTCTTATTATACATAGAAGTACGACTAGCACTACAGGTTTACTAGTAAGCCTGTGAAGAAGAAAAGTAACAACGCTGGAGCCCATAATCTATGCGTTTCTTTGATTGATACTAGATGATAGCTTGTTACTGTCCTGACAGCTTCGTCTAGAAGCAGATCTAGATGGCCGAACGCAACAAAAACCTCCTAGAGACCGTGTGGGTAACAGTTGCCGCCATTGACATCATGATCCCTATCTAGAAGCTGCCATCACATCTAGAAGCTGCCATCACATCTAGAAGTTATAGTTACAACTTAGCCGTGTAAAATTGGCGGCATATCCTTTGAAACTATAGTTGGGCCGGAGGCTTCAAACAACGAACATCCACCTCCTCTAGAAGTAGACTGTTGAATTGATCTGTGCTATCTGTTGAGCACAACGTGCTCATTTGTATCCCTAGTACAACTCTTTCTATTATCCGATGAGAAGAACAGTAGAACGATTACGATATTGAAATCGATGTCATGAAAAAGATGATCAGTGATATGTCGAACGACCTAAGGGGAGGGTCTACTTATTTTACGAACGACAACGAACATCCAACATGTGATTTGTGAGAACTACGTCCCCGATTCTTGACACCTATGATATTGAGGCTCGTGACCACGAGCAAGCAGCTTCTCTCAAGCCCACGGAGTGAGACGGCCTGACTTTGTGGGAGGAAGGCTTTTACTCCACTGACTTGGCTGTCTTCTACAAGTTTTGCTCGCAGCGAACAAACTCCGAATCCTCTATCTAACCGCTCAATCTATAAGGATGGATCAAGGAGGTACGTCGAGGCTGAGAGCTCGGAACCTCAAGCATAGTACTGAAATCGTGCGTTCTTTCATCGGTCAACGTAACAGCACTAGTTTTGCGCGGTGAAAATTGATCCAGCTCTAGGTCGTAGCATTGTTTTATTTTGGCTCCTCAGCAGCCATTCATGTCTGCCAGTTTTCCTGGTAGGCCCGCAGCTAACCTAGCCTAACAAGTGGAGAACACTAGGTATTGTCATGTAAGGACTGCTTCCAAGCAGAAGAACACTCAGCAATTGGACAAGATGAGAAATGCATTGCTTGTGCGTATTCACATCTCTACCTCGTGCTGCAGTACCTCTATGCTATCAGAAGTTTTCTTCAAGCAATCACATCATGTATAGCACGACCTATCATTTTCTCTAGACTTAGCATAGCTGTAGCACATACCCAGCTTCTTTATCCAACACTATCCAACTCAGCAAAGTATTCATCGACATCGTCACTCATCGTTTTCGTTGTCATTGAAAAAAATGTCAGACTCAACAGCGGTGTCTGCGCAGGGTTCTAAGATATTGTTCGGCCGACTCTTGCAAGAACGAAAAGTTCTCACAGAGGAGTATGAGTTGTTGGCTGAGGGTGGCATCTACGTTTAAGGCCACCTCTATCTCGACGAATCCATCTTTATGGGTATCCTCCTTCAGCAAGAGCCGTATACATAGATACACAGATCTGACTCTTGAAGGAGGATCTCATTCCCCGTCCCTTCAGGGGTGGGCTCACTAGGGTTACCTCTAATACATGGACTGGGGAGATGAGATGCAAAGTCTGCGAGCGATGATCATTGGACCGAAGGATACGCCATATGAAGACGGTTTCTTCTTCTTCGATGTGAAGATACCATCGCAGTACCCGTTTGTTCCTCCGAGTGTCACTTTTCGGACGACGGATCATAGAGTCAGGTACCGTATTCGCCGATACTAGTAGATATCATTTCTTGGGCCTTAGTACATTTTTGCAATACTGCGCAGTAATGTTTCGATGTTAAGCGAACGTATCGGAAGCAGGGCGCCCGTGGGGGCAGCTGCGACACCGGTCCCCTGCCCGGGAGCAGTAGCGCCGGGACTTTTTGGTGTGCCCAACGCGGCTGGGCATTTACCAAAAGGCACGCAGCAGAGCGGAAAGCAGTGTGCAGGGGCCTGAATTCTCAAAGCGAAAGAGGGGCGCGAGGCTTCATGGCGAACACAAGCCGAGGCGTCTCTCAAATGGCGCCTGAGGAAGCGCGGGGTAGGTGTGACATCTATTGAAGGGGCAGGCGTAGGTTCGGGTCTTCAGCGTCTGACCCATTTGGGGACGAGGTAGGCTGCGGGGCACCGGTGTAAATTCGCCTGTGTCTTCCAAGTTGTATACATCTGGGCGCTTCGTTCCTTGCGCCGGTGAAGGGGTTCAGATAGATGCATCATTTGCCAGACACATGCTGCTGCAAATGGTGGCGGCTTGCGTGTGGTGTGCTGCCTGTCGACTCTCATGGAGGGGGTGGCGAATTCTAGCGCGGCCCCGCGTTGCCGCTAGATGTAGCCGGGCTGGCTGATTGTGGTGCCCGGCTCACTTAGATAGCGGCCAACCTGCTGACGCGGGCGCGGCTAAGCGTTTCCCACTCGTTGCGCCTCGCCTGCCAGTGTATCCACCGAATCGCCGAAGGCCGGCCCAGGACAAGCATGGCGCGCGCTGCGCTTGTCTTTGCTGGTCAATCGTGGCCCTGGGTGTGTGTTCCATTAGCGGAGGCGGAGACGCCGGCCGCTCGCAGATCTTAGGCTTAGCTGTGATTCTCTTTCAGCCCGCTGCTGACCAGCATGGCTGAAGTCTCGCCAAGTAGTGCTGTGGATTTCGTAGCAGTTCCACACGGCTGACAATGGTGGCGAGTTTGATCGCCTCAATTCTCAAAGCTTGGCGCCGGGAGAAGTGACGGCAGTAGCTTCATCATATACCCATTCTCGTTATTGTCGTTGAGCTTGAGTGTATCTCTTATCGTTATCATCTTCAAATAGCTCTACTGACAGACTCCCCGGGTGCAACTAGTAAGTAGGTACACATCAAACAGGTTCCACCCAAATCTGTACATCGAGGGGAAAGTGTGCCTCTCTATCTTGGGAACCTGGCCAAATGGACCTGCGTGGCAGACGTGCATGTCTATAAAATCTGTCCTGCTGACGATTCAGTCTATCCTGGCAGCACATCCTCTGACGAACGAACCTGGATACGAAAAAGAAGTGAATACTTATGATGGGTGACGCTATAAATTGCGGGAGTGAGGTTGTTCATCCTCAGTTTTCAGAAGCACCATGCATCGTTTCCGATGTATTGTCCTATACCTTGTGAAACGCAACACATCATGCTCTCTCCTTCTTTCCTCTCCTCTCCCCCCCTGACTTTCTCTCCATCTAATCTTCCGAAAAAGACAAATTGTATTCGAAGATGATCGATTTTGAGTCTATCAACGTGGCGATATACCGGATGTTGCGGCACCCTCCAGAGACGTACGATTTTTTCGTGCCGATGATGCGATTGCGGTTTTTGGATGCGTACGATTCGTTGGAAAAACGGTTACAGAACTTTATCGACTCCCACCCGCAAATGAAAACGGAAGCCCTTCCCTCGTCCAAAGACAGCTGTATTATGGATGATAATGTTTTTCTACTCCTACTCTTTGTTGTTGCACTATCGTAATCCTGCTTTTTCTCCAATAGTCTGATGATATGACGAACCAGCATAGATCATCCATTTTCCTGCTCTAATTGTAGCACGTCCGCATCTACTCCCGTCGGCTCATCAAGCCCAGAGTGCACAAGTGAGCAGGAAAAAGAAAACCAAAAACCCGCAGCTGCGCCCAAGAATTTGATCCGTGATGCGACTAAGGGGATCTCTAGCTCTCCACAGAAGTCAACATCGCTTTTAGACGCCTGTTACGTCCAGCATGAAGCGAAGGCGCGTGCCACGAAGAACGCCTATGGGTCTGAAGCAGGCTACGTCCTCCAGGGTGAAGTAGGGGACGACGGCCCACCGTGGTATAGCTCTATGGGCAAAGGCACGTCTTCTCTGAGTGGTAGTGGTTCGTCCTCAAATGCAGCTATTCTTGGCCAACTGAAAGGAGGAAAGAAAGGCCCAGTTGAGATGTTGGAACTGTTAAATGAGAAAGCTGAAAAGGGGGACCAGATAGCGAAGAAAATGCTGAACAAGCACCACTCGTTATACGGTGACAACTTGTTGAACGGACCACTAGGTTCTTCAAATAATGCTTCAACAACGAGTTCATCAACGTCAACAACAGCACCTCCAACAAAATCATTATCTTCTGAAGGACCTTCTACGAGTGCGACAGCGACAAATGCAACGACCAGTAATGTGAAAGTGATTCAGCGAACGGGAATCAATGTAACAGCCGTGGGTGGTGCTGCGAACGTCGTCACTGCACCGATATACAATTAAGGCTAGGTGGTAGTCTTATCTTTATCAATTACAGTGCAAAATTTATGCTCATAGGGTATTACTGCACCTACAAAAAGAATTCAACTAGCACGTGCTAATTCGAACATGCTCTCATACCCTGTGTACCATGACAACTATAATACAGCCTGGCCCCTCTACTTCTAAAACACGTTCCAGAGTTCGTTTTCTACAGTCATAAAGCCTGTCCCCTCTTCTACTTCTAAAACACGTTCCAGAGTTCGTTTTCTACAGCGAAAATACTATTGGACGAACTGGAAGCGATGAAAAATCAAATCGAGGAGGCGCTAGATGAAGAGGAGGATTCAGACGAAGACGAGGCTTAAGAACTGGATGGTGCTGAAGCACAGCACTGGATGGTGCTGAAGCACAGCACTGGATGGTGAAGGACTGTGTAATGTATGAAAGAAACTAATAGATTCTGGAAACAAAAAAGAAAGCTGTATTAACCAAGTAGAGTGGGCAAACTTTGAATCGCTCTTTTCCTTGACGTCTTTGAAGAACAAACGTGAGTCGTTTTTTATACCTATTGCATACTAGGCCATGCGGTTGTTATTACCATGATTATTTGGACATACATTAAGAATCCATGATCATGCATACCATCGCCCTCATGATCCTTCCAGTTTAGCTAGCAAATTCTCTGAGCTCTGACTGGTGAGGAGCACACTTCTAACTGTAAAAAGAAGGGACATGAAGATTTATCATGATCACATTGAAAAATCATGACGTTATTTTCTCCAACATGAAAAGATAGTGGATCCGCAGAAACCGAGGACAACGTGTTGTTCAGTTCTGGAAACTAAAGTTGTATGACGCACGATCATGATTCACACCATCTTACAACGCGGACAATCATCATGGTAACGTGATCCTAACATTTTCATTTTGTCTCATGTGTCAATTGGCGCAAGCAGCAACGTGATCTGGTCTACATCGTGATCATGACCTTCGAGATTGAAATTGGCGCAAGAAGCAACGTGATCTCTTGTGTCAATTGGTCTACATCGTGATCATGACCTTCGAGATCCGTGAGAGGGGTAAGAGGGAAACGGCCGCAATCCATTCTTTGGATGAAGATTGATTTTTCACGTGTCTCCGAGAGAAACAAGCGAAACGCATGGCTGTCCCTTCTTCTTCCTTTTGAAGATGAACGTGATCCACCAAAAGCCCATTCTGGCTCGACCAGTGGTGCACATCTTCAGGCCTACAGAGCTGATCAAACGGGAGGAGCTTGGGTGTCGGGATTACACTTCCGTACTCTGGAATCTGGGAATAACAGGATACCCAGTCTTGGTGAAAGACACGATGTCGAAGATCCTTGGCGGCACACCGACGCCACATGTTGCTTTTATGTTATGCCCAACAAGGCATCTTTGTTGCTTTTATGTCCTGCAATGTTGAAAAGGATTCTTTAGCTTTAGGGCCTAAAGCTAGATCATGAAGATGCAGGAAGAAACTTTGAGCAGCAAGAAATACTAGCACTAGAGACTCATTAATATTATTGTACTTCCCTTATACATCAACTAACACTTCTAACTTCCGGCCAAAGCAACGCCGGGAAAAGCACACTGATCAACGCACTGTTAAACCAACATGCACTAAACCGAGTTGACGTGAATTCTCAAAAGCAACCACGGACTTTGTCTAGGGAAAGCTTGAGACGTAGTGCCTATGAGCCTGAGCTGCAAATCGGAGATGAAGATCCCAAAACAGGGAAGATTATCATGCCTCCACGGGGGTTCGGAGCAAGTAGTAGTTATGCGAATGGAGGAAGCCAGAGCCAGTACCAGTCTTCATCGGCTTCGGCACGAGCTTTCTCCTTCAGTAGCGAGAACCGATCTTACTTTACGTCCTCGTTCGGTACGACATGCAATGTATTGGAGGATTCAACTCGAACACCATCATCTTCATCGTCCGCGCCATCAGTGACAACGCGATGCCAGCTGAATTCACGGCGTACGTTTAGTGCACGGCGATCCTCTACCCTACAGAACAGGCGAATTAGCGAACAACTAGCGACATCAAGAGCGAACTTGCATTTACGAGCAAAAAATGTGATACTCATGGTTTAGCTAATATTTTGCCTACTGTACTAGCGATCATTATGAGTAAAAAGAATAACTCTCAGTTTTTCTAAAAGTACATCATCTAAGATCCCGGCGTCAATTGATCGAGCGCAGTAAGCTGATCGGAGGAGGGATTCGGCGGGCAGGATGGTCTTTTCAGACGAAGTTGGCGCGTCAGCGAGGCCTGCGGAATATGCAAGTGGAACTGAAGCGGAGGATAAAGGACACGAATCGCTTACTAAGACACGAAACAGTAGGCAGCCTGTGCAACACCCTCAAGGACAACATCAAAAGACATCTCACAGAACTCAACTTAATCAAGGAAAGAAACAAAGCTAGGAAAACAGTGGAAGCACTGGGCTCCGTTGGTGCAGCAGGAGGAGACGGAGCAAGCAAAGCGAAGCTGGTGAGGAAGCATCTGGATCGAAGCAAATTGAAAGTAAGCGACGAAGCAATACGAGCCAAAAAAGCAGCTGTAGTAATGAAAGACTACAAGTCGGATCGAGCCTTCACGAAGAAAGTGGGAAAATTCATGCTGCAACAAGGTCGCATCGACAAGACAGTTCGGAAAGAGGCCGAAGCGGATTGTCCAAAGTTACGCTTCCTGAGTAGGTCAGTAATTCAATTTCGTGATACTATACTATTTTCTCATGAAGCAAGAACTTCAAGACCCCAAAAAAGTGGTTGTAAAGACCCAATCTTGCAGCAAGAGTCTTGCTCTTCTAACACTGGGAATGACTTATTCCGGAATCACAGAAAACCCTTATTTCGCAGACGGCAAGCATATGCATAAGAGCGAGTATAAGAGGAAGAAGGCGGAAGAAAAATGGATGCAGATCTCCGGCGGCACTGGGATTCATCCGCACGATCGCGAGAATAATAGATCGCATCTGTTGGCCAATCCAGAGTCATGTGAAGACGAGTTGCCGACGGGTCCACCATCCCGATCATCTGCGAAAAGGCTCGACTTGCCGTTGCCGTACTCCCTTGAAAATGAAAGTGGTCGCATCGATGATCGTTCCCGAACTGTGCCAAGGGGCCGAGAACTTTTCAAGGGTTCTGCATTTGCGCCAGTCAGCAAAACAGCTGGAAGAACACGTCAATTGTTTCGCTTTGAGCTCGGTGGCCGCTTGACTTTGGTTGTTATGAGGCACATGCTGTGATACAAAGAAGTGCAGCTATGTCAGAGTAATCTATCTGATCAACGCGTCTACGAGAGAAACCAACATGATTAATTTTTCAAAAATCCATTGATACGTCATGAATTTTTCCCACCTTCCCGCTTCAACTTTTCTAACTCCCATTTACCTGGCTACGGCTTCGCCGGCTCAGCTGGGAAACAGCTGATGAAAGATTGGGAGGTCATGGTCGACAGCTACCTGGAATACATGAAGCCAACAGAGAGGTTGATTATGGCTTTGTTGTATCTTGGGAGCTGTTGGTAAATATAGTGGTAAAAACTTCCTCCGCTCCACGTTTCAATCCTGCACCTGAAGTTCCAACGGCATGAAGGACCCTACCTTCTCCCCTTTGAACAACTACTAAACACGATTGCTAGCTTAATACAGTTTCGCACTACCTTTGATAATTATGTGATCGGCATCTCCACCCTCTAACCGGCAGCGCATCATTTCCTTAATTGACGTCAGTGTTGGTTTCACGGATCGAGACGAAGCTTTATGGGAAGTGGCACTGGAGCATAGGATACCGCTCCAAGTCGTGTTGACGAAGTGTGACCATTGCAGTCCATGGAAGTTACACAATGCGATGGAACAGATCATCAACCTCGCAGAACAAGTCCACTGCGCAGAGCTGGAGCAGCAGAAGCATAAGGCTTCCTCGAAGGTGGAGGACAGGTGGAAGCAGAATGGAGTTAGGAACGATTGATGGATTTTTGAGTTTTGCTTTTGATCTTTTGAGGTGTATAATTAAATACTATGTATAATAAACATGAATAATACAACGGTTCAACATTTACATTTTACGATGTCAACATACGAGTAGAGAATGCGCAGGATATCGTGTTGTAGCAGGGGATAACAAGTGAAGACCGTGACCGCCTCTTAAACATCGTGCACTGTCTAATAAAAGCCCCACCATCCACACCGATCAAGACGACTACGGTGACGGCATTACCTCAGTCATGCATCCTTACATACACGCGGTATCAGCTTTAGAGAATATTGGCATGGAGGAGTTTCGCCTCTCCTTGGCAAACATCGCGCGAGATGAAGAAAACCGAGTCAAGGCGGAACGACTCGCGGGGGCGATGTGATTCTATGCATTTAGAGAAGATGGGGGATTTGGCTATCAACATGATAAGATAAGTGTCGGCAACAAACACGGAAATATAATGAACTAGCGGTTACTCCTGAAAGAGGTGGATCGGACCCAAACGCATTCTATTGTGCCCTGATTTGGAATCATGTGCTGTGAGTGTTCGACGAACATAGCGGTCCATGGAGTATGCTTTCCCGTCCGATACATCGCGATTTCCTTTTTCTGAGAAGCTTGCTGTCTCCTGTTATAGTCCTTGCATCCATGCACATCCGGACCATGCAGTGAGTCTGATTCTGATTGAGTGTACTACAAAGACTACCAAGATGAAGTGTCGTTACGCGGTACGGATTCTGCTCTGCTGTTTGCCGTTGTTATTTGGATTCAATAGCCCTGCAGAACTAAGCGACAAAAACAATGGACGCGAAGGAACAAGAACTGGGTCAACACTTACATCTTCGATTGGCTCGACATCCACCTTGGGTCGGACATCATCAAGAAAAAGCACGCGATTACCAGCGAGGACCACATCTACAAGAAGATTGCTAGGAACAATAAGTGGTCGTGACAGAACATCCTTTCCGCGGCCAACCAGAACCTCTACTGCTACCGAAGCTCCCAGGGATATGGCCGTGCCGCGGAGCCTGCAGCGACTTCTACATCCACTGATCCGAATCATCTGGTTATCCCTCTTACCCAAGCCATGCACTTGTTCCAGCCCTACAAAAAACAATGATGCAATTCAACAAGTAGACGATTTACAGATAGGCCCTTGCGTTCCCGTGGAGCAGATGGAAACGCTCATCAAGGGGCTGCATGGAGCCACTTCTGCGGTTTTGAAGGATCTTGCAGAGATCTCTAGGTTTTGGCCACCATTTCTTGACCGCAGCAGCCTCCTGAACGTTCTAGTTATGATTATAGTGCAACTTTGATAATGAAGCTATCTGACTGGACCCTAAAGTTCACTTGAGTACTCTTGTCCAAGGAATAGAGTCTTAATTCTGGCACGCATTGAAAATGAAGACTCGATTGCTCCTTATCTATCAAAGAGTTTTCTGCTTTTTTCGTCTTCGTCCGATTTGATCTAATCCCAAAACAGTAAAGATGGGCGATACTTCTTTGGCATTAGCGGAAGCACAGCTGTTGGAAAAGCCTGAAGATCGTGCCTTGTTGAGTTTTGCGATGCACTTGGCTACTGATTGGGCCCCTGGAGGACCGAAGACCGCTATAGGCAACACAGACATCGCTTTGAGGTTCGAAGACGACACTGGAGTAGATCGCAGAGGTTACCACGATACCGTACTAGCCGAAGGAGTGAAAGGTCTTGCTCAGGTGGATGTGCCGCACAAAGATATTATGGGAGAAGAAGAGAATGACGATCCTGTTGGCGAAAATGATGATGATGTTGGCAAAGATGATACAACTGGTGCAGCCGGGGATGAGTCGCGACCGCTGTTGCGTTTTCTCACTCCAGCAAAGAAGAGCTATCGTGTGCCACTTCTTGCACAAGAGGCATCGAAGAAGAAGTTGCAGTTGTGCTTCCGCAACAGCGTGAATCCTGGGTCTTGGAACTACCTGGCCATTGCAGGTGGAGCAGGGGGCGCAGCGTTGCTCTGGAGTACGATCTTGTCGACGTGTATATTTATGGGAGGTGGTTCTATCTCTATAATGTCAAGCGCGCAGTCTGGGGCCCCACTGCAGTGTACATGCGTGAAGTATGCAAATCGAGAACGCGGGAAGCGCTTTGCGAGCAGAGTAAAGGCTCGAAGCAGGGGCCTTCCGGGAAGAGGGGCCAAGATGGGTGGTAGGCAGGGACTCGCCACCGGCCGGCCCATGCACGCCAAACAGGCCGAGCAATCGGCGGAGGCGAATCTGAGGGCGGTAGCTGAGGCCAAAAAGACCACGGGGCAAGCAATAGGGGAGAACGCGAAGGGGGGTCGCGATGGGGAACGCGCGTGCTGTTCGTTGGGGTTATTCGTGGGGCCGGTCTCGTGGGTGGGTTCGGGCTTTGATGTGAATGCCCTCGAGTAGTGGGGCGGCTGGCATTGCAAGAATGGGCCAGACGGGTGCGGACGGCGCGTGTGCTTTAGTGGGGGGCCGAATTGTTTGAAGCGCTGCCTCCGTTGGACCTTGCGGGCAGCTGCGGCAACGAGGAGCGCGCCGAGGGCGAAAACCTGAGCAGAACCGCGGCGCGCGCCAGGCCCTCCCAATAGTCTGGGGGCTCGCCCAGAAAACCGGCGCTGGGGGTGTGCCGCTTTTTTTTTGATCAGCAGGCCCATGAAGTCTGCTGGCGTTAGCTCTGCACTGAAATGGATAGCCCCGCGGCAGTGCTGCGGCGTCATGGCAGGGCTGCTGGCTTTCCTCGCGGCGTTCGCAAGTATGAGGGTGCTGGCGGATAAGGCCAAAGGGGTGACAGTGAGCCGGGGCATCGATGTCGTGGCGTATTTGACTGTGAAGGAATTGGAAGGGGCCAAACAGCTGCGCGCAGCGGCGGAAAGTTGGAGCAAGCGGCCCCACGCACCGCAGAGGCATGACGCCGCCGGCTTGGTGAGGAGTAACAGAGCGGGAGAAAGTGGGGAGAGTAGGGGAATGCGCGTAGAAATCTGCACCGCTGCAAAGTGTGCCCGAGATTTTGCGCGCTGAGGTGTCTTAGGTTGGCTGGCGGGAAATTTGGACGGCGGTCGATTCTTGTTGTCAGTGCCAAGGCATCGAACGCACCTCAAGCAACCGGATAGAGATAGGCGGGGCGGCTTGCTTCGGCCATATCGATTGCTGCTGGCGGTCTCGCCTTCCGTGGCGCGTGGGCTCTGGCTCTATACCCACCAGAGGCTGGGGCGCTTGTTGGGGCAGTTTGGCGGGACCCACGAGGCCCGAGAGGAAAAAACCCAGCGGGCCCACGATCTCGCGAGCGTGAGGCACCTCCGCGCGCTATGTATGTTCGTCCACGGGTTGCATGCGGAAGCAATGGCTTGCGGCTTGGTGTCGGGGCATCTAGTACATGTGGCGCGTAAAGTTCAAGAAGGGCCCCCAAGAAGCGGAACGGCGGCTCTGTTTGCATGGTGACACCGAGCGCAGTCGACGCGCGTGCGAGTGCAGGCGTGTGGGCTTAGTTCTTCTCCCAAGCTCGGCAGCTGTGAGAAATCTCGTCCGCGCCAGACTACTCCAAGGAAGAAGCTGAAGCGGGTAGGAGGGCACGCGTGTGAAGAGTGTCCAAATTATCGGCAAGGGCGCTGCCGGCAAGGTGGGGGGAGCCGCGCAGTATAAGAGGCGGGGCCCCCTCGCATGTCATGGGTGAGCACTTTGAAGACAAGGCAGAAAGGCGCACAAGCGAGAACACCGCTGCAGCCGTGCCGTGGAGTAGCGTGCCGGCTAATGCCAGCGCAAGAGGCTAAGGGGGGCGCCTTGTTTGCGCGGGGGCGCAGCGTGCGGGCTACAGGCTGGCGGGGGATGGTGCGCCACTGTCTCGCCTGAGGTAGCTGGCTGAAGGCTCGGAGGACATTCGGCGCGTGTGCAGCGACCTGAGATACTTGCAGCCGCCACCGGTGTGAGGGTGGTGGCTGGGGGTGGGCGTTGTTTGTCATGGGAGCAAGTCGCTCCTCTATTGTAGTCGTGGCAGTGTGTCTTTGGCTTGCTCCATGAGGCTCAGCCAATTGCTTTGCTGTGTATTCTGTACCTAGCCAGCTATGTAGCTAGCAAGTTTCTGGGGTTTTTCGCGTAATCTCACCCAGCCAGGCAGGCATCACCCCGCAAATTTTTCGTGTCTGGCTCGCTGTGGCTCGCTGTTTGCTTGAATTGTTCCCATGCTGCGGGTATCGGTGTGAGGCCCTCCCGCTTCGTCGCGTGGCTGAGCGGCTTGCGGTTCCTTTTTGTTGTTGTCGTAGGCGTGGCGTGCTGTAATTAATGCGAAGCGAGCGTACTTATGTTGGCGCAGAGGATGCGCCATGCACGCGAGATGCTGCGCGAAATTTTCGCCAAAGTGAGTATGAGATTCTTAGGAACAGAGAGAATCGTCCCTGCTCAGTCTAATGTATGCCACCTGCGAATGCGGGCGCGCCACCTAAGTGAAGAGCTTCGTCGCGAGGAGCGGGGAGTTGGTGCGAGCGGTTGTACGAATGATCGGAGCCTCAGCTGTTCGCCTTCGGATGAGGCATGCACAACAAACGAAACTGCAGATTTTATGACGAGAAACAGAACTGCACACTTCTGCAGTTCGCAGAGGGTTTCGCACTTCTTAGTTAGGTGCAACGGTATAATATATCGGTCGCCTTCTTATTTCTCGTGATTCTTGTACTTTTTATTCATCATCAATCTCATCAGCCCTTCAGAGGTTCTGCGTAAGTAGCCTTATTCATGCTTACTTTATCTCTTTATGTAGTGTCTGCGTCTGAAGTTGAGTCTTGTTTTCATGAAAAGCTCAGGTTTGGAAGTGACCATTGGACGTCTCGAGAAATGGGCAGAACAACTCCGGCGGCAGCGCGAAGAGGACCAGAGCCGCCGACGTTTGGCTTGTTCTTCATCTAGTGGACTCGATATTATGCACGAGTTATCTTTACCGAGTATTGGATCCAAGAAAATCCAAGTTTCCACAGGTTTTGTCTTCGAATCATGAAGAAGTTGTAGGTCCTCGTAGTGAAACGTATCCTCATATCCGACTTACCGTCTTCACCACCAAATTGAAAAAAGAGAAACCTTCTCAACAACATGAATCTTCCATCTAAACCAAGAGAACGCAGTTTCACAGACATCATCTCAGCCAAGGATGAACGGAGACGCATCCCAAGCGACAGCACCACGCGAGTTGATGTTAAGAACACTGTATATGCACGTGACTAACTGGGAGTTGTGTTCTAGAAAAGCAAGAATAATAAAGGAGAGCTTGAAAGAAAAAAGAAACATCAACGAGCTTGATCCGATCGTTCATGAAACTGAAAGAAAGAACATCAACATTTTTTTATCCGGAGGACGGTATAATTCAACTTCAAATGATGTGTTACATCTTCTAATCCTGAGCTCACTACGAGGCTGTCTCGGATGCGGACCGATTGATCTAGGGAAGATTGAGTTTGCGTGTATAACGAATGTCTTCGATTTGGTGTGTAGAAAAGGAATGTACTTGAAGATTGATATTATTTTGTCAGGTAATATGGCCGGTAAACACGCATACCACATGACACTCCTGAACTTACTAACATACTTACACAGAGAGACAGATAAATTCATTGAAGAACCCATTACAATTCAAGAATATACATAGACTCCTTTCCGCAGCTAAGATTGTAGTTGTGCCCCCCCGTGAGATGAAGGACTAATGAGATGATCAGTAGCTGCATGATATGACCAAAGCGCTATTCGTGGTTATAGCTCTGATTCATCGCAGGATTGCATGCTTTCATAATGTGAAGTTCAAATTTTGCCGAATCAAAATCATGATGATCTCGAACCATAACGAACCATAATTATGAGGTAAGGGAAAGGCAATGGCGAAGGACAAGGAGCAACTTCCTTCGCAACACTCATTGTTGGCCACAGTCAAATAAGTGCAATTGTGAATAGGATTCCTTTGTTCTTTTTTCGAAATATACGCTCACGACCTCGCTTCGAGTTACAGAATTCGTGGTTCAAAAACCTAGAAGATCAAGGTGGATCATGAAGCAGGATCATGGCCTTTTGGCGATTACGCCGTACGCGTTTCCGATCCTTCCTCACGCATACGAAAGAGATCTACTACGTTGAAAAAGGGTGGAAGTAACAGATGATGATCTCTTATACCTTCATGTTGTGGCCCAAAAGAAAAAACATTAGGATCATGTTGTGGACCAAACGCCTTTCTGGAATTTGTCACTTGATCACTTTCCTAAAATAGTCTTTCGTCTTTTAAACGCAGGCCATTATGTTTTGATCTGATTCATCATTAATGTGAAGGTGTTAGGCCCAGCGGCGCCCAAAGCACTAAGTCAGACAACCGGTTAGTTTTCACCTCGACAATATTAGACTTATCCTGTGCAACAAATCATTAATGTTTCTACGCGACAGCATAAAAGGGCGAGTACTTTCTTGACTACACGTTTTCACACTGACTATATTATATAAAACGAGTTGTTGATGTCATAAACTTGTCCGAACTTGTTTTCTATTTTGAGTCACAACAACAACATCATCTACGTACATTGATTTGATCATTCTACAACTACTAAGGTCCAAAGAAACTCAAGAGAAACAAAATGTCGTCTGGACAGCCAAAGCGAAGATTTATGCCTAAGGCTCCAAAGCGGGCAGCAGCGCCTAGTGGAGGAGCTTCGCAACCAGCTGCAAAAGCTGGAGCACAAGCGGTGCAGAGGCCAACTACTTCCAGCGCATCTGCAGTAAATAAGAATAGACCTGTTGTAGCAGCTTCATCTGAAGGAGTAGATGCACTCTTCGAAGAAGGTGTACAAGAAGGGCAACTTCAAGCGCAAAACGGGAGTGCAGGGAATGTTGCTGGTATTTGATAAGGACTTTCGTAGTTAGCAGAGAGTGCCTAGAATCGACTTTGTACCGTTCTTTGGCATCACTTTGAGGATGGGACCGCAAATAGTTAGATCGGAATCATTAAAAGACTGAATGCAAAAATTGTGGTGAAAGGTTCATTACAACAAACCAACAGCGTCTGCTCCCGCGTCTATGTCAGTGGGCACCCATCTGCCTGCTACCTCTTCTTCTTCCGCACAAGCACTTCCGGTAGCTGGTAAGCGTGTCGTATCCAATCATGACTCGAAGAAGTCCTCTACGAGTGCTAGTGCAGCTCCTAAGAAAAGTAGTACAACTACTAGTTCAAGCACAACCTCCCGTAGCGGAACGGGTCTAGGAAGTAGAGGAATCGGGCACGGTATTGGTTCTTCCAAAGCTTCCGCAGGAGCTTCTAAATCCGCTTTAAGTGGCGGACCCAAGAACATTATGTCCGCCTCTTCTTTCATGCAGCGCCAACCATTTAGTGGCGTCAGTCGTGTAAGGGATGCGGCAAACCCGTCTAGAAAACTGGAATCCGTGTCTGAATATGCCGGTGGAGACTCGGAGACGTGTAACCGACCGCTAACCCTTCCTTTTCTAGAAGACGAGAACTCGATGTTGCCTAGAAGCGACTTGCATCAAATAGGGAAGCATTTGATGGAGGAAGTAGTGGAGAAGGAATTATCTCCTGATAAAAATAAAGACGAGATGGATTCGTGTTCATCTAGCGTTGCTGAGAAAGAAGCTTTGCTGGACGACGTAGATGCTAAGAGTAAAGATGCTAGTAAGAAAGAGAAAAATGCGCCAAATTTGGGGACGCATTTCTGTCGATTAAACGCGGAGACTATGGAGGTTGAAGACAGCTCAGACTTCGTGTTTCTACAAACACCTTACTTACTTCCAGCTGCCAGTAATGTTGCGTCCTCAACACAATCACCAGCTGAGCAAGGAGAAACTACAGGTACAACTACCCCCACCACTCAAACAACAGCGACAACAACAACAGCCATGTGCTATCCGTCTGGAGAAATCGGAGAACTCCGAATGCACAAGAGTGGCAAACTTACGATGCGGATTGGACCAGACTTGATCTTCGAAATTGATCGAGGGTTGTCGAAATGCGCACAGCAACTGATGGCGATTTGTCCGTATCAAGATGAAGCGCTCTTCCTCGGTGGAATGGAGGAAACATTGACGGTCAGACCTAGTTTGTCCTAGACACGAGAACCCATGATTATGACCTGGTATGCAACAAATCTTCCATGACGCAACCGCAAGCTACATTAAGCACGACTAACACAATCCTTAACCTTATCTTCCCACCTCTTGACTACGAACGTTTCAGTTACCCCTCAAATAAATTTCGCCGCACCTTTTGCGTTTGGTAACAGACTATGAGCTTTGGATCACGATCACCACTGACCATGTATGCAGCAGCTGCCGTCTTTTGTGTCGGTTAAGTGCAGCGACGTTTTGTATCCTTCCGAGTCAAGAAGTGTTCTGCGACGAGACGAAGCGATCTATGCTCTAGTGACGAGAAGAAGATGATGTGAATAGAAATTCAGTAACTTTTTTCAACTATGTGAAGTTGTAGACCCAGTTGTAAAAAGTCTGACACTGTATAGATAACTTAGTTGATTCATATAGATAAATTGTGATCATTAGTCTATCATACAATGACATTGTATAGATACAGATGTGTCTATACAATGACTGTTTTTATAGTGTAATATTAACTTAGTCCATCACTGTATGTCTGTGTTATCTCTACAACTAAAACTCTGACACTCTTGTATCTTTGTGAAGTTCGTTGTAGACGCAGGAATAAAACTTCTTAACAATGATCCGCTTCTGAGATTGGCCGTAGAACTCGGGAGCCCGATACATCGGTGGCATCTCAGCCAGCTCCACGAGTAGTACCTGTCCGGAGTTGCCTAGCATGAGGGCCCTCCGCATATTCGAAAACTCAAAATAACCGAGTTACTGACTGAAATATGGAAGGCAGCTTACTGTCGAGGCTACCCTTCCTTTTCATCGGTATCTCAGTTATTCTGATCAGTTACTTGCTTATTTCAGTTTTTCGAATATAAAAAAAAATGATCCGCTTCCGCAGTGTATCAATCCCCTTTGAGCGATGTGTATTTCACCCATGCACCCTACGCCCCATTTGTCCGTGAAACACGCTCTCCCTTTTCCTTTTCCAGTGATGAAAAAGTGTTGAAATTTTTGGTTATTTTGTGGTAGCAATTCGTTCCCCTCCGCATGCAGTTTTGTTCTTAATTACCGCATATTGCCGTTGACTAAACTGTCAGTTCTTTCGTAATTCAGAAGTCAAATCCGAATCGGCTAACATCATCAAGAAATCAAAAGCTGGGAGAAACCATCATTGTCCGAAAGAACGCTAATTACATCAACTCACTCGCGCTTAACCTTAAACGGCTGATTCTTGCCACAATGCCGTTTAAGTAATGTCTTAGTGTTGAAAATGAAGTTGCTCCGACGAAACGTCGACCCTACTACGAAAAGTGGGTCTGTTGTCTTGATCCCGGAAGAAAGTGAGGACCTCTGGCATCTGTACAATCTTGTGGCACGCGGAGATTGCGTCACTGCTCAGACATATCGGAAGGTAAACCTTTTGTGATGGGTGTTGTACTTAAGCTTAAGGTAAAGGTGTAGAAGTTGCAGTACCCTTGTGTTGGCGATGACGAGCATGTCAGGCATTTAATAATAATCTGAATTTTGATGATGTCCGGGGTTCTCAAGTATAAGTGATAGATTGATATTGCAAACTAACAGGTAGAAAAAGCCCAAGCCACTGGCACAGTTAGCAAAGAACGACGTCGAGTTCGCTTGAAAATCGAGATCACAAAAGACGTCGATTACGATGCAGAAGGTGACGAATTGCGATTTCCCGGTGTCAATGTCGCTGAGTGCGAGTACGTCCCTCTGGGAGCCAATCATACCATCAGTTTAGAGCTAAACGAGAAGATTGAGATCGAAAAAAATGCCTGGGATACAGTGCATCTGGACATCATCCGGGAAAGCACGGACATTCGCGCCACCAGTGATACATGCGTTTTGCTCCTAGATCAAGCACAAGGACTAGCGCAGTTTTTCTTTCTCACAAATGTGTTGGCGAAAGTGGTATTCAAAGTGCAAACCATGCTGCCGAAGAACCGGAAGTTTGAAAAGGGGAATTTCGACAAAGCATTGAAGAAGTTTTACGACAGAATAATCGAAGGGTTCAAGCTGCACGTCAATTTCGACAATATCAAATGCGTAGTTTTGGCCGGACCTGGGTTTTTGAAGACAGAGTTTTTCAACTACTTACGAGACGACAACGGAAAACGGGCAGCAGAGATTTTTTCGGGCGGACCTGGTCAGGGAGGAGGGCCTTCGACGACGAAGGGTGGGCCTTCTGGTGGTGCGTCGAGTTCATCTGCGAGTGGCTCCAGCGCTGCTTCAGCCCTACGACGCCTAAATGAAATCTTCTTCGAGGCGAACTGTAGCACAGCGAACAAACAGGGACTTCAGGAGTTGCTGGAACAAGAAGGAGTAGCCAAACGGATCGCATCGACGAAAGCTGGGGAACAGATCGAAGGTTTGGATCAGTTATATAAGCGATTAGCGACAGATCCAGAAAGAGCGTGCTATGGGCCTGGACAGGTAATCTAATTGTTGAGGTGCGCTTGTACATAGGTGTGCACCAGCGAGTACATAGGTGTGCAATCAAGTGAATTTTTTTCGAGCTTGGGTAGATCGATTGTTCGTTTGATCGACTTAAATTACTCTAGACATTGACATCATCTACATCAGAAATCGCAGGTCCTCTTCGCTCTTCAAAACGGCGCAGTGGAGAAGCTGTTTCTTACTGACTCACTTTTCCGTCAAAAAAAGGATTTAGCTGATCGTGCCAAATACGTGGAGATGGTCGAATTATGCCGAGAGCTGACTGGGAGAAGAGATTCTGTTGTGATTTTTTCATCACAGCATGTTTCTGGCGAGAAATTGTCTGCGTTGTCGGGAGTAGCGGCTTTGTTGAGGTTTCCAGTCGAGAACTTGGATTGCATAGATTCAAGCGATGAGGAAGGGGAGGACACTGCAGATCCAGGTGTAGGAAACCAAGGCGCTGGCGGTAGGACAAACGATGCACAGCATCACAACAACATGCAAGACGGTGACGACGATCCATTGGGTGGACTAGGATTATCACCAGCAATAGCACATGGTCAGCCACAGGGAGGCCATTGGAATGAAATGGAAGATACTGGGCCTGCTCCAAGACCTGAGGATGCTGGAGATGCGATTGATGAATTGTTTGGACTTTGACGAAAACCATTTTTCCATCACAACGAACACACAAACTTCCCTCTTCAACTCTCCGCCATAAACTAATTCCTTCGATCCCTGTATTCGAACCGCGCATGAAACATACATCAAAAGATGCCGACTATCGTCGTGATTCTTTCTTGAGCATCACCTTATCTTTCCGAAAAGCTTCCGAGCATGACGTCGGACTATGAGGAAACCGAAGTAGGTGAGATTCGGAAGTGCGAACTCTTCGTAGCATCTGTTGACCACCGAATGAATGATCGGTAGTAAGAACAGCGGGCAAAGGTAACGGACGAACTTCGGTATTCGAGATAGACTTGGTTTTCGGTTATCCACAATCGGTTTTTCAGTTGTGCGGAATGGAACCTTCGGTTGTGGTCTTTTGCAGTGCCATATGTCGTCCGTGATCGGCGTTGTCTGTAGGTGGAAGCACCGATTTGCCTTCTACGATCCTGCCAAGCCCAGCCTTTCCCACCCAGAAGAAAAACGGCAGATGATTCCGTACCTGTAAACTTAGTAGTACTAGCAAATTTGATACATCTCATTTGACATCCCTTCGTGAAACAAGTCAGAACAAACTGTCAAGAAGAAGAAGGAGTCATTCTTCAATCACCAAACAACAAAATGGCATCCACTCTTTCCGAGCAAGGCACCTCAGCCATGCCACTCTTCGCCCTCTCCAACCCCATGCTGGACGTGCATAATGCCATATCGCTTGGTCTTGAGTCAAAACTCAATGCTTTGGACTATTCAGCGCTGATGTCGCGTACGCTTCAAAGGCTGAGGCAGGATTTCGAACTTTGCGCGACGCATGGAGACGATACAGTGACAATTGGCGATACAAAGGAGAGCACTGATGCATGTCGGTTTATTCTGGAAGTTATGTTGATGGGAGGGTTGTTCAAGACCGATCCAACACGCAATATTCAAGTTGAGGGGATGTGTCGTGTGGTCTGATGTTGCATCCTGTTGGCCTTAGCCAAGCAGTTTTAGTTCTCCTGGTCAGTTCGCGGTAAAAGAGGCTAACAGAAGGATGATATGAAAATTGAGAACAACGACTACATTGCTAACCACCACTTAAACCTGATGCAGCGTTGGCGGCAGTTGGCTGGGCCTAAGCAAGCATTGTTCCGACGTTCCTTGGACCTTTTGGGGGCACGAGTAGAGGCGCTGGTTGGAGAATTCACGCGATTCCGAAAGCTACGCGAGGCTGATGCTGGTACGAGTGGTCCGCGATTGAACGCTGATGGAATGAAACAAAAGCTTGTGGATGACTTGCTTTCACAGGTTGGGGATGAAAATGGAGATGGTGGACCTCGTTCCGGGCCAAACGTGAGCGGCAAAGTCAAGGCGACAGGCTCTACGTCAACATCCTCCACTGCTGAAAATGTACAACCAGCGAGTATGACAGAGAGCACGCTTTTACCGGATCATCAGAAGAGGCTCACTGCTACCGAAGCCAGAAAGCTAGTGCGACAATTGCCAGTTGGTGAGCGGCCACCGCTCAAATTTTCGACGGTGGAAGAAGAACCGAAGGAGAAAGTGGTGACAGAGTGGGTCGTCAATATGCATAAGGGAGGACCACTGTTTGTCAAGCGTTTGAAGAGGATACCGATAGATACTGTCGAGGAAGGAGGTGGAGATGGGCCGTCAGCTGCAGATGAAGCGCTTCTGGGAGACGACAATTTTTTGAATCAGCCACCACCTGGTATGGAAAGAACAGCAGGAAGAATTTTTCTTTAGCTAGCTTTGGATGTAGGTGCGAAGTTGTAAAATAATCGATCCAGGTACATGATCAACGAATTAAGTACCTTATCGTGGAGAAGGAGATGGCTTCTTATCAGTGCACTGCAAAGCAAGACTCGGCGACTCCGACGGTGCCAATTGTTCTCCAAGAGAGCAACATCTGGAAGAAAATGCCCCTGAATGCTGGGTGGAGCTTAGCACGAAAAGGGGAGTCTTGTCTTAGATTGTTCATGGAGTTCCAGTACAATCGTACAGCATGTAACAAGGGCAGCATGTAGGTTCGTATGGTTCTTTCTCATTCACCCTTGTGCTCACACCAGGCTGTGGAAAAAAATCGGTCACGCTCTCTTCAAAGATCCATGCTTTGATAATCTCTTGCTTGAGGAACGCTCTTGTTGCTCAACAGCTCTATTTGTTTAAGTACTGACAATTCCAAGGTCCGAGAGAACCAACAACATATTTGAACCGAGAAGGTCACAGGTCAACTATAGTCAATCTGAGGTGGAGAAGTAGAGATAGTTCGAGGATCAACATAAGAGGAGGATCAGGATGCGTACTCAGGTGAAGGTCTTGCTTGGAGCTGGTACGCTCAGTGCCGTCGCTTCCACGAAGTCACCCGCGTCTGGCGTTTCACGTGTGATCCAACTGCTTACCTCACTCAAGCAGAAGGTGGAGACGGAAACCGCGGCTGGTGCAAAGGAGGCCGAAGCATACGCAGATGCGTGCATCAAGAGCGTGACTGAGCTCGAAGCAGATGTGAAGTATGGCGGCGAGAAGGCAGACGAGTTCGCGGCCATGCAGGAGAGCGAGAGCGCAAAAGCAGACGGATTTTCTGTCGAAGTTGCGACACTAGGTCCGCAAATCGCCAAACTCCAAGAAGAAAAGAAAACGGCTGGAATCGTAATACCAAGACATCTGAGTTGAGACAAATTAATGTTAAGAGGCGTTCGTCAAGAACAGCGTTTCTGACAATGACATTTACACTTTCACCAGTAGTTCCTTGGCTAGCGAAGAATATAGATAGCGGATTTCAAAAATAGTTACTGTATGATGAACTTCAAATCCCTACTAGGTCCGCGCCGACGAGTCCAAGACCTTCCAAGGTGAAGAAAACGAGTTAGTCGAGGCCAGCACTATGCTGACCCAGGCTTACTCCGTCCTCAAGCGATCCCTCTCCGGTTCCACCGCCTTCTTGCAACAAGCTCCGGAGGGAGACCGAGTTAAGAAAGTGGTTCAGGCTTTGTCCGCCGTTGTCTCCGCGTCTTGGATTGATGCCAAATCTACCGACAAAATCAAATCTTTTCTCGAGGCTGATGACAGCTTGACTCTGAAGCAACCGCAGGCTATTGTTTCCGCCTACGAAAGCAAGAGCGGAGGAATCTTGGATGCCATTGAGGATTTGCAAGTACTATTTTTGGTTTGAGATGGATTCATTTGGACTTAGATTTAGAAAATTTAGATTTTCGAGCAACGCGCAGCTTGCTTCTTTAGACCAAAGTTCTCTTTGAAACTGGTCGAGTCGTTCTTTGCATTCTCTCGAGTTCATCATGTTCTCACTGTTACATCAACCCCAGGAGAAGACCGCCGAGAGTTTGTCTCATCTCCGATCCAAGGAGATGGACGCCAAGCATGCTTATGAGCTCCTCGCTCAAGATCTGACGAACCAAATCTCTACCAAGGAGGATCTTCTTGCCGCCGCCAAGCAGAACCAGGCTGATGCCGCCGAAGCCGCTGGCAAGGCTGGCGCTGACTTCGCTGCGACCTCTGATGCGCTCGCCAGCGACAAGCAGTCTTTGGCCGACACCAAGGCTGACTGCCACAAGGCCGCTGATGCTTGGACCGCCAGAAAGGCCTCTGCTGATGACGAAATGGACACTCTGGCCAAGGCCATCGAGATCCTGTCCGGCAAGTTCTCGCTTTTGCAGACCAGTGCCCATGTTGTGAGGAAGGTTATGGCAACACATATAATAAGTAAACCGGTTAGTTTTTACCTCTCAACCTTAGGCTTATCCCATGAAGCAACAAATAAGTAAAACTCAGAAGTATGATTTCCTGCTAACACGAAGAGCTCGACAATAACACCTTGCCCGTCCTCCCTATACCCTTCCTTCCTTTCATACCCCGTTCCGACGAGTTCGAGATCCGCGAGAAGGCTTCCGCCATCCTCCGCCGATTGGGACACAAGTTCAACAACTTTGGTCTCCTCCAGGCTGCCTCATCCGCTCAGGCTGATACCTTTGGAAAGGTCCGCACCCTCATCAAGGACATGATTATGAAGCTCGAAGAATCCGCAGCCGCTGAAGCGTCCAAGGAAGCCAAGTGCAAGAGCGACATTGAGAGCGGTATTTCTCCTACAACTACTACTACTGGACAGTTTTTAGACTTGTTATTCTTCGGTTTAGATGAAAATGAAATGGTGAGACTCGACGTGATGATGGATTCTTGTCAATCGGTAATGTAAATACCACCGCAAACAACCAGCAACCAACTCCAGTTCAGAACACCCTCTCCAACATCCTCCTTCAATCTTCCAATAACAATAACCGTCTCCAGGCACGCGCGACGTCAAGGTGAAGGGTATGCAGATGAAGAAGGTCCAGACCCGATTGGATGCCTCTTCTGCCAAGAGCTCTCAATTGACCGTCGAGATTGACGAATTGAACACCGAAATCAAGGACTTGGGCGTTGCTATGCGTGCCGCTACCGCTATGCGCACCGAGGAGAAGAAGTCCAACGCTGCCGTCGTAAAGGATGCGGAGGAGGCCATTGAGGCTATCAACGGTACTTCGGTTTTAGATTTGGATTTCGAAGTTGAATGTGCTGCATTTGTGATTCGATACAATTTAGTTTTGCAGGGAAAGAGAGAGAGAGAGATCTACGCGGAAGAAAATCAGAAGACTATCTAAACTTACCGCACCGACCATTCGCATCATACACCCACCTTCTGCCCGAACCTCTAACAGGTGCCGTCTCCACCTTGACCGAGTTCTATGGTGGTGCTTCGTCTCTGCTTCAGACCAACCAACCCCAGACCGATGCTGCTGGTCCGATCATCGCTATCCTGCAACAGGCCCAAACCGACTATGAGAAGATCCGTCAGGAGACTGAGGCTGCTGAAGAAGCCGCTGAGGCCGACTACGAGAAGGACATGCAGGATGGAAAGGTGTCTCTGGCCAAGAAGAAGGCTTTGGTCGAAGGCAAGACCGCTGAGAAAGCGACTTTGAAGGTTATGGGTCTCTTGTAAATTTAGAAGACTTTTCGTTAGTCGTGCCAGACTGGTGTGCTGCATAATCCGGTTTCTTGACACTATGCAGAGCTAGAACATGAGAAATCATCTCCTGTTGACTTATCAATGTTCTTCTACATCAGAATCTAAATCTATCCGCACCTCCTCTAACTTTATCATGATCGCCCAACTGGATGACGACCTTGGTAATGCGCAGAAGGCGTACGAAGCGTCTGTCGGCTTCTTGAAGAACAAGAAGGAGGAATGTGCCAACAAGGCCATGTCCTACGAAGAGCGCAAGATGCGACGTGAGGACGAGATCAAGGGTCTTCAGGAGGCTCTGGAAATCTTGTCGGCTGAAGAATAGATTATTTGACAGCTCCTGGGCTTGTTCAAATAGGGAGGGATGCTTGGTCTTTTGACTATATGACATGCTTGTAATCATTGATTTGGATTTCACCGAATCATGGATAGAAAGCCATAATATGGTCGTTGTTGTCCTGTCATAGATGCACCATAGGAGTCTGGATGCTTTCGTTTCATTGAATGTACGGTGCCCATGTGTACAGTCCTTAATCATGCTAGGGGTCGTCATATACAAACACACCACTTTTACCTAATATTTCAACCTTATTTCGGATTCGGTCGTTATTTCCACGATTATCAAATATTTATGTCAAGGTCAACAAGCACAACATGATTTCCACAGATACTACTGCCTAAAATTTCCAATGTTTTCCTTCAATTGTCTTTTCCAAGCAGCATTTTAATCAAACTATTTCATCCACTGTACTGCTGACAGACGTGATACTATGCGTTACGTGAATGTCATTTTTCTATGCGGATTGTTTTGTACTTGTTTGTGACTGGTGAGGCCCTCAAGGAAACGGAAGCGCTGGCCAATGGGGGAGCTGAAAGGAAGTCGAAAGGTGTTTTTTTTTAAAATCTCTGTCGACGTAATCGGTTGCATTCTCTGTGAAACGACTTATCGGACGAGAGAGACGAATCACGACGAGTCGACGCTGTCTCGTCACCACCACGATGAAATAAAGGAAGGCTGGGCAAGAAGAGAAAAATCGAACTCGATGAGCACGAGGATAGCGGCGCTTTCAGGGGAGAAAGTTGACAAATGTGGCGCGCGATGTGGCGGATGTACCTTGTCCTCATCATACTGCAAAGTTATTGTGTAGGACATTTTGAAACATGTGTACGTAGATAGTCATCAAGTAGTCATCACCCAAGAAAGATGCATCGCGTCGGAGCCGTCGCGCGCCATGTGCGCTGTTCTTCCCCGTCAGCGCAGTCGTCAGCGCGACGGGGCATAGCCTCGGCGAAGCAGCGTGGGTCGATCGTTCAATCGTTCAGCGACACTCACAATTACTCGTTGGAAGGAGGAAAGGTAATACCGCTACTGTCATGAAACTCGCTGTTGTAGATCATACTGCTATGTTGGAAACGATATCTTTTAGTGTTGACCCTGACGACCGATCCAATGAATTACAAATCGTATCTTCAGGTCCTCATCGCCAATCGTGGCGAAATCGCGATACGGATTGCCAGAGGAGCGAAGGAGCTTGGTCTTAAATCAGTCGCTGTGTACGCTCCTCAGGACTCGCAAAGCCCTCACTTGCAAGCCGCCGACGAGGCAGTGGAGCTCCCCCTTGTTGATAAAGGCGCGAGCCCGATCGCGCCTTATTTGGATATTCTTATGAGCAGCTGGCAACAGAAGATACTAGGAGTAGTTTTGTAGTCGTAGCGCTTCGTTGGCTTCAAACGGGAAGCGTTTCAAACGGGAAACGGGTCTGTGCGTATCTCGCCTTCTGAATCTCGCCATCCGCGAAGCTGTTTTCGTAGTGCGGCCCTTTGTGTGCGTTCACGTTCAGCATACATTCTCCTCGGTTCGTCTCATTTCTAACGCTCCAGCCCTGACCAACGTACTCCGACAGCACAATTGCGATTTCGTACATCCGGGCTACGGTTTTCTGAGCGAATCAGCGGATTTTGCTGCGTCGGTCCAGGATGCAGGAAAGACGTGGGTCGGTCCAGATCCAGGCGTTCTGCGGTTATTCGGCGACAAGGTAGCAGCACGAACGCTAGCGATAGACAATAAAATCCCTGTAGTGCAAGGTAGTCCGAATCTAGAAAACGCTGACGTGTGTGAAAAATGGTGCCAAGAACAAAGCGCTTCTAGTGGGTTTCAACTTCCTGCTATCTTAAAAGCGGCGTACGGTGGCGGAGGCAGAGGGATGAGAATCGTCCGCGAGTGGAAGGAGTTGAAGCCGAACTTCGACACATGTCAAAGAGAAGCGATGACGGCTTTCGGAAGAGGAGAAGTCTTCATTGAAGAGTTCTGGAACCGAACGAAGCATTTGGAGGTACAGATATTGGCGGACGGAGGTGGTGGCGTGGTGCATTTGTTTGTTATGGAGAACATAGTCAAGGATGGGCGTCTACCACCACCGGTGGTTTTGTCAACTACTAAAGGATTTCCTTAGTGTAGAAGTTAACAGGATCATCAATCGACGTACGGTAGTGCAGCACTAGACAGTCGAAGTTCTCTTCTAATGCCCAACGCGACTGCACAGTTCAGCATCGGCATCAGAAAATGGTGGAGATGGCTCCAGCTAGGGACATACATCCAGAATTGCGAAAAAAACTGACAGACTGCGCAATAAGTCTAGCGCGTGCAAGCGGTTATCGCGGAGCGGGAACAGTGGAATTTTTGGTCAGAGGGAGTCTGGATTATGGATGGAGTAATTGCAGGCAGATCAAATACAAATGACAGCTAGTGCAGATGATAGTTGTTTCGAGTGTCGTCTAAAATGGTCGAGTCTTCTCTCTAACTTACTTTATCAAGAGCTGTTAACTGAATTTATAAGAAATCCTGCTACAAATCCCTCTAAGGCCCAGACGCCAACGCCAACTTCGTGTTTATGGAGATGAACCCCCGTGTGCAGGTCGAACACACTGTGACGGAAGAAGCCACTGGACTGGATATCGTTCAGGCGCAATTGCTGATCGCAAGTGGCAAGTCCTTGGCTGATCTGGACTTGGTGCCGGAGAAAATCCAGGAGAAACGATACGCCTTGCAGTGTCGCGTAACGATGATGCCTGGTGGTGGGGAGAGGATATCGGAATACGCGGAGCCCGTGGGAGACGCTATTCGTGTAGACTCTGCGGGGTTTTATTCCGGTCTCAAACCAAATCAAATGTACGACCCGTTAGTCGGGAAGTTGATTTGTTGTGGCAAGGACTTCACAGAAGCGTTGGACTTGACGAAGAATTAAGGGTTTCCGAATTACATCCCTCACTACCATCCTTGGCTCCTTTTCAAGGGGCTCAAATAGGTCAAGGATGTTCTGAAGATGAATGCAATACCTTACCACTATCTAAAAGAAGGCACTGGTGGATTTTAAGATCGTCGGAGTGAATAGCAATTTGCCAGCTTTGGGAAGGATCGTCCGACATCCAGAATTTGTGGACAATACCATGTGCACAGACCTGACAGCAGAGAATTCGGAGCTTCTACAGCTGCCAGGATGGGATAAAGCAGGGAAAGTGAAAATTATCCGTTCATGATAAATCAAATAGTCACACATTTACTGTTGTCTCTTTAAAGGAAACACACTTTCTATATCAATCCAACAACAAGCTAGACCACTAGCGGGGAGAAGTCGCCAGGGAAATCTTAGGCAGATCGTCGAGTGGATTCATTTTGTCAATGTCGATAGTCCAGAAGTGCCACATCTTCGCGAAGAGTTTCGCTAGAAGTACTTGCCAAATTTCCTTGATTTCCCCACCTCTAATCCCAAGCCCGTCGTCCAGAAGCCAGCAGAGAAGAAGTATAGTGAGGTTCTGGTAGAACAGAAAGTCTTGACTCCGATGACTGGCAGCATTCTCGAAGTCCGGAAGCAAGTTGGCGATACAGTAGAAGTTGGTGACGTCGTGATCACAATGAGCGCGATGAAGCTTGAGACGGAGGTGACGTCGCAGCTTAAGGGGAAGTTAAGGCGTTGACACTAGATTCAACTATTCGGTTTCGAATCGCAGTTTGTTCCTGACTAAGATGACAAGAAATTCTGGGGAGTAGAAACTACTCACTGAGTTCTCATGGTTCCAAGCCGATTAAGTAGGACCTCTTAACCAACGAGTAGAAACCGAATCATACTTACATTTTGTTTCACAGTTCATCGTCTAATCAAAGTAACTCGCATCGAGTGTAAACCGGGAGATCAAGTGTCAACAGAGCAGCTTTTGGCTGTAGTTGAGGGCTACGAAGAAATCGCGCAGGAAGAGGCAGACCTAAGTGGAGGTACAGCGGTTGTGGTTATGAACGGGGGATATTTCGACTTTGGCATTGGCTTATTTCTTTCTGTAAGCTGCATCTGCAAGACAAAAACAAGGAATATTAGGAAATTGGAAGTCATCTCTGCAAACTAGTGCCACCTCTCACTCTAACTTCTGCGGAAGCGCCGGTGGCAGCGCAGCAGCAGCTTCGGACGCGCGTAGTGCCAGTAGCGCGTGGGGCGTGAGCCCTGAAGACTATGTGGCTTCTCTCCACGCCGCCTTCTCCCAGACAGTTGCCTCACTTAGATCCTCAGTGAACACATCCGATGCGAAGGCAACTGTTCGTCGTGAATGCAACGAAAGGCTAAAAGGAGAACTACGCCAGAAACTAGAGGAAGTTGCGCAAGGAGGGGGTGAGAAGTACGTAGCTGTCCACAGGAAGCGTGGGAAGTTGTTGCCACGAGAAAGGGTTGAGAAGATCATAGATCCCGGTAGTGAGTTTCTGGAATTGTCTGCTTTGGCTGGGCACGAGCTGTACCCGGAAGAAGGTCCGTTGCCTTCTGGGGGCATGGTCACTGGCGTTGGACTGGTGTGCGGCCGCGAAGTCATGTTCGTTGCGAACGATGCTACGGTGAAGGGCGGCACCTACTTCCCAGTCACAGTCAAAAAACACCTGCGAGCACAGCAAATCGCTCAGGAGAATAGATTGCCTTGTGTGTACTTGGTGGACAGCGGAGGCGCGTTCTTGCCGAAGCAAGACGAGGTCTTTCCGGACAGAGACCATTTTGGAAGAATATTCTTTAATCAGGTACTAAATACTTCTAGGGAGGAGCGTTTGTTCTCAAAGCACTAAAGTAAAACGGCCGGTTAGAAGTTTTCACCTCTATCCCTCGGCTTATCCCTTCAAACAAACTATGTATTCTCAATCCTGTGAACCAACCAGCACTGAGAGCAAAATTATCTTTGCTGCAAAATTGTACTTTATCGACAGTCTTCGATCTGATCGAGATCAACTATCCCACACACACCCTCCCCCACAGGCCCGCATGTCACAACAAGGGATTCCGCAGATTTCAGCAGTCTTGGGAAGTTGCACGGCAGGTGGAGCGTATGTGCCGTCGATGTCGGATGAGTCGGTGATCGTAAAAGGAAACGGAACAATTTTCCTCGCTGGACCTCCACTGGTGAAGGCGGCCTTGGGGTTAGGAGTTGTGGTTTTTGATTTTTCGATTTGCCCTTGTTCGCCTTCCTCGCGTTCGCATGAAGATCTAGTTGACCTTCTTAGTTTTCGCATCCTGCTGCATATGATGTGACATTTAATTTGGATCAAGGAAGTAGGTTGATAGGTCGAGTTGTTGTACCTCTTTCTCTAACAACCGAAGTAGTCTCAGCCGAGGACTTGGGTGGTGCTGAAGTTCACACAGCAAAGTCTGGCGTCGCGGACCACATGGCTTCGGACGAACAAGCTGCTTTGAAGAAGATACGGGAGATCTTAGCGGCTTTACCTCCGGATGAGACAGTGGAGCGTACTCCACCTGGTGTTGTATCTGGCACTACTCGCGCATCCCCTTTCGCAGACCCTCTATATCCTTTGTCGGATCTATTGTCGATCGTGCCTGAAGACAACCGCATTCCGTTCGATGTAAGGGAAGTATTGGCGAGAGTGCTGGATGGGTCGAAATTTTAAGAGGATGGATGTCTGTTGGACCATTCGAACATAAGTTCGACAACTAGTTTTTGTTTCCATTCGACAACTAGTTTTTGTTTTCCATAACCTAACCTAACCTTTCCCAGTATGCTGTCCCTGTTGATTGTGTACGCGCATGTGAAGTTCGAGGTAGTTGCAGAGACAGGATATTATTTCTTTCATTCTAAGATTCCCACGAATTCAAGGAACGCTTCGGCACTTCTATCGTCTGTGGATTCGGAACGATTTTTGGTCTGCCAGTCGGAATCGTCGCGAACAACGGAATCCTCTTCTCAGAATCCGCTTTGAAAGCAACCCATTTCGTCCAGCTTTGTGGGCAGCGAAGAGTACCTCTTCTGTTCTTGCAGAACATTACCGGTTTCATGGTCGGCCAAAAGCTGGAGAACGAAGGGATTGCGAAGAACGGAGCCAAGATGGTGACAGCGGTGAGCTGTGTGGACGTGCCGAAAATTACACTACTATTTGGAGGGTCGCATGTTACGGTTTTTACCACAGTTTTTTCCCTTAATATCTTTTCCAGAAGTAGACCTGAATATCTACTACTTCGTGGCCTTGTCTTCTAATCCAAGTGCAGGAAATTACGGCATGTGCGGACGCGCCTATGATCCAAGGTTCCTGTTTTCGTGGCCCAACAGTCGCATTTCCGTGATGGGAGGACCACAGGCTGCGGCAGTGCTGAGTCAGGTGAAATCGGACCAAAACGTGGCAAGAAAGGAACCGGCTTTTTATGACTTCTGTGCCCGAATCTCGATGATGTAATTCTAGCACTCTGTTATATATTTGTTTATCCTTGTTCTACGTGGTCTACTGCAGAGGGAAATATAGGAAACCATAAATTAGCCATAATTATGAGGTCAAGAGTTTTTTGGAATAGAAACTAAGATTGCTAAAGCTTGCAGTCCCACCAAGTGTGGAGGCGAAGCAGCGGCATCCTATCCTATCCTATCCTATCCTATCCTATCCACGCAGAGTCCTCGTACTTTATCCTATCCACGCAGAGTCCTCGTACTTCTAACTCCCAACCGACTCTGAAAAAGAGGCCTTCGAAAAGCCCATCCTCGACAAATTCGAGAAGGAAGGCTCTCCTTATTACGCTTCCGCACGCTTGTGGGATGATGGGGTGATAGAAATTGAGGAAACAAGGAAGGTTCTAGGTAAGGCTCTTCGCATCGTCACCAGACAGATGCACGATGCGCAATTACCGAAAGAGAGGAAGGGATACGGGATTTTCCGGACATGATCCGAGTATTCTTGTTCTGTGGGGATCGATTTTACGATAACACCAGAATCGTCGTCATGAACAGTCGAAATGATCGCAGTATTCACATTTAAGAATTTTTGAATTTGAAACAATCAGGAAGATGTCATGTGTCATGCTAAAATGTTCTTCATTAGATTTTTTTAGTCAGTACCCATTTTGTGTAGAAAAGAAATTGCAATGTTTAGGGACTGATGTTGAGAGAGTAAAAGTGTAAGCAGGAGAGGCCGGTCTATTCTTAATCTTCATCCAGAACAACAATGGAATTGGTGGAAAGAAATGTCAACGTGTGAAGTCAAAATTTGATGCTGACTGACGATATCTTGATCTTCCGAATAAGAAATGTCTTGTATTTGATAATGAAATGAAGACAACCACGAACAGGAGTACACGTCTGCTTATTTCGCCGACACGCAACGCTTTCTTTCTGTCCAATGATGAAAATCCTAATCAACAAAGTGAAACTAGAGGAGAGCAAGAAGACGGAGACGTACTTTAATACTGGTTCTCCTTTTTCTCAGAATTTGAGCACTCCGGCATCTACGTTGATGTTGTCATGGAAACGTTTACAACAGAGTACTCGGTCAAGAATCAAATGATGTCGGACCGGAACAAGTGGAGTCTCTATATCCATATCTCTACAAAACTGATTTGTCATTGACATTCGTTTACTTACATGATCCTTTTCCATCTGACCCAAGAAAAACAATTTTTGGTTAGATATACTACAGTTTCACTGATCAAATTCAGTGCCACTCCCCAGGCGACACAAACGACAGTATCGAAGGCATTTGAAGAGAACGAGATGAATCAATTTTGAGAATGTTCTCACGCTAATTGTTTTTGTAACAAGGTAGTAACAGTATTAAGTCACTACAACTAGTGCAACACCAACAGCCTTACACGCAAAGCTCCTCTAGTTTCTTGGCCATTCCCAAGAATGATGGTGAATATCTGAGTATCTTCTACTATGATAAGGGGCTTCCAATAAGAGGAAGAGGGCATCATGCCTACGACAATGAGCTCTTTTACCATTACCTCAAGTACCGACTTTTCTCAACAAGTATAAAGTAGACAAAATGAAGCGTGCTCCACCCACCGGGACTTCGTCCGAGGATGGAGCTAAACGGTACCGAACCGGTAACGATGTGGTCGATGACGGAGCAACGCCTGGCTTCTTCAATGGCACGGAGGATGAGGTTGGAGGTGAGTTTGGAGCAACACCTGTCAACTATTTCAACGCTACGTCGGGATTATCGAGGAGTACTTATACACATAGTTTTTATAATTTAGCTCTGGACTCCTGCAGCGTCCACGCCCGTGGCACTTGACCACGAAGAGTGTGGTGTCAGGTGGAAACTCTCGGCTCGCTCTTTACTATCCACAACTAGCAGTCCGGTTTGTTTTTGTTTCTTTCAGGAGTTTGCTTATAACACTACCTAGGTAGTATTTAGATGAACATCAAAAGCATTACAAGTACAACTAGTGTCTAACACTAAATATATGATCGTCCAAGTACCTCCATATTGCATTTGAATACAAAACAGGTAACGTGGATCCCAGCAAACCGAAAAATTTGGAGTACGATCCGGACAATGAGGACTCAGACGACGATGAGGATGAAGAAGCTCTGCTCGACCCTTTCGGAGGAGCAGGAGGAGAGGAAGGAGAAGGCGCTGGTGAAGATGCTGCACCACTCCCACGACCTGCGCCTGGTGTAGTACAACCGGTACCTCCTCCACCGCTGCCAGACGATAATGTACTTAGCCCAAGAGCGACGGCAGCAGCTTCATCTAGTAGGAATAATAGCCGTGGAGATGGAGCGGGAGAAGTGCCCCCTCAAGGAATTGACGGAGACGAGGATGGCGACATGGTCCCTTTCCATGTCCTAGTGATGGAACGAGATTACGATGACGATCAGCTAGACGCATGCGTGCCGAAAGTTAAGAAAGAAAGGTGGTTTTTTCTTGGTCACTACATGAGTTACATTCATAACAACACCAAATATCTCAAGAGAAATTTTATTATTGTTGCGCGAGGGAAATCAAGTCAAGTTTGATATTCGGGTATTAGTAATATTACGCCCAAATAAGTAGTAAAGTCTTCAACATCTTCATGATACTTATCGTCGACTTCATACTACTGGAGCGCGAGCATTTTTTGTAGTAGAACTAGAACGCCTCCTCATACTAGGCAGTCGACTTGATATCATTACTCTTACTCAGCCAATTCATCGTAGTACTACATCAGCATCGTTCTTCTAAGCCGTACCTGAAAGGAGATGATAAGGTGGAAGAGCTGATAAATACTTTAGTGCATGACCCAGACATCAGACCGAATGCTGCGTTCCAAGCTGCATTGGTAGCAAGGCGAAAAAGGGAAGCCAAGAGGCGTAAGGAAGTTGTTGAAGCTGAAAATTAAGAACTACAGAAGACAAAGACAAACTGAAAAATTGAATCACTTCTTTTCATCTCATCTGTGAAATTATATGTTTTTCGATTTCGACTACCTGAGGTCGTTAACAAGGTTACTTCTTTTCTACTTACTAGGGCTCTAGTGGAAGAACAGAAGAAACTGAAACTAAGTATACTAGAAGGAAGTGGTTACTAGTAAGTGATTAAGATCCCTGAACTACTGCGCTTCCAACGATATGCATACATAGAAGATAGAATAGCAGTAGCGGTTATAGTCGTTTTGGTCATTGTATTCGCAATTAGTTGCTTATAAATATGCGTTTGCGTAGTTACAACAACTCGTGATAATAATAATGCAAGGTGTCTATGATGTCCCATGAAAGAAGAATGGGTACAATAGTTCTAGTACTACCACTAAGAAAAAGCAGGAGAAGATGGCGCGAAGAAGCGAAGTAAATATACCAAAGCATTGGCCGCCAAGAACGGGAAGAAAGGTGCTGGCAAAGACCAGGGTCAGCAGTTTGGCGGTGCGCCTGGCAAAGACAACAACATGGGCAATAACGAGAGCAAAGGTCGTAAAGATGGGCTTGGTAAAGTAGATCATCAAGGTAATAAAGATGGTGTACTAGGCAAAGACCCTCCTCCGGTGGGTATCTTGATGCTGCAGGGTAAAAAAGGTAAGGACCAGCAAAGGATGGCATTAAAGGGCAAGAAGGGCAAGGGAAAAGATGGAAAGCCCGATGGAGGAAAGCTTGGAAAGAGTTTAGGCCTCATTCCATTTCCAGGCGATCCTTTTAGTAAGGCAAAAACGAAAGGCAGTAAAGATGGAGGAAGTTTTTTTGACAAAGATGGTAAGACTAAGGGAGGTAAAAATCCTAGTACTACAGCAACAACTTCTACTGGAGGTGACGATGGAGCTCCTTCTGCGGAGCTGAACGGTACCAAGGGCGCTACAGCAGCCTCAACAGGCTGGAACAATACGATAACATCTCGAACAAGAAGTGCATCTCATTCGTGGTACGAGAATGCTGATTATAGTACCCGAGACGAAAAAACTTGGGGTTCGGGGTTTCGCGACAACTACTGGGCAGGCTTCAAACCATCCTCAACATCATCGACAGCCAAAGCTGCCTCACCACCCACTGCCGTTTCCGTCGCCACAACAGCCGTCGGGAAAGCTGCGGGTCTTCTCGCGGTCAAGAGTCAAAGCGCCTTACCAGCAGGATCTGAAGCCGTCATGCGGATGGAAGACGAGGAAGGGGAGGATGAGGTCATGCCAGACGGGACGTTGCGGCCGAAACAAGCTGCGAAACAAGACAACCAACAAGACCAAGAGGCACCTCCCCAAGATCATCAAGATGATGTACCTCCTCAAGACCAAGATGATACATCAAAAGGGGAAATAGATGAGGAATTGACTGGAGCATACGGATACTTAAGGCTTCACCTAATCCATCTCTAAACCTAAACCTAATGAATCCATATCCATCCCTCGACCGTATGCACCCCCACCCCAATAGTACAACAGTCTAAGATACGACGTCAGGAAAGGGGAAGATCCGGCTAAAGGTAACCAACAGGGTATGGACACGAGCCGACCTGTGCCGAAGCAGTCGAATCAATACAGTTATGAAGAAGAGTTGTTTATTTATACTTTAACTACTTTAGAACTACTGTCCTCCAATTCATCTGATATCTTTCTTTATCAACAAAGGATCATACTACAGTGTGGTCTCAACATCATCTTTATGATCTTTATCATGTAGTTCCTACATCAAAGTGACATCAACTACTTTTTCTACTTAGAATTCGTGTCTATTGTATTGATCTCATCCAATCCAGAACCTAAATCCTAATCCTATGCCTAAGCCTATTCGACCAGAAATCTTATCCTAACCTGTCTATTCGAGTCTAATGTAAAACGAAAACGAAATTTCGAAGACCATGGATATTGCCGGATGGGACAACTGCGCCTGGGCATAGCGAAGAAGATAGATTGAGTATTTATGGCTATAGCGCTGAAGCATGTCTCCTTAGTTTCACGAGGGATGATCCTTGGTTCTTAGGTAGCTCTGTTGAACTGCGACAGAGAGGACCCACAGCTGCTGATTACAAGAGAGAATGCGAACGCCTCACTAGCTCTAAAGTATGCTTTACAACATGAGGGAGGCAACGGGTTGCGAGATTCCTCTGAGAAGAATGGACGATTTGAAAAGTCCCGCAGTGTACGTAAGTGTGGAAAGCGTTGCTTGGGTAGCTCAAGCGGCGGAGCAGATGGATGGGGAGGACAAGCCTAAAATCATGAAGATGACTGCGGAGTACTACGTATTGTACTTATGGCATGAGATGATTCAAATGAACTTGTTGTTAACCTAGTAACGTCATGCTGAAAATTCCTCTCCCAACCACCTGAGCAACAAGAAAATTCCTTGCAGCGCTCCACAGAGGCGCCTATATACTCTTCTATATTTAGATCGACACGTCTTCACACTCCTCTCGTCTCTCTAATCCCCAAGCCCTTCAATTGGACTTGTTCCAACGAGTGTGCGTTTGAAGTTCGGCAAGGATGTACAGGCGGCAAAGCGAATTACAGACCAGGAGCTCCGTTGAATGTCGCGGCTTGGCTCATCGCTACAGAGGGCAAGAACACGCCGTTTTTGTGCTATAATTATGGGGTCTTTCACAAATTTGATTTGGACCAGAAGGGCTTGGTGAACAGTCAATTCGGGTTACTGCAACGTTTGGATCGAGAAACCAGTGGATCGATTCTCGTTGCGAGAACAACTGTTAAGGTCAGCTTTTATCCATGTCTCTCGGGTGCTTCTTGGTACCCTTTTCTTCCCTTGTATTCTTTTCATGGGAATAAAGGGGTCCTCGAGAAGATGAGGGGTCCTCGAGATGAATAGAAGCCGACGCTAAAACTGAGGCTCATAAAAAACTGCGGAGAACCCAACAGAACCACATGTGGCACAAGGAATATTAAGGGTTTCCAAGTTACTCCATCCTCCACTGTCATCCTTGACCTATTTTTTAGCAAAAAAAGGTCCTCCAGGATGGTTTGAGGAAAGTAATTCTACAGCCTCGTCTAAGAGTGTGAATGTTTGGCCCATGGTCTAGTACCCGCACAGAAGTGGCGTGGAACCTTGTGCATTCCTTTGAAGAAAAGACACGTTTGCGTGAGGAGCGACGCCTATTATGGCATTACTTGTTACACTATTTTTACTGCATGTAAGTACTTGAAGGATGTGATTACCAGTTACGGCCCTATGAGTCACGACTATCACGACTCAGCGATAGGCTTCTACGATATCCCTCGGCACTCTTCTAGCAGACTTAGTGTCTGCCACAACCCTCGGAACTCTTCTATCGAACCACCTATGAGATGGAATCGTATCAGATGATGCTTTGGAGAAAATTATAGTCCCCAGCTTCGGAGCAACAGCATCGGGTGGACAAAAGAACAAGCTGGATGAAATTAGTCCATGTTTATTTCTATTCGTCCCTATCAGATGCTTTGGAGGAAATTAGTCCCTGTTTATTTCTAAGACTAGGGACAACTAGGACATCCACAACCAACTTACATGTTTATTTCTAAGATTACAAGACCGATGTGAACGGGATGCCGGTTTTGGACGAAAAAACGGGAAAGCCCATCTACAAATGGAATCAGACACGGCAGTTTTTGGTGACGAAGTGTGAGTTAAGGCTTTGATATCTATCATATCTCTTTTTCCTTTGCTGCCTGAAAGGGATACACTTGACTAGTACTTACCATATATGGACTGCTAATCTTATAATATATACACTGACTAGCACTTACCATATAAATATGGACACACTAGAACTTACGAGTACTAGTGAGTACATCTTCACTAGACAGTGGAGATGTACTCACTTGTTCAATAGTACTTACTAGTACGCACTTACCATATAAATATGGACTGATAATCTTACTGCTATGTTGTCGTATGGTGCCATGCTGAGACGTTATCACATGCCAGGTATCCGATACTAAACCAGGGATAATAGACTAGTAGTCAAAAATCTACTCACGCATTTTTCGCTGTGCGAATGCCAAGGAAATACTAGACTGAATAGTTCTTATCAAGCTTCCCAAAGGACATGAAATGGACCCTTTCTCTTCTTCTTCCTCCTCTTCTCACTCTCTTCTAAACTCTTGCTGTGATAAGTATAAACAGAAGCTCGCCAAGATTGATGGAATGTCGGAGCAAGAAGTCGAGGAGGAGATCTACAGGCAATGTCCCTATCTTAAGGGTTACCAAATTGCATCCCGCACTACCATCCTTCCCTTCTTTTCCAGTACGAAAGGAGTCAGGGATGATCTGAGGAATGTAATTTTGCAACCTCAAACTATCGGCGGGCGCAAATCGATCAGAAAGCGATGGAGTTGACGAAAGTTGCAAACGTGACCGTGAAGAAAAATCAATACAATGAACAGGAAATCAAAAGCGACTGGCATTGCCTCGAAGGGGGATTCGCGACTGTGCTATAGTACTTATGTTACTACTTCTAACTTCTATTTTTTACCTCGTAGAGGCAGGATTCGCGACTGTGCTATAGTACTTGTTAAACTACTTGTTCTCTTTAGAACACAGGAACATCACAAACATAGAAGATGATAGGAACATCAAACATCAAGTGATATGAGTGAACAAGGCAAAAGGAAGTCAAAGTAGTTATTGGTGTCTTCAATAGGAGCAGTAGTAGTCGGGTACCCAATCATGGGGTATAAGTAGTGCACCCATTCAACACATTTGTATCACAATCAATCAATCTTCTTCGCCTTTCACCAAAGCCAAAGAACCACCCCTTCAGAATTTTGCTTTGCACGAAACTGCATCAAAAACCACACTACAGTAGTTACGAAGTCGTTGACCAAATCGTCCAAAAAACAACACAGCTACGAAGTAGTCGGCTGCTACTTTTATTCGCATGAGGGGACAACCTACCCCCTAACCCGCTTTCGAATTAAGCTCCAGACCGGTAAAACACATCAGATTCGTGTCCAAGTCAATTATGATCACAAGATATAGTATATCGGCTTCGGCATCGGCTCTAGGATGTTGGCGATTTGGGTGATTAATCCGTAGTGTGGATACTTGGAGTTTTTGATGTCTGTCACGACTTGGAATTTCTAATTACCTCAAGGAGGAGTTTCCAATTTCGAGGCACTCAGGTGTCCTTGATATTGTTTAGTCTCCCAGATAGTACATGTAAGACTATGTGAGACTCATGCCATGCCATAATAGCTTTGTTCAAGAATCATTCCCACCATGGTCCATCCCCTTCCCCTTCCTTAAGATTGGTCCTTCTAACTGCGAGGTTAGTGAAGTTAAATAACCTAGTACAATCTATTTTTTCACACTCCCTTTCTTATTTCTAATCCCTGGAGTTTTTGATGTCTGTGACCACTATGGGAGGGCAATTGGCGAACAAACCGAATATGCCGACGGGTCTCATCGGTGATTTCTCCTACACTCATGGTACTTGGAGAAAAAAAGAGGGAGGCGTTCAAGAACCGTGGGAGCGTGCAGCCGAAGCCTGTGATGGAGCGGTATACTTCTCGCTCAACTATTTTTACATGGAAGAAGAAGATGACTACTTAGATGAAATACTCATATTTATTAATATTTATAACCGAGTAGTTTTTAGTCGTGACTGAAACAAATATTCTCACCATTTACTAGCCTTCACAGGCATGAAGATGTCCTCACTTGTCTATTTGCACACGACCCATAGTTGTACCTCTCCTCCTCCAAAGCTCATATCTCATATTTGCACACGACCCATAGTTGTACCTCTCCTCCTCCAAATCTCCTCCAAATCCTACAGTTATGTCCTCGGGTCTATTTGCATACTGGCGTTCTCGGATGGATGATGGACGACGATGACGTGAACCGAGTGCTGACGTGCCTAACGCCGCGACCTAGGGAGCTCACAGATTGCGTGCAAAGAATAAGCGAAGACAAGAATAGAAAACGGGATCTAAACAACGCGAGGAAACTAACATCTTCAGATGCAGCAAATGAGGATGAAGGTACTAGTGGTATTGATATTAGTACTTGTAGGAAGTGGTCAAGATGTTAATAATGTTATAGCAGTTATTCGTAAAAATGATGAAAACGTGTTACAGTCAGTGTGATACTAGCTACACTGCCTAGCATATGATTCTTGAAGTAGAATCCATCTAAATCCAAATGATTTCCGAATGATGATCAACAACAATCGGCTACTTGTGAACAGGTGCTAACAGAGCAGTGCGAAAAAGGCACACCCGAGAAGAGGTGCAGAACAAGATGAAGTTGCGATTTGACAGGTGGATATCCCAATTCCGTATCAATACGCAGATCGAACGACAGCTACTCCAGCTTTTCACCATCGAACAGTTGAACAAATTCATCGCGCATTGGTACTCCTGACGCGCATTTTTTGTTTATTTTGTAGGAATAAGTACAACTACACCCAACAAGTAAACTACCCTACAGACATAAAAACAAGTTTAAAAAGAAAGTTGACATAAAGCAGTGGGAGAAAATTGTAGGAAGTGACATACATATGAACTTTTATTGTGTTTGTTGTAGGAATGAGTACTACACTCACTGGGAATACTTAATTCACGTGCTGCATGCTTTTCTTTGATGTGACAAGCAGAAGTATCTCAAATCCTTTTTATTGTTTCCTCTTTGAGACTTAGAGACGTTGACTGCTTGCATTACTCGTGCTCCGATTATACCACTACTAGGTATGCCGTTTGCCCCTGTTCCCGTGAGGGTGAAAGCAGAGCAATAAGGGCTTTTGAGTCGGAGAACCAACGTGACCACTCCGAAATGGTTCACCGAATGATCAAGCAGTACTGTAGTGCCTCTTATCTCGAATACCTTTTCCGTTTCGGAGTATTTGACTGTGGGTTTGGCATCACCATCCCACAAGACATACCTTTCGACAAAAAGGGAGCCTACGACAACAAGGAACGGGTCCAATTTGAACTGTGGGATTGGTACTTGCTTTTGCTACTAGCTACTTCAATTCGACCTTTTGGGTGATGCCTGTGCTTGCCTTGTGTTTGTGCTGTGAGATATTAAGATGGTGGAATAGTATCGTCCCGCCGGTAGTCTAGGACCACTAGTAGGGATCATGCCAATCAATCAATGTCTCTGTGGAAGTGTTCGGGTTTCTGTGTTTCAATTTCTCTGTGTGTGCCAATCAATCAATGTCTCTGTGTTTCAATTTTCGAAGCAAAATGTCTTGAGTTGCTTGCGATGAAGCAGGTATTCTCAAAGTTGCTTCTTGTATCATACATCATGCCAACCAAACCATCTTCACGACAGGTTGCTTGCCGAGTTTCCTGATCATGGGCCTCGACGTCATTTTCATGAGCTCTATAAAGCACCCGTGAAGCCTGGATGGTTTTTTTAAGGCTACGTTGTACACGAAATCCATCTTCACAGGCATCCTGAGACCATTCGGCTCCCAAGGGGAAAAAGGTGTTAGGATGCGCCCCAAGATGGATTTCTCTTGGTTCTAATTTTGAGTAGCTTTACGCGACGTTAATGATCCGGAGGACAAGCATCGGGTCTGGTTTCAACGAGGTACAGAAAACGAGCCGGTCTTAGTCCCCAAAGGCCAAGCGGACAAAGACTTGAGCAAGAATGTCTCTCAACGAGGACACTTAAGGCTTGTTATTTTTTCAGAATTTTTCAAAGTACTTTTTATCAGAATGCATCCATCGATCCACATCGATATTTCCCTAATGTTTCATCATATCAGTTTAATCATGAGTACGTCATAGAATAGGTGTATCCCTACACGTAACATATGAGGTGACTCATGAGTATGTAGTATAAAACGCATATCTTGAGGATATCTTTGATCCTTTCTCTCGTCTGTTTCCAAGCGGAGGAAAATACAACATAGCAATAGCATGCAATACAATTTATTCGACAAGATGAACAATTGTTCTCTAAGAAAAAATGTGGGAGCTCAAGGTATGGAGCTTGGTGTTGAGAAGCGAGCGTTTGTGACCGCGATGCATCCACATCAAGACGCCGTTCGAGCGTTGAGGCATAAGGCGGAAGATGCGAGGTGTAAACCGGGGTGGAAAGTTGTCCGCGAAGAACCCAGCAGACCTGGAGGAACAGCAAGGAAACACTTGTACTACTCATAATTGAGATCAGAGGACTGTGTAGTCGAAGTAGCTGTCTCTACAAAAAGAAAAATGATAAAGCTCTTATCATCTTCTCACGGACTTAGACCTAGAATGGAACGACCCTATGTTGATCTAAGTAAGTAGTAGTTCTTAGCCCCTTTCCGCAAGTCATTTCAGTTACTTACAATAGATTCAAATTGACGATATGAAGATATTGTTGCACATGAGTGATCCAGTAGATCCGATCACCAAGGGGATGATACATCATTGGAACAATCTCGATTAAGAATCTCAACATCTTCAAAAATTCCCTCAGCGCTTTCTACGGGGAGAATACGCCAAGGTCGGAAATGACGGGGCCACCGATAATGACTTCAACCACGTGGATGGACGCCCTAAGAAGTACTCAAGAACAAGAAGAGCGAGAGGAGAAGAGTAAGCGAAGATACATCATGAAGGTCGTGAAGAAGTGGGGGTATCAGGAGAAAACGAACATGATCAAACAGTGGCATGGTTTATGGGAAAAGTTGATTTAGTGGAAGAGATGCTTTGACATACTTAATGTGACCTTCTATTTTTTTAGATTGTCAGGGCGGGGCGCTTTTCTAGCGTGTTTAGTGTCTATATTGCAATTATCAGCTGCATAAGACCATAGCTAACGTCAGGCAGTCGCAGAAGTGAATATCTTTATCTTAGCAAGGACACAATAGAACAGCTAGAGAGGACTTCCATTTTCTTCTTCTAACTCTGCTCCGTCGCAAGTTGGAAGCCGAGCAAGCGGGTAAGATCGATGCGAATTTGAATGTCTATGCGCGAACAAAGTTGAGGAAACGACGTGAAATAGGCCGGGACGAAGACGGCAACCCTATTTACTTAAGGCTCCTCAATGTGTTTCATTTCTACAACAAGTCATTTCTCGCAGTTGCCCTCTTCTTGGGATTCTGAAGAAATGAAGGAAAGGCAATGGAATGGAATGGAAGGTAACATTGAGCTCTAATATACGAAGAAATGGAAGACAGCGAGTTGGATGAAGAGGACATGGCACTTAGCATCAACATCCCAGCAGTAGAGGACGACGACCGTAAAACCTGGGACCGAGGTTGGAAGCCCAAGGACAGGATGTTCCAGACCAAATGGAGAAAAGCCGCTGAGGCCAATAGATGGAGAGATCGTGCTGTGTGGGCAAAGGATTTGCGAGCACCAATACCTGCAGACGAACAGGCATTGCGAGATAAAGAAGCAAATTATGACAATGTTGACCCGTGTGGAGGAAAGATTCAGATGTTCGTTTGTATTAACTTAGAGTTTTGATGTGGGTTCGTTCAAAAATTTTGTAGTTGTACAGTGTAGTTATAGATTGATTGTTGTCTACTTACTTTAAATGAATTCAGAAGAAACTACCCAACATTCTCTTGATCTTCCAGCTTGTTCTAAGGAGTACTCCTCGGACTCACAGATGATCCGCCAGGAACAGGAGACTCAGGTAATGCAGACGCTACAGCAAACGGAGGAGACGTAGAGATGGATGACGCCTATGACAATGGTGGCAATGACGTCGAGATGGCAGACGCGAACGATGACGCTGGACCTCAAGAAAGTAGCTCTTCGTCTAAAGGGAAAGACAAAGGCAAAGGAAAGTGCGACACAAAGGGGGGCAAGAAGCCTTCGACTAGCGCCATGGACATCAGTTGGGATGATGATGCTGATTGGGAGAAGGATTTTGAAGCGTATCAAAAAAACCGAACAGCCGAACCTTCGTCGTCATCTGCTGCTCCAGCTGCTTCTCGTCCGCGAGAAGACTTGAGTAGCCTGTTTGCGCGTGGAGGGTCTGCTACCGCATTGGCAGACTTTGATGAAGACGCAATGCGTGCACAGGACCTGGCGGAGAAGATCAGGATCCAGAAGTTCGGAGCCAGAACCGCGAAGGAGGCAAAGGAGAAAGCGAACCAACTCCAGCAAGTGCAAGCAATCATGTTATGAATGATGATAAAGATTGAGGTTGATCCATTACAATACATGATTCAGACATGATTGAAGGAGGGTCAGTGTGGACTTGTTGTTTCATGGTGTGTCTGACCGATTTGAACAAAGACACCTATTTTCGTTCTAGTATGAAGGTTGTATTTTTAGTATGAAGCTCGTCTCAATACATAGATAAGCGCAAAATTTTCTATACTACAGGGGCACATCGTTCTCAAGTCTAATCTGAGAGGACTTACAGAAGACGGATCCCAAGTATCAGTACGCACCACCAACGGTTGAGGATGCGCTTGCCGAACTAAAGAGGCGAGAAGAGGTGAAGAAAAGGCAGGAGAACAATAAGGTACTTCTACTTAATATGTGATGTAGATACAGTCTTAGACATCGGGTGGTTGTTGAAGTTGTATCAGGGTTATTGTTGTTGACAGTCATTGTTAATCATTTTTCACTTTCATCGATTCTGTTCTTCAGGACTACACCAAGGATGCAGAGGGGAATGTGATAACGCCTACTTTGGGTGCTATCGATGACGAGGATCCAGATACATGTCACGAATTTTTTGAGAAGGCGTACTCAACGAGGGACCCAACGGTGTATTACTATCGCCACAAGTTCAACAAGAAACTAACCACGAGGAAGAAGCCTCTTTTTGTGCCTATCGATCAGCCACCGAACTTGGAGCCTGGCTGGAAAAAGGTGAAGAGTACAAACGTTTGCGGGAAATACTACTTCAAATTCGATCCGCCAGAAGTTATGATCTTTCACTGATGATTATTTTTGGATTCTCTTAGAGTCTTCAGCACTTCTTTGTCCATATATTTTTTTCCTGTTTCTGAGGAAATCACTATCGATTTCGCTTCTCGTTCTTCGTCTCCCTCCTCTTTAGTCACTATTGCTTTCTCTCCTTTATAACTCATGCCATCAATCAATCAATCAATCAGTCAACTTTTTTCTCCCACTGCTTTAAATTTGTCAACTTCCTAAGGAATGATTTCCATTTACTTACCTTTTCGACTCTTCTAATTCTTGTCTCCACGGTGTAAAACCAAAGGCCCAGGAGCAGCATCCTGTGACGAATCGGAAGTGGTTGGACAACTTGCGGATACCTCCTGATTGGGAATTTGCACACTCCAGATCGAACAAGAATGACTACTATTTCAGGTACTAGCTACTCACTTCGTGTTCTTCTTGGACGAAAAGTTCGCTGAGGTTTACAAACTGTAGAACACGATAGATACAAAAAAGGGGGAAAAAGCCAAAAAAATCGTGGATGTATATATAAATGCTATTTCAACAAATATTTCAAATAGTTTTCTGTTTTCCTTTCCTGTAGTCCCCAATGTCTCAAAAAATGAGAGTACTACTTAGAGATTAAATTTGGTTCGTTTTCCTTTTTTTACAAGGAGTAGTATCGAGGAACGATCAGCTTTCTTATAATCAACACAGGAGCAAAGTCGATCCGAATATTGTGACGAAGATGCATCCAGATCCTCGGTATCGTTGTTTTAGTGCGTTCACGATGCCATGGTTTAGAGATCCGATAGACTATGCTGGCACAAACCTAACAGCAGAAGAAATCGACCAGCGGGTATGGCACGATGGGCCGTCAGCGAAACCATCTCCGATAATAAAATCCATAATCCCGCCCGAGTCTGGTGCAGCGGGTAAGCCAGCTACGGAGGGGGAAGGAAGCAATGCAGCTGTAGGACCTGGAGCAGCAGGAGGGAGTGGCACTGGCGTTGTTGCACAAGGTAGTAGAACAGGAGCAGTCGTGCTTGCACCTGTAACTTCTTCAAATAGTGCTGCTGCGGCACCAGCGGTTGTAGCTAGTACTACAAGCAAGACTAGTACTGGCGCACCAGGTGTGGTTGATGAACCGAAAGTTGCTGATAATTCTGGAGGAGCAGCTCCAGCGTCTTCGGGAGCGGCAGCTGCAGCAGAAGCGTCTTTCGTATCGAATTTTGCGTGCGAGAAGGCACCTTCGAAGCCAACTCCCTCTGATGAAGCGCAAAAGGAAGCGCCAGCTTCCGGTGATGCAAGTGCAGTAGTACCTGGCGCACCTGCGACTTCTTCTTCAGCAGCGGTTGCAGGTGAAGCAGCAGACCCTAATCCGGCGAAGCCCCCAGCCGGCAAAGAGTCTGTTGCTGCACCCGCTGCAGTTGCTGCCGCACCTGCTGCTCAAGACGATGAGATGGATGAGAAGAAAGCCAAGAAAGAGAAGAAAGCTGCTAAAAAAGAGAAGAAAGCCGCCAAACTCGCTGCGATGGATGAGGCCGAAGCAGCACAGCATCTCGAGAAAAAGAAAGAGAAGAAAAAAGAAAAGAAAAAGAAGAAAGAAGGAGGAGGTGCTGGGGGCGAAGATGCACCAGAGGGAGAAGGTGACGGTGCTGGGGCTGGCGCTGGCGAAGGTGAGACTGGAGGTGAAAACGAGGCTCAGAACAATGGTCAGGGTGACGAGGCAGCGCCTTCTCCTGACCGACCTTATGATGCGGCTGCAGCAGCTGAATTCGACGCAATTGACGCAGCAGGCGACCTTCCTGGAGGTGATGACCTGCTGGGAGCCTGAAGAGTGAGTCCTCCGTTAAACGTCGATGCTAAGGCATGACATCAATATCAACTTCAACAGCAGCTAGTATAAAGTGATTTTTTTGAATGATCCCCATCCAACCAAAAATGGTTTTTCAACTATAATATTCCTACGCAATTGATAAAAGGCTAATTTCATAACTGACGTAGATGAGACAGAGAGTAATTTATCCCCTCGTCTAGAGGGGTAGAAACTGGGGATGGGCGATTGTGGAAGACAATAGTCTTGAAATTAAATAAGGACGAGAGGTACGTATTATTTCCCACACGCCGCGAGGCTCCCAGACATAGGAAGACATCCAGCTTATTACAGAAATACAAGGATGACAATTTTTATGCGTATACCCAGCAGCAGAAATATTTTTAATGTCGAAGAGCATCTCGGGGACCAGAACCTCGAAGACAATCTTATAAATATTTTATATATACCTTATATCTTTCTTACGAGTGTTTCTTTGTACACTCTATCTTCGGCTTGGTAACTTTAACTCCCATCAAATTACAACAGAAAGAACATCATTGGACTTAGACGAGCAAGTCAATCATCATTTTCCTTAGACGAGTGTGTGTTCTTCATACTGTAATATGAATCATACAGCAACCAAGAGACAGTCTCGGTCAGCACATAAAGGAAGAGCGCTTTATTATAGCCGGCATAGAAGAGATCTGATCCTCTGCACGTGACGAGTCCGTGTAATTTGATCTTTGTAATTTGATCTTTTTGGTTGGCTCATGATCTCTTGGAACGGACGAGGTCGTGGACTAGCTTTTCAGTATCCCAGCGGAACTAGAAGATTAACACGCACCAGATTACGATTATTGGCAAGGCTTTCGCGCGCTCCTGGTTCGCAGTGTTCTATCAACTCGTCTTCGAGTTGTTACATCAAGAACACATCTACCAATCTTTGAATTTTACAGTTTCCGCTTGGCTCATAAGATTAAGAATATGCACGTGATCATGTTATCGTCCTCAATTATAGTACATTCATAAAAAATAGAGATCATAATCAACATGAGAAGTTTTTTTTCTAGATGTTTGTCGCAATGTGGTCTTTTCTAAATCTAATGAATTATATGCACTGCAGCTGATCCACCACTTCTTCTGAGAAAAAAATTCAAAAAAAATGTTGGCATCTTCGAGTCTAGCAAGGGACAGCGCTTGTGCGGCTTGTGCACTTCGGAGTTCACTTGTCGGAGGTCTAAATGCTCTGGTATGCAACGGTTGTAGGAGCAGTCCGATATGTGCAACTAGCTCAAGAACATGTACACCTTCTTCAACAGGTCCTCCCGCGGGAGTTTTTGGGACGAGTTGTACATCTCGGAGCTCTAGAAGGACGATAGCACCAGGAACCGCACCATGTGTTTTACGTACCGATGTGAAGCATTTCAGTAGCCGCGGCGTTTTTGAAGGCGACGACGGGACTATGGGGGATCTGTCAGCGAGAAGCAATAGCTGTAGCTCTTCCTCGACAGGTGGTGGGACAGGTGGTGGATTTTTCCCTCCGATATCGCTCTTGACTTCATCGCAGGCTTCCGTTTCGGGAGCTTCCGCAGGAGGAGTTTTTACCAACAAGAATCTGCTCGATAGAGCACAACATGATTTCCAACGTCGTGGTCTCATTCAGGCTTTTAGTTCTTTGTCCTCTTGCCCTGCAACATCATCGAGTAGTACCGGCGCAAGCTCGACGGGGCAACCGCCAGGGGTGGAGCATGTGATTTTAGGTCAGGGACCTATACCTGATATTACTAGTAGTATCGGATCGCCTAGTAAGCTAACTACACTCTCTTGCGGGGGCGGTCGAGAGCCACCAGAGAATGGACCTGGGCGACCTCCTGAAAAGGGGAAGCCGTCTTCGTCGTCATCGTCGACAGGCACATCGACATCTTCCCCTTCTCATCCGACTGCGGCAAGCAAAAACACGACCACTTCTGCTTCCACTATACCTCGATCAGCGTCCTCTTCTTCTACTTCCGCATCAAGTGCTGACAGTAGTTCTAGTAGATCCGCCAGTTCCAACGGGGGCATGTCTAGTAATGGAAAAAACGGGACGAATGGGGTGTCTACAACTTTCTCCAACGGAACTAGCAACGGTAATGGAAATGGAAAAGGGCATCGTTTTAAAGCGTCCCATCAAGCGGAGAAGTCAACGTCCCTGCAGAGCAAGAGAAAGCTGCGGAGGGAGCAACTGAAGAACTACCTGAATCCAGAAAGGGTGCTCTTTACAGCCCAGGGCCTTGTCCTTAAAGCTAAGGCAGCAGGGCGGTTCACAGTGTCTAAATTGCAAAACCTGAGAAAGGGGATTGTCCGGGTCTGCAAGGATCCTAGAGTTCTCTCGTTGTGGGCTCAGGACGTCAAAGACGCAGTGAAACATTTCATAGAGTGGAATAAACAAGGTAATCATGATGTAATTCATATCGTCATCTAGTAGGGAGTTTGTCGTTCTTGTGTTTCTTCAAGTTCAATAGTATTACATCTCTGTCTACTACTAGATCTAGAACTACTACTACTAGAATTCTAAATCTAGAACGATCAGCAATTGAATGATAATTACTGGTGGAACGAAAAGCATAGAAGATTATAGTATAGTCGATACGCATGATTTCACTCCACACAGGTTTCGGCCTGTTTTGGTTGAACATGAAAGTTACCCGGAAACTTTTGACGCGGCGCATGCAAGGGCATACTTTGTCCTATCGCGATCGTCAGTTGCTGGTGAGGACAACGGGAGACGTTTTCAAGCTGATTCCGTTTAGCTTTTTCTTGATCATTCCTTTCGCGGAGATCGCTTTGCCTCCTGTTTTATATTTTTTCCCTGGACTGATGCCCTCCACGTTCCTTGAGAAAGGGCAAGAGAATGAGTCTCTAGTGCGCAAGCTAAAGGCGAAGAAGGAGCTAGCAGTGTTTTTTCAAGAGGTAATACCGCTAAAGACAAGGCCCCTGAGAAGAGGCGGGCTATAATGACTTTGATGGGCAAACCCACTGTTTGTCCTTCTTTCGACTAGTATTGTATAGAAGCTGTAGAGGCATCAACATTAGTGTTTAGAATGATATTTGAGTTTGCTCGTACGTTGATAGACGTCAACTCGTATTTTTGAATGGTTGAGTACAAGAACAACATCACTTCACCACAAACACGACCCGCCACCCATAATTACCAGGTAGTCGATGCCAACACGAAGGAACAAATTTTCAAAGCTGCAAGTGCTGATAGCGAAAAAGGTATGAGTTTGGAGGAAGCACAGTACGAATTCAATGCTTTTCAGGCGAAGATGGAACGTGGGGAGTTTCCAAGTGCGCAAGAGGTATTTCGCCGTCTTGTTTGAAGTGCATTTCGTTGACTGTGCGAGCCTGTAAGTAGGGAAATATCTTCGATGGGGTAAACGTCAAGCTGCGCCAGAACTTGCGAGCCCTCGCACGCGGTCTCCCTGCACGCTATCGCCTTGCCTCGCTCAGAGCTGCCTGCCGGCGTGTCGCTGGGTGAAGGAAGTGCTGAAGCCTCTCGACGGAGTAGGCAACGGCCACCACGCGCGTCGTTTCCAGCGGCGCACTCGGGCAAATGCGACGCAACGAGCCTGGCGACCTTTTGCAAAATTACCGCCGGCGACACGTTGGCGAAGAGGTTGGCCGAACAACCAGCCCCGGCTGCGATGGAGCTTTTCTCGGCTGGGCCCGGGTAGACGCCCCAGACATTGCTTGCCAGCCTCTGGAGACACTGGCTCGCCGTTGTCTGGACCAAAGAAACAGGGACGAAACTGCGCGGCGGGTGCAAGGCTAAAAGCCTTCTAAGGAAATCGGCAACCGTATAGGCGAGGACGAGGAGGCGGAGGGCCGCCCCGTACACGCTTGGCGACAATGCCAAGAATAGAACACGACGCAGAAGACAAGGGGCACGCTCCTCGCTGTGGCAGGGGAAGCCTGTAGCATTCTAGGTCTAGGCGACTGGCGCGAAGCTGGGGGGAGTGGAGGCACATGCGTAAGCCGCCTGCCTTTTTCGCCGTCTGTTGTTATAGTTTCGCGCAGTTTTGGCAAGCATAGCAGTGGGCTCCCGCGTGGTGGCGTGCTCGGCTTTGTGGTGGGAGGTTGGCCCCGTCTGTAAGTGCGGCGGCTGCCTGCCACGACCGAGCCCGCGACTGCACTACGCGCCTTTGTCTGTTGTCTTCATTTGCCAAAGAATGAGCTCGGAAGACGGTGCTAGCGGAGCTCGGTGCAAGTTTGTACCTGATGGGCCGGCCGCTGTTCCACTGTCGGCACTGGGGGGCCCCGGTAAAGGGACGCCTGGGGCCCCTGTCTTGACAAAGACAAAATCGGGAAAGAATCACCGTGGTGACTGTTTGTTCAGTGTTCACTTCGGCGCAGGGTTGAGGCGGTGCGCCATCTTGGGGCTTGCTTTGCTTGGATGTGTCTGAGGGGACAGGTTCGCCGCACTGCCAAGGACGCGCCGGCAGACGGGACAGCCAGGCGGCTGGAGGAACTGGCTCGCGCCTACTTTTCTCCAAACAGGCGCTGAGGGCAAACAGAAACGCAGCCGATGGCTGTGTTTCTGACTGGTTTGGCGTGGGAGATTCGACTGCGGCCAAAATCTGGAAGGGGGCCGCGTAGTTGTCGCGCATTTGCTCAAAGCAGTGCAGCCCCTACCTGAGAAGGAGGTGGGAAGGGGAGGGGGAGCGGTAAGGCTTTTTAGCGGGTTTTGAAGTAAGTTAGAGGCCGCGCCGTTATCCATCTCTGTTTCGTAGACGCTTGCGCTATCAGCGGTCGCGTGCGTGGGAAGTCGTGACCTCGTCGCGCGCGGAGGTCTCGGCGTGGTTTGGGAAGGATGGATGTGGAGGCAGCTTGAGGCCCTGCCTTCGCACAGCGCGCGAATTTACAGACGCCAAAAGGGAAACAGCAGCGCCCCAGGCTTCGCGGCGGATTGGTGTCGGTCCATATTTATGGCAAAAAGCAAAACGCACCCGGGAGGCGGGTGCCGCGAAGAGCACGGCCATGAAGGCACTGAGGAGCGTGCAGGAGGAGCGCGCTGCAATTGAGACGAAAGAAGCCGCGGAGCGTCTTCGCTATGGGTATGGGGTCGAGCCTCCAAAAAGTACCGGGATAATTTCAACCACAGCAAGGCCACCGCTGCGCCTTTTCTAGTCAAAACCCGGGCGCAGTCGCTTGGTGTCAATCTTGAAGGCGTCGAGAATGTCCGCGGGGTCATCTTCGAGGGGAAAGGGGCCCGCCGGTTTGCCGGCTGGCCTCGGCGGGGGAAGCCGCGAGGCATTCGCAAGGCAGTCACGCGCCAGCAGATCCACGAGAAGAGCAAAAGCCTCGCCAAAGATAAGACAGAGCCAAGGCGCTGAGTAAGGGCGTGACAGTGGAAGGCTTCGGCTGTGATTGCTGCCCGCGCCGCAGGCTTGGGGATGGTTCTGGTCCCAGGGCCCCGGCTTCTGTAACGGTTGCGCAGGCTGGTGCGCTTAAATGGAGCGGCTCAAAAAAGGCCGGGGCGGCTTTGCGTGGTTTCTGTCTTTCAGGGCCTTCAGAAATCTCCTCAATCTGTGCAGCGTATCGACGTTGAGAGCGGCCGGATATGGTTCACACATAACGGGCTGCGATTCTGGCGCCGAGTGGGCCACGGTTGGGCCGAAGGTGGCGCAATGGAATCCCTTCGGCATTCCTACCCGAGTGGTGAATATGCGTGGCGACAAAATTACTGGCAAGCTCCTATGAGCTATCCTTACTTTTCCTATGTTCCTGATGCGTCTTATCCTATCGTTCGCTGATGTTCTCGTCTTGGTTGATCTATTGTCAGAATTGAGGCACTCTTGACAGTTTCTCTGACTTTAAAAATCCTAACTAATAGTAATTTCTGTGTCTCTTTTATGAATGGATGGACATAACTTAGCGCAGCCAGGGGGTGCGCTGCTAGCTTGGGCATTGAGAGAGGGCGGGCGAATGGGTCAAGACTCAAGGCTCACGCCTGGCAGTGCCTGGACGCACAAAGGGGGGCAGGAGCTGGCCCATCTAATCCCTTGCGGCTTTCGTGAAGTTAATACCGAAGCCAACTCGTGAAGACTGACGGCGCTTCAGGACAGTCTGCGCCGCCAGGTTGCGGCTGTCTTTTCTTATTGGGTGGTTGGAGGTGTACAGGGTGGAGAAGGAGATAGCTGCGCGGTGGCCGGGGTGAACGAATGAAGGGAAAGGGCAGTGAAGGCAAAACAAGCGGCGGCCAAGGGCTGGCGTGGCTGGGGGCTCGGCCTCGTCGTTCCGCAAGTGGATGGGGCTGCGCTGTCGCGCAAGGCGGCGGCGGTGCGTCTGTGTCTGTGGTCAAAGACTGGAAAAGCGCCGCCACTCGCCTGCCCATGGGCTGCGCTGGGGTCTTTTCCATGTGAGGGCAGCCTGGGGTGGCTACATACATTTTGGGTGGGCGCGCAGCGCTTCTTCAATCGGTGGAGGCGGCGGCATTGCTGGGGCCCCTCGTCTCATGTTGCCGGCGCCACCACCACCCCCGCCGCGGCTGCTTCTTTGTGTTTCCCTCGCCGGCTGTCCGGCATGCCTGGCTGCGGTGGTGGGTTGCTTTTGCTCGTTCTTCTGACGCAAAGCGCCGGTGGCGCCCAGCAGCGGGGGCGTTTGTTTTCTATTCTTCATTGCATAAAAATGTCATCTGTATGTTGTTTCAGAGAAGTAAACCCTTTTTTTGTCTAAAGTCTACCTGATTAATATTTATTAGATTGAGAACAAATTCCGCGGCTGCAAAACATGAGACTAGCAAGCTGGCACTCTGTAGCTACCAACGATGTATACGAGTCGCTCAAAGCCTCAATGAAGAAGGACACGAATCCCTATCAATCCCTTTCTTCAACTTAACCTCCTCTCCTCCCCAATGAAGGTCGTAAGATTTTCGAAGCAGTTCGGTCGCTGGTTTACATTTGACAACCTCCCTGACGATAAGCTTCGGATTATGGCGGATATCTTGGGCCTGGGAGATAGTCCTTTATTCCGCTCACACCTCGCTTTGCGTCTCCGACATCATATCAACAGGTGCTTCGATTTTTCTTTCCTCATACTACGCTTTGACAGGGTTAGGAATGTTGACACACCCATCATTCGCTATGTTAAAACTTAGATTAGCGTGTGTAGCGGAGACATCCGTTGACGGGCTTTGCGAAGGTCGGGCCCGCCTACCTTGTAGGAATTTTCTCGTGCATGATGTAGTACTCAAGTTTCACACGTCGCTCCTTTGATGTAAGTATGTGTGTATGTATATGCATCAGGAATGAGGGCCGCGACTCGCCTGTTAAAAGAAAAACCACATCTCAATCTCTCAGATTGCGTCGCGAGGATCGTGAGATTATGTTTGAGGGTGTGGATTCCTTATCACGTGATGACTTGGTGGAACTTTGTCGTGCGAGGGCTATTCCATTCACCGCGGACATTTCGGATGAGGCTATGCGTGAGGGCTTACGAGGATGGCTAGAACTCAGCGCTCACCGACAGATCCCCGTTTCTGTGCTCTTGTGGGTGCAAACTTATGAAAACGATGTGTCGATATATTCGGCCTCAAATCTTGAGTTTTTGAGATCCAAACTAGCCGCACCAGTACACCGACATTCTGCAAAACTTGAACTACCCTCTTTAGGTCTAACAACGTTACTAATTAAATTGTTCTTACTATTTTTTCAATTGATCCTCTAGCTACTACCTTGTCTCCTGAACAGATAAGATATTCCCTCACGACGCCTCTCGAAGACGAAGAAGAGGGTTACTATTAATTTGACCCTCTACTCTTTGAACAAAAGTCTTCCCTCAGGATGCTCACCCTCTTCTAATGCCTGTACTATTTGACCGGTGAAGGCAAGCTTGAGGGTCTCGACTTGGACAAGGTCGTGGAGACACCAGCAAGCCTGAATGGAACAGCCGGAAGCAGACAAAGCTCGAGAGGCAAGACGGCACCTTTAGGAAAGACGGTACCTCTAGGAAAGAGAAAAACGGTACCTTTGGCCCTACTGGCAAGAGCATTGAGTCGTCGATGCTACAAAATTTCACATGCACTCCCTATCGTATCAGTCACTATGCTTCCTCCGGGAGGAGGTGGTGGGGTTGTAAACAGTAAAAGTAACCGACATGATTCAGCACCATCACGCTATGCACTAAATGGAGCTTACCACCATAGTAGCAAAAGTACTAGGACCACACAATCTCCGATTCCTTCTAGAAATACTGCAGTGCTGAATGATACATCAATATCAAGCTACGGTTCTACTTCGTCTATGGACCACACTTCTACTGACGCCCCAGTAATTATTCTTACACTTAAACGCCGCAAGTCTAGACGAATATGCAAAATCCAAAGTGCTACAGGAGCATCACTCGCATGATTTCCAGCTTCACACTTCTGTTGTTGCTGTTGATATCTATGAACGGAAAAGATTGTTCCTTTTCCTTCCCTCTCCTGCCCAGTATGTAGTTGAAAAGGTTTTATATATAAATATGTAGTCGACTACTTTTCCGACCCCAACGCCAGCGGAAAAAAGAGTTTCATCATCTTCCCTTAAAGATGGAAAAGTTCGCCTCCACTTTAGAAGAACCACTTCTGTCAACCAAAAAGCATAGGACTTTTGCTTGAAAATGGATCATGAAGATTGCTTTTAATCGAAACAACTCTCTCTACATCATTGATTCGTCAGTTGTATCTATCTGTGTCATCATTGAAACAAAAAAATGTCATCCTCTCTCCACCCTCAACTCTCCAGGCTCCTGCGACGACCTCTTCGATGTCGGTTGCAGAAGTGCTCGCTGCTGCGACCGAAGTGCCACCAGATATGATGTCGGCTGCTTCGAAAGATGCAAGTTCAGAGGAGGTTAATACAGCTAAAAAAGCAGTTGTTGGAGGGAACGTAAAAGGGCCATTGCACGACCCGTCTACGATCGAATTAGTGGAAGCTGCTGCTAGTGGCTTAGGTTCAAGTGCTAGAAGTGGAAGTGGTAGGGCAAATTCTGTCGGTGGAGCAGCTGCAAGTGGAGAAGATGGAAAGAAGAAAGCCGCTGATGAGTTTGTCCGAGCGACGTCTACATTGGATGCGGCGGCTCTGGCAGAACAGGTTAGACGAGAGCAGCTTGCGAGAAAGCCAAGCAGTCGCCTTGCAGAGATGTCGCCAGAAGGGGCCCTTATGGCTAAATCATTATATATTTATAGATTATAGTTAATATTATGTTGCCTGGCTCAATGATATACTTTTTTGTTTAAAAAGATGTAACGACTTGGTCTTCTTCGGTTCAAAATCATTATTATGCTGCCTAGGTCAAGAAACAAAGTAAGTCTAAGTTTATTTCAGGAAAGAATTATGCAATCAACGATTTCAGGAAAGAATTATGCAATCAGCGAGTTCTACATTATCTACTTACTTCTGACCTTCTAAAAATGCGGGAGAAGCTGCAACCTCGTTTACTTCTACTGCTCAGGATGGTACTACCACGTCCACGACACCTTCTACTAGTACACCTACATCCTCAACAGTCGAGGAGGAGTTGGCTCGTGCAGCTGCCGAGCGGAAGGCGTTTAACAAAGCTCGAGTTGAAGCCGATTTGGCGGCCGAGCGCGAACTAGAGGAACGGGAACGAGAAGAAGCAAAGCGCGAGCGCGCACGTGCCTTCGAAGAGGAGAAGGAAAAGCGGTCGAAAAGGGCGAAAGAACTTGAAGAGGATCTGTTGCGCATTGAGCAGGAAGACAAAATGCAAAGACGCAATAGTGGCGAATCGGATGAAGATGTGCTTTTGAAAGTCGATGCAGAGACCGAAGCCCTCCGAGGGGTTGCTGGGGAAAGCCTCAAGAATGGGGAGACTTCTGAGGCCGGAACGCATAGTTATAGTTGTACTACGGCTAAAAAAGAAGATGCGTGGTCGACTAGCAGTAGAGAAGTCACTCCTGGTTCCACAACTAGTCCTTCAACAACGCAAGAAGCAGGAGATATGTCTCGCACAACTTCCTCTTCCGTGGAGATGATAAACTCCTCATCGTGTACCTCTGGTAGCAGAAGAAATCCAATCGAAGATCTTGATGCGCTGGGCGAAATGCAGAGGACATTGAGCTACGGAAGGAATATCCAGGATACTGGCTACGATACTGTATCCCAGGAGGAATTGTCGCAGCGGATCCGAAAAACCACGGAAAGTTTCATCGACGAGATCAACAGCCCGGGAAGGAAAGCACTTAATATGGCTGCAAAAATAAGTACTTACTCAAGAAGTAAGTCGTGTAAATAACAGTTGCTTCAGGTTGTACCTGTAGGCATAGTGTGACGTTACGAACTTTTATGCATTGACAGTGTGTCGAGTAAATTGCCTCGCCTTATTGTAATCGAATGAGACGTATAATCCTGAGTACTTCTTCGGACTTTTGTCAACATACTTACTCAGATTGAGCCTCTCGGTTCGTCTCGCTCCTCCTCTAACCCCTGCGCCGGCGTGAGTCGCACTGAGCTGATCGATCGTTTAGCCCGCGACACGCGTGAGATGGGCCACTTGAGAGGCATTATCGACCGACAAGCGGATCTGTTACAAGCCCAATTGGACGCCCTGATCAGGATTAGGGAAGCCAGCACGCACTTGCTATCCAACGCTGAGATGACAGGCCACGTAGAACAACTGGAACGGTTACATCTAGACCAAAAATTAAGGTCAGCTTTTATTTTTGTCCATCTTTCTCGGCATCTTGGTACCCTTTTGGCTTGTGGTATTCTCATGAAATACAAGGTGCACCAAGGGGCCCCAAGAAAAGGGGGGCCGAGATGCAATCTTCTAGCAGACTCTAAAAATAGTGAGAATCCATGAAGCTGTGTCGCATTTCTCTAGCGGGTTGAGGGATATCGAAGAGGAGTACCGCATGTGGGGTGCGGAGGATAACGCGATTGATAGTATGAAGACCCCAGATACAGTTACAGCTGTTGGACAAGGACGACAGCAACAAGAACTACATCAAGGGGAATCTTCATCTGTACTTCGCGAAACCTCAGATAGAACAGAAGAGAAGATGAAAAATAGTGACGTTGGGGAGAAGAAATAGAGACTTTTATTACTAGCACAGTTTTCAGGCTCGTCCTGGATAGGTTCAATTTCCTATCGAAAATAAATGAGTGACTTGTTCTTTGTTCTTTTTCATTGCCGTGGACGCTTTATTGGCGGTCCTTCCTGACTTCAATGAGTAGTGAAATTTAACGACTTTTTGAAATGTTTCACATCTTAATGATGAATTATAGAGAACCCTAAACGGACTACTTGTTATGAAATTAAAAGCAAAAGACCTCGTCAGCCCAAGCTAATGAACCCCATACCCAGGAAAACCTTATCGCATTTTTATCCTCAGTGTGCTATTGTTCAAATACAAATCTTTGCTTAGAGGTCACGAGCTAGCGTTTGCGTTTCTGCGTTTCAAGCACCTGTGAGGTGATGCATGGATGTTCGAAGTTGACTGCGAACGAAAACGTCATCCACCTCGGTTATCATGGTTCTTTATTCCATCTTTTCAAGAACCAGCCACTCGAAAGAATTTAGTTGCTTTTCTTGTCCTCCAAGAACTTTGTATGCAGCAATCTCTAGTACTTCAAATCTACTTAGCTCTTGTGGTCCTTGTTTTAGAACGTAGAAGTACTAGAGTTCTTTTGCTTCTCTTAACACAAAAAAGATCGTATTCACACGTACGAACTATAAGTAGAAACTACTGAAGAGCTGTAACTTCTTCATAGGGGAAAAAAAATGACGTCCGACACAACTGCCTCCGCCGCTTTGTATGCAAAGCACGATAAAATCCAAGATACGGCGAAGCATGCGCTACCGCCCACGATCGCCGCCGTGCCTCAGAGCTACCAATACCTGTTGGGGTACAACGAACAGCAGATGACTGTGGAGAGTAAGGCGTTGAAGAAGGATATTGAGTTACGATTCCAAAACGAAGATACTAGGATTTCATCTGCTAGTCGACACATCACACAGATTTAATCAGACTTTCTCCGTCCCGATTGCTGTAGTAAATTCGGTCCCATTGATGTTGTTGTCAAGAAACTGTTTATGTACTTACTCACATATTACTAGGATCCTATTTCTAATCATCTCCCTACCCCAAGCCAACATGATGGGTTCTCCAGATGAGGCATCATTTCTTGGCTGGTTAGCGGAACTCATTGGCGCAAAACGTGTACTCGAAGTTGGCGTTTTTCGAGGAAGCACAACACTCACACTTGCCCAGGCAGTTGGAGCGGGTGGGAAGGTCGTTGTTATGGGTGATGGTTTTCAGCTCGATAATACTTTTAGTCATGGTCGTCGTTTTTTCAATTGTGGTGGATCATAAACCTGCTTTCGAATCTCGCAGTAGCCACTTTAGGCACTCGCGTATGCTAGAAGTATCGCTAACGCCTGCCTCGATCTTTCCGAAGAGTTCGCGGCAACTGGCAAAAAACATTGGGAGGCTTCCGGAATGAGCGATCGCATCGATTTTCGAGTTGGCAAAGCAGTGGAGCTCTTGGATCAGATGATAAATTATGAACGAACGTGATCGCGAAGTTTCATTCTGTGATAGAACGAAGATACGGTTTTTATTTAGCGGTATCTATAAGTAGTACTCTACTGTATTAAGAGTAAAAGATCTGTTCAACTACTACACCATGCCAGTCTCTAAGGACCGGACGAGTCTGACAAAACGTTCGACCTCTGCTTCATCGACGCTGACAAAGCATCCTATCCTATCTATTTCGAGCGCGCGCTTACCTTAACGAGACCAGGAGGCGTCATTGCGATCGATAATACGCTGTATTTCGGCAAGTTTCTAGTGGAGGAGGAAACCATGTCTGCGGACGCGAAGGGGATTAAAACTCTGAACGAACAGCTAGCCCAAGACTCACGTGTGCAGATCGTGATGTTGGGTATCGCGGATGGGCTGACTTTGTGCAGAAAGAAGTAGACCTTTTACTACAACAGAGAAGAAGTTGTAAGCGCTAGCTGTGTGCAGATGAAAGCGCTATAAGGACGGGTGTGCAGGAAAGAAGTAATAATGAAAACGAAATGAAGCTTCGAAATTGATTCTAGTCCATTTTTTCAACTACTATGCCGTAATGGTCACGCTGAATGTGAAAATAGAATTCGGTGGATCAGCACTTGAACAAGAACAAAAAATGCTGCTGTGGGAAAATAAACTCTGATGACGCAACGCTTTTTGTTACAGGAGTTAGCTTGAAGGACACCCAGACTAGAAAAGACGTGCGGTCTTCATGATTCGCTTCGTTTCTAATGCGCAAGTTCGTTGCCTACTATGAAGCAAGCATGTGGGGGAGCCCGCTGTGATTAGCATCAACACGATAGTCACGAAAAAGAAACTGAAAGCAAAGAAGAGACGTCACCTGTAAACCGAAAAACTGGAGGGCATAGTGCCTGGACTCCACGACAAAAACATGCCGGTATAATACCAGAGTAGTTTATAGCACGCATGGTGCATGGAGTAGCATGGAGTGCATGGAGCGCAGAGCTTTAAGGGGCGCAAGAAGCTCCCCCTTTAGCTCCATGCTACTCCATGCGATCCATGCACTCCATGCCATGCGAGCTGTGAAACCTTATAAATTGCTCTGTAATTATACGAAAAACTAAACGGTTACGAAGGACCACGAGTACATTTAAAAAGAATCAATTGTACACTCCACGTGCACTCATTGATGAAGAAAGAAACCAACTTATATACCACAAAAAATGGAAGATTCCCCGATTGAGGTTGACTTCTTTCAACAGATTCTGCTCTACGAGGCTATGCTGGAGAGTGCTGACAACTTTGGAGAAGGAAGTGAAGAAGCCAATAATTTGAATTTCGTCACTGAAAACACGAGATCCAGTTTCCGGAAGGCCTGCAGTATCGTAGCAGTTACTGTGGGAGATGGTGAGAAGTTTATGATGTAATGCCTACGTGGATGTTGAAAAAAGCTTGAAAGCTTCGTAGAGTAGTTGTACAGGTGGGAGTCGGGGCACTAAAGCGGCAAGCATCTCAACCTGAGTAAGCAGTGCCAATCACTATCACTTCATCTTGAGTAAGTAGAACAATTTTTGTATGAAGACATGTAAGTAGATCTTCTATCTTCCATAACCATATTGATCGACCCCTCTAAGGGTCTCGGAGAGACGTTTAAAGAAGATTGGAAGGACAACACAGATGGCGAGGCACCGGAAGAGGTACTCGCCGCTGCCGTCAGATTCTACACAGACGGCCTAATTAGGAGGAAAGTAACATTCGATATCGATAGACATAGATCGCAAAAGAAGAGCCAATCCGTTTTCTTTGAAGTAGAAAAACTAGCGAGTTGATAGTTCTCCAACTACTCTGGCTCCAGCACAACGAGTCATTCATAACTAACAACTACATCTACTCCCCAACCGACTCCTTCTAACCCCAAGCCCATCTGCATCACGCTTCTGGAAAAGAACGGAGAAGAAAAGGTGAAGAAATTTGTGGAGAAGGTCTGTGACAGTCTTGATCGTGCTTTTGAGGTCGCGGACGGCGACGCTGAAGACTTTTCGGGTTCTTTTGAAAATTACGGCATTATCATATTATCAGATCTAAATGATCTATCACTCTCAGACTAGGCCCCTCTTCCTCTTCGATGAATACTCCTTGATATCTATTCTAAGAACAAAAATACCATAACTTCATACTTCTAAGAACGAAGGTGCCCAAACCTTGGCATTTCTTTCGATCCGGAGGCGCGCCAACACAATTGGAAATACAGCAAAATGGATCTCGAAGCTTGACGAGCGTTTGTTTTTTGACAGTGGAGTATTTAAATGCTATTGGGTTTTACAAAGAAAGGTCTGTATATTGAAGATTCGTCTTCGTGCTGCATGTGATGTCAGAGTCGGAATAAACGCGCGAAGAGGACTGGATGCACATATCAACAACATTTTTCATCAGAGAGTACAGATCAAAATCAATTACGAGGATTAGGCTATAGAGGTGTAACTGTAAGAAAGCTTGAAGATGTTGATCAACTTTCACAGCTTGAACGAAATTCATGCTGATCGGATTGATGCGATCAACTTTCACGACCAACATTGGCAACGACTTTACCAAAGAAGAAGAACAACATTGCTCTAACACAAGAAGCTACCTCTAGCAAGAAGCTACCTCTGTGGAGTCTCCTTCCCGTGTCAGGAATTCGACGGCTTTCACCATGGTAAAACAACATGTACTGTATTTCTTTTCCGACGCTACTTTCTTAGAACCGACAAGGTCTAGCTCTATGATCCATCGTTGTGCGCCTGCGCGTACTGAATATTATTAAACGACGAAAGTAATGCAAAAGTTCGAGTTTTAAGAAACGCAGGCACTGAAGTGGAGGGTGGAAAGTCGTTGTCAAACAGTTCCCTGGTCTCTGTTTAAGGGTCATACATTGTTGTGAAAAAGACGAAGATCCACTACCACAAAGGGATCCCACCAAAGTTCAAGTATTGATTCCTTTATCGACTTTACTTAAGCGACTGATAAGGATGGACGATGGGGGCGACGACAATGATGCTAGCCGGTCCTTTGGGCCCAAAAGCGGTTTCGCCGGCTTCGAGAACAAGAAGCCACCACCCGCACGAGCCAAAGCGAAACGAAAGCCTAGAGTTCAACGAGCTTTAAGCACTAATTCGGAACAAGAGAGTCAGACCACAACCGATTTCGGAACGCAGAATAGCATCTTGGGTGGAACAGCTAGAGGATCCAATAAAAGAGGCACACCGTCAAAAGCAGCAAAAGCGGTGAAGGAAGTTCCGAAAGTCGATTTAGTCTTAGGCGCTTCGGTTCCAAGCTTATTCCTTACTGAAATCCGAAATGCGCTGTTTCAATGGAGACCAACTGGGGCTGCATGTGAATTCAATGTCACGGATTTGTCGAAACAAGGAACTGGTGGAGTTCCACCGGGTAGTGGTTTTTTTGGAGGGACAGAGCCACCGGTACTAGATAGTCCATTCGCAGTGATTCGCTCATCATGGGACTATGCGAGTCATATGGAGAAGGTATCGGGTGCGATGGAACAGGAGACTAAGGCGCGTTTGCACTACAACTAGTGATGTACTAGTGAACAATATGTCCCTGGAAAAAGTACGTAGGGGTTCATTTCTACTAAGGTGTGTTACACTTGTATGGTGAACCTAGAAAAGAAGGAGGTCTCCAGCTCTAATGCAAACACCAGAAGACCCGCTTGTCAGGTGCCTTGCGTCATCGGCTTTCTCGATCGAACGGGGGAAAACAGAAAGAAGCCAATCATTGACGATGAAACTTGTGCAGCCACTATGACGGCGTTAAAAGAATTCCAGGCTCAGCAGGGGGCCGCTCGCGCAGTCCTCGTAGTGCGAAATCGGGATAGCACTTCTACTGGGTACTTGGCTCGCGGCTTAGTTGCCTACGATCTTGACATGGTTGAGATTTTCTCTCTGGAAGAAGCAGGGGCCTATGTTAAGGGTTACCGAATTGCATCCTTCACTACCATGCTTGACTTATTTTCCAATAGGAAAGAAGTCAAGGATGATCTGAAGAATGTAATCGCGCAAGAACCCCTAAATATGTTTGCCTTGTCTTGGACGCAATCGTTAAGTCCAGGACGAAAAAAACCACTGGAGAGTTCCACAACCGCAGTGAGGGCTGTAAGTCCGTTCCGCATAGCGAGGGAAGAGGCGCGATGTTTGTGAATTGGGTCTCGATGCTTATGGAGGTTCCAGGTTGCGGTGAAGAAATGGCGAAGGTTGTCGCAAACAGATGGCCGTCATTGGCGACTTTACTAGATGCATTGGAGTCGGCGGTTGATATTGTCAAATCCGAAATGCGGGAGTTGATGGTACCTCAGCGTGGGAAAAGCGAAACGCGGAAATTAGGGCCAGTGTTGGCCAACAGGATATGCAACTTCTTTGTTAGTGAGAATCCTGCGGAGATTGCTGTGTAGAAATTCAGAGGAAGGTCGTCGACTCTGCTGTTGTGATAGGGAATAAAGCCACTTGAGATGATGTTCATTTTCTACTTGTGTTTGCCAAAGAGTACAGCTGTTCGAAAAAGTAGAGGTCCAAAGAAGAACAGGACATGACTGAATGTCATCACCATGAATGACTAGGACGCTCTTGTTCCAACATGTCGTGATCGATGTCGATTAAGCCTTCGAGAAGTGTTGGTCGACCATCTTCTAACTACTATTTCAAATCGAACTGCTTACTTATGTATACGTGAGAGAAACAAGTTGATAATGACGTTCCATATGCTCGGCACTCGTGAAAAGTTGAGAGTTGTAAAGTAGAGTCTCGAGGAGCAAGTAAAGTCGACTAGCTATGATCGAAAGAAAAGCAAAGAGAAATCGGCATTCAAAAATCAAATTCGAAGGCAAGCTGGAAAGCAAAAATAAATTTCTAAAACTCAACTGGAACAAATGAGTAGTGTGAAAAAGAACTAGGACTCTTTGTTTTGAAGAAGAACAGAAAATGAACAATCAAGCATAAGCAACGATATTGCATATTTGGCAACCTACACCTAGACGAAAGTAACAAGTGAAGACCGGACTAAGTCTAAGAATAGAAAATGTTGGACCAACCAAGTGGTGCTTCTGCATCCTTGGGTGCGGCCTCCGAGACCTTGACGGTGCCACTCGACCCGAGTTTGATCCTCCTCGCTAAGGTAGCCACTGTCGCGAGTTGCGTCGTGACCTTTACGCCGTTGCCGTACATCTACCACATTGTAGTCACGGATGGAGCGAGCATAGTGGAGATGACGCGGACAGCAAGGCAGAAGATGAATTTCTGCCTCCCCTACGTTTTTCTCTACATGTCGTCGCTTTTCTGGGCTTTCTACGGGTACACAACAGAGAACGCGGACATCGTTTTCATAAACGGATTGGGCGTGTTTTGCTTTCTGGGATACTTGGTAGTGGCGAATTACTTCATCGAGAAGAATGCAGCGAAGGTCGCGTTGTCGATGAGTACAACTAGTCGTGGTTGTGCTGGTGCAGGTCCTAGTAGTTGTAGGGTTGCTGGACGCGGCTATCAAGAACAAGGGGAAGAATTTGCACAAGGTAGCTCAACTACGTCGGAAGAAGCACCAGATACACTGGCTGGCGAGCATGATGTTGTTCACGATACAGATCCTAGCAGTAAATTATCTTGTTCTACTAGATCGACGACAATGGACCACGGCTTACAACAATCAGGATCATCCTCGAACCAATTGTTTGCACCACAGCAAGGTGGAGACAAACATGACACCAGTTCTTCATCAAAGCATCATCACCAACCCAGCTCCAGTAGAGGTCTAGCCGCTGGCTCACCGCTTGACGATCAACCGCAACGTCAACTTCAATTTGATAGTGAGCAAAAGAACTTTCATCAGTCTAGTAGTACTTCATCTGAGGAACAAAGAGCCTGGGCCTATTCACGTGGCGACTTCGAAAAAGGCGAGCTTTTCAACTACTCGAATCTAGATTCGCTCTTCGTCTGGCAGCGATCTCATTCTAAATGCAGTACAGGTGAAACGAGCTCGAATTGTGGGAGTAGACCGATGTCTTCGCCAGTTGTGGTAGAAGAGAAGGCGGCTTCGAGGCACACGACAGGACTTGCGAGTTCTTCGAAGGGATCAACCTCAGTGACATCGAAGGCTACAACTGGTGCAGGATCTAGTACTGGTACAGCCGCCTCGTCTTCGCAATCTGGATCTAGTACCGCGACGGCTGATGCAGAACGACCTCTGGGTCGGGCGATGATGCTGCGGGACACCAGGCCAGCGGCGCCCTCGCCGAGCACTGGAGAGTGTGGCGCTAGTACAGATGACGAACGCAGTCTCAGTGAGACAACTCCACCAAGTCGTGCGGACGATGGGCATTTGACTCTCTCTTTACTGAATGGGGCTACAGGAGTAGACCAACTGCAGGGGGTCGAGGGAGCACTTACAAGAGATGTGGATCATGAACATGAACAAGTTTGTGTGGTCAAGAGCAATGGAGCTTCTGCTACTAGTGCAACTATAACGTCCTCCTCCAGCGGAGATCAACATCAATCCTCTACGGTTGATCTCGAAGCGGCTGATGGAACTACGATTCTGAGTCCGCAGAGCTTAGCAAGTAGTAGAAAAGCACCTACTTTCGCGGGTGGACCAAGTAGTGGCTTTTCTTCTGCACAAAAATCAACATCTTCAAGCAGTAAGAAGTCCACCACAGGTGCTACTACTACTTCCGAGGGCAACCTCGGTGATCTTCATGTTTCCTCCTCTTCCTCTAAGAAGAAATCCACCTCCAACTTGTTATCGACCAGAAGCGGTTCTGAGCAAGACCTCACAATTTCTGCAAGAGACGACTCAACATCTGGTCATCAAACAGTCTTCGGTCCGTCAACAGATCACGAACTTTCATCTTCAGTCTCTTCTTTGGATGATACGGATTTCTTACCAGCACATGCTGACGATTCTGGTGCGCTCGATCCGACGATTCCTTTATGGGGTGCTCGAGCCCTATCTGGAAGCGCCTATGGAGCAGCGTCGGGCGAGGAGTCTTCTGCCCTCTTGGCGAGTCGTGGTGGACATGAGGACGGCGTTGAAGGGTGTGAAAAACAGGGAGTGGAGCAAACAGGGAGTGGGGACGGCAGTGCGGAAGGTGAAAACGGCGTTTCCTCTTATTGGAATAGCGTCATGCTCGGCTCATCAAACATTATGGCTAAAAATATGAAGTCAGCTTATAAGTAATGCTCATCATGGTTCCAACAGCTGAGGTCGTTTCCTTGAAAACGTATCTAGACTTCAGGATTTGCTAATTTAATGCACATCATTTATCGACTTCTAATCTTGAAAACGACTACAAGGCGCAAGTTAGGCGACAGATGCGATGGTCGTTTGTTTCCGGTTTTAACGTGAGTCTTGTGACCGGTGCCGCTCTCTTCTGTTTTGGTGTGATGCATCTTGGCAATCACGAAGATCACGCACAGAAGCTACTCATCGAAGAAGCTGTTCATCAAAAGAAGTTGCGTGAATCAAAGGTCGACGATAGTGCGGCTAAGAAAGTTGTGGAAGTTGAAGTCGCTGAATCAGGTAGAAGTGGAGGTGACAAAAACAGCGCCCGTAAGGTACAAGGTGGAGAGAAAGAGAAAGTTATCATCACAACGTCTGGTGGAGCAGGAGGTGAGGAAAGAGTAACCACCACTAGCGCAACATCCTCAAAAGATGGAGAAGAGGAAAGCAAAGGAAAAGCTTCTGAATCTGAGGACACTGCCATTGTCAGCACTGCTGTGCCGTCAACAGGTTCGCACTCTTCCGACTCTGCTAGGAGCGCTTCGGAGATTATAGTGTCTGGTGGAGGTGGGAAGAATGGCGGCACCACAACAATTGTCAAGGTCGAAACTGATAGTGACAGCGGAGCTGGTAGCGCGAGCAGGAAAGTCGACGAAGATGCAAAAACAGAAGCAGATTCAACAAAAGTCGTGGCTTCGACCTCAGCCGATGAGAAGACTAGCACTACTACAGACAAGAAAGCTGCTGCTGGCGAAGAAAAGGCAGCGTCTGAAGGGTCTTCCACGGCAGGGCAGACCAAGGCAGGTTCGAACTCTGATGAAGCCGTGGCGAAGACTGGGAAAAAATCTCCACCAGAGGAAAAAGGCGAACAACATAGCTCCACCAGTAAAAGCGGCAACGGTCCCTCAGTGTCGGTGATTCCGAGCTCGTCAAACAAGGGTGCGTCGGTTTCAGTCGTCATTAGCACCGGAAGCGGTCGGTCGCAGACACAAAGTTCTACAAGCTTATCATCTGCGTCCACAACATCTACTTCATCTATTAAACATCAAGCAGAGGACGACGGAGGTGCAGGTGCAAGTGCAACTACTACAACGAAGTACGGAGACTTTGTTGTGAAAAGTAAGAAGGTGAAGGCTGCTGCTGCTCCTTCCTCGCAGATGAACAAGTCTTCCGCTTCCAGCGAGGCTGATAAACAGGAAAAGGTATCGCCTGAATCTTCTTCCACTGCATCTGGTGCTTCTGGCGGTGGTGCTCTTACTGCATCAACGTCCGAGTCTGAAGCCTCTAGTAGTCCTTCTCCCGCTGAAGCTGAAGGCGTAAAGAAAGTTATTGACGCGATGGCTACATCCGAGCGATCGAGCGCAACCTCTGCTCCATCTACTACATCAAATTCTGGGGAAGCAACTTCTACATCGTCCGTCGCACCTTCCGCTACGGACACAGTGATCAAGCTGTTGGCTGGTTCTTCAGGATCGACTGCATCTCTGGAAACGGCTGGAGGTGGCAGCTCTTTGACATCTTCTGGTAGTGCTGCTTCTGGTACTGCTTCGGAGCACATTGAGGCAACAGGAAAGGAATCCGGTGCTGCCTCAGCGTCGTCGTCTTCGACAGATCTTCAACATGCTTCCTCTAGTCCTAGTGGAAGCACGTCCAGTGGTTCTGACGTAAAAAGCGGCTCTCAAGAACAGCATTCTGCTTCTGCCTCCTCAGAAAATGTGGTTACGATCACTACCACGTCGAATGGCGGTTCGGAATCGTCTGGGTCGACGAATTCTTTTAGCGGAGGCAGTGGACCGCAGTCTATTGTCGTCAAAATCAATACCGGTGGTGAAGAAGAGACAACAGTAGCACCGCGACGAAAAGAGGGTGGAGCTGAACACGAAGATGAAGTAGTGCCTGCGAAGACATCTTCGGTGACCTCGTCAACTTCGGAGGGATCTTCAAAACGAGCAAAGGAAGATGAGCAGCATCATCAAACCAGCAAAGCAACTACTGGTTCATCTCAGCCGCGGGTAACTGTATTGGAGTCGAAACGTCGCGAGGCTCAGGCTACTCAAACGCCATCTTCAGGTTCTGGTACAACTCCTGATGCGGTCGTTACTGTGCATCACAAGAACGAGTCGCCGCGTTCATCCGCATTGGCGGTTTCCAGCCAACAAGATCAGAACACATCATTGTCGAGTGTTGACAAGCAATCAGAAGGAGTCGACCACAAAGTGGATACGTCGTCTCAAACGAAGTCAAACGAAGGTGGAGGTGGTGTTGAGTTACGCATTCAGTTTGGAGACAGCGGGTCACACGCAGTGCAAGTGCAGCAGGTGAGCGATAAAGAGGAATCTTCGAGTACTGACTCTTCGTCGTCTGGTGGGGAAGGAGAGAAATCTTCATCCAAAATCGCAAGGTCGCAGGTTGCAGATTCGAAGGAACAAGAAAAAACATCAGCAGATCATTCTCCATCTCACAGCGCCACCGCAGAACTAGAAAATGAGACTTCTACCGAAGTGAGCAGCAAGGGGAACAAGATAGAAATTGTCGTGGGCCGCAGTGCGGGGAAGAGCAACTCTAAAGAACAGGTTGGAACGACTACTTCTAAAAAACACGAAACAACTTCTGTTGAAAAACATCAAGCTCCTCAAGAACATGCAACTTCATCCACCACACAACTTGATAAAAACCTCTCTTCTACAACGAGTACCGAAGTCGGAACTCCTGCTTCGTCCGACGACTCCCAGGCTGCAATCAAGAAGCCGCATAAGGCAGCGGAGAAGGCAACTCCAGAAGCAGTTCTTGTGGTGAGTCGGGAAGAGGTGTTGCGATCGCTCGCAGCATGGAATGGACAGTCTGAGGTAGCCTTTCGGGTCAGTTCCACCGGTTCCTCAACAAGTTCAACATCTTCGGGTACAACTACATCCTCTAAATCAAGTACGGCAGAGAACTCGGTCGAAGCCATAAGAAGTGCGAGTGAATCTTCGTCTCCAGCAAGCATCGCTTCCGTTCCGGCTAGCTCCGCAATCAAAGAATCGACTACCACTTCGTCTGAAACAGCAAAGAAGATGGATAAGAAGACCGACATCGATGCTGCAGCAACGACGCTTGGAGGTGATGCTCACCAAAAAGAAGAGAAAGACCACGTAGTTGCGGCTGTTGCTGCTTCTAAAAACAGCAAGACCAACACAGCCACTGTGGAGAAAAGCAAGCACCGTTCTACAGCAGCGTCCGATCCATCAAAGACGAGTCAGATTCAGATCACAGTTTCTTTTAGCAAAGGATCGTCTTCAGGGGAGACCACTGTTGTAGAAGCAGGAGAGGAGAAAGAAAAGAAACTACTTTCCAATCCTGTTTCTGTTGCGGAGGTAGACGCGAGTCAAAAACAAGAGAAGCAGATTTCTGATACAACGAACAAGGATACAGCACAGGTCGTTGTAGCATCTTCTTTTCTCCAGATGGAAAGTGCTTCATCATCAACATCAAAGCGGTTCGTGCGACGCGAGGCTAAAAACAGTGTAGTTGGTTCCCTCGCGTCTCCACTGATGTTTCTCGAGGTAAAATCCGAAGAGAATTCGGGTGCATCTACCTCTAATGCCTTAGGAACTTCAAAGCAGGCGAAGCTGTCTACGGCAACAGCCACAGCTGTAGACTCAGCATCCTTTACTTCAGTCTCAAACAAGGCTGTAACACCTCCAGAAGCGGTGATCACTGTTACCTCCTCTAGTAGCGGGGCAGCAGCTGGAACGGCGCAGCGAGCAGGAACGAACGGAACGCTAAGCGAGACGGACAGCATGCTGGATTCGATTCCTCACATCGTGGTGACGTCAAAGGCCCAGATTTTCTCATACCTGGGAATCATTGTACTCTACTTACTTCAGTGCTGTTACTCGTTTGTTCTATGGTTTCGTCATTTACAACGCATCTGTCAGAAGTGAGACACTTAAAAACTCGAGGAACTACAACAGGAAGAAGATTCCAAATTTAAAAACAAACCCAAGAAACCCTTATATGCACATGCAGGCCAACATCCTCGTGTACGTTGTTCCTTGCGCGCAGTTGCTGGACGTGATCGAGACTGGCGATGTTGAGATGTTTCCAGTTCCTTTGCTCACGGTGGCTTCTTTGGTCGCGAACTTGCTTTGGGCAGAGTACAGTCTCCGGATTCACTCCATCCCTTACTTGGTACCGAACGTGATGGGCGTGGTTTTCAACTCCTTACAAATCTTAGTGCTCACGTTCTACTTCTCAAGTTCTACTCCCAGTGGCAGAAGTGCTGCCCAGATGAAGAGGAAGCAGCAGCAAGATGAATTTCAGCAGGATCATGGAGGTTCTAGTACTTGTACAACGGGTGGAGGAGGTGCATACAATAACAATTACAATGCTGGGACAACGACCAGCAACAGTAACATGTTGGTAAAGAGCTTGCACGCGAATAAGAAATTTCAGCAAAATGCGTGCATGCTTGGAGCAGATGGTGCAGGGGGAAGTGGAGTAGTGGAGTGAACTTTCCAAGAAAGAACAGATTTTGTGAAGAAATGAACACGGATTCTCTGTTGAAGAGGTATAAAGTGATTGTTACGATCTATTAGCTGTATGTGCAGAAGCAGGAGTACAAGTACCACTGTAGTAAGTAGACTCACTTTTACTCGATCGAGTCGAATAATGAACAACGAGAATTTATTACGCAAGCAATAATTTAATTAACGAACCAGTCAGTGTGAACTAAAAATGACTTTTTCGCAATGACTAACTTAGACGACATGTTGTTATGACCATGACAGCGTGAATACTATTTGAATTTTGAAAAGGAATTCGGATATTCTAGTGAACTTCATTATTTACCATCGAGAATCAGGGAAAGGAAAAGGATAAGAAAATGAAACCAATCAGTTTCCGGAGCTACCAAGAGAAATCGGAGGTGGAGCTCTCTGTCATAATCATAGAGGTTCCGCTGACGCCAATTTTACTTTCTGTCATAGATTATCGAACTTTTCTCAATGTCATTGATTAGCCTTCCACTGGTACATCAAGGTACTAGAAGTAAGTAAGTCAAAGTGCATAATGAACTTCAGATTTTTGTGAATGCAATTGCAAGCCACAACGAGTAACTACATCTGTTTGTCAGGAAACAAGAGGAGATAATTTCTGCCACAGCCTCATGTAAACTCGCCTTATGTGAAGATGAAATTGCGTGTAATAGAAGAAGTTTCTTACCACATTCATCCTAAAAAAAAATAGATTCCATATCTAGTCGATCCCGTGATTTCAATTATGCCGAACTCTTATTCCAGTTTTGTTTTTGAATCAAAAAGTTGTCTTGATTCAACCTGCTGTCCTCATTCTAGCCGATCTATACACACCTTAGCAACTACGAAAAGAACACTATCAACATGTGCAGTGAAAAACGAACCCTCCTGAAAACTGTTGCAATAGAATTCCGAGAATAGAGCCTTGCTGACAGCGCATTCCACCTAAGAACAAAATTTGCAAGAAATATTCATCCACACCCCCTCTTTCTCAACAAGTGTCCACCACAGAAGCGTGTGGCAGCACCTGCAACGAATGCCGAGAATCCTCGTAGGTTTCGCGTGAAGGAGTTGGCGGAGCGGTATGACGAGAGACCACGAGACGCAGGAGAAGGATGAATGAGATTTGAGCATTACAAATACATTGCCCTTACAAATGCAAGGTTTTGGTAGTCCATCAGATGCTGCGTGAATCCGCTTGAAAATGCAGCTAAACCCTGCGGACGGCGGATCACATCCTAATCCTAATCCTAATCCTTATTGCCCTACGCGAAAAACGATAAGGCAGTTCCTTACGGTTATTACTACGTCGTCTCATCATCATGTAACAAGTACTATATTATACACGGTCACGGCCGCTGGACTCGGACTACCGCGCATCGCCACTTGATTGATTGATTACACAAAACATCAGAAAATGTTGCATTCTCTGGTCACGTCGCGTGACGACGAGCGGCGTGTGCCTGCACGGTTTCTACAGCTAAGCGCAAATTTAGAGCGAAAATCGCTGTTGGAACCGACGGGGCTCCTAGGATTTCCGTTCGTCCTTCTGCGTGTGCCAGTCTTCCCGGAATACCTAGAAAGCCAGGATGTAATCGATGTTATGACTTTCGTTGGGAGGTGCTACAACTTGTTTGAGATGGTTTTTCAACATCAACCAAGAATGGATCAAATTTAAAAACTGTGAACAGGAGTGTTGAAAAGCCACCACAGACCACATGTTTCTCCAACAACCGCCGCAGTAAAAGCAGCAGTAGCAAGGCAGGTGGTCCGAACAAGAGACAACAGACTCCGTTAGGAGGGCAACTTCCTGCAGACAGATCTGGCGGTGTTGGTGGAGGCGTGTCTAGGACAAGGAATATCACCACTACAGGCAATCATGAAGATGTTTTTGGAGGTTCTACCTCTAGTACTGGAGCCTTTGTCTCTCCCAAGAAGCAAGCTGGTTTTGCAAAACGCCTTGCTGCTGAGGCTTTTGGAGTGGCTGGTCGTGCAGGAGGGTTCAACTCGCGTACCGATCACCAGCGAAGACTGCGACAAGATTCAGGGTTGTTCGGAAATTTTCTGGACAGTCCTGAGCAAGATGGTGCGAGACACGAAGCCGGGGAGAGTCGGAGGACAAGTGGGAAGCAGGGGAGGCGGCGAATTTTAAGGCTTTTCCTCATATTTATCGTCTTTTTCAGTTGATGTTGGTAGATATTATCGGCTAAGTAACGCTGATTATATTTTTCCACAAGTTTGTCCATCCATGATCTATGAATGTGTCCAAGAGAGGACAAAAGGGATCCGATCGATGAACTCGCAGCACATCTTCTACATCTAAGGCCCAAAACCCTACGTTGGAACTCGCCATTTTTGGGCAAACTCAGAGCAATTTTTCGAAAGTACGAGTTCGTATTGGAGTCGTTCGATCCTGTGATACGGACGACGATAGTGGATTCCGCACATGCGCCTCGTTTTGGTCCGTCATCTCAAGAGATTGCAGCTCTGTCGGCTCAACAAGATGCTGAGGTACGGCAGAACACCATGTTGACCACTATGGGGATGGTTGCTGCTAACAATATGAATGTCAATGTTGGGTTTCAACAGCAACTACAGCAACAGCAGATACAGATGAATTTTCGACTAGGTGGAGCAGGAAACTTCAACACTGGAAATATGAGTGGGAATGCGTATCCACCTCAGCAACAGCCAGGGCAGCCATTGATCAACCTGCAGCAGCAGCAGTTTGGGCAGCCTCCGTTCAATGGGCAACAGCAGGTGCAGCCGCAGCAAGACCTTAATATGGCGAACCCCCAGCTGCAGCAGGCTCAGCGACCACCCCAGCAGCAGGTCACGCAGCAGGTCGCGCAGCCGATGGCCGGCAACTTTCAGCCGCAACCAGACATGAACCATATACCGAATATGCAGCCACAGCAGGCGCAGCCCTACATGTTTTGTCCTCCTGAGCAACAGCCGGGCCTAATGCCAAAGTACCTAGTTCCATCGGGACAGCAGCAATTCATGTTTTATCCTTCGGATGGTCCACCAGGTACTACAGGATATGCACCAGCACCCGGACCCGCTGCGCAGCCGCAGGGATCTGTATTCCCACCGGCATCTTCTGTATTCGGTAGCAAAACCGTTACTCCTCGAACTGCGCGCACAAATGCTGACGGCTCCAAGATCGGTAGAAGCACTGAAGACTTTCACTTCGTCACAGTGTTATTGCGGTATCAGTCGAAGGATTTTGACTACCAGAGTTTTGTGGTGCACCCAGATTTTGCTGCGAACGGAAGTTTCGTTGACTATGGACGTGAAAACATGGAGAGTTCTCTGCAAGCAGCACTGCACGAACTACATCGTTACGCGAAAGCGATGCTCTTCGCGAGGCGAGCTAGTAGTGGTACAGATATCATGCGGTCTTTAGGGGGAGGGTTTCATCCTCCAGGCAATCAGAAGAACATTGTTTCAACGGTATCTGGCCCGGCTGGGGGAAACAAGACACAAGAACATTCAGAAGTTCTTTCTCCTCCTCAATCACCTCTAGGAAAAGAAGGGAGTACAATAGGTGCAATCGATCTTTCCTTCGGTCCTGATGTTATCCCCCATGCCTCTTTCGCTTTTGCGTTGAAGCAACAGAAGCGTGTGCCGATCTTCGCAAGGCTGAATGAGATGATCAACGTGACCCCGCAGCTTTTTCGTGTACGCACAAGGCTCCTGAAGTTGCAGATTTTCAGCGCCATGCAACTTTTAGATGGCGTCCTTGGTCCGCTTTTGTTGGCGGGTTTTTCAATCCTGTATCTTAAAGCGCCTTTCTTGCCGCCACATGCACAGCAAAGTGTCGAAGCGCTGGCTGATTGGGCACGGAGGGTGCAAAATGCGGAAGTGGATGATATCGATGGAGAGGAAGCATATGAGGATCTTAGTGGAGAAAGCCAGGTTCCTGGTCATGTACAGGAGCAAGTACAGCAAGAATATGCAAGCTTACAGCAATTTGATCAAGTTTCCTCATCCGCGACGACTGGTGATGCAAATCTTGCTACGACAAAACTGATACCTTTGAGTGCGACTTCGACACCCAGAGGTGGGTCTTCGGCTGCGGGAGGTATCTTGTCCCATGCAGGTTCGAGGCCAGGGTCGGCGAGAAGTAAGAGCGTTGCTTTCAGCGCGAGTGTCAGTGCGGCCGGGGACCATGGTAGCATGAATTTTGCACCGATGGACGATGGTGTGACCGGCGGAGGAGGTTTTGGTGGGTCGTCTAGGTTATGAATTATAAGGTAGAAGTTTGATAGAGAACCCATTGTGAATAGGCGATTACTTAACATGCTAAAGCTTGTTCTAAATTCTAAGATCATCTCCCTTCTCTAATTCCCTCCAAGGACAGCGAGAACAACCTTCTTTACAACTTGTACCAAACGTTTCCCCGTAACGGAGCTTCTGTAGAAATCCTTGTTCAAGGTGTTGGTATGGAACCATCTGAGGTCGTGGCTTTACCTCCTATGACTGAGGTTTTGGCTGGCATCGGCATGGGAAACAACGAGATTCCTATGTATGTCTGTGACACGGCGTCCTCAAATCTGCTACCGAACGCATTGTCGACGACGGTGGCAACTTTGGCGGCTTTGCCGCAGAGAGACAACCTGTTGGCGCAGACGGCTAGCTTCGGTGGTGCGGCGCCGAGTCCGAGAGGAGCACAAGCGCAAAATGCGACAACCATGGCTGCTGTCTTAGGGACAGCTTCAGGTGCTTTTGAAGAGGATGGTGTACAAGGAGGACAGAAGCCGGACAACTCAGGTCAATCACAGCAGGAAGGGCAAAGTTCGTCAGTCGTCGGCGTCGCTGGGCTCTCAACATCTGCAAGAGCAGGAAGTAAGTCTTCGAAGACGAATCAACAAAGGACGAATAGTAAGGTCATTTCCACTCGTAGTAGTGCAACTTCTTCAGCCGCACGTGCCTGTTTCAACGCTCCTTCTCCTCTGGCCACGAGTTCTCCTGAAGCCGATCGCTTCTTCTCAGAAGTTGAGACTACTGCTGTCGTATGTCTAGAACCTTTGACACGGGAACCAGGTGCAGAGAGATTTGTCTCGAAATTGTTGCGAGAAAACGGCTTTTTCATCCTCGGAAAGAAGCGAAAACGGCTCGCAGCGTCGGAGATCGCAGAACTCATGGGGTTCGGGGAACACTTGCAGGGGATGGAAGAACTGCTGTCGATGAGTAGGGAACAACAGAATGGAGGTAGTCGTGGCAGTGGCACAGCACTAGGACTAGGCGGAGTCGTGAGTGATTCATCATCAGCAAGTGAAGCGGAAGACATGACGGGAGGGCAGAACGAGCACTTTGGGCGCCAAGATAGTTCCGTTTTTTCCAGACACGTGTCAGCAAAGCAGATTAAAGATTAAGGCTCCTACAGCATGATAGTGATTGAACAACTAGTACAAATGCGTCGTACCCTAGCTCTAGCAGTACAACCTCCTACTAGGGAGGGAGGCTACGAGAAAGAAGGATGCAATACGAATTAAGCCTACAACTAGTTCTACTCTAACTCAAAGATCAGCGCAGAAAAAGCCGCGTCGATCAATTGACTGAAGCACAAAAACAATCAGCTAGACGTGAGGTGACGAAGTTGCTTGGTGCTTTCAAACGTACACTTCCGTTGAATTTGCATCCACGCAACGAGGAAGGAAGGATTTCGGAAGAGTATCACGGCTTCGTACAACCGGGAGCCTCGTCTAGCGTGTCGCTGTTAGTCGAGCAGCTTTCTGGCCGAACTTGTACAATTTTGTTTGTGCGGCGTACGAACGCCATGACCTTGTTGTCGCATTTAGTGTATGGGAACTTCATCCAGATGTTGACAGATGTCACGGCTGTGAAAAGTATTCAAGGGAATCTAGAGGAGCAACGGAGGACGCAAGATTTGATGAGGTCAAAAGAAGAGGACGCTGGCCAGACTAATAAAGAGGAGGAGCAGCAGGCTAGTACGATTGCTGCTGCACCAGGAGTGGCGATGCAGGGACACCAGTCCACTTTTGGTACCCAACCTAGAAGTATGCCAATGCCTGCAGAGCAGCTAGTGCCGCCTGCTCCATTGATGACAGTCACTCCTACCGTGCAAATAGTGCCTCCAATCAATATGCAGGCTGTGCCACAACATCCGATGCTGCAGCCTCCACTAGTGCTTTCGGCAGTCACGAGTTCCCGTGACGATTTCTCAACGAGTAGTAAGATGCTGGTACAAGGACAAGGGGTAGGCGGGGGAGCACCTGGGATGAGTCATCAAACTCCAGAAGTCGGCGCAACTAACATAGTACTCGGTGCAAGAGCAACTACAACAACAACAAAAAGATCCTCCCTTTCGCAGAAAGCCGCCCCTTTGAATCCGTTTGTCCGAAGACCGATAGTTTCGAAGCATGAGTCCAGTTTCAGCAGACATGTCGTCTCGCACAGAGGCGCACATGCGGGAAATGGAGGCGCCCTTTTTCCATCGATATCAGCATCTTTCGGGACCACAGCTGCAGGCACAACAGCCTTTGCCGGCAAAGCGGGTACGTCGTCATCAGCTGTTTTTCGGAGTCTACATGATCTTTTGGCGCCAGATTTTGAGTCTAATGTCCCGTTGCTGGCCCTGACGCCTTGCTCGGCTGAACATGCGAAAGCCTTTGTAGATACACACTTGTACGAAATGCCATCACGAAATAGTGCAACTTCTAGTAGTAGCGGAACTTCCAGTGCTGTGTCACCAGCTGCAGAGCAGGCTTCTTGCACGCAGCAAGAGCAGAAGACTCGCGTGAACAATATTCAGGTGCTGAAGGCGGGAACTACTACTACATCAAAGAGTGCTGGGAAAAGTTCTCAAGTAGATACAGGAGCACCAACAGCCGGTGGCAACGGCCTAGGCCGTGCGCCACCAAGAGAGTCGATGGTAATGCGCATGATGCGTGGTCAGATCGTTGCAGAAGCGACGTCTCCGGTTAAGCTACGTCGCAACAGCGTAGATTTGAGTGAAGCTGCAACTTATTTTGGCGCGGCTATATCTGGTGGGGGAGGCGTAGGAGCAAGAGGATCGCCTGGAACAGCAGCTGCAGGGTTGTCGATGGGTGGTGCTGGTGCTCCTGGTGGCGCACTATCTTCTAGTATGCCAGGAAGTAGAGTAGTAGAAACTTCAATATCTGCTACAGCAGCTTCTGCTCGAAGCAAAGTGTACTCGAGGCCTTCGTGCATGACAGAAGAGGTAGCATTCTTGCAGATTGTGCCGATACAACAGGTGGCGAGTACGCCGTCGGGTGTTGGTCGTGGAACTAGTACAACAGCCCCTACAACGTCTAAGCTGCACACACCAGGAGACTTGCAATCCCAGATGAACATTTCGACATTAAAACAAGTTCTGAGGAATGTTCTAGGTTTTGAGATCGTCGCTGGCACGGGAGATTCCGACACGGCTACAGTGACATGGACACCAGAGGAGTTGGCGGAGGCTTTGATTGCAGGCACGTCTAGCCCGGAAGGAACAGGTCCAAGCGCCTATGGGAATGGGATCGATGTCTATCACAATCTTGGATTGCTTTTCTCTCGTACGGGTACCTTTGGCGGAGATCTAGTAAGCGAAGCAGTTCTTTCGATGCAAGAAGTCCTTTCGATGCAAGATCAAGAAGGTGGAAATCAAGCTGGCGAAAGGACTGCCTTAGTTCAGACACTGGCGCAAAAGCTGCGAGATAGAGCACAACAGGAATTCGGTCAAACTGTAACGGGAGAAACTCAAGGAGTTTTCCCTGCGTCAGCGTTTCAACAAGCACAAGGGATTCCTGCACCCGTTGCAGAAGAACATCTATCTGACCAACAACTTTTACAGCCTTCATCTGACACCACTCTCAATGTGAGTGTTGCATTTCAAATTCGTGCCGTTATCGCTGCGAAGCCGTATGCTATGAATGAGGTGCGGGCAGCCGCTAGAATGTCCGTAGAACAGAGCGGATGTCGGGCTTTGTGGGCAGTTTATCAGCATATCATGCGATCTTGCGTTCTGCTAGCCTCAAAGCGAGCCGTCGACAGCGTTCTAAACCTTGCTTTCCGTGATGGACCGAAGAATTTTCAACTACGGCCTTTGGCTTTGAGCTCTAGCATGGGATCAACCAGTATGACCACTGTGATGTTTGCGGGATTTGACCCAACATCTCAATCTCTGCTTCAAAGTGGTTCATCCGGACATGGACAACCGTTCTCCTTCGAGGTGACGAAGGTAGCAGCTTTACGGTACCTGTATCTCTTCGGTTGCCTGCACGTGGATGCGATAGTGGATCTGCTGATGGATTTCTTGCTGGATGAGGAAGCATTGTGGAATCTCTGTGAGCAAAATTTTAGAGCCCAGATTGCCTCTAGTGCGGCTCAGAAGCAAACGAAGCCTGCCAGTGGTGATCATGCGACAGTTGTCCAAGACTCAGGCTCAGGAGAGAACAAGGTGGAGGCCACTTCTACTGAGCAACCAGCTTCATCAGGAGTACAACAGGAAGGTACAGTGGACAAGTCGTCTTCGGAGAACCGATCAAGCAAAAAGATGATTCCAATATCAGCACAGGCTTTGGCTCATATGCAATCATTCGTCGACTCTAGGAGACTGGCGTTAGATAAGCGTCCTGACGGACGGTGCGTGCTTGTTGTGAGGCCTCCCCAAGCTGTTGTTCCGAAGACCGCTGCCTCTACTTCACTTTTCAATAGGCCTAGTGCTGGAGGAGGTGGTGCTTCTCTGCCTCAAGAGCAAGGAAGAATGGGTGGCACTTCTTCGTTCCTGACCCTGCCAGTCCCAAGCCCAACGAAAATACTAAGAGGGGGTGGCGCGTCTTTAGGAAACAATGTCGCCAGAACTGCATCACTACAGCAAACTTCGGGACAACTACAGGTGCCCAAATCTCCACGAGCTCCAGGCACGACTGTTGAGGCGCAGCAAAGAGGGTCATGGCAGTCAGGAAGCGTAGTTGGCTCGGCAGTCAGTTCTGCTAGAGCTGGAGGCAGTGCGACGTCGATGCATTCTCGGCTTCCATCGAAGTCTAAAACTGATGAGATTGTCAAACGCTTATCTACAGTCTCCGCTGGTACTGGTTCGAATGGAGCAATCGCTCAGCTTCCCGATCAATCGTCTTCTTCTAGTACAATACAGCAAGTACTAACATTAGCACAGGGTACTGCGTCAACATCCTTGCAACAAACTCAAATCAAACCGGGTCCAATAGGAAGTCGTCGAGACTCGGCTGCAAGCGCTCTCTCTCAACAGACTGGTATAATTTTACCGGGAGAATTAGCAGCACAGCGAGCGACGGAGCTAATCGAGACTTTCGCAAGATCTGTACTATCTACATTGGGAACGTTTGCAGCATCAGAAGTGCTGGCTTTTGGCGGCTACAAAGCAACCAAACTCTCCGATGACTCTTTACGGGTTCTCTCGGATCAGTTTGAAGTGAAAGTAGGCAGAAACGTTGCTGATTCGAAAAAGGGCGCTTCAAGTTCATCAACTAGTTCAACAGTTGTTGCAAGTCAATCTCCTGCTGAGCAGTTGTTTTTCTGCGCTGGCGAGGACTACGATTTTGATGTGACGAATTTCCATTATGTCATTCGTGCGACACGTGCTATGTTGTTTCCTCCGTCTACTTCCCCTAGTTCAACTTCGACCTCTAGGTCTGGTCCAAGTCAAAGTCCTTCGTACGACCTTAGCCTGCAAGTCCTGCGCATGCTTTTTGCTAACGGACTAGTACAGCAAAAGATGCTTTTGTCACGTCCTCTGGGTTCCGTGCAGCCGTTTTTACCGCGACTTTCGCTAGCGCCGAGAGAAGTAGAAACACCGCAAAGCTTGATCTCCGTAACATCTGCAGCTTGGAAACCACTACTATGCCTGATCGATTTGTACAATTCAGCGGAGAGGTTTGAGGTACTTTTTTTTACACACACTGGTGATTCGCCTAAGCAATTCTGAGAGGTTAAGCGAGACTAAGAGCTGAGGTTCAATAAACTTTTTGATATACCATGAACGAAGATACCTTTACTTTCCCAACACGAAGAACAACGCTCCTAAAGAAAAAGGTTCCCCGTCTTTTGCCTGGTGAGCTTGGTGGTTTGCGGTTAACCAAAGAGGGTGTAGTTTTGGAATCCGTCAAGTCCCAAGCGGTTGAAAGCGGCTGGCGTCTTGTGTCTTCCCGTTCTTTCCCATTTGAGCGCATTGTACAATTGAACAAGGCGTTCGAAAAAGACTGTCCAGACGCTTTTTACCGTCTGAAATTTCAGATTGAGGGCTACTTTGTCGAACTAGAGCATGCGGGCAGTGAAAATCGCCTGCCAGATTTGAATGCGTTTTTGGATTCTGCGACATCTACATCTGATGCGACTCAGAGTGAACAAGCTAGGGATTTTTTCCGGAGATTCGTGGATGACGAAGGCTGCGTCTTTGATAGTGAGATACGGTTGACGAAGCCTGCTGATATTGTGGCAGCTGAGGCTAAGCAGCAGGAAGCAAAGGATAAAAACCCTTTTGCGAACGTGTTGGCTTCGGGTACTTCGACGGCTGGAGGAGCTGCTGCAGTACTTAAGAGCAATCCAGGAGCACAAACTACAACTGCTTCTTCTACAAATCAAGATAAAAAAGACGTGACCGCCGCAACAAGAACCTCCGTGACGACGCTTATGCCTACCTCTATCCCCCTGACAAAGTTCCTTGGTGTTGGATCCCTGCAAGAGTGTCTGGACCGGTTGATTCGCATTCTCAGAGATGAAGCGAAAAGCTACCCATCCGGCGTTCCCCTCTCCTTCTGTGCAGACAGGCAAGTGCTGTTGAATGAGTATCGGGATGCGGTGCCGATTTCGCGGCGACTGCATGCACGTAGTGAGATCGGACTTGTAGGAAAGCGATTAGCCTTGTTGGCATCGTCGCTGTGCATGGACCAAACAGTGCGGGATATGATTCTTTTCACATCGGAGAAGACAGGGTGGAAAACAGCTACTAAAACATCTGAGATGGACCGTTGGTCTCGCTTGAGCGACATCATCACCACCCAAGCGGACGGCCCCAACCCAGCAGCTCTTTCCTTCTTAGCACGCAGCTTCGATCCCGACCAACGCAAGCTGTTAGCAGAGAAACAGGCGGTTTTGGATTTGCGGATGAGGAACACTGAGAGCGCGAATCGAAAATTGAGGATAACCGAGGATCCTCTGAAGGTAAGCCACGTGAAACCCCCGAAAAGCCTGTTGGCAGGTGCCGCGGCTCCGGAACCGGAGCAGCCTGTATTTGGAAACTACAGTGGTGATTTTAGCGGTAGAGGTGCAGCTGGAAGGAGTAACGTGTATAATGTTGGAGGACAAGCACCAGGTCAACAAGGTGCAGTACTGGGAAGTACTACAACTAGTGCGTCTGTACCGGGTCAAAATGAAGGGCAGAAAGATGCAGATGAATCACCGGAAAAGACAGAGACACCAGAAGAGGAGCAGAATGAGAAGAGCGTTGACTCACTGATCCAAACATTTCTTCCTCGATGGTCGTCTCCTAGTCCGTCGACTGGTCCTATTAAAGGAGCTACGCAGGGAGGACGAAAAGTTATGTCATTATTTCTTTCACATTCACGTCACCTCCCTCAGCTTGAGATGATCTGACTTTCTTGATTAAGCTGAAAACTGAAAATAAGTGAGTTACTGACTGAAATAAGACGGGAGGTAGCTTTTAAAGGCTACTCACTCTGTGTTCTTCAGTGTCTCGGTTATTCTCGGTTGTTACTTGCTTATTTCAGTTTTTCGTATAGCTAGTACCCAGGATTCTCTGTGTTAGACGACTACTTCTTAGTTCTTACATGGTTAGTTCCTTCTGCAAGAAACTCTTCTAACCTCCTTGGCGTTTCCCTTTCCGACGTCCAAGAGCGACTGTGCGCGGCGTGTGGTGTTACAGGTTTGTTCAGTAGGTCTATCGACGCCATGGAAGCAGAGCGTGCGGACCCAGAAGGGTCTGCATTGAAACAAAAACTACGCAATTTTCTTTCGAGAGACAGGGAAGTGTGGAAGACTTGGTCCAATTATAGCAAAAGTAATGCGAGTAGTTCAGGTCCAGGAGGGGGAGTATCATCTGCTTCGCCTGTTCCAACAGCTACTGCAACTATTAAGGCTCAGCTTTCAATGGTCACCATTGAGATTGGAGTCACTGAGATCGATGAGGCGACCCCTTCTTGAGAGAACCAACAGGGGAAATAAACGAAGGGAAAGGGGAGAGCTTTGAAGGGGGTCCCTTCCGTTCAGAGTCATGATGACCATTGAAGGCTGAGCTTTAAAACTAGTGCAACTTCCGCATCAACTGCATCGTCCAAGAACTCCGAGACGACCGAAGACTACTTTGGCTATGCTATGCTTCCACCGTGGGCAATTCAGTACGAGTGCGCATCAGCGGAGACGCCTAGAGACCCGATCGCGCTCTGCTTCTGGGATCAGCACTGTTTACTTCCTGCGCGAACCTATCGTGGCAGACTCTGTGCCCAAATCTACCTCGCTCTGAAGTACTTCCCTCAGAGCTTCGGTTCTTGGAACCTATACTTGGCGAATGCTTCGGATTTTTTGCTTGAGGGTTTCCGCAGTCATTTTGACACACACGATTGGAACGTCTACGTGTTGTTTCAGGGGTTGCTGGTGTTATGAAAAGAAAAAGTGCACTCACACTCAAGGAAGTAGCTACTGTCCTACTCGAGTCCTAGCCAATTTCTTGAGTGTGAGCGCACTTTTTCCTTTCATAGGTGTTGTTGGACTTTTATGAAGGAAAGTTCGAGGCGTACGGACCTTTGGGTTTGGAGTTGCCACGGGAGTCGTTGCGCAAGTGGATTATCGAAATTTTGACGCAGATCTTGGACTTTGAAACGGTATTGTTGAGGAGCGGTGTGCACCAGCAGAAAGGATAAGTAGCAGCAGGTTGAACTTGAATCTTCTAGTAAGGGATTGGGATGTGGACAAACATGGAACAAGCGTGGCTGATAACGAGTTTGATTTTTTTTCGTATCAAGTGAGTGTGTGAATCTGAATAGATACTAGATATAATTGGGATATGCGGATTTGGGCATCTCTGTATCTGTAAATTACCTTGGATTTGGTATCCAACGAACGTGAACAAGTTACGCAAATTACCTCGAGGACACAAATTTGAGTAGAAAAATAATTTGAAAGTTGTGAAAGTAACTGGATATTATACGGTAACGAGCTGTCGAAATATTTGACCGTTGATGAACTGGTATCGAAATAAAGTTGAAAAGCTGTCGTGGAGCTTCGAGTACTCCAAGCAATTACAAATGAGTACTTCCCGTCCGCCTATAAGAAAGAAAACCAAGCCACGTCGATGTGTGAAAAAGCAGAAAGCGATACAAGGTTCAATTATTTAGATTTATGAATTGTGCACAGATGGATAGGGATATTGTTATGGAAAAAGATCCATGTGTGGCTGCTGATGATCCACGACATCTCCAACTGGCTTACTAAGCGAGAAGTCCAAGGCTTCTGCAGTCTGTGCAAGCAGCAACTCTTGTTCATCTTCATCGCATCGAGTTCATCTAGATTTTATTCTGTGCTTCTTATCTCATCTTGTTTTTCTGAACTTTCTTTGCGCTTGAACTTTGCGCGTTCTTTGATGAATCTCCGATCCTCAAATCCGAATGCTCATGCAATGAATCAGTGTCTTCCAGCACCACCTGCTTTCGTCGTCAGTATCGTTTCAGTTTCACGTTTACAGGGTTGGATCAGCATGATGTTTAGGCACGTAACAGCTTTTGCTTTAATTATCGTCAAAGACTACAAGGGACTACTTCTAAATCTACATTGTACTTACTTCTTTTGTGTTCAAGAAGTAGCCTGAATTTCTACGTACAGCAGTAGAAGTAGATTCGCTTTCACGCTTTTGCTAAGTTCGTCTCATTTCTTGAGGGTTTTTCAAAGACTCCCTTGGCAGATAGGAAGGCAAAAATATGTCGATCGTTACCACCAGTACCATCTCGTCTGCGTCAAGTTATGAACTCCTGAAAGAGCAATATTCTCCAAGTACTTACGTCGTTGTTGAGTGCTTCTTTGGCCTTCATTCAACAAGGAATATCCATTAAAGAATTTGGTTGCTCCTGTCTGCTTCTTCTAGTGTCTTCTTCTAATTCTCCAGTCTCTTCGGCTCCTCTTCCTCTACTACCAACAGGCTTGTTGGCTCAGCATCCTCTTCGACGAACAACGACACGACTCCTCCAGAGTACGTGGACCGCGAATTTTCTGGCAGAGTGAAGTCCTACAGCGCTAATCAGCGCTACGGCTTCATAGAACGAGTTGACTTTAAGACTAGACCGCTAAAGGCCTCCGTTGCTCTGTGTCAGATTTGCTTCAAACTTGACCAGGGAGGGGAAGGACCTAAAGTACATGACCATGACCATCCTCAGCATCATCCCTGGCTTGTTTTCTACCGGTAGTGTAACTCTCCGTTCGAGGTACTACATTATTGGATCGCCTCACAAGTAGACAATGACAACTACAGTGGCTACATAACTAAGAGGCGCCATGACATGACATGACATGACATGACTGGAATGCTCTCAGGGATGGGAACGCGGTAGCTCTAATATTTCTGTCCCAGGCGATGTCCGCTTTAATCGGAGCGACTTGCCAGGGCAGCTCTATCACGAAACGAGTCTACAAGGCCGTCAATTACGGTTCAAGGTGCGGCGGAACGAGCATGGGAAATGGGCAGCCTTCGCTATACAAGATCCGAAAGGGACAGATACGTACGGAAGCGTAGTCAAAAGCTGGAACGCGACAAAGGGTTTCGGATTCATCGAGTGTCCGGAGCAGTTGTCGGAAGATGATACGCTGTTGGATTTTACTAGTGCTAGTGTTGTAAAAGTGTTGTTAATGTGTACTTAGTTGGGTCGGCTGAAATCATCATTACAAGAAAAGTCTTGAGCGCTTAGGCTTAAGAGTTTTTAGCATGTTTTCACCTCTATTTTTTGTTCCAGAAATCCACGTACTAGAAGTATCGACCACTTGGTTCTAATTATAGCGGCGGCAAAGATATTTTCCTCGGCTCCCGACACATCGTGGAAGAAGGGCACAAGCATGTCTCAGACCTCACTGGGCAACGAGTTCTCTTTTCTGTCGAGAAAGTACCGCAGGGACTTTCGGCAACCTTTGTCCGCTTCCCTCAACTCCCGGTCATGCTGGTACCCATTTCTACTTTTCTAGTCTCGTGCTTGTGCTGATGTCTTCAATGAGTATCCTTAATACGCGATCGCATGCCCTAAGCGTGGCGCTGAGATTGGGAAGTTGGTGGCGGCGTCCGCGTTGCCAGATACACCGCGCCGGCTTCGTCGGAGGCTCTGGCGCCGATTGTGGAGGGGGCTGAGGGGTGGCGCTATCGAGCGCTGGTTTTCACCGCGCCCGGCCTTCGGCGTTTTGGCGTGGTTTTGGTGGAGCGACCTCAAGTACCAAAACCACGGCACAGGGGCGGTGGGGTTGGTGAAGATGCCGCCGCGCCCCTCTTGCGTCCGCTTTTTCGCGTCTGCACTTGGCCGCGCGGCACATGGCCGCGAGCAATGCACCCCGGCAGCCCCAGCGGCGGCGGGTTGAGGGCGCGGGGCGCTGCCTCACTTTGTCCCGGAGGGACGGGCGCGCGCCTTGGTGTTCGGTCTTGTCCCGAAGGCCCACGCCATAGCGACGCAAGTTTGCCACCTGACTGCAATAGCCAACGAGCAGGCCCACTCTCCAACATTTTGCGGCCGCTGAGCGAAGGCGGTGCCCGGTCCGTTGGGAGTTAGTGTCTGCTATGGTGGACCACTCGGAGAGAGACGCCTGCTGGCGACTCCTTGGCGGGGAGCGTTTGGCGGTAAATGAAGTGGGCCCCTCTTAGAAAGGTGCCGCCCCCCGCCTCCAAACATAAGAAAACCCCATAGGCGACGACGAAGGGCAAGCTTTTACAATAGGCGGCGACGAGTAGGGCCACTCTGCTGGCGGGTGAGTAGCGTGGGCCAACATGAGACAGCGCGCGCCACTGGCGTGGTGGTCGTGATTCGTTGCGAGCCCAAAACTGCGACTGCCCCCGAAGTTCTAAGAAAGAGGCGTAGCACCCAGTCACAATCTGCGCAGGGTATTGACCAGGGGGGCCAACTGCTGAAACCAGGCTCGGAAACCATCGCGGCCGCCCACACTCTGGAACGGGTCGGAGGTCGGCCTTTCTTATTAGCTCGGAGGGTGAGGGGTTGGGGGCAGGGTGCTGCGTGCACGGGCATGGCGGTCTTGATTTGTTGCAGGGCCATCCACTTAGGCCAGCGCGAAGCCGTCGCCATGCTTATGGAAGTAAGCCCCGCGACCTAACTTTTTTCCCAAATTTTAGCAAATTTTGAGAAATTTTGTCAAAACTCAGAAGAGGCCTTGGCATCATTTTGCCAAACTTTGACAAAAATTGGCCACAATTTGGCAAAAGGGAGCTTGAAAACCAAAACTCGACGAACTTGGAAGCCTGAAAAACTTGGAACCCTTGGCCAAGGGGCGACCCCTGGGCGGTTGTGCTTACTTGGGGCGCTTGGCTGCGGGGTCTGTCCCGCTGATTAGACTCGCCGGACCGCGTCGACAAACTTGGAGCGTTTGGCCGTGGGATCTGCCTGGCCAGAGTTGTCAGATCGGTCGCGTCGCCTCTTTTGGATTGCAAAGCCCAGCAAACTTGGGGCGGGTGCCTGGCTGGCGGGTCTGGTTTGATATTATACATAGGAGGCGGGTGGGGTTTGGGAGATGCAGCGCCTGAGGAACGCGTCCGGGTACCCCAGCGGTGGAGCCAGGGTTGGCACTGGTATCCACCGCTGGGCATCGCTTTGAAAGTATCCACTTGCGCAGCGGGTCGCGCCAAGATTCGCCATGGGGTAGACATTTCGGGCCTTTGGCGTGCGCTCACTAAGTCCAACCACCGACGTAGACTGGGGCCTGTGTTGTCTCTTCACGATAGCGGTCTACTTTTCGCGCTGTTCCTCTTTGAGGAGCGGCAAAAGCGCGCGAACCTCTTCCAGAAAGTTGCGGCTTGGCGTATCATGGTGCGAGCGCCGTGGAATGTAGTAGCGGACGCGTTGAGGGTGGTCATTCGCAAGGCTGACCCAGTGCCGCTCCCAGGCGTTGCGCCTATGCTATGATCTATCCCAGCTGTCGACCGGGATGGCCTCGGGATCGCTCCGCCAGGTGCGCAGGAGCAGGAGGGCGAAAATGTTGCGGAGGATGCTGACGAGATCGGGAAAGCAATGGCAGGCCCCTCAATAAAATGCAAGGCGGCGCCGGGCATGGTGCTCGTTAATTTGAACAGGCTAGCGCTGTACCCAGGAGCCCCCTGCTAAACAAGGGGATGGAGCGGACAGGGAAGCAAGCGGAAGAGTGAACTGACGCAGAGCGCGAGCAGCAGGGGAATTGTTTCGAATTTTAACCCAGACCCAGAGCAGGGCGGTCAGCCTGTCTGGAGAGGGAGCCCGCGCCGACAGGCTGGGCGTGGTTATGGCTGCGGTGGAACAGAGGGCCAAACTTGTAGAAACGGAAACGAGGCCGCAGCCACTTGCTGCTACTGCGTCGGATAAATTAATATGCCAAAGCGGTTGCCGCTCGCTGTGTCGCGGATGCTGGTGGCGAGGGGGCTGCGGTGGTGCTTGGGGTTGGGTCTCATGAGTCTCATCACATACAAGACACAGGCGCGGCATCGATGTCATTCGGCGCGTTGCAATCGGGAAGAGATTCGCGGCACTGGCAGAGGGTGGGGACTATAAGGCCATGGCTTGGGCCGGACACTCTGCAGCTAATGGGCAAACCAAGGCCACTAGAAGGGCACTAGCGTGCTTGCCTCTGGCTTATCTATGCCCAGAGTGTGCCACAGATGAAGAAGCGCCCGCTTCTCTTGTGTGAATCTGCGGCATTTGGAGGAAGAGAAAGCGCGGCGGCGAGTTCTTCGGGTCTGTCATTTATTTTTACCAGCCGGAGCGCCAAGTAGCCGCGGCGTGCCGCGGTGTGTATCATGATTGAAGTTCATGCATCGGCCTCAGCAAGTCGAAGACCGGAGAGGGCCGCGCGGGTATCCGTCTCGTTTCTTTTGCCTCTCCGCCGGGTTTCTGTCTATCTTCCACTCTTTTCAGCAGTGCTGGACCTTCTTGCCGGACGGCATGGCTGGGGGCGGATGCGCTTCGCACGTTGCTGCCAGATTTATGCGGGGGGCTGCGATCGCGGTCGGACTCGGATGATTATCTGGGCCAAAAGTTGCGCAGACCGACAGGGGGGTGAGCGTGGGAGATTGCGTAAAGCGCGCGCTCATCCTTGAAAGCGGGCCAGGCTTAGCCCCATGCCTTAGGTGGAAAGGGTGAGGCTTCTCAGCTACAAACATAGCGGAAGCGTTATAGGCAGCCTTGGCATTGGCGCGCTGGTATGACTCTGCAAGGGCTCGCTTGACTCGGTGGGTGCGCTACTGACTTGACGAGGATCAAAAACAAAACGGGCAGAAGACAAATTGTGCCCAAAGGTGGGGGCTTCTGAAATCTCACCAAAAAAGGGCGACAATATATTAGGCAGGAGGCTGCTGTGTCGCGTTTTGCATGGCTTGCGCGCTCTTTTATGGTCCGCCTTTTATCGCTAAAGCTAGCCATAGCCGGTTCTTTGTTGTGTCGGATATTGTTTGTCTTAGATGTCTTCATCCTCCACCGCCAGTAATTCACACAGCCTCTCCATCAGGGCACCGCCGCAGGTGGGATAGTCGTTTCTGAAAATCAAGTGCCAGAGAATAAGCGCAAACACGAGGAAGAAGCCAAGGCCTTAGACTTCCAGAAACGACGAAGAGGCATGCTTCCGACAGGACGGCAGACAGGGTACTGAAGTTTGTTAGGCCAACATTAGAATGAAACAGAATCATAAACTTGAAGTTGAACTTTGCAAAAGAGGAAGACAGACAGTAAGTAGGACTAATTTAGATGAAGAAGAAGAGTTGAAACTTTATTCTTGCATGTGCATCGACATCAAACTAGAGGACTAATTGATTTACTTTAACTTCAAGTAGAAAAGAAACAAATAGTTTCTACCACGACCACTACAGGACGATCAGTTCGTTTGTGAAGGAGAAGTATGGTTTCGTTAAGTGTTCGTTTTTGGAAGGGGAGCTGTACTTTCCTGCTGACGAGGGAGAAGAAGAGAATTGGAGACCTGGCGACACCTGTACTTTCGAGGTCGGTTGTGACGAGAAAAGTGGGAAGCTAAAAGCGCTAGCAGTCAGACGCGGTGGTGCGCAAAATGGAGGAGGTAGTAGTTCGGGATCGGGTCTCGGAGCAGCTAGTGGGTCATCATCTTCTGCTTTCTCAACCAGTGGAGGTAGTAGAAATGGAGGAATAGGAAATCTGAAGCCCTCTCCATTTTCAACATCGCAGGCGACCTCTGGAATCAGAGTGGGTAGTAGTGCAGCCAGTAGTAGCGCAACAGGAACGAAGTTCATGAAAACGTCTTCTAGTTCAGGATTGGATAGCACTACAAAGTCCCAGCACACTGCTGGAAATAAATCGAGTGTCGGAACCGGAAGCTCAAGCTCGTCAGGCGTGATCGTCGGTCTTCGAAAAATAAACGCGAAGATAGGTGCCGGTGGATCGAATACCGATCGAGATGCAGGTGGCACATCGAACGTCTTGATGCTAAGTAGCAACTCCGCACCAGTAAGTGTGAAAAACCCTTCCATCTTTGCTGCCTCAACATCACAACAAAAGAGCATATTCACTACGACACAAAATAATAATATGTCTGGTACAACTACTGCATCCTCTATCTTTGGCAAGTCATCTAGTACAACGACGACCCCTTCAAACCCGTTTCTGAGAACTACTGGTCGATCTAGCAGTATGGATAGTACCCTTTTGGGAAATCGTACACCTTTTGGCGCCAGACCGAATGACGCGAAGACGGCAACCACTGGCGACGCTTATTCTGATTCACCCAATCAACTACATAGCAATGGTAGTATAACTTCAACTTCTCAACAGATGAACTCGTCAAATACCAATTCTAGAGGACAACAACTACAACAAGCATCAACATCTACTTATGGTCCTGCTTCAAAGAGTCTTTCTGCCTCTAGAGCAGATCATCAACCTGGCAGCTCTTCAAATTCGATCTATGGTCCTTCCTATGAAACTGCGAAGGAAGCAATCATGAAGTGTAGCTTGAAGGAACTGTCTGCACTCAATGTCGTTTTGGCGATGCAAATCAGCGCAAAATCGAGTGGGACGACAGCCGTCCAGCTGGAAGATAGTTCGTTGTAGATGTGTACATCATAGAATATGATACTTTTTTTCAGTCTAGGGGATACTTACGGATATGCGGGAGACTTTGATGCGTATACCGCTTTATTTACTGTCCAACCCACAACTTTTGCACGACCTTACGCTTAGGAATAGACGCGTTTACACTTGTTCGCTCGCCGTTGAACTTAGTTAACTAATTATAGTTCTTCGGTTCTGGCCCTCAACAGAATCGCTCCGTAATATCGGAATAGCCTACAAATGGCCGCGATCGGTACATCCACGCCATTCTATCGAAGCCAGCTTCTATCTGTCTAAACTTCTTTTATATCTGTTGTAAGTGAAGTTGAGTGTTGTACCTCTTCGGTAATGAGCAAGACGACGAGTCAGAGCGGTCTAGTGGAGAGCGAGAGAGAGAGAGGACTTTTTGAGGTAAGCACTTCCTGAGAGAGAGAGATAGCGGAGAAGACCACCTCTTGAACACACTCCCCCGCATGCTTTTCTTGCCACATCATCTATGACCTTTGTGATTTGATTTTCCAAATCCTTGCTACTTCAAGTTTCCTTTTGAATAACTTGAGACATGGACAACTCTGACTCTTTGTACAAATTTTTCTTATTGATTCCACTTCATTATCATGTACTAAGTAGTTTGTTAGCTGTGCCTCTCTCTCCTGTTAGAAGTCAGGTTGTTTCATGTACAGATACCTCGTGACCACCAGCTCGTATAACTACCTTGATCAAAATGGATGAGAACTGCCGAGGATCAAGAAAGATGAAGGCTCCTTCTCACCCTCGTCACCGCGCAATGACCAGTTTCCGAGGTCTGCTTCTTGCTGGCGTCGGAGTTTCCGCCACTGAGCCAACACTGCCGGAAGCAAGTGCAGAGAACAACTATGGACATGGAAATGGACATCAAGGAGGCATGATGAGGATACCCATAGTACCTTCATCAACGAGCACAAAAATGACACATGATGCTCTTGAAGGAACAACTCATGACCTGACAGCGTCTACCACGTCGACGAGGAGAACACTACTTGGAGGACAGGATATTGTTGAAAGGAATAGGCCACTAATTGAGGGAGGTCCATTAGTCTTTCGTGGTGAGCATCTGTTTCCGATGTTCGCTTCGGATTCCAGAGATCCTCATGAATCCGAGTCTAGTAAAAAAAGGATGACATCAAGATCAATCACAGCATCATCACCGACCACGGACACCACAGACCTCATGCTCTACACTAACCCCTCGTCGTCCAAGAACAACTCCTCCTCACTACGACACATGACGAGTGCCTACCAACGTGCCCTTCAAGGAAGTTCTGAAGGTCGCTCTGCGATTAAAGGATCGATCAGTGCAGTGAGCGCTCGCAGTTGGGCCTTGAGGAATAATGAGGTGATGGAATTCGGGTGGCGCATATCGGAATTACAATTCTTCGAGGATGCGGCATGTTCGAAACGATTGACGCCGATGAAGCAGGTATTAAGCATATGAAATCTTCATTCATCTTGTTTTTTAGCATGCATTCAAGGCACGAGGCATCAATATTTGATGACAGCAAGTGTATAATTAATGAAAATAGATCATATAAGAAGGACGAGAGTTTTTGTTTTTTCTAGTTAGGTCTGCTCCACCAACAATATAAGAAGTAGAGTCTGTAATACTTATTGTAAATGTCATCCTCTACGTCTACTTACTTTCTTCCAGATCGCCGGTCCCACCGATGCCGACTACGCGGCAGAGGCCTCTCGTCTTCCAGGCCGTCTGAGCCGGCCGAATCCGCCTGATTGTCCAGGCTGGCGACCAGAGCGGGAAGGCGCTAACAAGGCTTATGACGGCATGGAAAACACGTTCTGGATGTCGAGGTGTTGCCCATGTAAGAAATGGGAAGCCTACATTGGTGCGGACTTTGGAAAACCGGTATTACTATTATCTATCCTAATCTTTTGGAAATTTCTTGTGAGGATCATCTTCTACTTCTGATGTATCATTTTCTTTTGACGATAATCAATTTTTCAATTCTTTGCACAGGTGGAGTTCCGCAATAAATGGAATCAAACTTTCTCACCAAGTCTCCAGGTCATCCTCCGTTGCGTCCTGCTTTGGCAGTCCAGTCAACGTGAGTATGCAGCTGCTGAGATTGCTGTGTCGAAAGAACAGTCGCTTGCTGATCCTTTGACTGGGTCTCTATGGACTGTGGTTGCTTCGTTTTCGAATGTACCTATCTGGCACTACATGGGTTTTACGGGTATTGAAGCTGGTCAAGTCACTTTGGAATTTGCGGAAGAAAAGGGCATGCACTGTTTCGAGAACATGTATGGACCAATCTACGATAGTCTCTCAGATGCGCTGGCTGCGTGCAATGTGGATGGAAACTTTATGGACAGTGAGTTGCTTTTTTTTGTAGGTTTTCTTCTTCAACTTCATGATCGTCATCCTTCTTGTTTTGATTTTGTTTCGTCCTTTATTACTTCTTGTTTTAATTAAATATTCTTGTTTTTATTTTTGTTTCTAATACTCGTGCCGGCATCTACAATCCGAATTGTGAGCGTCTGAAAATCTATCTTCACATCCCGAAGGCTGTCGACTACGACTTTGTGAGTCGATCTTTGCAAGTTTTCACAAGAGAAGCAGAGTTCGGTGCTGTCGTTTACACCGGTGCGATGCGGCAGATGGTGCAACAGTTATGTTGTAGACGTGTGTTTGTTGTGCTTGTGCTAATGCTATTGCTATTATTTGAGGGAGAGAGAAATACATATTGAAGTTGAATGTCTAGCTTCAGGGCTTTAAATCTATGGTTATTTATTTTCCGTCATCTTTGATTTCCAACGTCCTCGTCATTCTTCTAAAACTAGTCGAGCTAGTGACGGGTGTGATTGTCACGCAGTCGAATTCGGCGCCAGCAGGAGCAAGACTCGACTTCGTGCACCAATACAAAAGCGTGGCTTCTAGTAGTAGTCTCTCTGGTTCTTCGTCAACTGGAACTGGTGCAGGATCTGCAACTGCTAGTGGCACTAGTTCTACTGGTTCAACTGGTAGTTCCAGCACCCTTAGTTTTATGGCAAGACCAGCACCAGCCTCGGATCCGGATGGGCTGTTCCATAATAGAGTACCTGAGACGGCCACGGCAGTTGGAGGCGTGATTCCTGATATCAGCACGCTTACTTTTCCACTGACTTTGGAGTTCTCAGTGACGCCAGGATACTCAGATGTGCGCTTGTGTCTTCGAGATTTCGGATTCGGGACAAGCACGGAAGGGAGCTGTTTGCTGGTAACACACTATTTGTAATGTGCTTTACAGTGAACGGCCCAGAGGACTGTGGTACCAGCAACAACTTTTTAAGGATATTGTTGGTTGCTGGTACCACAGTCCTCCGTAACTACAAGATGAGGCGACCCCACGGGCCAGGTGATCCCCCGATCGCCATGAGCAGGTGATGCCCCCGAACGCCTAGCCCTTCAGCCTCCAAATGGAACAGCTTACGAGCGTCAGGCCTCTCCGTGGCCTCTCCAAGGGTAGCCCACATTAGCTGATCATACCAACCACCTTCCTTTTTTTGTTCTTGTTGACTCTGGTACCAGGAGCAACAATATCCTTCATTAACATCATCCGCTAATCCTAATGATTTACCAACAATTTTTTCAGGTAAAGCGTGGCGCGTTGACGAGCTATGTGCAATTGGGCAATTTCAGGGTCTCAAAAGCTTACATGCAAGAATACAAACTGTCCGTGGATCCGACCGATACTTCCCCGTTGATCTCATACGTCGGTCGTGAGGACGATCCTGCAGTGTGTGCGGAGAAAGCACTGTATTCCATATCTTGTAGGCTACATTGATGTACATTTATGTAGGATGTTGATACAAGAACGTTTTTGTTGTAAATCTAAATGCAATTTCAACCTCCATCTCGATCTCTGTCCATCCCAGATTTATCATCTTCCGTTCCAATCCACTTAGGGTTCGCAACTCAAACGTCTTTGAGTTTGTTATCAAGGAGCAGGGGTTGACGGCGACTCAGAACTGTGTGGTTTACAATGTGCCGGCTTTCAGACCCCCTATAGGGTTGATGGCCACGGATGGTGTGAGCACAATCATTAAGGCTCCTATTGGATTACTTACACTCGTCATGTAACAGGAAGCATGCAAGAAAAAGAATTAGTTGCATCAACAAGATCAACACTTTTATTTATTTTCCACATGTTTTTAGAGATCACGACGCTCCAGCGTGTGAACAAGCATGATCCACACTTCTTTCCACCTCTAACATTCTCGACACTTATTACCTGCGGAACCAATCTTTTCCGACTACGACGCCGGCTCCGAGATTGTTTCTCACGGCCTCGGCGCGCAGACGCTCGAGCCGCGGCTCCTCGATTTTGACGGGAGAGGCATTTCTCTACGTCTTCATGATGTCCTTAGGAGTGTATGCGGCGATCTTGTAAGAGCAGAACGAGTTTTCTTCCCCGAGAAGAATTAGATGCTAGATAAAGCTACGAGGAAAGACTGCGTCTACTATGAGAAGTTTGTAGTCACAGTCACGACAGGGAGACACATCTAACGACAAATTTCTATTCATAAAAAGAATTTCCTAGAATTTGTAATAGCATAGCGGCGAGAAGTTTTTGAACATAAAAGTACTCAACTCATACATAGGGTATTTTCCTACTAGATACGTATCTAAGCCTATACATAGGAATAAATTGATTCCAACAACGTAGAGCTTCACTGTAATATACATAAGGTTGACCAAAGCAATCATATGTCATGGGAGGGAAAACATCTCCAGCATGTTATTCATAAAATTTTCAGACAGAAGTAATCTTAAATCTTTACTATGTACCTCATGCACAGTAAAAGGATTGAAATTCAACAAACAGAAACAGATACAACATCCGTATCCATGATTGTACTTCATGCACAGTTTTTAAATTCATAACAAAATGCTTAGGCATATCTTATCGCCATGCACGGCTAAGAAAATTTGTTCAACATAAACATGTATCCTTGTACCTTATGCACAGTTCTTAAAGTTTTCAATGAATTTCAACGAAAACATCATCTATTGTATACCTTGCACAGGCAAAAAGATATCAACAGGCGACACGATTTGCGCCGTATTTCATCATTTACAGGAGATAAAGGTAGAAAATCAAGACGAACTTTATCAATGAAATCATCTTGCCGATATGGAAGAACTGAAAGAAAGCAGCAACTTATTTCCTTTCTTATCTAAATCTACGAAGTGAAAAAGCCCTTCAACGACGCAAGCGCACCCTGAAAAATGATTGGACGCATAAAGTTTGTTCTGGAACCTTGATGGTGAAATAAAGATTGCAAGCGGTGGTCTTCAATACTATGCGTGAACCGGAATTCGAAGCACAAGCACTCCTGTCTCTCCTCCATATTACTGCTCATAAAAAAGCAAAAGCAATTCCAAAATAGGAATAGAGAAATCTTCCTGAAAATCGCTAGTAGAAGAGATGGCTTAATGTTGCTGACCACATGAGAAGAAACATGAGAAGAATTGACTGACAGAAGGAGAAGGCACCTGCATGCAACTCATAATTGCAGTGCAGAGTTCACATCGCGGAAGATGAAGTCGGGGGTGCGGAAGATGACGAAGCTGAAAACGATGGACAAGAAGGGAAATCTTCCAGCATCTTTTATATCTTCCGCGGGTCTGTCTTTTTTCTAGTTAGGTCGGCTCCACCACAAATAATAGGAATACAAGAACAAGAAGGTGGAAAAATATTCGCGAGGTGAAGAAGTAGAAGAAGATGGTGGAGAAGGTGAGCATCGGAGAGAAAAAGCGAAAAGCTAGGCCTCCTCGTTCATCCCAGCATCTTCCAGCATGCTACTTCCGTAGAGGAGCAGCCACTCTAGCTGCCGCCACAACAGCATTTTCCGGCATAGCAGTAGTAGCTCGAGATAGAACCACCACCGCGGATCAAGCACAAATAGATCCAAGAAGAACTAGTGGACGAGGTAGTGTGAAAGTGAATGAAGAACCTGCGGAGCAGCGGAAGCTGATGCAGCGTGAGAAGAGTCGATCTTCGTCAACGAAAGCATCTTCTAGTTCTTCATTTTCTAGTCGTGCAGGAGGAGCTTCGAGCGGTAGTAGATCTCCTGCTGAGGAGGAGGAAAGAGACATATTCTATCATTCCGGCAACGGACAGCGACAGGGAGAATTATCTGCAAATGGTGAGCATGTTGGTAGTGGAGGAGAAGGTCCTTCAGCATCGTCATCGTCTGACTACACGAGCAGCAGAAGCACACATGGACGAGAAGATGCAGGTTCATCGAGGAGAGCAGCTGCATCATCATCTTCTTCAGCAGGATCAATAGATGACGGGAACAAGCATATCGATGGACCAGATAATTTTTACGCTTATGCAACATCGTCAAATATTGATCATGCAGGAAGAAGTGTGCATCAACATCAACATCAAGGTGTGAGAAGCAGCAATAGTGGTCGTGTTGGGAAACATGAAGATGAAAAAGACTTTTTTGACCGTCTTCGTGATTTCGCTATGGCCATCGACACTAGCATTGGAAATGTCAGATCTACTGTGCAAGAAGCCGCGAACGGTCTAGCACGCAGCTTAGGAAGGAGAGAAACTCTGGGTACTAGTGCAGCTGGTCGTGGAGCAGCTCCTGGCACACCTTCGACTGCACTAGAAGGAACTCCATCATTTTCTTCACCAGCACGAAATGAAAAGGATAGAAAAGGACAGAGATTCGACCCTGGCCTTGCTAGACACTGGATTGACGCAGAAGGTGAACAGAGCGTCTGGCAGGACTCTACAGGACAGCCTCGTACTTTGCTGACTACACCAGTGCGAGAAACCTACTCAGCATGGAAAGAGGCAGAGAAGAGCGGTCTTCATCAGGGGACAAGTAGTAGGAATTTGGCGGGTGCATCCTCGGCGTTGGAAATGAGATATGGAAAGAAATGATACCTCCTGTCAAAGTCAATTGTCATTTTCATTCTCGAGGAGACATAGCTAGGCCGACTCACAATATCCACGTCAATTGATTTCTGTTGCAGAAGGTGAGCAGCCAAAAAACCCCTCCTCTTGTGCCATTTCCTCTTCTTCATACCCCCAAAGAGGCCGAACAGCAGCAGCACCTACCCATGGACTATCCCCGACGATTGCAGAGCACCTCAGCATCTGCGCAGGCTGCGCGAGTTTGGGGTATATTCAATGCAGATCATCAACCTGACGGGTGGCGTGTTAGCGAAGTAGCATTCTACGAAGATGACGGTTGCAACCAACAGTTGACGCCATATAGCTTGCGCAGTGGACCAAGCGCGGATTCCGGTATACAACTTAGCTACCTTTTGTAAAATGAAGATAAGTGCGGAAGATTCCGGTATACTTAGCTATCTTTTGTAAAATGAAGATAAGTGCGGATTCCGGTATACTTAGCTATCTTTTGTAAAATAAACCACGTAAGGGAAAGAAGACGATACATTACGGTTGAGCAGGTTATTTGTGATGGACATGGATCACATCAGAAAACAATCTTCTACTTTCTTTTTTCGGCTCAAGAACTTTCATTGGTCTTTGGGGTCAAGAGTAAGCAGGGTTGGCGGCCCTGCCCTCGTGCCTTGTAGGCCGGCGCATAAGAGTGGGACGGTTGGCAGCCGGTGGAGGTTTATAGTAATTAATTAATTACCTCCTTTGCCCCTAGATTTTTTCTCCATCATATAATCGACTAGTTCGTAGGCAATTAGTGCGCAGTAGTATAAGGAGGTTAATGCACTCCACCCGTCGCCGGCAGGTACACCGGACAACACTGGGGCCACCCTTTCGGCGTTCTCGGACTACAAAAAAAAAACATCAAAGGGGAGACCCTCTGAGAGAACAGAGGAAAACTAAGGGAAAACAAGGGGACGAGAGGCAAGGGGCATTTTTCTTGCAGAATCTGTGACCGCTGACTGCTGACCTTTAATACTACCTCTTAAAAAAAATCAACTCAGCCGTAATGGGTCCTTCCTCTATCCCTGGAGAAGGATCCACAGAAGAGGTGGATATGACCACGTGTCTGACGTCCAACGTTCGTGGCATTCCGAACAAAGCACTTGATGGCTTCACGAACACCATGTGGGCAGCGGAATGCTGTCCGTGTCCACCGAATACAGCCTATATCGGAGCAGATTTTGGAAACCCGGTGATAGTGAAATGTGTTATAATCACGCAAGTGCCTGGGTATTTATTTCTTTGAGAAGTTTTTTGGATCCTGCTATGGCGTTTTTGAGATTTCTGATACCTTCGTCTGCATGTGATTTCTTTGTGACCTCGTACTTGTATACAGTTTTAGTGCCTTTTTTACAGTCTCTTTTTACTAGACTCAAAGTGATCTCGTACGTTTAGTTTTAGTCTCTAGTCTCTTTCATACGCTTAAATAGTGTATAATCAGGTACCACGCAAATTCCGTTACCTTGATGAAGGAAACAGGCCTCTTGCAAGTAGGGACGAACAGTCTGTGGGGTCCAGTCGTGACGTGGACTGACCTTTATCCGGACTACAACAGGGTGTATTCGGGAATCAAGATTATGGCACGAAGATATTCAACAAAACGACCAGGATCACGGGTACCTGCTCCTTAGTGTCAGTCAAAACTACAACATATTAATCGCGTCATCACTCTCAATTAATATTGATGTTCTCTAATCGGATAATACCGGCTAAGTGAAGTGAGATCATTTCATTTAAGTTAAGTCATGGCTTTGTGAAGTCCTTTGCATGTATTCTCTAATTTCCTGGACGACATGAGCGTAACTTTCGTGAAGCAGGGATTCAAGCACTGTTTTACTGCCATGTACGGACCACAGTATGGCGGTGCTCGAGGGCTGCAGGAAGCCGAAAACGCCTGCAAGGGGGACAAAAACTGTCAGGGAGTCTATCAGCAGTCTTGTGATTATGGAAGTAGGTCATATTTTTAGCGTTGGTCCCCATATTTTTTGGCGTTGGCCCCTTCTTCTGAAACAAATCAGGAAGTTCAAGTTTTCCACACCAAACAAGAACAAGCTTTTTAACAAACATTATTAAGATCTTAATCTATCTTTTGCACTACGGGGAGTCAATCTCTCTCGACGTCGCTTCTAACATTCGCCTTTGGTGTACACTGTATTGCTGTCGAATATTCTGGACATGCAGGGCTTGAGAAATGCGCTTTTTCCAGTGCAGGATACAACTACTCCAATGCCGGGACTGAACACGCCAGCACCACCTGAACCAGAGGTAGCGTGCCTAGATGTTTTTAGGAATGCCTATGCTGGTCGAAAAGGTATCATCTGTTGCTGAGTCAATTACAGGATTTTCTGAGAGGGTAAGTCTAGTACTCACGAATTCTACTGGAAACTTCCACTTGCTAAGGGTAAGAAGTCATCACCACTTCAACGGCCATCTTCAGGTCCGCACAAACGTGCTGCTCCCAAGTGGTCAGATGCTGCTCGAGGGTTCGAGAACTACATTCAATATGTGGAACGCGACCGATTTCTCTCCGCCGATTCCTGTAACTATGCAAACCTATCCCAAGTACGGAATAGTCCGCATGTGCACGCGAAACGTGCTAGACGCTTTGCAGGAAAGTGCGGAAGGCAGCTGTGTGTGGAAGAAGACGGTAGCTGCTATACATAGATTTTATAATATGTAAATGTCGACGTCGAGTGGTGAGATGTTCGCACGCCATTGCGTGCATGGGCGCGGGACTGTCCACGCTGGTGGGGCAGTCGTCTCTGACGCGCCAGGTGCTTTGGAAGCTTCTGCTTTCCTATCTTTACTCACATTTTTCCAATTTTTTTCCAGTGCGCCGGCCATGATTTCGTATCATCTTCCTTTTTCGAACTTCTTCTCTTTTACAATAACATCCAGGGCGCCATGATTTCGTATCTTCCATTTTCGAATTTCGAAGTGATGAAGAACTTTCCGGGTTTAGTGGAGCTGGCTACGATTTACAGGGAGATGGTCAGCGATTGCGCGAGCACGTGTCTGACAACGCCATCATGCACATCTTTTCAGTTTTTGATCAGGCGCGAAGCGAAAGTGCCACCGCTAAACTGCGAACTTTTTTTATGGAATTGTCGATCGTCGGGATCTAATATTTCGTTTCATTGAAGAAACAGTAGTTAGTACTTTTTAAGAAGTCAAAATTACCATACGACTAATCATAAACGACAACGACCTATATATATGGATAGAGCGACGTAAGATCTTGTCTCTTCAACAACTGGGTCTCGGGGTCTACTACTTCTGAATATGCATAATAGCTAAAGAAAATGAAAAATCGGATTCATCTCATATAGTTCTAACCTCCAGCATGCCGGATGACTTCGCGCCGCCTGCAGGCCTCCGAAAGACTGATGGCGTGGTGAATATCATCGATTTTTATCAATACGATACATGGAACGCATCCACGCTGATCGAAGAAACCACGACTCAGGGATTCTCCTTTGCGACGAGGAAGACAGGGACGATCTTCACTTTCCTACTTGCGCCAGTGCTTGTGGGAGTGATGCCATTGTTAAGCTTGACCTTGTATTAGTGTGGCAGTAACAAGACGACTATGTTGTCATAAGTAGTTATCAGGCAGAGGAGGAGTCTGTCAATTTGAATTTTGAATACTTACTTTTTTACTTTGATGATGTTCATTTCACTTGAAATAACTTTTTACCTTCGTTTCGACAGGTACTAGCATCACAAGAAAATTGGAGAAAAACAGAATCCATATGCAGCTGTGGTGTTGGTCGTTCTCGTTTTGAGTTAATTTTCTTTTTGAAAATGGTTTTGCCTGTTGGTCATCAAGAAAATTTTGATTTATTGAATAGTTGTTTCGCTGGTTCTCAATTGATTTTGATTCGGTAGTTTTTGCTAAGTAAGGGGGGCGATGAATAGGACTAGAAATAGCGGCGCATGCATAGGGTTACTAGAAGAAGAACAAAAACTCAAACGGTTTTTATGAGCTTGTTGTAGTAGTGAGTTGTTGTAGATAACTTTTTTGAATATGGAATTGAATGAATTGATTGATTGAATGAATCATATCGTGACCACATCGATCGTTTCTTGTAAATCAACAGGTAGCAAGAGTAACTTCTAAAAAGAAAAGGTAGTCATACATCCTTACCTCAGGGTGCTCCTCGTTTCCATCCCATTCTTGACAGATTTCCTAGAAAAAATAGTCTTGCATTTGCAAGGTGCATCTTTTTTATAACCGATGCACAGGAGTAGATTTCGAAGAAAGATTGAGACTTGCTTCTGCAATAATGTTGCCTGATCTCCACGATAAAATGAAGACGCACAGCAAGTGAAACTATGAATGGTGGCTACTTTCTCGTTTTATGGACAGACCTTTATGCTTATGCAGCAAGCAAAAAATGGCACGTGCGCTCTCTCTATAAAGCAACATTATGGTGAGTGTGTGTCTCTGTGATGCGTTTAGGAACAACATCGGAGAAATAAGAAAATAGTTGGAAAGGAACGAAGTGTGCTACCGCATGTGTGTGTGTGCGCCAGGCATGCGCGCTCTACAATGAGTGTGACACGAAGACTAGTGACTGAACCGCAAACCTGAAATTGTGATCATCAACATCACATTCATCTCTTAGGAACTTGCTCTGGTTCATACATCACACTACAGCTTCATGTTAGTTTGATGGAACTGCATCGAGGGCAGATTACTTGTAGGCAACTTTTTTTCAATACTAGCATCCATTACTAGTAGTAGTAGTCTAAATAGACTGAAACTGTTCTTGCATGATCAATTCAGATTCGTTTTTTTTCAGGCTTTGCATACCTTTCAGGTCGAGGTCGTTCATCATTCTCTACTTTTTATTTACAGTAGTTAATACAGTGAGACAATTTGTATGATCTTCTCTCTATGCATTGTTAACATTGATCAGAAAATACTCTTGAGAATGTTGGAGAACCTGTCGGCGTCCGAGAGCTGAATCGGGCGCTCAGATCCACCCCACGTGGTGGATTGAAGTACACCATCACTTCGCTTGTTTCGGCACATTGGTTCTTAGGAATCGTACCGTATAAGACCATTTTCTTCACGACCCTTCGACGAGGACTACTTCCGAGTACGTACGCTGAAGATTCAGCATTTGTTCTCTTTTTCATATCACTCCTCGTCAGTCTTCATCATGTCGATGACATCCACATCCTCCTTCCCGATCGGCCACATCATGTGATCGCTCGATGACTGCGAGTACTAATTCCTCCAACAATAAAGACGACGTTTGCAAAGAAGCCTCCACGACTTTTACTTTTTCGAACACTTTTGCCCATATTAACGAAGATCCACCTTCACAAGAAGGATTCCTTTCACCTCTTCCAGCATCACACCAGAATTCTGCACACCAACGCCCGTCATCCACTTGCTCTTCACAAAAACCGGCCAGGAATAGCATTACAAGCAGCACAAGCAGTCTTACTTGTTCTAGTTGCAATACATTTCACACAGCAGCAGGAGGAGATCATAGGGATTCGCGGTTATCAGCTAGTGCACTCAGTTTCGGTCGCAACAGTGGCTTTTGCAGCAATCTTCCAGGACGTGACAGCTTCGTTGTACAGACGGGGCGTGACAGCGTCACTAGCGCGACGTCAGTGGCGCAGGGAACCCCAATCCTTGCGAAAAATTTAGCATCGACGCCACAGCATAATAGAACAAGAGGAAACACATCAGGTGAAGGGACGCCGGGCGCTCCCGGCACTGTGCTCAGGATGACCAGTCTGCCACCTCAGCCGCCTGTTGCGCAGGCGCAGACAGGTGGAGGGGGAGCGTCAATGCAACCGCAGCAGCAACAGGTTTATCAAGTACCGCAACAGCAAGTGACGCAGCCACATCAAGTAACCCAACAGCAGCCACAACAACAGCAGAATGGTGCAGGGCTCGTTGCACAGCAACAAGCACCACAGCACATAGCGGCACAGGGTCCACCAATAATGCAACAACAGCAGCAGCAACAAATACCTCAAGTACCTCAACAAGCGACACAGCAGCAATATGCGACTCAATCGCAGATGGTAGCGCAGAAGCAAGCGTTCGCTTCGCAACAAGGTTTCTTGGTGGATACCAATGCTGCAGGCGCGGTCAATGTCGTCCAGCAGGGAAGCGGCACCCCTGCCTCTCGCAGCGATACTGAGCGCGACGCGGCTACACCAGCGGCGCAACCAATTGTGTCAACACAACAACAGCCATCTGGTGGAAGTCAGCAGCCACAGTTCGTAGCGCCTGCTCAGACAGCAGCAGTTGCAGCAGTTCCTGCTGTCACTAATCATCAGCTTAGCCACCAGCAGTCGGGGAATCTATTCGGGCAGCAGGGCACAGCATCAAGCGCGAATCTTCTAGCCGTCGAACAGCAGCAACAAGCGCAACAAAATTCCACAGCAGGTCATCAACCTCAACTAGCTCAGCAGGTGGTTAACACCCAACAGCAGCATCAACAGCAGCATTCTAGTTTGACGCATCATCAGGCACAAGCAGGTGGTGCAACGACTGTGGTGCAGCAGCATCAGGGAGCAGCACAGCAAGTTATGCAACAAGCACCGTCAGGAATACAACTACAAGCTGGAATGAATGGACCTACTACCACATCCGTACCACTGGTTCCCTCTGCGCAACAGCTTCAGCACACTAATACTACTACTACGACGTCGCTCAGTCGGACGTCGTCAACGACACCGAGTTCATCTAAAGCTGCTCAGCAGCAAGGCGGCACACCTCAGATGATAGCGCACGGCAACGCGTTCCAGTCACACCATCCAGGTTACACGCAGGCTGCCCCTGTACGGGCAACGCCACTTCCTGGCATTGTTCCAGCAAATTTAGTTCAACAAAACATGGGTGGAGTTGGAGGTGTAGTTGCTAATACAGTTGTAGTTGCAGGTACAACAGTCCAAGCAACTTCTAGTACAGCAAACATTGTAGGCACCGGTGGTTCACAGCCACAACTCGCCACGGTTGGGAGTAATGGCCAACTCTCCCAAATGGCACAAGCTAATCCTCAACAACAAACCATGAACATGAATGTAGCAGCGGGACTACAAGTACAACACGCCCCACAATATAACAATAGTAGTTACACGCCACCACAAGCGGGATCAATGGCAGTACCTTACAACATGATAGGGCAACAACAACAACAACAACAAGCAGTAGCATCCTCGTTGAATAGCCAACAGTCGTTATTCCGTCGGTTCGCGATAGAGCACAACACTAGGCGCCGACTCTTCCGATGTAGTATGCAGGACACACCTGAAGATATTCTCGATACTGTGAAGCAAGCATTTGGTTTGTTCCACGTTTTAGGACCGCGAGCAAGGATACGATTTATACTACCCCAAAGTCGAGAAACATTGTGCTCTCTTCGCGTGGAAGGTTTGCAGGACAACGAGACCTATCAGCTCTTGATTTTTGATCCTGATGGGCAGCTGAACAGGGGCGTATCGAATTTACACGAAAGGAGAGCGGCGGAACGTATTTTCTTCATCGCTTCCATCTTGTGTAATCACTGACTCTTGCTTGACAGTTATGAATTTCAAGTTGATGTTTTCAACCATCGTACTTGTCCAACGAGCTAAGCATGGGATTATACTAGTAGTTCAAAAAAGTCTGCGTCTGCGTCATTTTATCCTCTCAAACTACTTGCTTCGAGGTCCTTTCGTAGCGCCTAGCCGTGTACCTAGCGAAGCCGATGTGAAAAGAGAGCCCAGTGAACACCCTATGAAACAGGGAGAGAGCCAACAAATCGGCATGAAGCAAGAGGCAGAACGCGGTGAGCAGACGCGAGCCAAGTATGCGAGGGCTGGAAAGAACAAAACTCCCGAGCAATTCACTGAAAATCTCGGTGGCGATGTCACTGACGGCCAAGGCACCAAGAGTGCAACAGAGCTAGATGATAGCGAAGACGCTGAGGTAGAGCGGAGTCCTGATGGACGATACATACGCTACAAAGGCGAGCCTCGTGGTGGAGCCGGCGCTTTCAATCGTGTGAATTTGGGTTACGATAGCAATACAGGACGGCAGATAGCTTGGAACGTGCTGGACAAGGTACCGGCGGAGAAGGAGAGCAGAGAACTAGCGACAGATCCTAGAAGGGAGAGCGAATGGTAATACATTGGAAGTACTACTTGATAAGTTGTAGCCTATGTTGATGTCAACATGAATATCAGGTGGATTCCTGAACAAATTTCTATCTTGTCGTTGTGTTTCTATCATGATGTTCCACATGCAATACTCCCGCTCTCGAAACCACAGGATCGTTCGAGGCCTTTCTGCTTGGGAAGGAGCTGGGAGTTCTTTTGTGGTAATTACATCGCGAGGTAGCAGTCATACCATCAGGAGTCATATATCGCGGTTACCGAAAGATAGGCCTCTAAAGCTAGCTGTGGTACGCAAGTGGGCACGTGATCTAGCAGAAGGATTGCAGTTTTTTGCCTCGCTTTACAAAAAGCAGCCGCATGGGTATTTCTTTAGTCACTCTTTAGTTTTCAATTATAGTAGTGCTGCATGATGTTAGAACCAATAATTTGAAGTCGAAACGACAACAGCTAGTGAGTGCAACTATGATCTGAATTTCTTCATCTTTCAATCTTATTATAGCCACCTAATATTAATTTCTACAACAGTGCCGTCAATATCGACAACGTCTTTGTGAAGCAGAATACGGGCAATTTGTTTCTTGGTGATCCTTCTTTCGGCAAGACTCCAACGACTCTTGCTGAGAAAGTTCTCGCTAAGACAAGTGCCGAGCGTCGCGATTTAGTGGGCTATGGTCTTTGCCTCCTAGACATTGTCTACAAGGGGTCGCTGGCGTCGCTGGATAAAGCTGAACAGCGGGAATTCAGAAGTGCAATCGAGAAGGAAGAAGCGCCAGCCGAAGTTGCTAGGATTTTACATGAAACGTTGCGGACATTGCTGAAACTCTGTTTTCGCGGACCGAAAGAGGGCACAACGGCCTCAGCAGCTATGCAGGAGATATTTGGAGATGGCACAACAGGGGAATCCACTTTTCTGTCGGAAGCAGACGAGAACGATGTCTATTGCGAGTTAGCGCCGATTGCTTCTCTGAATACGGGAGGTGGAAAAGACGATGTAGGTACTATAGGCAACAAGACAGGAGGAGAAGGTGGCGGAGGGGGAACTGCGAACGGTGGATGATTGTATTGTAAGTATCTTTATGCATTTGTTGTATTTCAGGAGAGCTTCCTACAACATCTTGAATTTTGTAGATACTGATGCTCCTCTCCGTTGTAGGTACTAGTGAAGTTAGTATGTACGTAGATTTAGAAGATATGATAGCTTGGTCCTAGGAAAAAAGATAGATTCTGTTTTCAACAGGATATGCATTTGCAACAAACGCAAATGCATATCCTGTTGAAAATGCACAACCGTTGAAAATTTGATTTACCTTGAACTGTAAATGAATACTTACTATTAACTGACTACTTACAGTTACAACGAACTGTTATAACTATAACACTAATAGTAATAGTACTTCTTAAGGTATTCTTATTGTTGCTTTTCTATTTGCCGTAACTAAAGGATGGGGCTGTTGTATTCTATCCTTGTGCTGGTAGCAGATACTCGTCTACCTCTGTTGCATGATATCGGAGGGTCTTATTGTCAATTTACTCCTCCTGCTTTTACCTCGACACGATGGATCCATCCTTGTTTGATACACTAAACGGCCGAGGTCGCAAAAAGTGGATGATCCTGTAAAGGGTGTTCGTGATTCGAGGCCTACTGTCCCCTGAGAAATTTTACTGCAGGTCTCACGAATCACAATGAGCACTTATTGGGCATCCGAAAAGCTTGATTTTCTAGCTGTGTGAATCGATAACTTCTTCTTCTGCAGGCTTAATATGCTTATGCATCTGTGAACTAGACCGACGTAGAGTAAAAACCAATTTTCTAATCAATGTAAATCTTCCAACTTTGTTCCACTACCTAAGTACTTATTTGTATTTGCTTGTTCGCCTTCTTCATATGAGCCCTACCTTTCTCTTTCTAGCAAGATCAGCATCAGGCCCTTTACAACTACACGTTAGTTGTAGCTTGTGAGACCAACATACAGTGAGTTCTTACAAGAAGGAACTAGTATCGTGTGGCGGTTTGGGTTCATCTGTAACAGTTTTCTCCCGAGGAGGGGAGATGGGCTCACTTTGATTCCTAAAAACATTGTTTCATCTAGGACGACGATTGGTGAACAACTTTTTTTGTACTCATATCATTTCTATGCGTGGAGTTGGAGGCGGACGTGGCGGTGGGGATGACGGAATTGATGAAGAAGGGCATGAAATTTTTCTGGTGGTAGCCTTATGGGGTCTATTTCCAATAGACAAGGGAAAAGAGGAGTAGACAAGGATGACATCTCCGTCTAACGGAACAAAGAGTCTAGCTGGCACTTGCGCGGTTCGGGTGTTCAAAATGTTCTGCGCACGCCTAAGGAAGTCGTGGCGGGGAATTTACGCAAGACTACCACGGCGAAGATCATGATTGTAGTGGAAGATCGGTCAGAAACGAGTGAAGCCAGTGTGTGCGATGAGTTAAGGTCTCTAACATTTAAAAGAATAGGTACCTCCTCATTTTTTTTTCCTCCAATAGTTGTAAGTTAGCAATCTTCGCGACAAGAAACATGGTCGTCGTCCCTCGTCCCGCTGCGCCTTCCTCAGTGGTGGTCGCACTGATTCCGTTTTACCAGAAATGTTTTGTGCCAACGTTTCCACCATCATTGGATTTGCGTCACGATGATGGGTACTATGCATCTTTGGAAGAGGCTACAACAGGGGGGCTGGAGACCTGGTTTGGTGAAGGCTACGAGGAGGTCGACGATGACTCCTCTAGGTTTCTCTCTTGCTGCAGTGAGGACAAACGACGGTTTCCGGCATTGGCTATTGCCAATGCAGTTGGTTATCGTGAGGCACATCTCAAAGAGCCTCTAGTTTCCTTCGCAGAACAGCTGCTTGGCGCCCATGACGGCGATTTATCCAAACTGCCATGTGCTGTGAGGTCGAGGATTTCGGTGCTTCCGCGTTTACTCGATACTTACGACAGAGGCGTCGCAGAATTGCGTTCTTTGACGAAGCAGATTGTGCGTCACATCTGTTTCTCGATAGGGAGTGAGCAAGAACCACTTTTGACGCCATTTCTCACAACTCTGGACGAGATGAGTCAAATCCTCGCTGAGCGTGAGGATATGTCTTGTCCTGTAGATCAGGCTTTGTTTTTTGAGATACAACTGCAACTACAATTAAGTGTTGAAACATTTCATTTTTTTTACAAGCCTTCTCTACTTGAGATTGCAGCTACTAAAAAATGAAATGCTTCAACCTTTAATACAAGGTGGGGACGCTAGTAGCAGTGGCGCAGACGAAGACGAAAGCGACGAAGTTGGGAGTTTACTGGTAGAACAAGGGATGAAGAGGTCTCTCGGCTTTCAGTTTCCGCCTCCCGCGCATCATGCGTTTCATTGGTCAAGTCTGAAACAGAGTTCGATTTTAGAGGTGAATCTTCACTCGATTGCCTCTGTCGACGAACTACCTTTGCCGAAAAACTGGACGTGGGGAAGCAACCATAAGATCTGGGAGGAGGTAAAGAATGAGGACCCTATGAGCGTGAACAACTCAAACGTAATGAATTACGACCGATATGGACACAACGACAACACGTTTTTGTCGCATTTCATCGAACTGCAGGCCGTGAAGTTGAGCACGGCTTTGAGTGTTTTGCTGTCAGAATTGTGGCATTTGACCGAACAAGACGCGAGTGTTGCGGAAGAACCCGCTGTATCCACAGATGAAGCAGAATCGCTCCCAGAGGAGATTCCTAGTTTAGCGGAGATCCGTCCACCTGCGGCCGCAATCGAACGGCGGCGAAGACTGGAAGGTCAGGTTGTGGTTTTCCCCACCGAGTCGACGATCGGGGAGCTGCCGCAGAGTAAGATAGCACAGATTCTACAAGAAACACTCGTTGAAAGGTCGCAGAAAGGCCTAGCAGTAGCAGAAGAGACTTCTCAGGAGGACGGCAGTGAGAAGGAAGCTGAGGCGGTTGCAGATCCCGAAATTGGTAATGTCATCTCAACAGGCGATAAAGATGAACGTTCATCACCTTCATCTTCTGAGAACAACAGTCCTGCAGAAGGTGGTCTACCAGCAGCTTTGACCTACATCGAGTATGCGCGAAAAAAGCAATACACGCGGCAAGGACCTGACATGTGCGTGACCCTATTCGATCATGGATTGATCGATAACTTTAAGGGGAAATTGTAGAAAACACACTCACTGGTTTATTAGCAATCCGAATCCCATTGTCTCAGTCTCAATTTTGATGAGTCTCAGTTACAACTTTAGCTCTAATTTCGATGAATCTCCCTCCTCCACTTCAGCAGGCACTCCTAGCACTGCTCCCGCCGCTCGCTGTCGTTGGTTGCGATACCCGGAAGCTAGTCGAGTGCCTCTCACAGTGCTAGAACCTGCAACAACGACGGTCAGCAGTATTGGTCTTCGTACTAGTGAGGAGGGCAGGCTTTTCACGGGTGTCCAGCATTTGGCCAGGAATGATGAATACTTCAAAGGTCTCCTCGCAGAATATGTCCAAGAACACCGAAAGTGGCGTGCCGGTGACGAGAGTAGCACTTTTCTTAAAGGCGCCGTCGTAGTAGTTTGCTATGGTGTGCCGATGTGTGGTGGTCACGGTGACCGGCTTCATGGGATCTTGAGTCTCTTCCTTTTCGCTCTCGTCACAAAGCGTGGCTTTCTGATTGATATTCGACATCCACATCCTCTGATTTCGGTTCTTTTTCCTTCCTTTCTCGACTGGCGAGTGCGGGTGGAGGATTTACCTCTGAATAACCGTGTGCAACTAGTAGATTTACCAGAAAACGAGGTGGATCGAACTTTGCGTGGTTTACGCAGATCTCCGGAGACTGTTCTTGTTGGTACCAACCTGCGATTCCATTCCCTAATGGCTGAGTGGTTGGATCAAGAGCGTGGCTATTTCGCACTGCCTCCAGGTTGGGTGTCGCAGGTCTGGAACTTGCTTTTTAAGCCCAGTCCGAGTGTGTTAGAACCTCTCAGGCGATATGGAGCAAGGAAGCCTTTCTTGGCCTTGCATTTTCGAGCAGGGAACGAGACGCAGCATAGCTTTGTGGATCCTGCGAGACACAGCTTGCAACTGGTGGACTCGTTCTTGAAATGTGCTGAAAAAGTATCACAGGAATTGGGTCTAGGATTGACGAGCTTGTCAGAAGAGGTGGATTCATCATCCGATCTTGCTGGAGGACCAATCTTGGATCCATCAACTCCCTGGTTTTTCTCCGGAGACAGCGATCTGTTTTGGAAACATGACAGTGTGAAAACTCTAGTGGAATCTGGGAAAGCAAGGAGCTTTGTTGTTAAGAAGAAACGGTGACGAGGATCATGTGGTAATTTTCCCACCTGCTTGGTTGTGTACTGTAAGGAGTTGAGAAAATGAAAAAGCACGACAGCTAATTCTCATAAATATATAATGTTGATGTGTTGTTAATGTTAGGTCGTATTACGATCATGTGCGACCACCCCATTTTCTTCATCTAACACCCAGTCTGCTCCGAACGCTGCGGACCATACAGACATCATCCACGTGGATAGGACACAAGGAGTTGGAATGCAGGCATACGAACGCTCTTGGTCGGAGTACATAGGGCTGTCGCGAGCAACGGCACTGATAATTTCGAACTCGTTCTTTGGCGAGACAGCCGCTGAAATAGGCAATGTACCATTCGTGTACTACGGGGAGGGGTGCATTCCGGTGGATTTGTGATGCGGATTCTTGACCCTAGTACTTGGTCGCAATTAGTAGATTTACCAGAAATTTGCGTGGTAGATCGAACTTTGCGTGGTTAATGGTGAAGGTGATGGTGAAGATGGACGATCGAAATCAAATGAAACAAGGCTACGTACCATGTTGTTCTTGTTGGCAATCAGCTTCAATCAATCATCAAGTTGAAAATTTGAAAGAAGTAAACTGCTCGTGTTAGTTCTTACATCTACATGGATACGCAGCACATTTTATTGTGCTAAGGTGGTCTCATGCGTTGTTGTGACAAATGATGTTTTCATCTACCGGGACGTTCCACGAAACGACCGAAATCAAGCAAGAGAAATGCGGATCGTTTTACAAGTGGAATCAATGCGGACGACATCAAATCTTTCTTTCAGATAGTGCTGTTGTGCGGGGATTTTTCTTTTTGTTCTGTCAACCTACTCAGTACAATCAAATCAAGTTCATTGAACGCGCTCGATGTGGTCCAGTTCTTGTTTACGAACTTTGATAAATATTCATGGTCGGACAACAACGAGATATTAAGTCTTCCTACCTCATTTCTTTTCTTACAGTTTATTACTTTCTTTGAGTAGACACATCGATAAACAGGATGTCAGAAAACGAAACAGCTGTCGTCGTCGAGGAGAGCAAAGTAGAGGGTCCACCCGAAGTTGCTGCTGCGCCTGCGGAGCCTGCGGAGTCTCAGCCACAGGAGAGCAACGGATGTGTTCCTGAAACGACAATGGCTACGGAAGTTCACCAGAAATCTGCTGAGGTTCCACCTGAGGCTGAGCTTCCTGCAAATAATGGCGAGGTACAGCCTGTTGCAGAAGTTGAAGAGCCTCATTCTGCTGGAGGAGGTGACCTCCTTAGAGAAGGTTCGGTTCAAGCACCTCCACAATCAAGTGCTGAAGAAGAGGAGCAAGTCGGGTCTTCACGTTTTGCAGTAGAAGAAGAGCAGGAGCCTTCACGTTTTGCAGTAGAAGCAGAAGATGTAGCAGAACCATCTTCCATTTTCGAATTAGAAGAAGTCGAGCGACAAGAAGGAGATGATATAGTGGCAGAAGTGGACGGCGAGGCAATGATCATAGTGGAGGAGGAGAACGAAAAGATGACGTGGTTTCGAGATGAAAAAGACAGCGAAGAAAAGATGAAGAATCCCTTTCGTGAGGACATGCAGAAAGACCTTGCAGACTTCTTTTCGGCCATAGGGGCTGATCCTTCGAAAGCACTCGTGGAAGGAGCAGGATCCTCAGGGTCAAAGAAGCGGTCTTCGCTTGCCACTCATGAACATGGTGTTGTAATACTAGAAGAGATGCAACAGGAGCATTTCTCTTCCTCTAAAGATGCACCAGCAGAAGGAGAAGGATCAACTTCCAAGAGAAGGAAAGGAGCTGACAAAGCAGACGGAGATGATGGTAGCTTAAGCCCCTCGGCTTCTAGTAGAAGGTCGTCTTCTGATTCTGACTCCTCGGGTCGTGCCTCTGATTCTGAAAACGCAGAGCGGGATCGTTTAGTCAGGACACGCGAGAGGCTGAATCGTGAACAAGAAAAACTGGATTACGACTGGGATGAACTGAGGGAAGATGAACGGGCCTTTGCAGAACGACTCAAAGCGAAACGAGGTGGATCAAGATTTGTCACCTACAAGGAGAAAATAACAAATGAGAAGAGCGATAAGAATAAGACAACTTCGTCATCTTCTGCTTCACCAGGAAAGAATAGTGGAAAAACTACAGGTGGAGGTAGCATTTTCAGGAAAGAACCAGAGCTGATATGTCCTCCTGTGCCAGGTACTCAACTTCCTGTGCCAGGTCAAACTCAAGTTTCGACTTCCACAACATCCCGGCCACCCCAAGCAGCATCTTCGGGTCCTCCACCTGTTGTTGCAGCAGCGCCAGCTTCCAGTACTGGAGCAAGCGCCTCTCGATTTGCCAACAAGGTCCCACCACCAACGATCAAGAAAACGGAAGAACGAAAGGCTTATGCCGCAGCTTACGAAGAGTATATGAAAAAAAATGCGACTAAGCTTGGGGTCGACAAAGTAGCAAGCGCATCGTCAGTACAAAAGCCCGCTCTTGCCTCACCCTCCGGCGGATCCCTTTATAACAATTTTGTAGCCCCAAAAACTACACCTAGTACCACTGCAGCAACATTTCCTCAACTGTCGCAGCATCGGCCTTTGGCGAAGCAACAGCAGTCGTCTCGCTTCGGTGATGGCCGCTTCGGTGATGGCAGCTCTCGGTTTGTTCAGCAGACCCGTTTTGACTCAACGGCACCTATCATGGGAGGTCAAAGGGCAAGTCCTGGCGCTGTTGTAGTAGTGGGCTCACCTCCAGTAAATGCGTCTCCTTTTGTGAATCCTGTAGTTGGAAGCGCTGCTCCGAGTACAGCTTCTAGATTTGCCCAGGGTGCGGGTTTCGCAGGATGTGCAGTCGGGGGTTCGGGCACACAACAAGAATTCGCAGGAGGTGGAGGTGCTTTAGGAGGTGTCCTCGCAGGTGGTATACAATGCCAAGCAGGCAGCTTCGTGGGTGCCGCGGGCGCAGTCGTAGGCTCGCAGCAAGGTTTTGCAGCTGCTTCTATGGCTACACACCAACCGACATATATTACAGGTGCTTGTTCTATGGGTACTACTACTACACAAGGAATAGCAGGAAATGGTGTAGTTGGAGTACAGCCAGGGGCGTTAAACCTGATGAATACACAAGCAGTCGGAACGAATCCTTTTCGGAAAGATGTGTCTATGAATGGAGGATATCAGCAGATGAGTCAGCAGATGATGAGCTCTCCAGCAAGTAGCCCGAAAATGAGCATGGGTGTATATTAACCGTCTTGTACTATTTTCCTGTAGATGATGATGATGTTTGGTTTAATCATGTTGGATTGACAAACTTCAGCTTGTTCTTGGTAGAAGGTCCCTACTTCAGAGTAGAAATTCGAATAGCAAAAAAACTGCTTAGGCCACTGAGGCTGACATGATGCTTCTCTTTCTTGTCCATAACTACAGGTAGCGTCATCAAACCCAATGGGCTCACCCCAGTGGATGGGCATGGGGGCAACTCAGCAACAGAATCAAGCGCAATGGTCGGCAATGGGGGTAACTCCACAAACAATGCAGTCAGCGCAAGCAAATCAACAAGCAATGGGGCAGATGTCCTGGAAGAACCCTTGGCAGGGTTCAGTGCAGTAAATCAAGGCTCTTCATCTTCAATTGCGAAAGTCAAGCCAAAATCAAAAATTTCATTCAACTTCTCAGGGATGAAGATGAACAAGAGCAAGGAACCAGCTGAAGCTAAGACGTCATCTTTTATATCATCCTCTCCTTCAACATCTGCTCCTCCACCTAATAAAGCTGTCACTGTCACTGGGAACAAGCCTCAGATTCAATTCAAGTTTCAATCGAAAACTGCTGCTGCTAGTGTTGGACTTAGAGCTGTTCAACAAGATACTGATTATAGAAAAGATGTGGTTGTAATCGAACAAAGCAATGCGACTACTCCAAAACACATCAAGAAAGCAGAGCCTACGCCAGACTCTCCAACGATTTTGCCTCAACGTCGTATTCGTATCACAACGACGCCAACATTTGTCAGCCCTTCTTGTTCATCTACTCCCAATCCCACAGCGACAGTAAAAGTAGACTTAGGAGAACACCCGCCCCAAGCTGCCCTGCTTCCGGAACAGAGGAATCCCTTAGGGTTTATGACTCTGATGGGAGGATACACGATCAGGAAGAAAAGGTATCGCATCGGCCAGATGTTGGGCAATGGCGTGTTTGCGCATGTGGTTCGTTGTGTGGATTTGGGTCAAAAAAAAGTTTTGTTGGAAAAAGCAAAAGCAATAGAAGAAGGTCAACCAGGTGAAGATGACGTCAATGCTTTGCCTGATGAAGACGAGTTTGTCGGTCAACATGATGATGCTTCTTTCACTAGTCAACAACAGAGGACTGTGGCCATCAAGTTCATGCGCGTTCAGGACATGATGAGGGAAAATGGTCTAAAGGAAATACGGATTTTAAAATGTTTGCTTGGGCATGGACCTGAACAGAGGATAGCGAAATCAAAAACGTCAATCAGGAGTGCAACTGCAAGCAATAACATCTGTCGACTTCTTGCCTATTTCCATTACGAAGGTCATCTTTGCCTGGTTTTCGAAAGCTTGTGGCTGAGTCTTCGCGCAGCAAGCGGAAAGGTGTGGTCGGAATTCATTGACAGAGGCGTTTTTGACACTCCTAGTCCTACTTCGAAAGTTGTTGAACAAGATGATACCTCCAATACTAGTAGTACTACGTCCTCCCTCACCACGCGTCGAGAAGAAATTGCCTGTGCTCTTGCTCGCTCATGGTCTCGACAATTCCTAACTGGTCTTCAATACATACACGATTGCGTTCTCGTGCATGCGGATATCAAAAGCGACAACATTTTGCTCTCTGAACCGCTGGCTTCGACATCCTCGGGTGGCTCGATACATTCCGTTCTAAAGATTTGTGACTTTGGAAATGCTGGTATAGCTTCTCCTACTAGGGAAAGACGGGATGATGTTAAGGCTGTACCTAATAAATCTTTGGACGCATCCGTGAAACGCATGGAAGACTATTCTAAGGGAATGCTCCCCCATACTTTTCAAGGATGCGCTTGAAAGATGAATTGCGGACAGCTCTAACGATGAAAAGCAGCAACAGGAGGTGGAACATCAAGAGGAGCGTGAAGCAACTCTCCAGCGTTACCTGTATGGCGAACAACAAGGCGAGGAACGTTTGTTCGAGCCACCCATATGGTATCGAGCTCCAGAGCTATTGCTGTCTCTCCCAGACAGCCTAAAACACACGGCTCTTGATTGTTGGTCTGCTGGGTGCGTGGTGTATGAAATCTGTAGTCTCTTTTTGCTGCGAAAGGAATTGTTGATGCAGCAAGGACAAGGACGGGAGGAATCGATGGAAGCGTCGACCGGCATTTTGTTTGCGAAGCACAGGAAGCTTAAGGGTAGGTTGAAGGTGCTTTTGTTACCATTTGTTATGGCTCTCCTATAAGGGAGACAGCCATAACAAGCGGGATAAACGAACACCAAAAGCGTACCTCTAAGAAGCCTGCCAATGGTGGTGGAGCAGGAGAACCTAGCGGAGACCCTACGGCTAACGGCCAACTGTTCTATCTACAAGAATGCTTGGGCAAATTACCAGACTCGATGATCAATGCGCACTTAGATTTGTTCAAGAAGCAGACCGAAGGACAGGACGGAAATAAACAGGGTACCAATAGTGCTGCAGCAAGTGCGTTCTCATCCACACCCGGTACGTGCACATGGGCTGCAGCCTCCGCCACTCTAGACGAATCTCTGATAGCCCAACAACTTCAAGAGCAACGCTTGTCATGTCAGCAACATTTCGCGGCGAACGGAGATTTCGAATATGAAGACCAAGGCGCATTGGGTGGCTTCGTTTTTATGAAGAAAGCAGTGAAAACCTTTCCGACTGGACGAAGTGACTATGCACGTGCGAAGCTGAGGGAACTTTTGACTTCAGTGACAGTGGCTCCTCAAGAACCGGTTCTATGCGATCGTAAAAAGTGGATGATTGAAGCAGCGTCTGAAGTGATTGAACACCTGACACAGTGTGAGCCGGCAAAGCGATGGACTTGCGCACAAGTCTTAGCCCAGGCGAGGTTTTGCAGAGAGGTTAAATAGGTCGCGGATACTAAGTAGGTTTCTTTTTTTTTGAGTTCGGAGACCAGATGAATTGCGCGCTTCCGCATCCGTAGTATCCCCTACACGATTCTGATTGAAACTTCGCTTAGCTATAATTAAAAGTAGCACGCTTCTTTTCTAAGTTTCTAAAGTCACGAAAGAAAGCAAGCATCTAATTAAAGGACGTCCAAACACCTCTTGTTAGGCACATTCATTCATTCATTCATTTGGCTATGAATGATGAAGTATTAACACCTACAGCAACCTTTTGTTTCGCATTATAAAATGCGTCTGCTGGAACTGGAAGGGCTTCTAAGCCTCAGAATATTCTTTTAAGCCGGACCATGCGTCAGGTCAGAAACAAAAAGCTGAAGTGCTGCCTCAAGCACTTGGAGCCAGCATCATTTTGTGTTCGTTCCTCTGCGCTACTGAAAACGCCTGTCCCCTCCAGTACATGGAACAAAAAGGGTGAAGCTCTGCTACTTCTTCATTGCTTAAGAAGAGGCAGGAAAAGCAAAAGTCACTAAAGAAAATAAGGCACATGCTGAAAGTGAGTCTGGCGTTTCAAAAAGTTGGGCTCTTCGTTGATCTACGTTTTAGTAATGGTGATGAGGCATTGGATTTGCCTTTGCTAATGCTATGAAAAAAAAAGTGATGTAGTAAGTAATTCCTGAGTAGTGACCATTCAAAACACGGAAATGAAGATTTATTTGCGATGAAAACGGAACTATTTTCTCCATTTAGCTGTAGGCCCTAGTAGGTGCTGGGCGCAACTGATAGAGAAAGAATTATGCTAGGAGTAGTGTCCTCCGTTGGCTGTATTCGTAGTGCTAGTGATAGTGTAGGCTTCTATCTTAGGCTTCTTAGAAAAGACTAGACGTAAGTGATAGCCTGAGACTTACCGGGAGGAGGATGACCATTAGTCCTGGATACTGAGCGGTGCGGTGAGCCCAAAGTGGCTTTCATCTGGGAAAGAGAAGAAGCGGGCGCCGGGGGACATACAAGCCACGATCGGTGTCAACGTCGACTCAGTAAAATACGTAGGTCTGGCTGTCAACGGCCTAACCCAGGGATATGGCTATGCACAGGGAAGAAAGAAAGTCTACTTAACAGTCGTTGCATGCCGCGTGGCATTGGAAATGCACTCGATTTTTTTGTCTGCAGCTTACACTTCTCAACGATACCCCCGCGCTGAATCTTCACTACATCAGTGCCCACTCTTTTGAAGACCGGACCTTGCATCTGGACTGGAAATCAGGCGCCGCTTTCGCTTTTTTTCAACGAAAAGAAGATAAAAGATGCATAGATAGTACGCGCTCAGTAACGACACGCCAACGAATTTACAACCGATCTTCTAGTATAGTTGCATCAGAAGTATTGCGACGAGAACGAACAGGTTGGGATAAAAAGTAGTTGCACAATAATCGTCACTAAGGACGCAGACCACTGCTGCGAATTATCCAGGAAAGCGAAAAGATAAACGAGGTGATACGCGGAACGACACTTAGAGTTAGGAGGTTAAAAGTTATTCACCGATACGCAATTTTCAGCTCAATCAACGACCATCTTCCTGCGTCAGTGACTAGCAGTTCTTAGAGCAGTACTACAGCGGAGAAGAAGGCGATAACCCCTGTCAACTGCTTCGTAACTGCTGCTTTCTCTCGGGTCATTCTTGTACTGTTGTATATCAGTAACACAACGAGGACAACTACGACTAAAACTACAAGTCGTATCACTCAGAGTCGATGATGCTCTTCCCGATCGGAAGGCAATGCCGGTACTCTCTTTGAATGAGGATGCGGGTAACGCTTGTGCACAGTTTTTGCAGATAATCGACGAGCGCAGTAAGCAGGCAGGAAGTATCCTCGCATTCGTGTCCTGCGACGTAGACGCTATCTGTGCGTACTTCTAATTTGTTATAAGTATTTACTTTGACGGCTTGATTTTCTTTAGTCAGAGTTGCAATACAACTTGTTTGAACTCTGAAGATGATAGTAGGAATACCTACTTGAAGATAAGTCAACAACATCGAGTGGAAAACTTCTTGTTTCACTTCCATGAATCACCTACTCCCGCTCCCAGGTATAAAATCCTTGAAGAGATATGTCGCGTGAGGTCGATTTCAGTGAGCTCGGCTCCCGCAACAGATTGGGAGTCCGTGAAAGAACATGTAGAAAAGTTCGAAGAAGACGATCTAGATGTTCCAGGTTTAGTGGTGCTCCTAGGATGCGGAGGCATGCAAAACCTGCCAGAGTTTCTGTACAACACAAAAATACGGAGAACGACGAAACTCGTTTGTACCTCTTGTTAAACTTAGACTTTATGTTGCTTCTTCATTCAATGCCTGTAGTTCTTGGCTCTGCTCTCGCGCTTACCAGTTACTTTATGTTGCAGCTTGATGCTTGTTATTGATGTTTTTTTTGACTACTTGTCGCCTGCATCAAGCTTGTTGCTATGGAGTTCATCATGGTAACAAGTTACTTGATTCAATGAGCACGTGGTTCCTCCTAGTCGCATTAGCATGAGAAAACATACTGATACCACAATTAGCATGAGAAACCTCTATTTCCTCACTCCACAACTCATCCTTAGCTAAGTCCGCCAGGTCTAGACTCACAGCGCCCTCTTCTGTGGCAAAATGTAGCGACACAGAACGAGGTATATGTCTTTGAGGACGACCCAGATCCCCGAACAAAGTATTCGGAGATCAACACGACAACAGACGAAGAGCTCGAAGAAGAGGAGGATGTTTTAGATGTTACGATTTGTAGATTCATCATGATCTTGAGCTTGATGGGTTCTTGTAATATAAATTAGAATTAGTTGTACGTGTACTTGTAGAATTAGAAGCAAGTGCAAGGAGAAAGAGAACTACGGATACAAGTCATCTATTATCCTAGTTGGTTGAGAATCACATCAACAGAGACGAGGATCGGCTTTTTCATGAGAATTACACATTTGTGGGAGGTACTTATCATGACTGTTTCCTACATCATCTAAGGCCAAGGACAATGATGGGGGTGGACGACCACTAAAGAGGAGAAGATTTGAGAGTCAGCAGGAACAGCCTGAGGACTACTACAAAGTAGCCTGGCATGCAACCCCATGTGCTGTTACGATGTACTTTCTAACTTTCTTGATCGAATTGTTTATGAGTGCTTGTGCTGGTGGAATGAACTGAAAACAAGTAGAACAAGAAACTCCGCTCCTCAGACCACTGCAACTTATTACCTCTTCCTCACACTAACTATTCATACAGGTTAAAACTAGCTCGTGGTCTTGAAGTGGTTGATAAAGACCTGCTATGGCTGGCTGCAGTAGGCGGCACAGCACAGCGGGAATTTAGTTATGCGCATGAGGGACATTGCGATAGGCAGTTACAGTTTTTGCAGGAAGTGGGGGAGAGCGAAGATGTCATACGACCGAAAATGTTTGGAATATTGACGCCGGAGAATGAAGCAAGAGCAGCGCGAACAGCGCCTAGCACGGGAATAGCGCGCGATAAAAAGAATTTGAGATATGAAGACGACATACAGGCTTTCTTGTATAGGCACCAAAGCCTCATGACGGCAATGAGCTTGACTTCGCTTGTTCACGGAAGAATGCGCTTGAGCAAAGATGGGACGATGCATCTAAAACAGTTCTTCTCGGAGAGCGGGGTATATCTCGTCCACATAACAACTAGTACTCTTCTAAAAAATTTGAGAATAATATTTGGTACGCTAAGAAATTTAGATCATGAACATGATCGACTTCGACAGGTCCTTAATTATTCTTTTTTTTCCGTAATCTACTTCCTCGACTGACATCAATTGTGGACACCAACATCCAACCCCACACCATCCTAATTCAGGTGAACCCTTCCGAAAGCCAACAACTCTCCTCTGCCATGCCCTTTCACGTGAAGAGCAAACTAGTCAGGAAGTTCAAAGAGAACGAGAGGCGGCATAACATCGAAGGCTTGGTAGGCAAGGCTTTTGTAAGGCATTTCCATCGACTTCATGGCCAACATCAGAGTTTAGCACTACACGAACTCTCGGCAGCAGATACGATACACATCGCCACTGCCTTGCTTGAAGATGGTATTGATTGAGGATGAGGTGCTGGGTGACGTCTACCTCTACCTGTTACATCCTAAACTAGTAATCAAATCCGCCACGCGCACGATCTTACAACCCACTTGCACTTGTCCTCCATATAACAAACCCACAGGCGTATCTCTCGGAGTAGAATCTATAAAAGACAATCCCGACTACGACCCAGCTACGAGAAAAGGCGAAATTAATAGGACGATCAAGGTGAACATGCGTAAAAATTGGGCTAAATGCTACGACTCACTCGCCTTCATGGATTGCGAACTACTCAAAAACGGTCTCAATTTCGCGCTACAGATCCAGCAGGAGATCGAACAGAAGGCGAAGATGCTGATACAAGAGCGGAAAGTGATAACGTATCTTAAGACACGCGACAGTGCATCCTCAAAACCATCCTTGCAAGCGTCCTTTTCAAAGAGGAAAAGAAGCAGCCAAGGATGTTGTGCCTCTCTCTCGAGGAGGATAGCTTCCACGAAGTAGTTCTAAGTATCGCGCCGTTTTTAAGTGGGCGAAGTTCAATATAGGAGGGTCAGATCTTTTTCGGCGGCCGAGTATTGTGCGGAGATTAGCTGTGTGGCTCATGGAAATAACATACAAACACGCTTTGAAGAAGAGCCACAAAACGCTGCCCCACTTGATCATTGCGCAAGACGATGCAAGGGAAACGTACCTTGACTTCTGCCGAGCTAGATTCTTTAGATGCAACAAGATCATATGCTTGGATGCTTGTAGTTGATTTCTTGCGTGCGTACCCAGTACAATCTTCACAACAAGAAGGTGAACTACTTCTATCATTTTTGATTTGCATGCACATGCTCCTCCTGTATTTCCCTCCTGTATGCTTACCCCATCTCGACAAGCGTCAGGTCTCTCTGCGTGGGTGTGATTCCGTACCAAGATAAAGGGGAACGGAATATGTTTGCGCATCGCTTTGGCTTAAGGCTGTGTACACCCAATCAGTAGTTCTAACTATCTGAAAGACGTCTACTAGGGGAAAACAAAACACTATTAATCATACCTCCCACCAAGAAGATTGAGTTACTGCACCCAGTCGTGGTCCCAGAAGAGGACTATCTCGCTTCTTCTAATCCAAGCAGCAGCTCATGCGGCCGGCAATAATATCAGCATCAAACACGACTTTTGGGATCCGAACATTGTTGAGATTGCCACAAAAGACTGGCTCAAATTTTGGAAGGGTCTTACTTCGTCTACCTAGTGGTCCGTTTTAGTTTTCACGCGGTGCAGTCTAGGACCACGGCAGGATGTAGGAAATGTTATCCGATGCGTGGCTCAAGCGCACGCCCGTCGACGTCGCACGACTGGGTAGAATTGAATTTACTTATAATAAACATCATCATCTACAACACGAGGGACACAAGAGCTCCCGTTCCGTATCATTAGATCACCGAAATTGACATTAAATCTGTCTTTCCACTTTCACTTACAAATATTGAATCTGGGGTTTTCGCAATCTTCATTGCTACAAGTTAACAAACTTCGTACAAAATAGTCAATCTCAATTCTCACGTGTGTTTGCTCGAGTGCGGGTACTTACTTCGAAATAAGTACTACATGTTTTTGTTTTTGTTTATCTCTTTGTTCACGTTCAGCGTCACCTTCACCAGTCTCAGAAAACGCGTTACGATCGTCGACAACGTTTGGATGGAGAAAGGATATCGATCAATCATCCTTGGGAAAATGATATTACCCAGCCTTCGGAAAATAACAGTCAGCACTTCAGTTTTTTTTTTCAGGTAGATGATTGAATGAATGAATTACAACGATTTTCGGAATTTATGTTGAAACATAGTTTCAGAAATATCTTCATCGCCGCGGCAATCCCTTAGGCTACGAATAGTAATAATGGCATTCTTCTGTGTTTCTGAGGTGTATAATGAAGAAAAGATTGGCTAGAGTGAAAACCAAAACGAGAGAACAATAACTCTGTACTTAAGAGTGCCATCACCATCAGGAGGGTCTACATCTGTCCAGAGCTGCCCGTGAAAGACGAGTGACTTGTTCTACGATCAGTATGTCTGAGAGGATGTTGAAAAAACTTATAGGTGTCGGAGTGAGCTCGAGTGAATACATCAGATGTCTGAAGAATGCTCAAGAAGTGAGAGAACGATCCTGCCTGTTAGAGCGTTCCGATGAACAACATCTGGTCCTGGTTATCACGTTTCGTGTCTGTCATGACAGTTCTTGAGCTCTGAGTGTCATTTCTAGTGTCTGAGTCTGAGCTGCTTCTGGTTCTGTCTTGAGAAATCCGTCTTGGAGATGATCTTCCAACAAAGTGCTGCTAGTAAATATGGAGAAATATAATTCCATCAGCTAATTATCTAAAAACCCACCTTTGATGCAGCAAGATGCTTTTGCTTTGTCTATGATCCCCGCCTCCCTTTTTTTAGATAAATGTTTTGAATATCCCCAAAAAAAAACGAGTGTCCGATGCACAAGTGCAGAAGATTGATGTACATTAGTCGACATTCCTCTTTTTGACACATTCCTTATTTTTCCTACTTAAACTTCTTAATCCACTTTTTGATTCAACATCAACATCTCGTTGAACTTGAAAAGTAAAAGGATGTCGCATGTTTTAGGTGGTAACAGCCAGCACACGACGAGTGTGCTGAGTTCGATGACGCCACGCAGTCAGAACAGCAGGATGCTACCTCCGTCGCCTTCTCATGCAGCTGGCGCAGGCGGCGCGTCCCATAGCAGCCCAAGGCATCAGGCAAGCCGCGGTGACATGCGTAAACGCGCGAGTAGCAGTACTCCGCAGAGAGGAGCAGGACGAAGTGGCAATTCCTCACCCATGTCTCAGAGCAATTCGCCGGGAAATAGAGGCCATGGAGGCCACTCACGAGGACGGTCTACAATGCTGTTTCAGGACACTGCTTTGTCCGAACGTGAGTACGTGAATCGGGGTAGCGGACAACTCTACACTGCAGGAACATCAAGCGGCTACTATCCGGATCTATTCGAAGACTACAATCGGGGATATACAGGGTTCGCGTTGGCGGAACCATGCAATTACGGAAGTGATAAGTTGCAAACGCACTCAGTTGCCGCAATGAGCACGTTGGGAAAGAAACTGTTGGACGACTACGCGTCAATGGAACTGAGGGTACTAGAGATATTTTCGCTTTCAGTCTATAAGACGCGCTTATTTGCTCATCTGTTTCGAGTTTGACAAACGTTTTTTCTTTCTTGGTTCTTCTTATAGCCACTACCACATTTTTCTACCCATAGTTGTTGTTCCTGCACCAGCCCGAATCATCCTAACTACACTTTCCATACAGCAAACACCGCAGACCAAGCGGTCCAACCCTTTGCGGTACACGAGTAATCTGAGTAATCAGAGACTAGCAATGCAGAAAAGCCAGGGCTTTGTGCTGGACCAGTTTCATCATAATCAGTTGTCGAGATCGGACCTCTTTCAACTGATGAACGTGGTGATAAACGAGTCCGTACACAGACACCGCAATAGCAAGGGATTGAATCGTACAACTTGAGCTTTGTTGGCCTGATGAATTGAGACATTTTAGTTGATCATGAATGTAGATTCTTATGATTACTCTTGTAAAAACTGTATTTTACTCGTTCGTCAACTGCACAAGCAAGCTCCTCTGCGGCCTCGTCATTCTTTGCACACGACCGGACCCACTCTGAGAATGAACCAACTATAGCACCTTGGGAGACATACACGACCCACTCTGGTGAAAACCAACTATAGTACCTATGAACCAACTATACCTTGTGGTCCTTGGGAGACATGCATCAATTTGAAAAGTGATAAGGATCCTTCCCACACCCACAGGTTCCTTCGTCTGGAAGTATTTCACGACTGAGAATCTGGACTACTCGCTCAAATACTTCATCGACGACTGCCGCAAAAACGTGGACTGGTGTAAGAAATACTACACGTGCTACCGACATCTCGATATCTTCATGAGCAACGAAGACATAAAACGACAAAGGCCACTGTTTGAAAAGGTACAGAACGAGGTCCAGCAAGAACTATACCTAATGGGTGAGGAAGCTAAGAAAACGCCTCAGAGCCAACTCGTGGATGCGGGATCAGGTACTTTTTTACTTGAGTAGCTGTCTTCTATTTCGTCATAGTACAATAGAAAGTACTTCACTTGAGTAGCTGTTTTCTATTTCGTCATAGTACAATAGAAAACTCGTGCTCGTCCAGCTGCCTCCGAGACAAGCAAAGCGCGATTACTCCTTTTTTTCATTGCCTTCTCTTTCCCACAAGAAACGCGACAACATCATTACTTCTTCACAGCTTCCCCCGAGAGCAAAGCGAAACTGTTAGTGATCAACTCTTTGCCTGTTCTCGGTTGGCGACCGGTCTCTCAGCAGATGAACAGGATAAACGGCGCCATGCGCACCTATGAGGACTTCATTGAGAAGGAGACCAGACCCGAGACTTCGCAAAGTGTCCAGAGACTCTTCCGCCATTCCTTAGCCGACCGGTACCCAGTGCAAGACCATAACAGTCCTCTAGTACCAGTCGGAGGCAGTCTGGCGACTAGTCATGGAAGTGGTAGACTCGAATCTAGACCTGGAACAGTGGAGGGAGTCCTCCCAAAGCTTGGAGGCGTAGTGAACGGCATGGTAGTGACACAGAGGTCAGAGGGAATCTCGCAGGAAGTAGAGGGACCAACGGGAGCGGCGATGGGGTACTTGATTTGCGTTGCATTGGATAGAAACCTGCTAATCTGTTGCTTGTTGGCAGGCTAGACGTAGTTCAATTATACGTATAGTTGGAATATGTTTGAAGTGCAAGAAGAACAAAGTAGGCTAAAAATGCTGATCCGCTTACTAGGTTGATGAAACTACTACATCGCACATTGCGATTGCCTAATATTTTTAGCTGCTCCTGAAAAACTTTGAAACAGATATCGTCCCGGCACTTCCCGCTCGCACTTGATGTCAAAAACTATGCCTGGGTCCATCACTGGGACGACGGATGGCGTGCGTCCTGGCACTAGCCCTAATGGCAAGCTCCTTACTGTAGATGCGAGAGCAGGTAGTCTAGACTCCGTGGACGGTGTACCGTTTCCCTTATCCCGACCCTCCGTGGCCGTGATGGAAATTGATCGGGGAGTAGTGACAAAAAAGGTGAAGCAGTCGGCAGTGGACACGATCTCGTTTAACAAGAACAAGCCAGCAGATTGGTTCATTGTGGACACGATATTCAAGGTACATGTACAATGATATTAATTATTCATCTGTACAGTCATGAGTACCATGATATGACTCATCTGTTCGAGAAGTTATTAGTAGATAAGTACTTACTTGACATTGGCTTTCTCTCTTTCGGTTTTTGTTTTTTCTAGTTAGGTCTGGTCCACCAACATTCATTATTCATCTGTTCGAGGATAAAGTTGTTGCTCGACCTCGAGTACGTCACTTACCCAGTGCTGTTATGATTCAGCATCCAGTAAAAACTGATCAATATGATTTTGGATAGAACAACAAGACCACCAAACCCCCTTCCGCAGACGATTATCCGTCGAGCTTGCTACGGCAGCAAGCATTTCCAGAAAGTGTGGGGTGATTTTCTCAAAGAGGGAAACACGCGAGACGCAGAGATAGGCGAAGAAAAGGATGAAAGTATTGAGAAAGCCGTGGACAGTTTAGGAAGTCCGATTCCTAGAGAGCTGATTCGCAATCATCTTGCAGGCTGTGAGTTTGGACAACGTTGCAACTGCCCGAACCATTTGATTCCGGAGGTCCTTTTTCATATTCTTGATGCCGTGATATTGAATTACAGTTACTTCCTCTTCTTGCACGAATATCAGGGTTTAGAACTGGGTTTGGAGCTCTTCAAACAAACTATATGACATGTGTATTACATCAAGTGTGAGGGTGCGTGTGTCGCATTTAAAGAGTGTTGTTGTGATCAGCACGAGAGAGGGAAGATGAAGATAATTCACCTTTGAAAATTATATTTTAGTACTTCTTCATCTTACTTTCTGGTGACCGTGACGGTGAGACTGTGACTGAGTGAGTGGAAACTATAACAGGGCCCATCTCACGTCGAGCGTGCCGAAGGCGCATTCGACCTTCGCTTTGGTGTAGCCTTGACTGCCGCTTTAGCCGGAAATTTTGAGATTTACACGTTGGTGGATCCATTGGAATACTTAAAGCGGGATGCGATGTTTGGCAGAGAAATGACCGTCCAGGAGAAGGGGTTGCTAGCCTGCGCAGCAGCACTCGGCGGAAATCCGGATCTCTTCAGCTGTGCAAAGCCAGTGTTCTTGCAATATCATGGTACAACAAGAACTCTTACTTTACTGTTCAATAATAAATCTTCAAGAAGATGAAGTGATATTCTTGATTGATGATGTACGTGTACTCATCCACATATCAACAGACAAAGTCCGTTTGTCGATCTGCGCCGCTTTGGGTCAATCCTTCGAGATTTGGCGGAATCTGGACGCTCCGATGATGATCGACTACGTGGATCAAGTGAAAGTCGTTGCTGCCGCTAAAATCGGTGGCAACATGGACCTCTATCGGGCTGCGCTCAAGGCTCCTTGCTACCTGGAGGAGCAGGACGCAAAGGTGATTGGCCAGATCGAGTACGGTGGTGGAGCATGGTGCAGTAAGGTCGGACGAACGGCGAACGCTGTAAATCAACAAAGAATGTACCACTCGCATGGACCAAACTTTGCGGCACTACCGAAGCCGGGAGCGCTGCTTGGAAAGATTTAAGGAGCATCAGTAAATTATGAGCAATATACGAATTATAGGATGAAGATTACGGCAAATAAACGCATAATCAGTCACGAAGATATTTTGGGGTTGTTCTATCATGAAATGTAATTAATCTTGGTGGGCTTTCTTCAGAACTTCAAATTTGGAATGAACTTGAACATTTTTCCGCGTATTTGAACGGAACAACGAATCATGCTAGCGCCACTAGCATCGAATGTATAGAAATTGATTATTCTTGTATAGAACTTCGACTTTTTAGAATGAGAACCAGAACTCTGAACTAAGATTTGCAATAGAACAACTAGGGCAAAAGAGATTAACATTGAATGGGGAGGTTCAACGCGAACCATGTATTCTAGATTTGTTTAATTGAACCTGAAAAAACCGATGAAAATAAATGTTAAAATCAAGCAGGTCATATCTAAGATAAGAACTTCTAGGTCAACATACCATAAGTAGTTATCGTTCTTGCTTTGATTTTCAAGAAAATCTTACGCAGAATAAGAAACGTTATCCGCTTACATCAGTCCATTGAACAGCTACATACAAGCATTATTCATAATTTTTAGCATGTAAATTATGAAAGAAAATGATAAGATTTATCGCTTTGGGCAATCAACGAGTTGAAGACGATCTAACAACTGTTGCGTAATATGGGAAACATTATCATCTTCAATGCACAAAATCAAAATGTTAACGCATTACTCTTTCGCAATGAACCTGAACTTGAGCCAGAACGATGTACAACACCATTTTTGGCGGGTCAAACATATCGCATAGAAGATTCAGCTAGGACAATCGCACACCTGCTTGACAGCTTCTTTTTGAAATCACACCTCATGAAGATAAAGTGACCGCCAAGTGTGTTCGTCAAGTACGACAAAGAATCATAGTACATGCTTCACCAAACAAGCAGCACAAATTTCCGCGTTCACACTCAGCTGCGTCTGTGTCTGTCTGCCAATCCATTTCAGGTGTACGGAAGTTATTCCCATTTGCATCCAAAGAAGAATCTGAGGCGGTAGGGCCGCGCGCGGACATAATAATAATAACAAGAATCTGAAATGACACGCCTACAGTAGCCTGCTGTTGTGATTCTTGGAGGTAGCTGTCGGTTGCACAACTAAAAGTATTTCGAATTGGTGAAGCTGAAGGTAATCGTGCTAACGGCTAGCTCTTTGTTGTTTATCGGATTGAGGACTATTTCTAGTTGAAGAAACAGAAAAATGAAGAGATGAAGATGCAGCTTGTTGCCTTTGCGACCGCGGGCGTGATGTCTTTATGTGGGGTTGTGAGACAGCGTTTCTGACTGAGCCTTGCGTACTAGTAGACGAAGACGACCGTGCAGTTGTCGACGGAGACGACCGTGCAGTTGTAGACGAAGACGACCTTGCTTCTGGTTGACGTATCTACTTCAGCCAGAAAGTGGAAGCTGAGTGACCCTGTAGCTGCCACGAATACTGAAAAAACAATAGCTAGTAGAAGAAGAGGAAGCAACAGCGTCAGCGACCAACCCATCGTCTCGCGGCATCTCTAACAGAAACGAGAGCTGTACCTTACCATTCTCAGCAGCCGGGTAGAAAAACGTGGACTCACTAAAAATTCCTGCGAAGCAGGATAAGGACAGAGGTACAGGTGCATCACAGTAGCCCGCCTCCCGGAGAACGTCGTTTAGCTAATCCTACCAGCAGCGAAGACACGACACATCATTCTGGCGCGGACATCCACGTTTACTTCAATCCGAAACTTCATGAGATTCCTTCGAAAGCTTCCCCTCTAAGTCCTATCCTAGTACATCTCCGAAGAACTGCTCTTCAAACCTCGACATCAACTTGAATCAAGATGTCGTCCGCGGCTTTGATGATGGGAGGCGGTGGCCTCCTGTACATGATGTGGTCGTCTGGGAGCATAATGCCACTCATCTACTGCTTCTTGGGCCTCTTTGTGCTTCTGGTGGGGCAGCTGATCATAAATCAAGAGAAGATAGTGTACTTTATAAATATTACTTTCACCTCTCTTTCTTGGTTGTTAGACGTGGTTTTGGTTCTAGTACAAGACCTTTTTAACAAGAAAATCAACTTTGGCTTCAGAACTTGGAATTACTTAGCACTTATTTGTTAGGGAGAGCATGAGCATCATGATTTTGATTACAAACGTACTTAATTAAAAACAGGTACGTCCCGGAACCCATGCCAGGCATGATAAGACCGGAGGACAATCCAGAAGGCTTTCGGTCGCCAGGAGAGCATGCCTTGAAATATGAGGACGTGTATATGAAAACCACTGACGGCATAACGATTCACGCCTGGTGGATGCCGGCAGGAGCATCAGGCGCGACTGCAGCCAGAAATGCGCCGACGATATTGTTCTGTCATGCGAACGCGGGGAATATTGGGATGAGACTGCCAAATTTCGCAGACCTAGTGAGGAAGACGGGTTGTAATGTGCTTGCGTTCGACTACAGGGGATTCGGGAAGAGTGAAGGTGTTTGATTAAACGTTAAATGTAAAATTACGATTTTGGTGTACTCTTCACGTTCACCTGGTGGGGGTAAAGAAGAACATCCTCTCTCCCAAGTCTTTCTTTCTCTTGAAGAACGCTCCACGTTCCCTTCCACGTGTTCATGTCAGCACTCCCTCTCAGGTTCTCCAACCGAAGCGGGTTTAATCCAAGACGGTCTTGTCTGCCTAAAAACTCTCCGTGAGAAGTTCGACATCGCGGAGACCTTCCTTTTCGGTCGCTCACTTGGTGGGGCAGTCGCAGTGGGTCTAGTAAAGTGCGTCGAGGAATTTGCCCCAGAGCAGAGAGCGCAGTATCCTAAGATCAAAGGGGTAATGCTGGAAAATACGTTTACCAGCATTAGCGATTTAGCGGACAAAATATTCCCGTTTTTGAGCTACCTAGGTTGGGTCAAAGCGAAATTTTTGAGGATAAAGTGGGACACGGAAAGCAAAATCCAGACGTTGAGCAAGACTTCGGGGACCAAGGTACGGTGATAGCTCTTTAATTTATTTCGTATGTGTTCAATCATCGGTTACGATGCAGAAATTACGTATGTGTTCAATCATCGGTTACGATGCAGCCGTTCTCATGCAGTCTAGGTACTACACACAGTTTAGAGCAGACCACAACTCTTCATCTGCAACGAGGCAAGGAAGAAGTTTTTCAAAGACCACCCTTCTGTAATATAACAAGAACAGCCACTTCAATCATCTCAAAAACAAAATCATCTACAACTTATTTGAACTCACGACGTCCATCTTCTATCCAGACCATCCTTCAGTTTCTTTTCCTCGTCGGCGAGAAGGACGAATTGGTACCGCCAGCACACTCCAAGAGACTGCATGAGAAGTGTCCTTGTACTTCGAAAATCGTAACGTTCAAAGACGGCATGCATAACGACACATACCACAAAGGTGGAAAGGAATACCAGCAAGTGGTACAGGACTTCGTGCGCTCATAGGTGAAGGCTTTCCTGTAGTACACCTCAACAGAATATTACTCATAGTCTTGCTCCTCCCTCTATGTGTAGCATTTCCCAAAATGAATCTTCTCGTAGTTTGCTTGATCATTTTGCCCGCCTGAAAGAATGCTCATTTGGTACTACTAGAATGTCATCTGCGCTGCTCATGCTCATTCGATGAGTACCCCCTCGTGTTTTTCTCAAAGAACTAACTATCTACGCACGCACTCACATCCTCACTTGGCCGTTCGTCCTCGCACCCTCCAGAACACCATCACGAGAAAAGGAATCATAGCAAAAATGACAACTACACGATGAAAGAACACGTCGTGTAGAAGAAGCTCTCAACGTCAGCAACGAGAATTATATTCCGATGTGATTTTTTATAAGGTCAAGAATTTGAATTGTGAAGCCATGAGAAGATAGATGAGTGCAGCTAAAAATCCGAACATACCAGACCATGTTCTACCGTCGGGCGTCTGTGTGCCACGAAAAAGATGGGTCAAAACAATGTTGGGTTCCCATGTGCGCATTCTTACAAGACCACACTCACGCTCATTCTCGCCGAGCTCGAGTATCTATATCAATCAGAACCAAGTGAAATGTCAACTGCCATGCTTGAAGATGACTTCCTACAATGATCGAAATCGACTTGATCCCTGCAGCAAGTCCAATACCGACTATTAAAGATTTTCCGCATGTGCACCATGTCCTCTCGGTTGGGTGAATTCATTCTATGCTGGAACAACGAATCAAGCTGAAGTTGAAGACAATGATGCAAACAAGAATGAGAGTCCACTCTTTAGATTTTGGTAACCACGTCTAAGGCAGAAAATACAATGCATCAATTAGTGCCTTGTGATTCTGCGAAATTCATGATTATTAACTATTACTATCGATTGACAGGGACCCCAACATGTTACCTTTCCTCCCTTACGAATATCTCAGTACCTAAACCTATTGATGAGCTCACACATAACGTACTTGTATCGAATTATTGAAAGCCACATAAGTAGATAAAAAACAACGACCGCCCTACTAGTCAAAAAAATGTTTCGTGGAATCAAGTTTGGTGCGAACGCTGCAAAGCAGGATAAGCTGGATAAAAAAGCGAAGAAAAAGGAGGAGAAGAAACGCAAGAAAAAGGAGAAGAAAGAACGAAAGAAGGACAAGTACAACAATTATTCATCAAGGCATGACAAAAAGAAAAAGAAGCGAGCACAGTCTTCTTCTTCTTCCGAGCAGGAGTCTTCCTCAGACGATGCTGAGGCCTCCGACGAACAAGAGTATCGCGGCAAAGCTGGGAGAAGAGAGCAGCATAGAGATCCGGAAATAGAACGAGCATTGCGTGCAGGAGAACGGTCCTCTGATGACGAAGAAGGCGATCATCCTGGTGATGAGAGAAGAGCAAGGGAGGACCGAGATTCCTCCAGAGTTTCAAGAGCTGCAAGGAATTATCATGAAGAAGAAGAAGATCGACAAGAAAATATTAACGTGGCTACTTCCTCCGCTGCTACGTCCAAAGACACCGCTGGAGGAAAGGAAAATGGCGCTTCCACCAACAAAGAAAAAGAATCCGCACCACCACGATCTGGTGGAGGTTTAGATTTGTTTTCTGCTTTTGGAGCTGGCATCACGGATTTTGAGTCCCGTGACGACAGAAAAAAACGTGAGAGAGCAGAACAAAAAGCAGCAGAAGCTGGCGCAAACGGGCGGCGTCTGCTAGATGATCCGGTCGCACATGAACGAGAGCTGAACCCAGCTGCTTACGAAAAGTCAGCTCAGGGGATGACTACTGGAGGAAATAACGAAGGGCAGCAAAGTAAGCCTGGAGGAGGTTGGAGTTTGCCTGCGCATTTACGTGTAGGCGATGGCGGTAAAGGGTGGCAAAATCGCGCGGGCAAGCGTGGTAAGGAAGAACAACAAGACCCAGAACTCTTCAAGAAAGCTTTGCCAGTCAAACGCACTGGTGGTAAGAAGGGCAAGAAAGGCGGTTCAGGTGCTGATTTAGTTGACGGCTTGAACGCAGACGGCTTGATCGACCCGGACGAAGACTTATCGCGTTACGAGTGGGGCGGTCGATCCAACAACCGTGGAGGAGGAGGCGGAAATAAGAGTAGAGGCAAAAGAGGCAAGCAATTATCTTCCTTAAAATCTGATGAAGCTGTGATGAATGCGGCTAGTACAGCGTCACATTCATTCGCTTCTGGCGCTTTTTCTGGAAGCCGAAATGGAGGTAGTTCACGGAACGAGTATGACGACAGTGATATCATGGGCGGTGCTGGAGCAGTGCCAGGGGCCTCGTTTGGTGCTTCCAGAAGACTCATGCCAACATCAAGTGCACGTCACGGCGATAGTGAAGACGATGAAGATGGAGGTTTTGCCGCTTTGCGACAGAAATATCAAGACGGTGACGGTACTAGAGGCAAAGGGAGTGGAGAAGGAAATGCTAGAAGTAGGAGGAATGAGCAAAGGGGTGGCTCTTCATCTTCCTCTGGTCCATCCGGGAGACGATACGACGATGATCAGCATAGAAGTGGTGGACATGACACCACGACATCCTCCACCTCAACGGGCAAAGGGAACTCTGCAACTAACGAGGCAAATCTTGATCGTAATGTACTCCAGGCGAAGGCCTTGGAGGCGATGATGAATGGCGATGATGCTGAGTACACACGGCTAACAGCGTTACTGCAAGAAGCGAAACCAATGATCGAGAGCACTGACAAAAATGCAGATAATAACAAAGGTAAGGATCATGTCAAAGGAGGTAAGAAAGGCACATCCAGAAAAGGTAAAGGAGATTCAAAAGGTGAAAATGGGAAGGACGATGAAGCGAGTAGTGTCACAGACATGCTACGTCGTGAGAAGATGGGTGGCGAAGATAACCACGAGCGCATGTTTGTGGATCACATTCGAAAGCGTGGTCGCAATTTTATGGACGTTGGAGGACACGATTACGAAGAGGATGGGTCTTGGAATGATAATTTCGTTGAGAAAAAGCGCAAACGCGGACAACCACCGCCAGAGCAGAAAGGAGGTAAAGGTGGGAAAAATGGTTCCGCAGGAAATTCCCTTATGTCTCGCGACCGCCTTCTACACTTGCAGCGTTGTCATCATTGCTACGAATCCTCGCGTTGGTCGTACGAAAAACTACTTATCGCACAGTCAGACTTGGCCTATCTGGCATTTGAGAACAGCAAAGTGTCCTTTTTGGAGAACGAGATGATCATCGCACCTTGGGATCATGTGAATTCCCTCTCCTTAAACGATATGGACGAAGATAGTTACCAAGAAATGCGGAACTACATGAAGGCGCTTGTTGCATTTTTCAATTGGAGAAACGATCAGAAGAGAAACGAAGGCGATCAGGAAGAATTTCAATCCCTAACTCCTCTCTTTATCGAAACTCTGATGGAAGTCCCCAGCCCAGACCGCCAGAGTCTTGGCGGTTCCGCTCATTGTGTCGTCAGAGTGCTTCCTGTCCCGTCTGATGCTATTGGGGAACTGCAGATTTACTTCCGGGAGGCCTTTCGAGAAGCAGTAGGGGAGTTTGATAGGACACACAAGGCGCTGGTCGAAATCCGCAACGGCAATTTACGAAGTGGAGTCGTTGTTTCAGCGAGTGGGAGAGGTGGAAGTGCTAGTGCCAGCTCTGCAGGTGGGAACTCCTCAACAGCAGGCCTCCTAGGTCTCGGTTCCATGTCTAGAGCAGCTGTCGCAAAGAGATTTCCCTACGTTTTCGTCGATTTCGGAATGGAAAAAGGATATGTGCATCCCGTGGACGAAAAGTTGAACAAGGATTTTGTGAAGCACGTCTTGTGTGGCTGTCTAGACATAGATTTCCTCACCCACAAAGCTTACCCCGGAGGCGAGAAGCAATTGGCACAAGCAATGGCTTCTTTTAAGAAAGACTTTGAAGAAAGCGGGTGTGATTGGACACAACAAGTCAATCGGGATGGAGCGGTGGAAGTGGAGGAAAAATAGATCATGCTGATGTCTAATTCACCCGATTCGTAGCTCAATATGCACGAAACAAATTCAAATTACTTGTACGTCTCCAGCAATGATTAGGTTCGCAAGTTTCCCCTGTTAATAAGAACTTGATGCCTCCTACGGCGTTTATATACAACGAACTCAAAGAAGTGAAATAGCTCATCTATGATCTTACAATTATGTGCAACAACAGACGAGAAGCTCGTCTGGCATGAGAATCAGAAGCTGTTCGGAAAACTGTTCTGTACCTCCTGTAACCAAAATATATAGTGACGAGAGAGCAAAAGAGATCGTGATTGCAAATCCAAATCGATATCTTTCTATCGAGTGAAGTCATCTGGAAGATGGAATGAGAAGCCTTGTGTTAGGATGTGGCTGTGGGAAAAGATGATTATATCTGTTTCGACTGAGCGAAAGATGTCTCAAGAGGTGAACGGGAAACGGGTGTAGAGAGATGAAGCATGGTAGAGTTTTTAAAAGTATCAGTCAAGTATTCGAGGACATTCATGCTTTCGTGCAAAAGGTTGTTCCTTGAGCTTCTTCAAAAACCGTATTATTTTTCCCATTCGTCCCAACAGGTCACTTCGACAAGATTGTCCTCATCTCCCGTGGGTGAGCATACGTTTCAAAAAATCGTCAAACTACAAACAAATTCATAGGCAAGATACCAATCTACCTCTAGAGTTTCCTCCTGCTCGTAACATCAATCATAACTAAACAATTCTCCTGTAAAAGAACAAAATGGGTGGTTGTGCACAATCTAAGCCGATGGCCGCCGCGGTTCCGGCCGCCGAAAAGCCGGCTGAGGCTCCACCGCAGCTCGATGCCTCCAAGGAGGCCCCGAAAGAGGTTGCTCCGGCTGTCGCCGCTTCCACCTGGTACTTGGTAGACCACACCTTCAAGGAGGGATGCAATCCGGAAGACTGGTACTGAAGATGATTGTTGTTCATCTAAAATCATCAACAAAACTCAAGCGACAAAAAAGGCCTTCCTAGAAAAAGACTGGATAATGGACATAAGTAGTCCTAATGAGTGAGAAGCAGACCCCACTTCAAGGCTAGTCAAGCCATGAAGAAAAGAGTATCGTCTCTGAGGCTGCTACACATGCTGTAGGAGTCTCCAAGAAAGAATGGCACAAAAAGGAAAGAAGTACTTGGTCGACCACACTTTCACTAGATTCACTGCAGCATGAGAGAATGCTGATCGATGCATGTCCATGCTCTTGATGTAGATGTTTTTTTATCGTCTTCGTTCAGATACATTTAGATTTACAACAACCACTTTCTCAGGTGGAAGAACATCCAGGAAATGATGGCTGACCCGGAAAAGCTCAAGGCTTTTCATGTTGGCAACACCGAAAAGGGTTTCTACAACCACTCTTTCAACCCGTTTGGCCAAGATCACATGATGTGCGTCTGGGAGTGCAAGGCGGGAACCGCAGAAGCAGACTTCCAGAAGTGCTTGGATGACGTAAAAATTTATTATTTAGACTCAGGAAAATGTCTATGTATATCTAGTACTTATATAGATTCTATAATTGACTTTGACTACTCACTGTTGATGAGTTATGCTTGAAGTTCAAGTTGAAATCTCTTGAACGTGAACAGCACAATCACATCAAATACACACAACTTCATGGATACGACTACAACATGTCATCGCAATCTTCTTCATCCCCACCAAACCAAGGTTGTCGGTCAAAGCATGTTGGTGAACAAGGCTATGAAGATCCCTGCTGAGCTGTGTGGCGGACAGTTTCCGTATGCCAGCGCTTTTGCTAAGGACTCCGCAGTTAAGCTCGATGAAGGCAATGCCTCTTACCCATCTTCCACTGCCTGGTTCCTCGTGAAGCACGATATGGTCGAGGGCAAGACTGAGGAGTGGTGGTCCGCTACCCAGAAGATGATGGCTGATGTTATGGCTGATGAACATGATGAATCGATGCAAATATTAGAAATCTGCGATCTTAATTGCAGTTCATTCATGTTTGGTGGTTAGCACGAAGCCTCCTAGACTCCCCATCCGATACGGAGTGGTTTATTCATGGGTCTACTCCTGCTCCTGCTTGCAACAATCTTCTAGCAACTACAATAGATTAGAAAATTTGGAAAAGGGCTTGAAGAACTGTTGTTCGGCCTGCTATGGCTGGCCTCAGGATCCCTTTGATTATCCATAAAGAAAATGGAGAGGCAGCGCTGTAAAGATGGAATTCTGTTGGAGCTTTGTGAAGTTATATATATTATTTCTCCAACTCGGTTATCTTAGTTTTTCGAGTTGTACAAGGAATTAGAAAATTTGATGTCATCTAATCTTGCCGCCGCCATGGAGGCTTTTACCGCCTCCGGCATGGAAAAGGGCTTGAAGAACCACGCTTTCGTTCCGATCACGCAGGAATTGATATACTGCTTCTGGGAGTGCAAAGAAGCTGGCATGGAAGCGGCTTTGCAAAATTATGGATTTCAACTACTGTTTGAAACTCTAGAAGTAGCTTAATCTGATGTCTTGTGTGAATATGTAAGGTCAAGTTGTACTTGTTTAAAACAGGAGATGAACGAGAAGAACGACCGACTGTTCTTTTCCCATCCTGGGTGGAAACATTGATGCCTGGACCACTGACTAAGTTCTAGTAGTGCAATAATTAGGTAGAGGACGCTAAACCCATGATATAAAGACACGAACATTTTTCCCATCTACTTTCTTAATTCTACAATGAAAGAGTGCAGATACATACTTACACCCTACTTTTCCTCTAATGCAAGTTCGTCGATGAGGATGTTGGCCGTGGGTGCTTCACCAACACCTTGATGGAGATGCCAGCCGCCATGACTGGTGGTATGTCCAGTTACAAATCCTGCTTCTAAAGGGAGGAAGAGGAGAAATGAAGAGCAGGTACGATCTCCGTTACAATATGTTGTCTATGAAAAATGATGAAGTACAACAACTACATAAGAAATATCGACTCGCGGAGAGTCAACCACGCAGCTTTATCAGCGTGTAGTAAGACTCCTGTACTACAGTAGAAACAAGAGAAATTATGTTGAGTGGTAACAAGAACAAATTCACTGTAACTCTTTACTTGTGCAACAACATAATTCACTGAAATTGTCCATGTTTCAAGTCCTCCTTTAGGAGGTAAAGGAAGGCTTTTAGCGTACTCCCATTGAAATTGATGTTTTTTGCAAGCGGCTGAGTAGTCCTAGTGGTTCATTGTCCGCGTCAGGTCACAATCACAAAGAACTAACTAACGACTAGTTGTAGTATGATACTTATTAAAATATTTATTGAATGAAAGAATGAAAAAATAGAATTGGATTCTAACGAGGTCGTGGATTAATGAAAAAGATACTAGCCGAACGAACGTCACAAATTAAGTACTCTCAACTTAGAAAGCCCTGTGGTCTATCAAACGAACAGGTGCTTACATCAATGAACAACTTCATCTTTAGTCAATATTTTATAGGGATTATACAGTCCATCTCCATGAGGTTAAGGACTGCTTGAATAGATGCTATCATAAGACTTGGAAGAACCGTGATCACAACACGACTGACTTGCAACCAAACTAAGATCATCGACAAAGACGCTGAACCTATTCATACGCAAAAATCATCCATCATTGTGAAAAGCGTCGCGACAAACAAGTCATGAATCAACTATGATAACGCATGATGAAAAATCTCGTGAAAAAAGCTGCATTCCTCAGTATGATAAAAATGAGACATGGAAAATGAGACACATTTCTTGGTGTTGCCGGTTCTGCGGCAAAAATCCTCGTCATAATGTAGATGATATTGAAAATTATGGAACAAGAACACCTATTGATGCCCGTGTGCCTTTGAATCTGAGAGTACCACTACATTGATCGGTTGTTGATCATGAAGATGTCCTCGGCCAATTGATTTAATGAGTCTGAGCCTCACCCAGCCAGGTGTCCACCGCAACATCTCGTCCCTTGTTTTACTCAAAAACCAACTTCAAATCCAGTGTGTATGTGCTGCTGCGACGTGCGTCTTTCTGTCCCCTCTGCGACTCTTCGGTTGGTTGAAAACACTCAGGCATGACTTTTGGTGTAAGTACCCATGCTTTCCCGATAACAAGATTCAAAATTGGTGCTTTTGTTTTGATGCATGCTTCTTCAAGATGAAAAAATGAAAAAATGAGAAGCAAGAAAATCCTCAAACGTCTTACACTACCAGGACCAGGTGTCGAATACTAAGACTTTCGATTATACATAGTTTACGTTGTTCGTACTCAATTTTATCACTGGTGCGACAACTACGTGTCTTCTTTATCGGTTTTGTGTTTCTTTTTGATGTAAGATTTTGACGCAGCATGTGATACGATTTTGTTGGACAAGGCAAAGCAGGTTGAGATCGTACATTATGTACTCAACACAATAAAGAAATGAAACAAGAGGTTCAAGACCGTAGTTATACAGACAATGACAAGTCTTTTTTTTTCTTGATAAGGAACGATTGAATAATAACACGATATTTCCATTTCATCATCGATAAAGTACTAGGAACAATCTTTTGAGTAAAAGAAGGACCTTCATCCTCCCAAAACAAGTACCTTCAGTAAGTACAATTTTTCCTCACTAATAATGAAAAATGGATCCCTCATCTACTTTGATTTCTGGAAGCATGGGGGGATCTTCGACGAGCGATCTCTTCATGCTCGGTCGTGCTTCACGCCTACTATTGCTGTCCTTGTGCTGTAGCTCCTATGTGACGGGGTGTTTAGGTGCCGCGACATCAATTTCTCCTCTCGTACAACCTCGAGAGGATCTAGCCAGTGAGACCATCGCGAGTCGTGCTGTCGAAGATCCAAAGACCAGATCTGCTTCAGGAAACGAAAGCGGTGCTGGTCTTGATGAAGCTTCTGCCAGTTCTTGTAGGAATTCGAAACAAGGACTCGTCTTCCCTGGAGTCTTTGATGTCACTGCCATCCGTAAAAGAGAAGAAGAAACGAAACATGCCATCGATTATCTGGCACAGTTTTATCTTCTGGGTAACAACAAGGACATCGAGGACAAGATGAACATGAACATCAAGCACGACAAGCAGCAAAAAGTAGCACATGAAGCTGAAGGTACCGAAACTACCGAGGAAACATTTGAGGATCTCCGACGTAGAGCGCAGCAAAATATGGTCGCACACCTGGATGAAAAGCAACGCCTGGAGAGCGAACGCTTGCGCAGAGAACAATTCCAGCTAGAAGAAGCAAAGAGGGAAGAAGAGCGTCGAGATCTAGAAGAAGCGCTTCAAGTAAAGCTACTTCGTCGGGAGGAGGCTCCTGCGCAGCAGGATGCCTCACGAGGAAGAATAAGTTTTTCCGCTTTCGTATCGTGGCTACCGTCTTGGCCCTCTTTCTTGGGGAGAGGAAGGACAAATAGTCAAGGTCAAGTTGCAGGTGCAGGCGCTGCAGGAGCTCCACCAGAAGACTCTTTAAAACTCCTCATCAGCGGTAAATATCCAGCTTTCGTGTCTTACCTCGAAGGCTTGGTCGAAAAGGAAGGGCTTCGCACAGTGATTGAGCAAGGTTTGGACAAGCATTCGTTGCCGGATTGGTCCTATACGAGTCATTTCGCTATCAGTTCGCTGAACGCTGAAGTGCTGCGTAGGATGATTCGTGAAGCTCTACCTTCGACGGTCACGATTCCACTTCAAGAAGAAGAAGAAGCGGGAGCAGAAGATGTTGTTCTTGATGGGGCGACCATTAGGTCGTCCAATACAAGAAAATCACTTGGAGGGGGACCAACAGTTGTTGAAGTTGAAAACCCACTGTGGACTTCATGGAAAGTCTATGGGGGTTACGAAGTGCCTTTGCCTCCAAAAGAGCCTCGAAATAACTCTGATGAAAGGTTGTATCCACGTACTTGTGGCTGGGCTTGTGGCGGCGGGCAGCGTCGTGGATGGTCGTCTCGGAAAGAAGATGTCGCTTGTTTAGACGAAGTACCTGCTGGTCGTGATCTTGAAGAAGACGCTGATCAACGTCAAGAAGAACTTCACAAAAATAGAAGTAGTGGCCAACATGATTGGATGTGGAGTGAAAAGAGGCGATATTTCTACGAGGTCGTCGACGCAGAAATGGAAGCAGCGAACCTCGAATTCCCCATGCTGCAAGTAGAGGAGGAAGATAGCACGTCTTTATTCAATATGGAAGGTGAAGATGAAGGTGACGAAGAAGGTGAAGATGATGAACAAGGTGAAAGTGATGAGGAAGCTGAGCCTGAAACTGGAGATGACGAGGTTTTTCACGACGGGGAAGATGAGCAAACTCCTACAGGAGGTGTAGATTTATTATCTCCTAAACCATCCACAACTCCAGCCAGCGAAAATTATACTGATACTTCTAAAGAGAACAAGCAACGACGACCTGCTGCTGTCAAAAAAGAAGTCTTCTTCAAGGAGGAAAAGATTCCATCTACACTCACTGGTTTGGTTCAGTTCATTGAGGAGAAGAGGAAGCTCAGCTACCCTGAGTTGATTTTCGAACGGTTTTGGGATGAGGTAAAAAGAAGAGATCAGGGCGAAAAAACTCCTGAAAGCGTCCAGGACTTGACCGAACGGCAATGGCGCCGCGTCCATAAGCGATACATGGGATACATTCGCGAACATTTCATCGGGTTTCCTGAAGAAGAAACTTCAAACGCGAAGGACAAAGTAGACAAGAGTACAACTAATGATCAAGGTGCTCTTGATGTTCTTGGTCTTACAGAAGCTGAAGAGGCACAACAAGGACAAGCACTTTCAGTTTTGCCAGTAGAGGCAGGACTGTTAGCCCTCGTACCAGAAGATCTAGATGAAGAAAAATTGAAGCAAGAGGCTAGGGAACGATATATAAAGGATGAGTTGCCGCTAAACTGGGAAACAACGCCCTACGCGGAGGAGGCAAGGAAAAGGATCGCAGCTGAAGAGGAGAGAATGTTAAGACTTTCCCTGATCCATCTTCTAAAGCATCTGACTTCGAGACGTTTGCAAGGGGAAAACGGTCTCAGGATACATCTGAAGGTGGATAAGGGTGAGCGCTAATAATGGTGGAAGCAGTGAGATTGGCTAAGGCCCAAAGGGCGATCCTTGTCGCGAGGAAAGAAAGGGAACAACAAGTGAGAGCTAAGGGCCGTAGGAAAAGACGATTCTCGTTGCGCTTCATTTTGATAGATCTTTACGGTATTGGAAACTAATTGAGTAAGCTGTTTAGTGTTGCATATTCATAGTCTTGAAGTTTTTTACTTGAAATCGAAATCTCAGATGACAATGATAAGATCCATGGAGAAGTTCTTTGTCTTTCGTCATATCCGCGAGTCAAGAGATTTCGACTTCAAGTCTATTATACACGGACATTTTTTAGATGTTGAAAGTCCCAGGAGCATACCCATTTTCAACCTCTTCGTCTTCTCTAATTTTCGTTTTTGTCGCAGCACAAGAGGTACCATGAAATCTTGCGGACAAGAATGCAGACAAGTGGGCCAGATCCTGAAAGAATTAAAGCGTTTCTGACTATTGGAGATGAGGATGCCTCTTTAGGTTTAGGAAAAGAGGGACAACAACAACAACAACCAGAGCAGGAGACAAGCCAACCGCGAGGTCTAAAGCGTTTGTCCGCTGATGCGTGTCAGCTGCCTGGTTCGGACGACTATCTAAAGATGCGACGCGGATTTTTTGAAAATAGAGATGAACTTGGATTCGGACTTGGAGGTTTTTCGACTAATTATCCTGACAACTGCGGACCACGTGATGGACAACCACAGCAGCGGCGAAAAAGAAGAGGTCTTGGTTCCGCTTCTTCATCTTCCACGACTGGGCGTGGTGCACGTTGTGGACGCACGGCAGAAGTCGAAACGGAGTCCGCTACTTTGTATGGAGCCTTGGGATCTCCAAGGGAACTAAGCCGCGCTGCTCAGAGAGATCTTCAGGAAAATGGACGCAAGTTCAGCCTGGAAGAGAAAAATGCACTCTGGCAGATTCAGATAGCGAATTCTTCAGGACGACACGACACGCATCCGCAACATGCTGTGCGAGTTGGTCCATCTTCGTCTCCTCGTTCTTCAACAAAGCTGGACCTTGAGGTGCTACAACCTGTTGCTGTTGCAGCGTCTGTGCAGGCAGATCATGAGGTTGCCACAAATGATGGCGAGCCTCACGGAAGCAATCCAAAATCTACTTCTTGTTTCAAACTACCTGAAGATGCACTCTCCATGTTTGAGTTTGGTACTACAGGATCTCCTGTTCCTGGGGACGATGAGAAAGAGTGTTCATCCTTAGAACTTCCTGGAGGCTCGGCTTCGGCTCTGGCCATAAAAAAAGACACTTTATCTTTATCAGAGGATGCACGGAAAAAGAAGTCAACAATCACGAAGGAGGAACATCAAGGACATCAAGGACATCATCATTATGCACCAGGTAGAAAAACATGTTCGCTGATTCTTCAGGAACCACAACAGCCAGTGCCAGATAGAGAGGACCAAATAGAAGGGCGTTTTATTGCTGTAGCTGAAGCTGAAGCTCCTGCAGCTGAAGCTCCTGCAGCTGGAGCTGCTGCAGCTGAAGCTCCTGCAGCTGAAGCTCCTGCAGCTGGAGCTCCTGCAGCTGAAGCTCCTGCAGCTGGAGCTCCTGCAGCTGGAGCTCCTGCAGCTGAAGCTCCTGCAGCTGGAGCTGCTGTGCAGGAGCAGGAGGAACGACAGGGTCCTCTTCATCTTGATCAGGAGAAGGAAAAAGTAGAAGAAGACCCTGTTGTTCTGCAGTATGAGGAGCAGGTGCCTGTTGATGATGATGTTCTACTTGCAGCAGCAGCAGATGAAGATAAACATAATAAAGCAAGAGCAGAGGGGGCAGACGAAGCAGCAGCAGCACGCTCGGAATGCTTGAAGAGTGAAGAAGTGCCTCTGTCTCTGAGGCGTATGTCAACGGCTGCTGGATCTAATAGGCAAGAATCAATAATACCTCTGAGACGCGGTTCAACCTACACTACACATCAATCACAGACTGCGCAGGAAGATGAACCAAGAACTGCTTCCGAAGAACGAGAAGCAACTCAGCATCTAACGGACGACGTATTCGCAAAGGCTGGCGACGTAACTGCAGGGCAAGAAGGTGTTGCTGGTCCAGGTGTTGAGGCCTTCGTTGAGGACGCCAACGCGTTGCAGGAGCAAGCTTCTTCTAGTTCTCGAACGTGGAAGGATCCCGACGTTTCTAATATGCTGGAGCAGCTGGACTCGTCCACCAGAATACTCGCAGGAGTATTAGGAGACGAGGGGGCATTTGATATGCCCATGCAGCCAGTATGCCGTCCGCCGCTGAAAGGCACAGAACATGATGGATCATGTGGGGAAGAAAGCGCTCTACTAGACAACGGCGTCAACACCTCCGAAGTCGAAGACGGCAAAATGAAGAGAAATACAAGAAAAATGCTGTTTGATGAAATCGCGGAACAAGTAGAAGTGGTGCAGTGTCCGGCTTCGGAGGGTGCTGCTTCACCACCTCCAGAACGCCATGATGAAGCATGTTCATTGCCACCTGCCTCGGAACCTCACCAAGCAGGAGAGCTGCAGGAAGTTGATTCTGCTCTAGATCTTCATGATCCTTTACAACAACAGCAGCATTCTTCAGAGGAGAAAATAGAAGACCTAGACCTTGAAGAAATTGTGGTTAAAGCCGAACAAGAGGAGGATCAAGCGGAGGAGGGAGACGAAGTTGTAGCTGGACGAGTTGATGTAGATGCCGTGGTCCACACGCACAGCACAAGGAAAGGGAACGCAGATGTAGAGGAAGTAAAAGATGAAACGCCAGAGAGAGAGAACCGTGCCGATGGCGATGGCAGAGAGGTCGCCCGCGCTAGCGAGAGCCCTCCGCCAGGAACACAAACACCTCGTGACGAGGCGGAACAGGATGTTGAAGCGCCTCCCTCAACTAATTCAAAAAAAAAAAAACGCGAAGATAAGAAAGATTCTGTGGCCGCAGTGGAAGGACTACAGCGCAAGGTAGATGCAGCAACACAGACAGATGAAATGGAAATTTTCGAGCCATCTCCTCCTGCTGCCGATCTCGAACAAAGTCAGAGAGCGTTGCCCCCGTCTGGGCCAGTGGTTTTCGGAAATGATGAAGGTAGGGAAGATCCCTCATTAGCTGAAGAAAGCTCGTCAAATCCTGGTTCGAGTTCTGCTGCAGCAGCAGCAGCTGCAGAAGTCCCGCCGCTGATTCGAGATTCCGCAACATCAGCAACTGGAGGTGTCGCTGACGCGGTGGATGAATCACGGCTTGGTCGAGTGGTCGAGAATTCCCCTTCTAGTCCATTACGAAATACCTCTTTCTTAGGACCACGAGCTCCACGTCCGAGACACGAAGACCACGCAGAGCGGGACGACCGGCAAGATCTACAGCAAGTTGGTCAGTCGCAAAGTGTTACCCACATTGTCAATGAGTACAACTACAACGACCACTACCACTACCATTACGTCACGAAGAATTTCAAGGTCGTCCGTCCAAAAGGAAAAGGCACGTCCTCGAGGAGAAGGCGGACTAGAAGAAGCAAAGGAGCAGCGCCAGTTGTACCAGCGCAACGGAACGAAGGGGAGCCTCTACAACAAGATTTAGATGAAGCTCGGCTTGGTCTACCTGTTGAACTTCATGATGATGATCTTGGACCACAAGGCCTAGCGGCTGCATCCTCAACTGCTGTTCCGCAAGCTCAATCTTCTACGGAAGACGCAAACAGGAGCTCTTCTATTGTACAAGGTCAATCTCACCTTCCAGCAGTTCCAACCAGAGAAGCATCGAGGACGACGAGACCTAGTGCAGCAACTACGATGATCAATAACTTCTACTTCCAAAACCAAAATGAATATTCTTCTTCGAGGATAGCAGCACTAGCAATTCCAGTAACTCCAACTAGTAGCACAAGAGCATCATCAACAGCATCTAGGTCTCCGTCTCCTATAATTGCTTCTCCTCCTGACTATCGTGGAGAACGGCAAATCATGAGTGCAGGAGCAGGTGGAAGTCTGCTCGTCGCGCGATCTCCGCCTTCACATTTAGGAGTAGCATCACTTCCAACACCAGATATTAGCTACAATGCTGGACTCGGTCACGGCACCAGTTATCCTGTAGTGGATTACAACAATGTTTCAGCAGACACTCTTCAATATAAAGACGATGATGAACAATCTGTCATTCTTGATTCAAGTAGAACCAGCAGAAGCATAGAAGAAGGAAGCGGATCAATTTCCGCCACGACGTCCGGCACACAGGGAAACACTAACCCTAAAGCAGGAGGTGGCCTTTCACCAGTTGCACGGACAACGATCATCGTTGTGTCGACTTTGGTTGGCACCGCAATCCTTGGAACGGGAGCAGCAATCTTAATCACCGCGAAAATGGCGTCAGCAGCAGCTGCACAGGCCGTAGCGAGCTCACTGGCTGCCGTGGGACCCGTGCCGTGACGAGAGGTTGGCGGGTAAGTGTTTGGATGTACTTCTAGATGTAAAAATGAAAATTCGAACTCAAAGTCAAAATTTCTTCTGTTAAAAAAAGTATCGAAATTCGAATTCCTATTACTAGATAGAAGAAGTAGAAGTACTAGATAGAACAAAACGTTTCTTTTTGTCTGATGAAAAATGTATGAATGTAGATATACGGGACTATCCTCCTTTTTTTGTAAATTAACATAGATATTAGGTGCTGGTTGTAAACGTAGCTGCAGTGCTGAAACTCATAACTGCCGTCACTACCACAAGGAAGATTATTCACGTTACATACCTACGTACTGCTAGTGCTACTAGTCATGAAGATAAAAATGTAAACGATTGTTGAGATCAACATCAGTTAAGAATAAGAGAGTAGAACTGGAGGGACAAGGACTAGACTTGTCTTTCACATAGGAGTCTCTACAACAAGAACAACGAGTACAACATGATCACTGACTACACATGAATTCGGTTCCGGGTAATATGAAAAGTAGTTCGTGTTCGTCCTCCTCCACCGATTTGAGTAGTACTCCACCAAGAAGATTAAGATGAAAAAGGGTGTCTTGTGTTGGACGAGGACGAACGCGATGAATCTTGTGTGACGGCGAAGTCGAGGCATCCTAGTAGCCTATTCTACTAGTTGTACTAGCATCAATAATAACATCTAGGCGATTACAGTACCCATACATAAACATAGATGCAGACTAGTAGAAGTACAGCCAGAAAATGTCAACTGTTCAGTTTTTCAATTCGACGAAAGTAGACTGAAAGATCAGCGTGTTTTCTTTTGATCTAAAGTTTTATTTTTTCGTCGTTTTTTTCATTTGAATCTACCACTTTCAGGACTACACATACAAAAAATGAACAAGGAAGAAAGTAGCAGTTTCTAAGTATGTACAACCTACGTACAACTTAGGATAAATCAAGAACAAACAACTACAAAAAAAACAGTACTCAAAATGGATTGATCTTCTTGTTCAACCCTTCACGGTTCATGTTAGGAAAGAAGCAACAACGACAAAGCTCGTTGCTTGAATGTCTGCCAGTATCAAACGTTTAACTTCATGAAGAATTTGGTGTCCTCAACATGAGCGAGACAAACTAAGAGACAAGCCTCTCGGAAAACGAATCAATGGTCGTGACAACTCCATGCTCGCATTGCTAGTGATGGAGGTTCTCTCCGATTTTCCAAATTTTCGATCTGAAGAGCAGGCCAAACTATGGACGGCGGATCAACTCCTATCCTATCCTACGCCACAGGCTCCGAGAGATCATACAACTCGGTCAGTCGACTCCACGAATGTTTTTGAGTGCATGACTCACTCAATCTGTCAACGTTGCTCGCTTCGGTTGTCATTTCGGTATGGCAAAATATGACAGGCGGTAATCAGAAGAACGTGCGGTCTTATCTGAGTAAGCACCAGAGAACAAGAAGATCACAGTGCATCGAATCCGTTTTCACCATATCGTTACTCGCATCACGAATGAAAATCGATCTCACGACAATGGCATGAACCGCCATCAAAAAAAGCTTCATCGAGTTGGGCATGGTCCTCTGAAAAATCGGAATCAATAGTTCGGTGTAATGAAGCTAGGTTGATTTTCCAAAGGAACATGAAGTGCATTCGTGCACCGTTGAGTTTCCCTCAGCCTCGTCTTCGATTGGAATACCTAAAATGTTCATGTTCGGTTTCCGCCAAGACCAACCAGCCATTCCTCGATTGTCTTTATCACTTGATTATAAACATTCACAGCTCGCTCATACTGCTCGCCCCATGCATACACCTTCGCCACTTCATGTTGGGATAATACCAATTACAGGCCCCACTTTTGAGACACTCGCTCGTACTTTTGTTGGTAGCTGTACCCTGCTTCTATTTCGTCGCGTTTTTGTTATTTTTGTCCCCCCGTCGCATTATCTATATCTTCTCGTTTAGTTACTAGACAAGTTCAGATACTTCTAAGATTGATATTTCACTAGTAGTTGGCACACAGTAGACAAAGATTGACTCATGCCCTTCGTCTCATCTATATCGCTGCACCAGGCGCAGAAGAACAAGCAAACAACTGAGACACTAAGACATAGTGCAATGTTTAGTTGAGGGGTCGAGGGGTAGTAGATGTATCGTACATAGGAACGTACATGTCACGGGCTTGCTTAGTACTTTAGTTCTCGTGCACGCTAGTCCTAGTTGGTTTGTTCATAAGCGTCATTGGATTTGATTCTCTGACTCAGACTCAAACATCGCGAAATCTTCCCAGAAGTGTGGACAATCATGTGCATAATTTGAGGATCCGTAATAAAGCTACTGTAGAACTAGTGACTCTGAAGGTAGACAATCCTTCGATAGTGCTATCTGTAGTTTTCTTTGTCTAACAAGTACAAGACTAGCGATTTATGCTCTACTCTACTGGGAGGTCTAGGAATGGTAGATAGAGCAGCTTTGATTCCTGGTGTGCATGATAGATATCTGATATCATTCTTCGACCCATATCTAGAGCGACCTCCTCAACTTGTGTTGAAACAACTACATAATTCTTTGAAAAAGTGTAAGTGTGTAGATGTACGGCTGGAAGTGCTCTACAACCACCTATAACGACCCTCAGTCTCGTGCTAGTCCCCGAAACACGGGCTCGAATACCTAAGCAGTAAGTAACCTACTTAGAACTAGAATTTTTAGCCTACTTACATGCGTTGAGTCTTAAAGCAAGCAGTAGAAGAAGATCTGCTTAGATTCCGTTCGAATTATCGCTAGGCACCACCGCATTCCCCGACACGACCACTTGCCTCGAGACGAACACAACAAGTTCGCGTTCTTCACTGGATTTGCGCACCTGGTGGCCCACTACAACTACAGCAACTACCCCATCCTACCTCGCAAGAAGGAAGAACATACCGCCCATCACAAAAATGGACCAGCTTTTAGGAAATGCGGGACAAGAGGAGACAGATCCAGCTCTCCTCGTGTCAGAAAATGTCCTGTTTCAGGTCACTTTCACGAGGTACAAACTTGGCAGTCCAGTCCTCTACATGATGAAATGCGAAGTTCTTCGAAGACTGCCACCACTCGTAGGACCAGATGGATCGATGCATGAAGGGAAATCGGTATTTGGAATATTTATATATGCAACTACTAGCTAGTACTAGTACTAGTAGCGTGCTCCGGTGATGTTAGTACTTCTACGTACTTAATATGATCCATTTATTGCACTGTCGCTGTGAGCAGTGAGCATGGTCCTCTCTCAACATCATACGTGAAGCCCATTTCGATTTTCCACTCCATACGAGGTCCCTCTGGCATTGTGGACGATAAAGAAGCGGTATAGCGACATGGCGGACATGAGTAAGGCAATCGAGACGAAGTATTCGCCACATATGGAGAGTGTACCGAAGTTTCCGCCCAAAGTCTGGAGCAATGCTATGGCTGATGAAGAAGACAAATACTTTCTTGTAGTCCTTGTGCTTGTCAGGTTTCGCTTTCGTTTCGAAGGCATCTACTCCTAGAATTTCTTGTTTGCGTCCTCTCAATGCTTTAGGTGTACATGTATCGTTTACGTTTTCAAGCACTCAGCTCTTCGCCTAGTAAGCTTATTTTCGTCCTCCCATATGACCTACCTTCGATCTCTATCTAATCCAACGTTGTTCAATACCGAAGAGCAAGTGCAAAACCGGTTGCGACTTTTGCAGACATATTTTGACAAGCTACTGCTTTACCCGAACGTCCGCGCTTCACCGGAACTAGCGACACTGCTAGAGATGGATAGACCAGGGACGGAATCGCTGCCGCACTTTCGCGTGTGCAGTTTCGGAATTCATCAGGCAGATCAGGTACACGAAACGACGACTAACATTACATACAATTTTGTTCATGTTCCTCATCCTCTAGAGCCCTACAACTTAGTATTCGTAGTTCTTCTTGATATGACGGAAATCAAGGGAAATTTTCTTCCACTATCTACATTTATAGTTTGATCATTTCTTTCACGACGCTCAGGTCTTCGCCGTCTGCGAGATAGGTCCTCCGCACGCCAGGCAAGAAGTGAAAAAGAGGGAAACGCAGGGTCGTCCAGCTCTTTTCTATCATGTTGGCATCCGATTGGTCAGGCAGATCGGCTTTTCTTCCGAAAACCTCGCCTTTTTGCGTGAAGATCGACTCGAAAATAGTGGAAAGAACATGCGCTTCAATCTGGTATTAGGGAAACCAGCAGAGAGCTACGACCTCACGATAAGTTGTAGCAACTATCAAGGGCGGACTGAAGAAGATCTGAGGATACGACTGTTGGCGCCGAGTCTGGAGGATATTCTAGCAGAAGCAGGAAATAATCCGGATCAAGTCGATCAATTACTCAAACGTATATGCACACATTGTGTGCATGACGTTACGAAGAATCCTGAAAGTGCTATGGAATCCATCCGATCTGGTCGGGGTTTAGCAGGCCTCAAACAAGATGGAGGCTCAACATCTTCTAGTAGTCGGCAACCGCCGCGCCTGCCATCTGATGGAAATTCTCGAGATGACAACAACAGTGGTCGTCCTCGAGGGTCATCTGGCTCTTCCAGTAGAAGTCAAATTGTCGAAAGAGAAAGATCAAGGAATGACCATGAGACGAGGAATGGTGGAAATGGACTGGACCAGCTGCAGCAGAATTTACTGGGAGCATTCGACAACGCGAGTAGTGCGCCGTCAAGAGCGAGTAGAACCCACCAATCACGTGTAGACGTAGTAGACGACGATGAAGACCTGATATCGAATGGAGAAGGGGGGGTACCTACTTACTCTATTTTTTTTTGCGAAACGCAAACGATTATGTAAGCTTCTAATTCGCGTCTAGACGAGGACCTTTTCTCTGTAGTTGTAGTGAATCAAGAATGAAAAATAATGTCTAGGCCCTGCGGCGCTCAAAGCACTAAGTAAAACAACCGGTTAGTTTTCACCTTGATCACAAACGTAGACTTATCCCGTGCAACAATAATGTCATCTGTCACCAATCAACATCATTCATCTGTATCCTTTTACAGTACTAGATCGCTTTCCGAAGAAACCACACCAAAACTGATCTTCTACACAGATGAATACTGGCAAATCCGATAGGGGACGCCTTGACAGCTACGCCTCTTCGTCCTACAGGGGCTTCGGGAATCCGAGACTGAGCAGTAACAACGCGGGGTTCAACAGTGCCTACAGCTATAGCGATAGCGACGGATAGAAGTGCTGAGCAGCTCACTTAGTCATGTTGCAAGACGGTGCTGAGACACTACAAGTAGCCCTTGTTTTTTCTCTCCGACTTAGAGGCTGTTTTCCCTGCCTCTTCCTGAAGAAAGTTTCACCTTCAACGCAGAAGGTTAGAGACTGTTTTACCTTCTCTTCCTGTGAAACTACCTTCAAACGACACGAAGACTTTTGTGACTTGGTGAAGCACAGCACACATTGACTTTTTCACTACAAGACACTCAGAACAACACAAAGAGATAATCTAACACGACTTCACACGGATTTTACAATCCTTATACCTAGTAATCTCTTAATATGGTCAAAGTCAAACACAGACTATTAACACAGTCTGAAACTCTGACGATGACACACGCTTTCCAATTCCAACGAAGTCCTAATTACACACAAACATCAACACCAAAAACATTGCCGCAAGCAGAGGAATGCTCTGACTCGGCATAGCTGAGTGGTTACGCACATTGACATGCTTGAGTTGCTTGACATTTCCTGTCATGTGATAGATGACAAACACGACAAACTCGCTGGGCGTAGTTCGCGGCATATAATTGATGAGCCAGGAGACGGTGCGGCTATCGCCATACCCTGTAGGAAATCGATGCATCGCCCTGTCTGTCTGTCTGTCTGTCTGTGCAAGTGCATGTACGAGGAGTCTGGCACGCTATCATATTAACGAAAGAAGTCAAAAGGCCAAAAGTAGAGTCTGCCGTTAATGAAGTACTAGGAAGAGCGATCATCAGGATCAGGAGGTAAAATAAAGAAAGTGACTTTGTCCTCGGTAGGAAATCGTCAATACCTTACCTCGTAGTCGTAGCGAACCGAAAGAACCTTAAAGACCTATTAAGTAATCGAAAGCTCAAAATAACCGAGTAGCCAACTGAAATAACAGAGTCATTACGTTGCTCTTGTTTCAGTATCTCGCTTATTCTAAGTAGTTACTCGCTTATAATTTCAGTTTATCGAAATTTAGAGTAGAAGACTCAACTTTCAAAAATGAAGGGCAAAGCAGGAAAGATCCTCCTGGTCGAGTCCACAGGAGCGGGGGCGAGTCATCAAGTTCAAAGACGTGCGCCGGCTCGCCACCCTTCCACGCTTTCGTGTTGTGGATGGACTGAACGATGCCATATGGCGAACGCCTCACTTTCACAGCGGTCAGCGTCGTCTTCTTCATCGTCCTCTTCTTCAACAAAAGGAGCGGAGGAAGATGCGGGTAAACAATCATCATCGAGGACATCCACATCCAGCACTTCGTCTGGGGTCATGCGTGGTGTGGCAGCTTTCGGTACTGTTGTAATGGCCTTAGCCGTAAGTCGAGATTTGCTGGCTTCTCAGCTGTCAACCAACAACTCGGATGGAGGAAGAAGCTCAGCCGTAGGCGGAAAGGATGCCACGTCGAAGCAGAGTCGAATACAACTACGAATCAAGAATTACGACCCTGCTTCTGCTAGACCACCACCACAGGCGCACAACGTTAGGTTGCGAGGTGACGCTACCTCAAGTACATCAACAAAATCGACGTCTTCCTCGTCAATCTCCACCGCTCGTTGGCAAGAACTTCTACAGTGGAGAAAAGAAGCTCTTCAACAAGCTGGCGCAACTGCGCAGGAGAGTACGAGAAAGAAGCTAGAGAGTACATTGCGTGAGATATGGGAGACGGAATTGTATACTCGGATCCCAAGGTTTGAAGAATGGTATTTTCGATACGGCACAACTTATTCAATTATTAAGGCTCTTTCTAGTTTGACTGATGAATGAAATTGAATGAAGAGAGAGTTTGAGTACTGTAGTTTGATGAAATTGAATGAAGAGTTTGAGTTCGTGTTGTTTGCAAGGGTGAGGACATCTTGCTCAGTGTTGGCGTCTAATCTTCTACAGAAACGCCTACTAGTTGTAGTTTCTAATCTCTTGTCCGTGGCGCTTTCTTCTGCAGTAAGGAATATTGGACTGTTGAAGGTGGAGCGGCATGATGCGAACGACCTCGCAAATGAAGCGAGGCAGCCAGTGTTTCGCGAAAGGGTTGCGGCAGATGTGGACTCGTATCTGCAAAAACAATACGAGCTTCTGCTTTTGTTAAGGCTCGTGAACTGACAGCTGTGTACTTACTCTTCCAAATTGTTTCTAGAAGTACTAGGCCGCGGGACGACTCAGAATCTTCTGCAGGAGCTTCTACTTCATCTGAAAAGATTCGTCCGAGTTTCTCCTCCTCTAATCGCACGACCGGAGCTGACGGACCCCAAACTTCAACGCGCTTTAAGTACTAACGTTGTGGACGCATTGCAGATGGATTTGGCAACACGCATAGCGGAGGTGGAGAATCAGTTTTTTGAGAAGGTGCAGGGTGAGTTGATGATGGATAGCACGACGAGTACTCATGATCATGTCGTGGAGAATTATGAGAATACGAATCATCTCGATGTAGTTGATCAGGAGGCCGAGCAGCACTCAAATGCAAAAGTGAAATCGACCCTATTGTTAAGGCTACTTCCGCTGAAGCATCCTCAGGAGCGTTATCCTTGAGTCCTTACTTTTCAAGTAGAAAAAGGGCCCAGCGATGGCCTCAGGGATGCGACGCGGTAGCTCTAAGATTCTTGTCGTCGTCCCCACTCTCGACAACTGACGACTCTGTTAATGTCTCGCGGCCAGTAGCCGCTTCGTCGGACATCGTTCTCGATTGGAGTGCTCAAACTGGAAAAGTGCGAGGAATAGCCGCTGCATTCGAGAAAAGCCCGGTTCGTTCAGCAGGCCTGCTCACGCTAGGAGCACTAGCAGGCACAAAAGCGGTCCTGACTACTGTTGGCGCGAAAGCAGCAGCTGCAGGAGCAACCAAAGTCGCAGCTAGCTCAGCGGCTGTGGCTGCAAGTGCTATACCCGCTTCGAAAGTTCTTTTAGGTACATCTGCGAAAGGAGCTGTACCAATGTTTGCAAAGCTTGCGACGCCGTTTGTGTCGAAGCTATTCGCGACAGGGACTACGACTGCAGCCGGCGGAACGACAGTGATCGGTGCCCTTTTGGCGGGAGCTGGAGCGGTTGGTGGGCCATTGGGTCTCACGGCTGGCATCACTGTGGATTTTATGATGCGATGTCTAGTATATCTTTATCTACAATTTGTAAGTATTAAAATTGGATAACAAAAGAACCAATTAAGTAGAACAACTACAGATTAGTTCCGAAATCCGAATAATTCGAACTTAGTTGGACGAGTTCTTCAATGATCTCTAACCCTCATCTCTTGCACAAGGGTGTTGCGCTTTCGTCCAAAACCCAGTTTCGAGCGGATGTCATGGAAATTCTAGATGCGACACGTGAGGAATGGCAGTATGTTTTGGAAGCTGAAATCGCACGAGCAGTAGATGAGCTTGTGGCTGAGCACATTATAGCATCATTCTCGCAAGAACCAGGATAAGGATGACATTTTTATGCATGGACGACATGATATATGGATAGACGATGTTGAACTACATGCTTTATGGCGTCGCTGCATATCTCAATTTCTTGAACACAGAGGATTGAAAGAATAAATTATAGCAACATAACAAGCCAACGAACGTGTGTGTCCGGCGTTTCTATGAGATTGTTGCTGCAAGGCAATCTTGTGTTTCTCTCGCTGCAGTCAAAGGATGACATAAATAAAGGTGCTGCTACTAGACCCCTGCTTTCATTTACCATTCTTGATTTGTGTGAATCTTCCAACGTGATGATGCTTTTTCGTATCGTGCTCCTGCTCCTGTGCTTCCACCTAAAAACATCTTTTTGTTCTTGCTTCTAAGTACAAATAATGATCTGTCGTTGTGCCAAAAACAAGACGATCATGGAATGCACGTCAATGCTTTAGAAAAAACAAGAATCTACTAGATGTACTATCTTCTCCTGTAGCTGTACAATTTTCACCGCATGTTTGTACGCAATCTAGTGTCGTCTTCATGACGTGATGCACTTCGAACCACTGGTAGTAGGTTAAAGATTGGCTTCGCATGCTCCTCGTGTAACTTAGTTAACCACAAAGAATTGCGGAATAAGAAATTGAAATTCCGTTGCATGTTCATTGATTTTTATGAAGAAGAAGATTACCACTACGACTACTATTCTTGCTTAATCAACAACTGCCTCATCAAAATTTCTCAATTTGTTTAGCACAATATATTAGATTTTTTTGCAAAATACAGAACAAAAATGAAAATGTTCCACCGCTCAAAATCTTCGAGGAGTAGAACTCCTCCAACCTCAAGCTGCAGCGACTCGCAAAGTCGAGTGATGCAGCCGCAATTAGTTTCAATCATGGGATCGCTGGTACTGGGAGCGTCTTTTTACTTGGCTGTTCATCCTGTCCAAGCTTTACGTTTGACCAAAAAAGTGAAGTCTCCGGCGACCGAGTTTTTCGATATAGCGACACCAAAAGCGAAAGATAGAAAGAAGGTAGATTTTTGTTCAGCTGCAGCAGCCGGAGTTGAACTTGAAGAAGAGGCTGAAGCTGAAGACCCTTGGACGAGTTCGAATCGAAAGTCGAAGAACAAGGCAGCAACAAGTCCCACTTGGTGGGCATCCGGTGGTGTGCCAATGAGCGCACTCCTGTCTGAAGTTGACCAGTATCAGACAGAACAGCAACAAGCAGGATCCACAGCATCTGTTAACGGAGGTGCAGTAAGAAAAGGTAAACACCAGCATAGGAAAGGAAGGGGCTCGCGATCAACGAATATCAAGAATATCCATAGGCATGCGGCGCCACAAGGCGAGCAACAACGTGGTGAACCGACGCCTCCGTTGGCTGTGATCCGATCGCTCCTCTTTCCTGGTGGATCTGGATCTGGGAGCTCTAGTGGGGTTTTACTTCCCGCTGGTAGTTCAGGCAGTTCTATTGGACCTCCTCCTTTACGAGGCAGCGGTACACCCTCACCCACTACTGCCGTAGTTAGGAATGTAGTTGAAAACCTGGAGCTTGATGACCAAGAAAGTGCTCCCCCAGATGAAAGGCGTGTGCGACATAAACGTGGTAGAGCTAGTGGACGTCAAAAACAAAAGAAAGACAAACGACGAGGAGGAACTACATCTACAGGGAATGGTGTTTGTGGTGCAGATGAATCTTCTAGCAGTGCTGTTGGTGGCACCAGAGTTTTTCTAGTGGAAGACCTGGAGCGTCAGCTTCAGAAGTCATGCGTTGTGACCACTAAAGCGAAGGCCGAGAACGAGAAGGCTCAGCAAAAGCCTGATGACCCAGCGTTTCAAATTGACAGGCAGGAACATAGTTTTTTTGCGGCTTCTCCACCTTCTGCTGGTGACGATCACTCAGTGGGCAGATTTTGGATAATGAACGGAGCTACTGCAGCGCACCCGGCATTGCCTTACAACTACGAAGGACATCAATTTGACGAAGGTTCTTTTCCACTGGTGCCGGGACAATTACAAGAGCCATTGTTAAGGATGAAAACAATTCATTTTCCAGTTGTCTGCGACTGCATCAACATCTAGTGAGAAGTCTATTCAATAAGTACAGCTTGATGTATCAATTTTATGCAAGTGCACTTTTCATCAAATAGTACTAGATATTAATTGATGTGAAGAAGATGACTTTGACTCAGCATAATTTACGTCGTTCTAAGAATACTTCCGCAACAAGAGGCGCCCCCAGTACAACAAACAGGAGCAGAAGCAGAACTACTACTACATCAGCGGCATGATCCTGTAGCCAGCAACCTGGAACGAGTCGAAGTTTTCAACAACTCTGCCGGTCAAGATGTTGATGATCCGGCTGTTGCCTTCTTTCAGTTGATCATGCAACAACGGGGCACCAGCGACAAGCCAGCTGCTGGTATCAATTTTGACGATGCTAAGCAGATGGAGACTGAGCACTTACCACAGAACGGACTTTTGTTGTTAAGGGATCAAATTTTCAGTATTAAGTGTCGTGCAAGTATGTTGTAAACTTGAATATTGATATTTTGTCAGGAGTATTGATATTTTTTTGTCTAATGCCACGTTTTGCTTGCAGCCTGGAACCTATCGTGGCCGCGCAAGTGCAACATCCAGCACATCAAGATGCACAACTAGCTCAGCAACAAGAACAACTTGCCGCGGCATCAGCTAAAAAGATGAGAATACCGATTGAGCTCTGTCCAATACTCAATAGTACTAATGCTTCATCACGAACAGCAGCAGCAGCACAACATTGTGCCACGCCGAACATGATGGCAGCTGCATCCGATCAACATCTTCATCTACAGCAAGAAGTACAAGAGCAGATGATGGAAGAAGTACAGCGTCAACAACAACTTTTGCAACTTCAACAAAGCTACCATGCTGCTCAGCAAGCTGGTACCACTGCTGTTCAGTCCACCTCTTAAGGCTTCCCGTAATTCATCTTAAGGAGCATTTTTGACTTTGCCACGGTTTCAAGGGGAAAACGCGTCAAAGATGACTTTGAAGATGAATTTGGTGAAGCTCTAATCCTCACACCAGTATCCTTTTCCTATCCCAGCTAAGCAAGTCGTGGTCGGTTATCGTCTCGAAGTCTTTGGGCTAGCTGCACATAACCGCGACGCCGTCATGGCTGCAGTGCGACAGAACGGCATGGCTTTGGCTTTTGCTGCTCCCAATCTACGCGACAGCTCGGACATTGTGCGCGTGGCTGTTGCGCAAAATCCGATGAGTCTAAAGTTTGCTTCTGCACCACGAAGAGCCGATATGGAGATTCTGCTTCCTGCAATACAGCGCTGCCCAGACGTTCTAGAGTTCGTGCATTGGGCTGGATTGCTAACAGAAGTCTCTTTTTTCCTTGTACAGAAAGCTGTAGCGATCAACGGCATGGCGTTGAGGTTTGCGCCTCCAGAATGCAGGATCAGTCAGAAAATTTCTGATCTAGCAGTTGCGCAAAATCCGGAGGCGATTCGGTACTTTTGGTTTTTTATTGTGATTAGTGACTCACACTCAGGGAAATATGGTGATAATTATTCCCTATACAAAAATATGATTCTTGCTTTTCGTGGTGGTCTCTGTCTGTCCTCTGTGCAGGAGCATTCCACTTCTACAACGGCCATGATCAATGCCAGGTATGTTGCCAAGCCCCACCATGTTGCTCCACCCGAGGAGGTAAGCAGTTTCACGCATCCACCACTAGAATCGTCTATTCAGCAGCCCTTGCCGCCATCTTTGGCTTTGCCCTCGTCCGCCGTGCCTGTGCTGAGCGGAGTACTGGAATCAGAAACACCAGATGCTCCTTATGTGGAATCAAAAAGATCAGTAGATGTTCCCTATCCACCTCCAGGCGAAAACGAAGACCTTCCTAAGCGCAGCATCTTCGAACTAGACGACGCATTCAACGATTCATCTCTTATACCTGTGGTCAGGCCTAGTGTAGATGCGAACGCATCTCCCATGTATGTGCGACTGCCGAAAGATCAGGAGGACACACTCATGCTCAATGCGTCAATGCTCCTGGAGCGTGGAGCTTCATCTTTTGTCGGCCACAAAGGAAATGGTACAACAATTGGTGGCGGACAACTACAGGTAGGTGAAACAGAATCACGCACTGGAATATACGCCTACGATCACTCAGGCTGTCCTTTGCTGCCACCTCCGCCTCCGGCAGAGCCTCCGAATCTAGGCCATCTAGAAAAAGACTTGGAAAAAAGTACCGGGTGTTTTCAGGAGCCGCCAAGTTTTTCGACTAGTAGTCAGCAGGGTGCTTTCATTCCACGACAAGTAGTAGATGAAAAAAGCAACGCGTCCGACAGCACTCTAGCAAGAGGTGCAGCGCATATTACTGTTAAACTCGCTAGACAAGTTCGAGTTCGTGAAGTGGAACAAGACTTACTAGATACAACTCAAACTACTAAAGCCGATGATGAGTATACTGCCTCTGCCCGTGCTGAAAAAGATGTAGAAATGGAAGACCAACCACGACAATCTGGAAACGAAGAAGAAATTGAAATGGAATATGATCATAAAGTACGAGAACAGCACGAAGATCCATCTGAGAATACTTCTGGAAGCGGACTGAACCCGCACTCAAAAGCATTTATTCCTTTTGCACTCGTCCAGCATAGACAAAATGAAGATAGTACAGCAACGCTAGCGAACACACTCGGAGGTGCTGGAACTGGGGATGCACGGGGAGTGGAAGAATCATCATTATTATGGCGCAGGTTCTACTCTTCTGTGGACCTTGATGTCACATCGATTCATCCTCCCGATATCCCGGTAGGAAGCTTATCAGGGATGCACAGATGAATAGAAAAGATGACTGTTCATGAAAATCAGTCGGCATTTCAACTGAGCAAAAATTTGATCTTCTTCATTCCTACACCTACAGGAAGGAAAAAGACCTCAACTACTTCTAACATTCGGCCGCTATCTTGCGGGCTTAACATCGCGCTGCGCAAGTCCATGGTTAGAGAACGGATATCAAGACTACAACAGCGAAATTCCATCGGCTGCATTAGTGGCCGGCCCCCCTAGTAATCCAGGCACGACTGTTTTAGGGACTGTCCCAACGCAATCACTGCCAAAATCATCACCTTCGACTTCAGGCTCGACAGGGCATCTACCTCATAGTTCTTCAGTAGAAGGAGGAGGAGGAGGAGGACAACCCCAAGAAGGAGAACAAGTAGAAGCTCAAGCTGAACAAGATGTAGATGAATACCAGCTACAACAGGTACAGGAACTTGATGCGGAAGGGAGAACACCTCCATCTACAAGCGGTCGAGTAGAACAAGAACATCATCCTGCTACTAGAGAATCAGCATCATCCCCACCATCCAAACCGTTCTTAGCAACTTCAATTGCATTAACGAGATCCCCTCTGTCTCTAGGTCCTCGCGGGTCAACTGGTGGTACAATTTTACTGGACAACGCTGGATCTGGTTACAGCCCTCTTTTGGTGTATGACCCAGAAAGTGGCGTACTTGAAGAAGACCCGACGCGGCTTGCATCCCCTACAATGCATGGTGGGCGTCGTGGCCTTCCTCTTGTCACTCTTTTACCTCCAGGACGGTGGAGTGGGCAAGGTGGTTTGCGTTCTTCACACCCGATTGCGCCTGCACCTTCCTCTAGCGGTATGGGCGCAAGTGCCGCTTCTACTATGGGAGCGTCTACGTTACCAGAAACAAGTGGAGTGAAAGCACAAACGGCGAGCACGACGTCGCGACCAGTGGCGGAAGAAGAGCATGAAGTAGATTTACTTGTTCCAAATGGTAGAGATAACCGTAATCGAAGAGCATCAAGCGACGATGAAGCTATAGAGCTAGCGAACTATCTCCCCGATGTTGATCAGACACGACGTATTGATCTTCCTTGTGAGGATGTACAACAAGATGAACTGGAAGAAGAGGATGTTGGCGATTTTGGATTTGCTGGTGAGCATAGGGCTAATGCAGACAACCTCTTAACTCGACAAGATGTTGAAAAGAATATCACAACTGTAGCAGGAGGAACAGATCATGTTGACACACTGATAAATGATGACCACAAGGACAGTGCCCTGGATGAACCATCTTTAGTAGCTGATTCGTCGAACTCGTCTCCGCCTGTAGTTCTGGAAGATCATGAGCGCAAACGACTTGCGGAACCTCAAGCAGTACGAGCTTCTGACCTTTTTAGTCCGAGCAGCAGAACTATAGTCGATGAGTTGAACTCTGAGGCAGGCGCGGAAGATGGGTGCAATTTTGGGTCCAGTCCGTCAAGAAGTCCTCCATTTATTGAAGAAGAAGGACCTGCAAGAGAAACATTCATTGGTTTAAAGGGGAGCTTAGAAGCGGTTACTGGTGTTGGTGATCCTGATGTGGTAAGTAAAACTGCGGTAGTTGGTGTAGATGATGAAGAACCGCTATCAGCAGAAAGATTTCCCATCATCAACATGAAAGACAACATGATTGCTACAGCGTACAGCCACAAGAAAGTAGTTGAACTTTCTTGTCCTTCCTTGTCAGACAAAAAACGTGAATGGCGCGAACAAGAGGTGCGAGTGGAGGCAGAGGCTTCGAAGGCGAGCAGCGGACGAGGTGCGTCATCTTCAAGTAAAGGTCATAACAAGTCATCTCCAGAAGCTGAACAAGAAGACGCAGAATATGGCTCACAGGATAAAGCCACAAAAATTCTGCAAGCGCTCCTCGGGGCTGGAAGTGAAATAGAAGAAGAGGTGGGCGGTCGCGAATAAGTAACCCTAGAAAATCGACTTGTCAGGACGTTCACACCGTTTATACCTGACGAAACGATCGGCATCCCCTTTTTCATGCTTGTATCCTATTCCCAATTCTAAACATATTCGATGAAGGTGGAGAAGTACTAGAACTAGCTTTTTTTAGAAGAACACGAAGGTCTACTTTAATCTTTGAGATGACAAAAAGTCATCTCACGTATCACACTCGTGGGTTGATATTTTATACAGGATTTAATTACGTCCAAGTCAAAGACCGAGTCCGTCGCTCTCGTTGACGCTGTCCTTATAACACATACGATGAACAAGAGGATGAGTCAAAAGTGAACACAGCTGCAACAAGATGTTGTTGTTACAATTACCTAGGATTCAACTTGCATGCTTTTTTTTACGATGATGATTCAGTTTCAGGAGGAAAGAGTCTCTTCCATTTTTATCGCAACAACATCATATTGATATTTGATGCGTCTTTTTTTGTATTTATTGATGAGACTCTCTCTTGCTTCTACTTCGCTATTGCAACTCAATTCCTCGTTCAGCAACTTTTCACGTTGAGCTCCTTGGCTGCATAGACCCAGTTGTCTGCTTCTACAAATCAGAGGTCGTTGATGTTAAATGCTCAAGGAACGGAAATTAACGGTCATAGACATCATAGAGCAAAAATCGGATATGAAAGTCAAAGTCCTCCCGGTCCTCGGTTCCTCGAGCAGAGAGATGACAAGCAAGAAGATCTTCCTACTGATGCAAGAAGATCTTCGTACTGAAGCAAGATGACAAGCAAGTAGAAGATCTTGTTCCTACTGAAATTCGAATTTTTTGCCCACAAAGAAAGAAGTAACATCCCTCTTCTGTAATCATCTGTTTCACAGGCTTGGGCAGCTTAGGGTTTAGTAGGGTTCATGATGATTGCCCTTCTAGTATGCACTAACATCACATGAAGATCATTTCCAGTAAGCATCCTGACGAGTGAGAAAAATGGCGCGTGCAAAACACAAGCGACTCCTTGCGGCTCGACGAGCCGCGAACGAGAAAGAGGCGGCGAAGGCCAAGGACGCAAGCGTCGTGGTAGAAAACAACAAAAGCGGAGGAGCGGCCACATCGCAAAGTCTAACTGCTTTTTTGAAGGAACGCTGTGCTATAGGACCAAAAGAAGACTGTAGCTTTTCATGTTCTGAGATCTTCTGCGAGCTGGCTAATTTTTCAAGACTAGAGATAGATTTGTCAGAGTTTTGCAGCCGCAATCTGAGTACTAGAGGAAGTGACCACAGCGTGGATATCATCCAGGACCTTCGTCCTAACTTGCCTCACACAGGCGGAATTGTGTGGGAAACGAGCTACCTCCTCTGCTGGTACATGTTGGAAAAAGAACTCAACAAAGAACTTCTTAGCCATGATGGGACACGACCTACACCTGTGGTCCCTACTGAGTCACGACCCTCAACACTTGCAATAAATAAGAGTACAGCTACATCAGTGCTTGAACTGGGTGCGGGGTGTGGTTTTCTCGGGATAGCGTTGGCTAAAGCGCTTGGTGAGCGTGCTTCAGTGGTCCTAACCGAGTACGAAGGGGCCATGGACAATCTGAGAAAGAATGTCGCGTTGAACTTGAACCTTAATATAGAACAGGGGATGGACGAGGCACAGGATGAACAAAAGATTAAAAAGGATGTGGAGCACAAGGATGTCATGGATGAAGAAGAGACGCACAACAAGCACAAGCAAATCAAAAACAACATGGTTGCTCTTAACCTCGACTGGTGTACCGAAGCATTGACATTGAGTTTGGTGGAGGACGACAAGCATGGGGGAACTCCTGTGGCAAAAAGGCAACGAGTAGAAGAATCAGAAGCAACGAGTAGAAGTGCTGCTGCTTCATCTCCATTTGTTCAAAGAGTTCGGACCATTGTCAGGACGCTTCTTGGGGGAGAATCATCTCCAAGTTCCGCTGAGGAACAGGTGAATGCCGAGAAGGTGAAAAACAAGTCCAAAAAACGAAAACGGGAGACTACAGCAGAACATCAAGATGAAGCGAGTAAATTAGAAAGAACACTTCCTGCGCCTGCCCAGTCACCTCCACGAGCTTTGTTTGATTACATAGTCGCAACGGATGTGATATTCGATAAGAAACTTGTTGGTCCGCTTTTGGCTACATTACACCGACACGCACATGGCAAAACGCGGATATTTCTATGCGTACAAGAACGATGCCAGGAAGCCCATAGAGAATTTCTAAAGCGAGTTGGTAACTACTTTACCAAATGCAAAAGGGTGAATTTAGAGGAAGCTTTTGGAAATAATGTAGTTGGGGATGAAGAAGATGAGAGTAAGACGCAAGTTCTTGAAGGAGAAATATCATCTGAAAAAAGAAGTGCTTCAGCATCAAGTACTTCAGTATCTTCATCTTCTTCTAAAAAGCTGATGCCATACTTGCTTTCTCGTTGTTCTAGCGAACTGAGCTGCTTGATGTTTCGGATAACCAGACCGAAAAGCCTTCAAGAAAAAAGCATTTGATCCCGCCTTTAATCCGTCCCGATGGACACTAATTTACAACTCGGCAACATATTACACCAGTCAATCTTCTTTTTCAAGAGAAACGCATGTGTTCGACGCCCAATGCATAGCCGGCTGAGTTCCATTCGGTGAAAGTTATAGGTTTCGGAGAATCTCAAGTGATCTGTCTATGGCTCCTTCGGCCTGTTCCCGCCGTATTCATTTGCTAGAGGACGAGGAGATCTTTATATATAATCTCCTCTGGTGAGTAGCCGACGTGATCTTTCATAAAAAAGACATGTTAGGAATGAAATCTTCAACCAGAACCGCTCTACTTCTGAGTTCTGCCAACAAAAATTAGCGCTACTTCCATAGTACAACAGCTATCATGTTGAACAAGAATTATGGCTCAAAACGGTCGCCCTCGCCTTTTCAATTGCTTTCTTCTGAGTTGATGATTTTCTCATGTTGGTCTTGGAAAGAGAATGTACGGTCAAGTAGTACTTCTGCACGTCCTCTTTCTCCGGTACCACAGTTGTTGCGGCATTTTGCAACTAGTACTAGATTGAAGTGGAAGAAGAAAGTAGTAGTATTAAATTTTCCCTGTCTCAGTCTCCCTGTTTGTTCGTATATGCCTGGTATACTTTCCTCTTCATTGTCTTCTTTATTGTCCTCTTTCCCTTCACCCTTACTCTACCTTCTCTATTTGTTGAAAAATAAAGTCGTTGAAAAACACAAGAAGATGTTTCATCGTTCTTCGTCCACACCGTCCGGCGCTCAACGCCTTGAGCTGAATCACATCCATCAACAGGGTCAGCAACATCCTCAGCAACATCTCTTTGACTTTGGCCCTACCCAGATACCTCAACATTCCCAGCATCAAATTTGGATGCCACAACAGCAATTGCCTCAGCAGCATCCACACCTTCCTAGTGGTTCGAAGACCTTGGAACATACGCTTTCCACACCTGGGGGTACGCCTCTTCAGCATGCTCTTTCCACTCCGGCGGAGCAGTATAGCTTGTCTCCAGCAGGAGCTAGTCCTTCTATCATGTCGTGTCACGAAAGCGTTACACCGGGAGTCGCATCGACGAGAAACAGCCAGCATTCTGGTTCTTCAGGCGTGTCTGGGTCGAGACTGTTCTTCTTGGGAGGTCATCACCTACCGACACATGGCTCGTCATACGATCCTCAACAGCAGCATTTGAATATTATGAAAAGCTGAAAACGGATTTGTGGAAAAGTGATTATAACTACATGGCATGAGTTCACAATGAAATCTTGAATTGGATGAATAGAAAAGGATCGAATCTAAAAGGTCAAAACTCAGCATTCAAACTCTGTTACCTCTACTAGTACCTCTACAGGTGTTGTGAGAAAGGTACTATGTCTTCTAGAATACCCATCCTGAGGATGTGGTCTCCACCCGGTAACTCTAATGCCAGAACTTACACGGGCGGACCCGGTGCCCCAGGGTCGTTGCCAGCATCGCATTCGCATTCCTCATGGTTTCCGCCTTCCAGTTCCACGTTCGTCCCGATGTGGCATAGGTTGAGCAATAATAGTGCACCACAGCTGGCAGGGGCCACGCCATCTCATTCGTCAAAATCGTCTTCAGGGGCTCTTGTTTCGAGTAGTACGACTAGTGCTTCTGGGAACAACGCAAGTAGTAGTTGTACAATGAAGCAGAACAAGAGAGGACGGGGGAGAGGACTACCTCCTACACTCGGCGGTGGTGTATCTTCTTCACCAACTTCTAGCCCTTCTAGTTCTACAGCAACTTCTAAACAACAAGAACAACAACAGTTAGAAGAAGGTCCTAAATTACGTGTTGTGTCTTGGAATGTGTTGGCGGATGGGGACACTGGAGCCTTAAGCTGTAAGCATGACTATTGTCCACTCGAATTGCGCTTATGGAAGAAGGGAGGCTTGTTGCCAAAACACTTCAATCATGGAGCTGGTGTGGGTGGCTGTGGCAGTAGTATGCACGTGAATAATGGACTTGGCGGCGTTGGAGGTGGAGGAGCGAACGCCACAGCGAATAGCACACCTTGCTCTACTTCTGGGAATATGGAGCAACAGCATCAGTTTTTTCATCCATCAAGTGGAGGACAACATCACCATCAATATCCACCTACCGCTGGCGCAGGACAACTACAACATCAAGTACTAGATCCTAATTATATCCAGCATCTATGGAATCAGGTACCTGGCGGGGGCCGGCTTCATCGTGTCGTAAAGCGAATACGAGAATTGAATCCAGACCTTTTATGTTTGCAGGAGTGTCCGCGAGACTTCTTTGCTGATTTTCAAGTGGAACTCGCTAACGATTACAAGGGCTTTCACGTAGGAGATCATTTACCCGCGAAATTGCGATGGCCTGTGGGACGACCGCAGAATTTGGACAACGCCATCTTCGTGAAGAAATCTCTTTTGGTGGAAGTGGAGGAAGACGAGATTAGTTGTAAGGCGGGGGACCCTTTTGCTAAACTACAAGAACAAGAAGGTAAGAAAGACCAGCATGATAAAGAAGGTGTCGTGTCACCTGCAGCTGCGACCACGACGACGAATGAAGCAGTAGAAGAAGAAACTTGTTCACCAACTTCTTTATCTTAAGGCTTGAAGAAATTCATCTTCCCCAGCATCTTCTTTTCTTTTTGAAGGGAAAACTGGCACGATGATGCTCACCAAGATGGATTTCTGCAAGGTCTAATTATCTACTCGAAGAAGAGGGAGCTTGCCGTTGCCAAGTGGTTTTGGTAGAGACCACGAGACTTCCACTTCTAGGCGACAAAGCGAAGTTTCTGAGGACGCGGTAGCCAGCAAGAGGATATCAACATGCTCATCTTCTGGTACTGGACTCTCTGACAGCAAGCAAGACCAGAGCTATATTAAATCACCTGGGCCGACAGGAAATGCGGCACCCAATGTTGCCACCTCCCGAAGCCAACAGCATTTGACGAAGGTAAAATCGACGCCCGTGTCTACCTCATCCTCGGCGTCTTCATCCACAAGTTTAATTTGTACATCAACAGGAAGTAGTACAACTAGGATGAAATTGAATAGCACATCAGGCACGACTGCGAACAAGAACAAATTGGAGATCCGTGTTGAGAAAATAGGTTAAGGCTGACTAGTAATAGAAGAAAAATATAAACATGAAAATCTATCAATTATTTAACTTTTGAATTTCTTGATTGAAAAATCGCAATCCGAATGATGACAAACTTATCCCTGATGCACTTTACTGTGCGAGGAGGGGAAAACCAGATGCATACTACACGCTGAGAAACAAATTTGAATTCAAAGTAAATTCAACGCTCTAGTAAAGCAAATCAATGTGTAAAAAGTGACCTTGACCACTGAGATGACGCTTGCATCATACTGTATTTGTATATAAGGATGCTACTAGTATTATGTTGTGAGTCGGTCCTTCTCTTTTTGAATGACTCGTCAGCTTCTCCTTCTTAGTTATAAAGATAGATTGTCACTTCCACAACTTTATATCTTCTTAGCGTTCTTCTACAAGTGCAGCAAATACACCGTCTTCCTCTAAGGCAAAGGCACCCTTTTTCGCGAGCGTCTAGGGCAACAGGAGAACCGCTATAGTGGAAAAACGCGCAAGAGGTTGCAGACGTTGGAAGAATCTTGCATCTGGATGCGCCTTACCATAAATGGAAAGTGGAGGGTGGTTCTAGGTAACTCCCATTTGTTTTGGGACCCTAGATACCCCCAAGCCAAAGCGTGTCAAGGGGAGATCTTTATCAACGTCATCGCAGAAGACACCATGGAATGGGCGAGGGAAATACTGGCTCCTTTGGAGCAGGAGGAAGAGAAACCAGTAGAGGCCTCCAACGATCATACTACTACTACTAATACTAGTGAAGACAAGTTGCAAAACAAAAGCTTAAAAAAATCACCTGCTGCAGCTGCGAAGAAAGATCATATTGAGCAACCTGGTGGTTCCGACGTTCAGCAGACAATATCCAAAACCAGTAGCAGGCCAGATCAAGTCGGAGCTGTTTCACCAACTGATTCAGAGACTGCAGGAGGAGCCTCCTCGTCAAAGCCGCCTTCACATAAAAAAAAGAAAAACAAGAATCCAGCGAATAATCAGCCTAATTCTCCTCCAGGTGCAAAAGCAAATGTGTCTAATGGAGGTGACCCGTTTGCGCATAAGGTGGACCTCGATATGCTGCGTCGTGCGGGTATTAGCTTCATCTTTGCCGGTGACTGGAATACGATACCGAACTTTCAAGCCGATTTTTGCACTGAGGATGAAATTCATCGACTAGCTGCAGATCCGATTACCTGCGCCAAATTGTATGTCCCGAACACCAGGAGACCAACATCCTTGCCAGCTTGTTGCACTGAAGGTACTGTAGTAGGCGACTCAAGAGGTAGTGGTGAAGCAGCTAGTGGTGGAGGAGGCGCTGGAACAACTTTGTCAAATACAGCAACAATATCAACATCTACAACTAGTACAAGTACTGCAACTGCTGCTTCTGGCACAGCTAGTTCATCTTCCACCACCGGTAATGCTCCTCTTGAGAATAAGAGCAAGACAGGTAACGAAGAAAGCGATGCAGGAGGAAAAGCAAAGGAAAATGTAGTCACAGGGAGATACAAGACACCTCCTGTAGCTGTTGGAATAACAGGGCTTGAAGCCGATGAGCAAAGCCAAACAAATATAACAGCAGAAACTTCTAGTGGAACAGAAAAAGCGAACGAGAAAAAGCAGGAAACTGTTCCACCTGGTGGAATCTCTACTTGTGATTTTTCTCCGGTGTCCCGTGTAGAAGGAAGTACAGCTGAATCTTTTTGTGTTTCCGCGACCACGACCTGCACCACGACAGGAGGCGTGAATGTCAATACTCTGCTGACGCCTACTACCTCATCTTCAAGCACATCAAATGTGCATGCAGGAGGAGCTAGGGATGAGCACGAAGGCGATCAACAACATGAACATGCTTCTTCTATAGTTGCTCCTGATCATACTACAGATACTCCGGCCACGTCTACAACACCGTGCTCGCCTACTTCTTTTAAGACTCGTTTCCCTATAATTCATTATATTTACAAGCTACTGAATGTAGTGGGAGATAGCTGTGCAAGAGGTGCTTATTCAGCTATCCCTGGCCTCCTTGTGCCTCTGTGTTTTTTCTGGTTTCTTGAATTCGCTACTCTACCCTTTCTTCCCTGGTTTTTTCTGATAGTACATGATGGACGGCTTGCGCTTCACGTATTCTACCTCTAGATGTTTATTCTTACCTTCCAGCACTGTTCTCTCCGCTCCAAAGCTCATTTACATTTTATTTAGAAGCATCTTTGATACCCTGACTTTAGCGGGGAAAACACTTCATCAAAGACGACTATGACTTACTTCAGGAGGAATTTAGGTATCTGGAACGAGCACTAATTCTCCTACTTCCACTGCTGTGGTTCCCTTTGCGGTTGCAGCGGAGCACTTGTCGAAGCACATCCTTAGCGGAGCATTTCAGCTTTTCACGTCCGGTCGATTGGTCAACTTTCACCCTGAACATCCCGATCAATTCGGCAAGGCGCCTCAACCGCCTCGAGTAGGCAAAGCCGCTACTAAAAACCTTCCTCCGCAGATGGGGGACCTGCGTCTGCATCTAGGACCGCTGCAGAACTGCTATTCGGGTACTCACGCACTTCTCACCATGATACATAATAACTGAACTGTATCATTTTTCTCAACTATTACTTACATACTACATCAAAAAGGTGAACTGTATCATAATTTTTTTCAACTATAATTACATACTACATCAAAAATCCTATCCGCTCCCGCTCTTACTTGTTCCTTGATGTAGTTATCCTTATCCCGCATCCAGGTCCCGCTTTTTTCCCTCTCTTAACGACGAAGGTGGAAGGATTTGAAGGATGTTTGGACTATGTCTTTTATTGGTGTGGAGACCGTGACTATCTTGTGCGAGAGGCCCTGTTGGACGTGCCTTATACGAGTGAAAGCATGATTCCCAATGAGAAGCATCCATCAGACCATTATCCAGTAGGCGTCATATTTCGACTCTACAGAAGTACTTCGCATGGTGGTGGAGGTAGTGTTGCTGCTGAGAAGTAGATGAACAACAATAGACGAATATGATGTTGAATATTTATAGCAACTACTAAGCCTTCATGGCTTAACTCCAATTATCTGCTCTCTGTCGTATGTTGGTTTCGAAGTAGTAGTTCTAGTAACATGTGTGGTCGTGTATTACCACTACTTCTGCGAACAACGAATCGTGACATTGTCCTGTTGTGCCCCTGAAGTTTCTGGAGTAGACTTCACCATTAAATATTCCACACGAAAAGCATATCTTCTTCACACATTAACTGATCTTCAGTTTCAGTCTGCATCATTTCAGTTTAGCTAATTATCCACTTACACAGCTTACAACATGCTCAACATGGTCATCGGAAGCCTCATTCATATGATCGACTATTCTCATAGGATCTACTATAATATGGGATCTTCCGCAACATCCTTGTGAATTTCGAAATTCAATTTTTCTAACACTGTCTTTTATTAAGTGTTGAGAGCCAAAGTGACTCTGGTAGTAACTATGTGTGCATCAAATTACGTGTGAGAGCATCACAGAAAACTTTAATGCGTCCCCAACTTGTTTTTCTACCCTCCTACCTCTGACTTGTTGTACGTTACGAGATCATGAGTTCATGCTGAAGACTTTTTTTTTCCAGTGAAAGAATTTCGTACTAGTACAGCATTCATTTCTGCCTTTAGCTTTACTCCTTCAAACGCTTCGGAATTCTGTTGTCGCTGAAAATCAACAAGGAGTAGTACGACCAACAAGATCAGCTTTTCGCTCCACCTACTCGTCCCTGGGTTCTTGTTCAACATCAAATGGATCTAACACAAGTTGTATGATGAAGTAAAATGAAAGATCACACGTCGCGCATACTATTCACAACAAATAATAAGTAGAGAGGAACACGATCTTGTAGTACTGAAGACAGCTTCCTTGTTCTCACGCTCGCTCGATCTTCATCTAGGAAATTTTTCATTTTGAGCTCTTGGATCTTATTGATATTGAGCTCTTGGAAGATCATCGTGCTGTACTCTCCTGTTGGTATCTACGGGGTTGTAGGCTCTCAATCTCATACTCATTTCTTCATTCAAAGTTGAGTATTCTGATTTTTACATAACGCCACAGGACGGATGGGATCATCTGTTTCAAGTTGTAAAGCCAGTTGCACCGTGATGGAAGCATCAATATCTTCCATTCTTCTTGTTTTGCTATAGATTCGTAATTACTTCTTGTGCATATAATAATTCTAGTGGTTATTTTCCACTTCTCTCACATGATCTACTTCAGAGATCAGTGTATCAAACACGTAGAAAACGACGACATCCTCTTTGGACGACTCCCTCCAAACGACTTCTTCTTCTAAAAGACTGAAATAAAAATATCTCCAAGAACAACAAGATGGCAAAAATTCCTGGTGAAGCGGAAGTGGCCGTATTTGTCCTGATCCAGAAATGGTTTCTGGAACGGAGCCTGCCAAAAACGGGAGAAACTTGGAGAAAGGAGGTGGACAAGTTCTTCCTCGCACAGATTGCCCAAGATGTGGAAGGCGGACAGGAAATGATAGAGAAAGCGTTAGCTGACGACCAAAGTGGAGATTTGAAAGCATCACTCCTGCTCCCATGGGACACTCTTGTCCCACTTATGGTTGTGTCCTCTTCGGAGGAAGAAGAAGGGGCCGCTACCCCTATGCCGACATCAAACAAGCAAGAATCCTCAACAACATCTTCGAGTTCTTCAAGTGAAAAGAAGAAGAAGAACTCCTCAGAGGGGGATGCAGCAACAGCATCGACGTTGTTGAAGAAGATCATTGCTGTGAAAGAAGGGAACGTTGACGTTGTATCGAAAGACGTCGACCAAGAAGAACTCGTGGTGAAAGAAGTGGCAGCCTTTGTGGCGGCGCTTAGCGGAGCATCAGGATCGGGGAAAGCGCACAAGGCATGGAAAAAGGAGAGTCCGAAGGATGCTAGTAGTATAAAAACTGCCATATCTTCTGCTACACCTTCTACCTCGACGTCTGAAAATATACCCAGCTGCACATCTTCTGATGGCGCATTGTCAACTCAGTCTCTCGTAAGAAAAATGGAGAAATTCATCTCTACTTTGGAAGTAGTGGAGCAAACCACGTCGGCATCAAGTCCGACTTCATCGACTGCATCTACCTACGCGTCCAGCACAACATCAAAAGAGGAGGACGAGGAGCCAGAATGGCAACCGAAGCCTGAGTTTGAAGTGAAAAAAGTGCCCAAAGCCGAAAGACCGAAAGTCTCCCACATTGAGGTATTTTCCTATTTTTCAACTTGTTAGATGACTTTTGACCTGTGAAAAAAACAGAATTGGGAATTTTTAACCTCAATTCGATCATATACATAGAAGAGCATTTATTCGTCTTTCCTAGTGGTAGTACTTACACTAGTACCTGTGAAGAGCATCTTCTTCTACTTACTTTTTACGCATTTAGTAAAACTACACATCAATACATCATGAACAGTGCCGTGAGCAGAACCGAAGGCAGGACTGGGGGTCGTGGGCGAAGACCTTGGAAAACAAGGATGAGCGCCTGAAGAACGGGTTTCTTCGCACTGGCGACAGTTGGGGGGACAAGGCTTTCGAAGTCATGAGCAAAGTTAAGGGAAAAGCATTCGTGAAAGAAATGCAGAAGAAAAAGCGAGCTTCCTGGCGCGGAGGCGGTAACATCGATATGGGGGTGAACTCCGTCATGTTCTCGGATTCGGATTAGGGCAGTTGAAACCGACTCTGTTCATTTTACCTCAACATCAAGACGCAGGAAAGACCAGCTGCAGCACTTCTGATTTTTCTGCATCTTCAACTACTAAGTACTTGATGCCAACCTTCGTATAATTTCGTGGAAATGTCAAAATGAACAAGAAGGAAAGCAATTCTGCATTTTATTCAAACAATCTTTATCTCATACAAGAAGATGAAGATGATGTGAATGTGATAAATCCACCTACTCGCTGCAGCAACGTCCGACCCAGATTATACCCATAATTCCCATAAAAATGCTTCGTAACGTAACACCATTTATTTTCGACTGATGAGATTTGGAAATGATTCTTGTTCCTTAAACATGATGGAGATTCAATGAATTGCTTGGAACAGGCTGCTGCGTAAAGGTATTTCAATTTCTACTTCAAGAGCGAGAGCAGCCGCCAGAGATGAAAGTGTTTTTGAGAGAACAGCGCCGAGGACGAAAATAAGAGCTTTGTCATGAATAAAGAGACGCCTGAGAGAGTTGCAATTTTCTAATGTTTCACAGGAGTACTAAATAACGTAAATTTATTTTTCAATCAATGACTGAAGATGAAATGAATTGGATACAACTACAAATACCGTGAACGTGATCTGTATTTGATCTTCACTGACTAGTCGTAGTTGTTGTATACTTCACAAGTACTGTTTCTTCTCGTGGTCTTTCTGAGCGAAGAGCAAGAAGGCATCAATTATTTGTTCTCACTCCTTCAGTGCCTCGTCATCAAGAACAGCAACAAAAAGATGAAGAACACCTCTTCGAAAACGGAGGGTTGTCCTTGCTGCGAGGAACGGGTTGGCAAGCGTGGAGGTTTCCGCTTTCTGCTGAAAGGCGATGCTCCACCACTGGCATGCGAGGAATGCGTGATAGTGAAGGAGTTCCGGTACGATGCAGATCGATATCCTCCATTTGTCTGGCCGCGAAGCTCAGAGGCGGTCCGCACTGCTGTGGAGCAGGTAAAGGCTGCTACACATGCAACCTTGGACAAAGTTGCGGGTTTGGAGGACAAGGATGTGACCTTTGATACAGTGTTAAGACCACAACCAAAAGTACATCCTCCTCATACATTTTTTTTGACAAAAGCCGCCAAGGATCATGTTCTCATCAAGGAAGATGACTTCCTGCGGTTGTAGCTCTAAGAGAGGTCGCTCCGTTGATGGCTTTGCCCTGTTACAAGACAAATCCCTTGGTATGTCAGGCGAAGCATTTGCAGCATTGCAGTACCGACCCTGTAGTTCGTGAGGCAGCCGCGACGGCGTGTAGTGACCTCGCCAACCTCAAAAAAATCAGCAAGACACGAAAAGACGTCTACAAAAAGGTCCTCATTATAGTACGTGATGCTTGTTGTACTGTAACTGTAAGCAAATACTTCTCCTGGTGGTACTACTAGTCGTGAATGTGAAGTAGAACTACGAGGACGAGGACTTCTTGTTCTTTTTCAATTAAGAAGCCCGCTGCCGCGACCACGCTGCCTGTTCCCTCGCTGCCCGCCTCGTGAGTCTATCGAAAAAGAGTCTCAACCTGAACAGGGAATCGATATGACGAACAACTGGCCCGCGCCCGCGCTTTTGCCGCATCGCCCAAAGCGCCCGCGCCCAAAAACGCAGATCGTACTTTTGCCGTTTGAAGATTTTGAAGTTATTCTTTATCCCATTGTTAGTTTGCATTGGCAACATTTACGGGATTTTTCTTTCACGACTAAACACCTACCTAATCACCGTCTTGAGACACTAATTACCTGCTAGAGGTTCTATGTCGTGATATGGTTTCTTATTAGGTATTCGAATAAGACCTGCAACACGAAGCAAGGTGGTTGATCAAGGTACTTAGACTATACAAATAGAACATGATCATCTGCTTCTGAAAAATTGTCTTCACAGGTTCGACAATATGCGTCGACGGGTGATTTGAGCAGCCTCTCGGGATACCAAAGTTAAGAGGTCGTTAGACTCGGATCGTCATGCTCATCGTAGTTGGGGTACTAGGGCAATCCTACCCAAAAGCATACCACTTATGTCGTGGATTGTCGTTCTCATTCTAGTACTCTAATAAAAGCATTTCGTGGATTCCATATTGGGGATGTATGAGCGCGCAGGCCTAGGCCTTGGGGAGTCTGACGCTGCCGCCTTGTCTACGTTGCTCACTGACGACGCGCAGTGCTGTATTAAGTAGAGTTGCCAATCGACCTTGGTTGTGAGCTATATTCTATTTAAGCATATCTACCTCTCCGGCTATGCCTAGTATGACTTCTTCAATTTCGAGAAGAGAAGGCATGGAAATCATAGTTGAGATGCAGCAAAAACAAACAGATAGTCGTGATAGAGATTAGATCTTACCTGGCCAATCAGAAACCCCTTCTTCTATTTCTAATTGCAATGTTTATAAAAAGAACCTCGCGGAAGACAAGACGCAAGTCAAATTGACACCCGCTGAATTAGCTGGATGCGATCCAGACTGGATCAAGGAAAGGACATTATGTCACAATTAGTAGTGGTAAAAAACCTATCTCAGCTAGCGGTCATCTCAGCATGATCTGTGTAGAGTGGGCAATAGCAACCTATGTATCCTATCCTATCCTATGTTCAATCATTAGTTTCGGAAGTAGACTGACTTATTGATAATCCCGCTCTTCAATCATCAGTTTCGGCATGATTAGACGTATTTATTCTTGATAATCTGCCCGCTCTAGAACCCGCCTGACGGATCTAGAAAAGCCACCATTTACGCATCCATGATCACAATTCAATGAAACTAATGATTTGAAATGCTAGCACAACCACTTTGATCAATATTTACCGAGCAAGACTTACAACAACTACTTCGAGTTCGACTATTACTACTACCTCGACTGCGACTTCCTCTAAAGCAGGGCCAGGACAGTGTTGTCACTCTGACACTGAAGTACCCCGATGTTTTGCCTGTGCTGCAGAACTGTAGCGTTGGGAGTACACGAAAAAAGATTTCGATGGCTCGCGAAACAGCGTATCTATGGATGTAGTCTTTTTCCATCTATCAGATCAGACCATCTGGGTCTGGGTTCCCCTTTGAACGAGACACTTTTATTAAAGGGAACTTCATGAACCAGGGCCAGTCTAAGTAGACCATCGACAGCGCCGTTTTGAAAGTGTATACGTCTACCCAAAACTAAAGGGGCAGCCTAGACGGTCTACCTCTAGAAAAAGGAAAATCAAGCATCTACAACATTCATACTATGGTAACAATCTGGAGCAAGTAGCACTAGGGATCGGGTACAGGAAGAAGGCTGCTGCACTTCTGGGGTTTCATTCGTGGGCAGAATTTGTTACACAAATGAGAATGACAGGGTCTCCGCAGGTCGTAGAAAAGTTCCTCAGCGAAATCCGCGAGAAAGCGGCACCAGGAGCAAAGCGAGACTTGGAAAGGCTAACAGCGTTGATTACGTTCTTGGGAAAATGATAGTGATGACGAAGAAGATCAAGATGACGAGCATATTATAAGGTTGGAGTTGGTCCATGGTTGGCAACTAAAAAATAGACAATCGCTGCTGGTAGTCTTGTAACTAGAGAGACCGACACACACGCATGTTGTATTTAGTTTGTACTTACATGATCAAGACCTTCACCCGTCTAGGTCTACTAACGATCTCTCCACTTCTTCGAAGTACTACTTTTACCTCATGATCTCTACGCCTACAACGAAGGCTACTTCTTCATCTAAAGAAAAGCGTCGCGAGGCCGGTGACGAGAGCGCGAAACTCGAGGCATGGGATGTCAACTATTACCATAGCAAACTGCTGAAGGATGAATACGGCGTCGATCACGAAGCCATCCGGAAATATTTCTTAGGGGAAATAGTTAGAGAACCTAGAAGTAAACCTTACCCCATTCATAACCATGCCTACCACGATCTATGATTTAATTGCTCCTCAAAATGGAAGAAGGCGGCCATGATAGAGAACAACATGCATGGAGAACTACAATTAGATTGACAGCACTCAATAGGTTGGTATAGGAGAAAGGAAAGTAGCCCATGCATCTGTAGCGAGTAGAAACACAACAGGTGGTCAACAGAAATTCTTGGAAAGCAAAAGCTCTAACCTTCCCTGTCGACGTCGTGGTCAAAGGTACGTTAGAAATTTACCAGAGCTTGTTGTCGTTGAAGTTCACAGAGCTTCACGACTTCGACACCTGGCATGACGACGTCCGTCTTTTCGTGGTTCACGATACGAACTCAAGCGAACGCATATTATGTTTTGAGAATTTGGAAAAATAACAATTTAATGAACAAGAAAGTTGTAGTTGTTCTAGCGAGCGTTTCCTCTGAATATGTTATAATGATACGATTACAATGAAATCCATCACGCGCGTGGTGAGGAAGCGGGATCCATCCCGATCTTAGACATCAGGAGAAGATGGACATCACAACTCTAAGTTCTGGACATTTTTACTTGGATCTTCATCCTCGCGAAGGGAAGTATGGTCATGCGGCCATTTTCCATCTGCTGAAGCGGGACGAGGCAAGAGGTCAGACACCAGTGGATTGCATGTTGTGCAACTTACCTGCTCCAAACAAATCGACGGGACAACCAGCACTGCTGCGTCACGATGATGTTGTTACGGCTAGAAAATTCACATTTTTGAACAAGAATAACTAGAAGAAATTTACTCAATCAACAATAACTAGAAATACTCACTCTCTCATGCATATATTATAACATCGCACCGTACTACAGCCTACCGCAAGAAGAATGATTACCTCCGGTTAGTTTTCTCTCAATCACAATTTTTAACGATTGTTTCTTTTGTTGAGGGATCCTTCCTCATCCTAGGTTGATTTTCCCTCATGACTTCCCTCATCCCTTCATCCTAGGTTAGTCCCTCCAATCGATTACAGTTGTTTTTGTTGATTCATCCTCGCCAAGCGCAGCACTATCATAGTCTATGAAGATTATTTCCTCTTGCTGAGAACTTCGACTTGTTCCCAGCAGCCGACTAATTAGTTGTAGCTATTATACTTGTCGTTGTAGAGTATCATCATGTAAAGTCCAAGTACTACACCGTCACCTTCTAAACTTGTAACGTTTTTTCACGAATTTGGTCATATCATGCATGGATTGTGCGCCGAGGGGAGTGGCAACGCTACTACGCTAGCAAAGTGTCCTCGGGATTTCGTCGAAGCGCCATCGCAAATGCTAGAAAACTGGTGTTTTAACGAAAAAGTTCTCGCAAAGCTGTCAAAACATGTAGAGTTAAGGCGTGTGTGAGTGTATCGATAAGACGTGACGGCTATGCCAGCACTTCTGATTTTTTCTAATCATACTTGCAATAATTGTAATTCTCCAGGTAGAATTCACAGATGCATAAGTAAGGGACTGCTCAACCTCAAGCTCAAGTTCTTTGAAGACCTAGGGCGCTTGAGGAGGAACATCGAGAGCGTCGGGTTCACAAAGTTTTTTATCTAATACACACAGGCGAGAGTTTGCCACATGCTCAGATTGCGAATCTTCTTGCAGCCAAGAATGTCTCAGAAGGGCTGATGCTGTGTCGGCAGCTTTATCTAGCGACTTTGGACATGACGATTCATGGGACAGACCCACCGAAAAGTTATGCTCGGTAACTACTTTCATTTTAGTCTCGGTTAATAGAGTAAGAAGTAATCTCCTTCTTCAGAAACATACCATTTTAGCTCGTATTAATTACAGCCTGGTGTAGGTTGTTCTCGTTACAGCATACTTATGGTTTATGCTCCTTAATATGGAATGGCATGAAGAATTTGAATAATCAGATGAATGATCAAGGCGCGAAGCACACTGCGCTGCTGTTCTAAAGAAATGTTGACGAATTGCAGGCGCTCGTGGACCGGTTGAGGTTGGAAATTTCACTTGTAGAAAACCCGCCAGGATGCAACATGCTGCGAAACTTCGGACATCTCATGTTAAGTATCAGTACAACAAGAAGATGAACTAGAACTTCTTGATGAAGAGGAAGGTCAAGGTTCTTTAATATAGGTTTTTGCCTTCATCTCTACTTCTGAATTTCAGGCTAGGCAAAAACTTCCTTACGATATCTGCCTCACACCATCTCCATCTAAGACGAAACCAGTACTCTGCAGCTTATTATGGGTACTTGTGGGCTGAAGTGCTGTCTGCAGACATGTTTGCGACGATTTTTGAGAAGGATCCGTTTTGTACCGAAGCAGGCATGGCGTATCGAAAAAAGGTGCTTGCGCCAGGTGGCGTCGGAAAAATCAGCGAGCACCTAGAGAATTTCCTCGGCCACAAGCCGACGCAAGAACCCTTCCTGAAATCGAGAGGGATACTTGTTGTGTAAAAGACGAGAACATGTATCTATAGAAATATGAAAGCAAACAAGAAACCATTTTTTAAGACACCCTGTGAGTGTAAGAATATAGAAGTTGATTCGCCTCCTACACCTACTCGACGGTTGCTTAAGGTGAAGGCGAGACCCTTACTTTGCCGGAGTCGGCGCACTAATATGTGACCCAACTTTTACAGTTGCAAAAACGATGCACGAGAGACATGATATGAAAAAAGCCAGATAGTTACCTCCATAGAAACCAGTGAATTGATCTTGATGCTTCCAGCAAAAAAACGCGGTACAGAAAGCGGAACAATCAGATCTTGTACAACTTCGTAACTTGTTCTTCCCTAACAATAAACCCCTCGTCGATCTCCTTGATCTTGATGTACTCATTTTCTAAACGCATTCTCGATCCCAACACAGAAGGAGAAACAGAATATGATCATTGACTCTTCAATAAAGATCATGGCAGGGGGAAACTCGTGAGACGTTTTCTTACTTCACTCAGCAGTGGTGACCATGTGGTTTTTTCCTTCCAAGTCATCTACAAATAACTCGGCACGAACACCGGCCGCTTGATCAAGAACATGTCTTCCGCCTCGCCTTATCGTCCATGTGAGAGTCCTGAACATGCACCAGAACAGCCGCAGAATCAGGACCACGATGATATCAACGTTGCTGCATCTGCAGTGTCCGCATCAAGAGAGGACGTTGTTTCATCCGCACCAGATCCTGGGACAAATACAGATACACTCGCTGATGGGCATCAGCCATCAAAAGACAGGAATCATAAGGGCAAGAGCCGTCGTGGTAAAAGAGGGAACAAGAAAGGACACCGAAATAAGCCTCATATTTTTACGAATGCGTCGTCTGCGAACAAAGGGAATCATGACAGTTTAGATCTATTTGACGTGCAGGAAGACTCCACATACGCTTTCACGAAAGGCAAAGGAGGTAAAACAGGACAAGAACGAGGAAAGCGGCGGAAAGGTCAAAAGCGAAAAGGTTTTACTTACAACGACGATCCTGCCCACGAGGACGAGAACAGAACTAGATTATTTTCTCCTGCAGCGCGCGTCGGCCCACCGAGACGAGATGCTCTTAATGGAGGCACGCGCACGATACAAGATGAACGAGATCGACAACAACATGATCCTACTCAACATGGTGTTCATGACGAGGACGTTGAGGTTGACGTAGTCGCAGAGAGACTTGCCGACCTTAGCGTTTCGTCAAGTACTTTTAGGCCACCACATGAGACGAGTTCGACGAGACCCGAAACTACTGTTGTGGCTGCTCGACGCATGATACTTGGTTCGCTCGGGATAGGCTTACGCGCTGACCACCGTGCAGAAGAAAGAACTTTTTGGGCACGGAAAGGATCACATCAACCGGGCAAGGGTCCCACTGCTCGGACCGACGTTCACCTTGATAGCTTTAGCAACAATGCGAAAGATGGTGGGTCGACTTGGACGCTTAGCAATGCGAGAGATGAGACTGGGGACTCTGGAAAATCAAAAAAAGGGGGCTTGAGAAGCAGTGCGAAAGATAGTTTTAGAAGCAAAAAAGCGGATCAGCACCAAGGAAATGGAAAGCATGATTGGTCCTCAACACCAGCTAATTATATGGGATCTCACATGGAAAAGGGAAAGGGCAAACAAGCTGACCATCAAGGGAAAGCAATCCGGTATGGTATGGACCAAGGGAAATCCGATTACACTCCGAATTCTTCGAAATGATAGATCCGTCCTACTGACGAACGATGGCATGGATCAGTTCTATTGACGGTGAACGATTGGATATGCTCATGCGGATGCAAAGAAGTACTGGCGACGAACGAAAGTTCTTACCTCTATTTGGATATGTTATGAGGTCGTGCTGGAGAGCGTGGAGAAGGGCTAGATGATTGACCTGAGCCAGTCGCAGTACGCTGTTTCCACCAGTAATGATACACATTCCAGTGGGTTTAATATGAAAGAAGCGTGGTCTACTTCAAAATAAATGACAGATCATGAATTGGGGAGGACGATCCAAACTTCATCGAGTTTTCACTCGTTCTCTTTCAGTGTGCACAGTTTTATTCTTGGAAGTTCCGGCAGGACCAGGAGTAACAGTAAGCTTGTTTTATCGATGACAATAGGGCGCCCAGCAAGGCAAACACGTGTCACGTTGACGTATTTCCTTAATCGTGGTGGTGTCTGGTAAAGAAGCAAGCTCAAGCATCTGTCACTGTCTCCGTGTAGGCTGCACGACCAGCTGCAACTGCAGATATGCAAGATGATGCTTTATCCTTCGTCATGGATGTTGATCATCGGTTTTGTCAAACTGCTCTTACGAAAGCTGTGTCGAAGATACCAATCAGTGCTGTCGGAACTAGAAGTTCGAAGATGGTTGAACTCCACGTCCCCTCTTTCAACAAAAAAGAAGCGATCGTAATATAGACACATCAATATACAACTGAGCGGTATTATACTATGGAAAGTCGTCGAACGTCATAAGTAAAGTCTGATTACCGACGTTCTGTTTGTTTAGACTTTCTTGATTATCTTCTGTCTTGTTTGCAATTCTGCGCTGTAACTAGTAGTAGTTGTAAGAAGCTGTATTTCGTTCAATTGCCGTAATATTGTTACAATTCATCTCATACTTACATGGATGTTGTTCTTGTCTTTAATATCGACCACCAAATAAGAAGAATTTGAATTACAGCATATTTTTATAACAGATTTAGGACAACAACCACAACAACAACAATCTATCAAGTAAGTACAAGTTCTGAACTACAAAAAATGAACAAGTCATCTTCCTCTTCGTCGTTTGCCGGATTCTCATCCTGGCCTTCGTCCGGCTTGCTGCAGCAGATTTCGAAGTTGAACAAGCGTCGCAATGTTGCGCAATGCAATAACAGCAATCGAGCGGAAGACACACTCAAGCCGATAGGCGAAGGCGAGTTCCGGACTGTTACTCTTGTTATGCTTTCAGGTCACACACCAGATCAGATGATACGTAATGTAGTCACGCGTGGAATAGGAACAGAAAAAGGAGCTTGCAGCCCGAGGGGCAGTCGATGGGGACTAAAACTAGTAAACTGTCGCCGGGGACTGATAGTACTGGTGAAAATTATTGCCTAAGGTTACTTAACTCTCTAATCACTGCCGCTACACTGAGGGCCCGAGACAGGGAGAAAAGTGCGCAATGAAAAGATTTAAAAGCGGGAGTGCCGTGTACGAGGCAGCATTCTTCAAGGCTGACATTCTGGCATGCGACAAAGCGGTCTCGGTCATTCGGTGGCGACTTCATGCAGCACGTGGACAATGTCGCGCCCGGCGTCACGATAAAAGCCAGGCGTTTGGGAGTTGTGTTCAGAAGACGGGGTCTTCTCGTTCTCGACGTACACCTACTGACGTGATCCTAGTTTGCGAGAAAGCTCAAAGTTAGGACTACCCTAGTACTTTTCCTCTTTCAAGAAAAAAACACATCCTAGTGCAACTCGCCTCCTCCACCAACATTTTTATGCGATCATCTTCTTCTAGGTTTCATTTATCGGGTGGCAAGTTGGTACTGTGCGACTTACAGGGAGGCCGAGACAATCGGGGGAATTATGTGCTATCCGATGTGGTTATCTGTTCAGAAGCGCGCGAGTACGGTGCAACTGATCTGGGGGCAGATGGAGTTAGCAACTTCATGCACTGGCATCAATGCAACGAGTACTGTCGCTGGGATTGGCTAAAGTGCAAGAGTGCACAGATGCACTTCAATGCCACTTTATGCCCCTAGCCAGATACTTACTTATATATAATTAATAGAGAGGCACTATCGAGCCTCTGCCTCTAGGAGTACGAGTTCGAGTATTCATGTATTCATTCTATACGGTATTACGACAACTACGCGACCACGTCCACGACGGACGTGGTAGTGCGAACTTCCAATACTAGTCAGCCGCGTGGTTCGTTTTACCCCTGCGCTTGAAATAGCCTTGCTTAAATTTCATGCATTCTGGATTTTTTGACAAGGGTTTAGGGTTCTTTAGTAATATCAGAAGACCTCTCTTGAGACCTCTCTTCAGACCTCCACCAAGAACTTCTCCAGACCTTTCTTCAACATACTTAGTCATGTGAAAAAAGACAAAACTGCCCACTTCATATTTGATGACGACGACGATGGATGGCATTTTTGGTGATTATGCAGCTGCTTGTAACGCGGTCGGCCCGACTCTTACGGATAATTATACCGCAGGGCCAGGGGAGCCACAAGGTGCAGCTGCTGGCGCTTCATCTGCTGCTACGCATACCGCAGTGGAGCCGCAAGAAGGTTCAGCTCCTGCTGCGCCTGCCGCGCCAAAGCTCAAGTTCTGCACAAATTGCGACCGGTATCACCGCGTGGGCACAATTTGCACACGTACTAACGCTTCATCGAGTTGGGTTTTCTGTCAGCACGGATGCGGGGTGCGTCATAAACCAGACACACAGTGTCCGAAAACGAGAAAAAAGATTAGCGACGACTGGGTATAATTGCGAACGGTGTTACTATTAACGGAGCGGAGTAAATACATAGCTGCAGTGTTGTGATTAAGTCGCTTCCTTTGAAGTTATTGATGTCTCTTCGGAGAAGTTCATGTTCATCATCTTCAAGATCAGGACGACCCTCTTCCTCCCCTACTGTTCCACATCAGATACACTGCCAGGATTGTTATTGTCGACATCGTCCCGAGACTGTCTGTCCGAAAAAGCGGAAAAAAATTTCAGAAGACTGGGTATATTCGTCTCTGCTATTGCTTTACCATTTTCTTAGTTTTTATCCTCACGTCAGGGTCAGATTAGCACTACATATTTTTAGGAATAGTTAATATTTTTGATCTTGTTCTTTTTCCAGGTAAACAATAGCTCTACTACTTATATATTTTTTATACATGTTTGTAGTTGTACAAATTGTTGTAGATGATAAAACAAGATAATATCGGTAATTAAATCAGCCAACATCGACATCATGATCTTTAGGTGGTATGCCAGTTTGGATGTGGCGTCTGGAAGCACAGACCCGGAACGATATGCAGAAAGGCTCCCAAGCGACAGAAGATGGACCAGGCGGGATCGGTCGAATGAGTCGACCGCAAAAGAAGTGGCAGACAGCGAGAAGATGGTCGAGACATGCTTCCTCTGATGCCCTTCATAGACTCTTGATAAAGATGAACGTTGTACTAGAAACTCGTGGTTTTATCCTGCTGATCGGGCCACAGATTTTTACGTGGTGCAGCTTCACTCACCAGTGTCTAGACTTCTTCATTACGTCAATGATTGAAGCTAACTACTTTATTGAGCAAGAGTACTAGTTCGGAGCTAGATCTAGATGAAGTTGGAGGTAAAAGTAAGTACTAGGAGTAGCACCGTACTTAATTATAAACAAAGATGTTGAAAAATACTTTGCCCGATAAAATAATTCGTATCCCCTCCGCAGTGATCTTCTTATGATTTTTTGTCAAGTAGAAAGTGCGTCTTCGTGTGAACTATCATGTCAGATTATGAAACAAAGAGACGTGTATCACGCTCTACCATCCCCTTCTTCTTTCAAGATCAAGATTAGACTCCCTGGGTTCCGTTTATTCTTCAAAACTACTCTTAATATATGAAGAACATGTTGATGTTGTAGGTGGTTCATCCACCATCAATTCTTTCTACAACTCCATAACTAGAGACTAGACGACAGCCCCGAAGAACTCGAGCTAGAGCTTAGAGAAAACTACTATGCAGTGTGCTAGAATAGCATAGCACAACTAGAATTAAAGCGAAATAGATTCTCTTTTCCGGTGATCATGAGCTAAGCGTCCTTGTGCGTTTCGTATCCCCGGAGCTAAGCGTCCCCTCTATAGATATAGAATACTGTACTTGTAACTTCTGCTGTTTCTTTCCCCTTGATGTAGCAAGGCTCTTGCTCGCACTGTGCGAGAACTGTCTAAGGCGCCACGACGGATGATGCACGTGTCGTGCTGCAGCATCCGTCTACAGCACTTGATCGAGCACGAGGACTTGATGAAAACAAAGATTCTAACGAAGGAGTCATCGTCTTGTACCAGGATCGTCCTCGTCGTGGATAAGGAGTCCACCGGTACTTGTACCACATGCTAAGCTGATTAAATCAAAGATCGAAGTTGATTTATTTAATGCCTTGTTCCCCCAAGACCCCACAGATATAATTACGTTGCCTAGCCTTAATATAACCTTATCTACTTACGTACTTTACGCCCGTCGATACTCTGTAAGAACAGATGAAGATAGCCAACATCAAAAAAAGGATCTATGCCATCCATGGTCGTTACGATTTCGTGATTGTCGTAAGCAAAAGTCTAACAAACTACTAGTTGTGAAACTTCTTAGTTAGAATACGCATGATCAATCTCGACTTGATGGTTCTCGTTCTTGACCATTTTTTTGATATGATTTTTTTTTGAATTGCTACCTACCTGCCCACAACGGCCCTAAGAATTTGATGCTTTGGCATTTGATAGCTACATTAGTCATAATTGCGAGCCAATTTGAGCCTGTTACTTTTCGTAGTGCACCACGCTCATGTAGTCCATCTACTTGATGTTGAATAAAGATTAGACGACCCCGACCGAGGCATAAGGAATATTAACTACAACAATGGCAGATCCCTCCGATGCCGCAGGAGGTTCCTCGTGGTTCCCATTCTTGTTCTCGAGAACCCAGGAGGGAAATCGTGCTTCTGGGAGAGGGTCCGAAAGAAGCCAACTAAATGCGGTGAGCTATTTTGCACGCGGTGGACCAGGTGCCGCTCCGCTAATCAACGAAGATTCTCCTACTCGTGGCTTGGTGGTTCGACCTGGTTCGACGACCACCGTGCCTTCTCCTGCTGCTGGTGGTAATACTACTGTCGCCGCGGCAGGACCAGCTGGTCATGTTGATTCGACAGCAAGAGGACCTCCACCTGGTGCGACGCCACTGTTGTCACCAAGTAATCCAAATAGTGTTGGACATGGAGAAGTACTACAACAACCAGAAGCTGCTCGTCCTCCTACTAGTCCTGACGGGGCGCGAAGCAGCACGACTCCGCAATGGCGCGAACTTACACGTTTGAACGGTATGCGACCCTCTGGCCCTGAGGGATTGCTGGTGGCAGACATGAGCAGTCCCTACTACGTACCTGCGAATCCAGTAGTGTTACCTACTAGTGCACCAGGTGCTGGCATGGGAAATAATGTGAATGTTGCGCAACTTAAGGCTTCACCACTGTGCTGGGTTTACTGGAATGAAGAGGGCTGGGTTTACTTACAAGAGATCCAACAAGTCGTTTAGTCGAGGGAGAAAATTGAAAACCTTTTATTTAATTTTAAAGGAGTAAAAGTAACTAAGTACAACTCATCTATTTTTACTCTGTATTTGAGAGGTATTCGTGTATGTCTACGTGTTTCAAATACACGGATTGATCATTCAATAGTCATCAGGACCACGAAGTCCTCAACACTTTCTGTCGCATCTAAGAAACCCGTTGGCTACGTCCTCACGAGGCCTCAAGTACGAGCTCCATATGGCGGACCAACATTGCTGTATAATTACGACAGCGGCAGCCTCATTCCCCACCAAAGCCCCAGCTGGCAAGTGCACGGGCTCACTGTCTGGTGTCGAATGCAACAACTGCCTGTTACTGTCTGGGTTTTGGCGTATACTTACTCCATAATTCTATACATAGATACATAGTTTACGAACCAGCCTGAAGATCTTACTCCACGCTCCTATTTGCAGGATCTTCTGCGTGTTCTGCTCTTGATCTTGTCCATTTTTGTTTAGGAACTTCATCTAGACGACCTAGAAGTTATTGAGAAACTTCATCTTCTTCTACACGACCCAGTGGTCCTAGAAGGTGCTTAGATGAAGGAACTATTATTTGCCAAACGAGAATAATTTTCTTTGTGTACAACACTACAGTGACACCTCGACGAGTTTGCCTGGAGAGCGTGGGTGGCCTGTGACGCAGGAAATGCGGACGTTGGGTGAAGGAAGACACGTCCGAGTCGAAACTGGTCATTTGCCTCCACCCAATACGTTTTTCCATCGATTGAGGATACCACAGAGTATCAAAAGAAGTGCCATCGCGAAAAGTGGCTACATCGAAGTGTGCACCTTTTTGGATTACTTCAGCATTGTACTTCATCGATGGACGACACGCTGCAAGCAGCGACGGTTTCCACCACGGTTGTCCTTGATATGCCATGTTTTCCGTGTTTTTCTCGTCTTGCTGGACTGGCTCACGGGTGGAGGCGTATTTGGCGGCGGGAAAAGCAGTATTTTGCCGACTGGGAATGTTGAAAGTAGTGGAAGCACCACTGGAGGATCTTCTTCTCCAAGAACAAGAAACAACTACAATGAGAACAAGATATCCACCTCCAGCAGTTCTAGTTGTTCTAGTTCTAGATCATGTGGGCTCTCATTCGAGGAAGCCGAACGAGAGTTGCCTCAAGTGAACTACAGAGAAGTGCCTTTGCTTCCGACAACGCGAAGTTTTGAGCACTTTGATGTGTATCCAGGACACGACCAAGTATTCTCAAGGTCACCTTTGAATTGCAGGTTTCTGGCTGAGAAACGCCTTGCTTCTACTTCTGGTGGAGGTCGAGGTGGACACACGAGTAGAATAAATAAGATGACACAAGCTACAGCTGCACGCTTAGTCCAAGGAAGCGGTTTGATCAATCAAGACGATGCTTCGCATAAGCTCGTGAATCAAATGCATGGTGGAGGTCAAGGAGTGTCATCTCCAAGTCAAAAGAGCAGGACAAGGACTAGGCGATCGATGAATAGTCCACCACGAAACTATGCCTACTACGATTATGCTAATGCCAGAACAGGGACCACAGGGGGATCTTCTTCATCATCTGCGATAGGCCCATCGGGTTCTGGACCATCCAATCATGGAGGCGCACCAGAAGCACTTCTTACTACCGACGTTTTAGGAACGATTCATGAGAATGCTGCATTTGTGCCTGAAGATCTCCAGTGGCGTCGGCATGACGTCCAGTTGCGACAACACTTCAATGAACTACACCTATGCTTGCCGCAGTCCGATCTCGCTCGTATCGATGGACGATTTGCCGCAAATGAACCGACCATCCCACATCAGAGAAGGCCGCTGCCGACAGCCGCCGCAACCGCTGAAGCAGAAGGTAGATCGCCAGAGCTAGAAGATGATTACGACGTTTTTCTCCACGACGCGGTGCACGCGCGGGATATCACGGGGCGAACGGGCTACGACTTGTCGGATACGTTTGTTAGAGAACTGATTTCGACGTTCTTCCGCAATCAAATGTTGAGACTCAACTCTGGCTTGTCGCATCTCGGAAATAACGCTGCTGGGATTGCGATGAGAGCAAGGGCACTAGAGAGGATGGAACAAGCTACAGACGTCCTCTATGGACCGGTGGCTCAACAAGAAGGTTCCGTACAGGATGAGCCATCATCTTCTAGTAATCTCGTAGGAGGAGGTGGATCATCCTCCTTTCAGGAAGTAGATCCGCAAGTTTCTGCAGGTCTCGGAGTAGTCAGTCCTGGTCTTCGATCCCCTTCTCCGCGACGCGGAGGTATGAGGGGAAGTAGCAATCGGGGAGCAGCATCTGCTAATCATTACGTGGCAACAGGAGGACGTCCTCCTCCTCCAACAAGAACAAATGCAGTAAATCTACCAACTTCTATCAATGCCACGACGAACAGCACAGGACCTTCTTCTTCGAGAACAGCAGTTCCTTCTAGATCTCGTTCTCGTCTAGACATAATAGCAGAAGAAAGGGGCTTTGATGACAGCACATCGAGAACTTCTACTTATACTGCAAAAGCAAAACATAAACAAGGAGCACGTGGAGGTGCTGGCCGTGTCCCGCTCAGAATCCACCATCCGGAGGCAGACGTCTATAGCTTTCGACTCGACCAGACTCCACACTTCGTCCTTGGTGCACATCCACCGCGTTATGCTCGCATCGATTACCTAGTGCGAAACGCTGGTCCTGATCCAGGTGCACCTTCGCGGGTTATCGTGAACACGGGACGGTCAATACCAAGGCCAGGAGGGACGATGGCATCTACTTCTAGTAGCATCTCGTCTACAACGGAAGCACAGGGTCAGGGTGGCAGTGGTGAAAGCATCGACCCTGCTCCGAATGTAGCAGCGAGTACAACTCCCACTAACTACACAGGAACAGCAGGGCACAACTACGATGAACAAACTGGCACACCTGACAGAACAGGAGATGATGCAGCTGGAGCTGGTGTCAGAGACTCATCTATGACCGTGGGGGAGATGGCAGCGGCTGTGGCGCAGGAATTAGAGTTGGACCCTGTGGTCGTTGATTTAGGTCCAGCTGCCAACGAGGACGAACTCACTCCGGAAGATGAAGGAGGGATACCATTTTCGTCCAATGGAGGTGGATCAGGGCATGCTCAACAGAGACGTCGTGCGAGAGCAACAATGCTTACAAGGCCTGAAGCCGGTAGAAGAAGTACTATAATAGAAGGACGAGATTCTCTTTTTCATTTTCGCGGCCTGGAGGGTTCTTCATCTCCAGGTGCCTTGCCAACAGGAGCCGGCCCACCTCCATCAGCCTCATCCTCCAAACAAGTAAAAATACCCACCGCACCAGCAGAGACCACTACCTCTCCAACTAGAAGACCCCCTCGTCGTCGTCCTTTCCGACGTCGTCTAAATAGTGATCCTATCCCAGCAGTTCCGACTTTCATGAACTTCGTCGACGCAGTATGGACCGCGAGACCTCAAGCATTGAATTGGAGTGACGTCATCGGGATTTGGAATCGCAGACAGCAAAGATTGCGGGAAGTCAGGTACCGAAGGGAAGCAGACAGGTTTGTGCAGAGTGACAAGAACAATATTAAGGCTCAGCTTTCAATGGTCATAGGGGTTGGTCACTGAGATCGAAGAAGCGACCCCTTTAGAGAACAGGGGAAAAGGAAGGGAAAGGGGAGAGCTTTGAAGGGGGTCGCTTCAGTTCAGCATCAGTGACCATTGAATGGCGCGCTTTAACAATAGGAGCAGCACCGGTGCTGGATACATTAATGATAGTCAATCTACTTCTCAACATCAAAATCTATTTCCGAGAACGCAATATGGAGGAAGTAGTTCTTCGTCATGCGGAGCCCTATTTTCTCACGAGTTCGACAGACCTAATGCAGAACAGATGCGAGCAACTTCGTGGCGACGACAGGCATATTACGGAGAAGGAGAGGAGGTGAATCCACGTGGAGTCTTCTACAATCCCGTTGCTGATCCTAGACATCCGGTCTTGTCGTCTTCTATGAATGTGGCTGGTACTGCCGAGACTCATGGAGCAGGAGCAGGAGTTCCGTCTTTAGGAGCTTCGCCACAACAAGCGCAGACTTCTCAGACAGGACATTCTGGGGGCGGTTCATCTTTTCCCGAACAAAAAGATGCAGCATCCGATGCTACCCGTTCGAGAGGTTTGCTCGTGAGCCAGGGTGGTTCGTCAGCGGATCAGGAGGAAGGTAGCAATATGGAAATGTTAGAAGGAGCTATGACAACGGCCACGCCTGCTGCATTTTCCTCGATTGCTGAGGCCGACGCGCGATCTGCGCCCTCAAGACGACATTTGACGCCTAGCGAGTCGGCGGCTATTCATCCCAGCCCTGCTCCGGGTGGAGGCGGTGGGAATATCAATCGTGGGGCCTCGTCGTCTTCTAGAGGTGGGCAGGTAACTTTTGTAGAGGGAAATGAGATCCAAGTTCGTGATGGAACAAATTTGGCACAAAATGGCGATGATGGAAACTTGGTTCCTCCAGACGAGGCTGATGAAAGTGAAGATGCTCGTGAAGTTGGGGATGACGACGAGATCGCTGTAGAGGTCCAGGGAAGTGGCCAAGACGGTGGCGGAGGATTTGCGGATGATCATACTCTATCGTTGCATGCGGAAACGATAGAAGCTCTCGTACGAAAGATCTCAGACGAACGCCGAGCTCCTTTCATCTCTCCCCGTTGCGATCCGTCCTCGCAACTCACTTTTTTCCTCGTTTTCCTCCTCTGTTTCGCGTTCAGTGCTGCAGGACCATTCGTCGGATTGCTGTCCTTCCTCTTCTGGCATGTGGAAGCCACCATGGATCCAGTTGCAGACCGGGAGGGCATAGCAGAAAGCTACTTTCTGCTCAACTTTCTAGTCTTGTTTTTCGGACGAACGTTAGCGTCCTGGGTCTGCTTTTACGAAATGTCGAGGATCGTCTTGCAGCGGGGATGGGAATACAAGACGGCTCTGTTGGACCCAGAACAGCAAGAAAAACGGAAGCTCTTTGCTGGAGCTGGTGCGGCAGGAAAAACCTTTCCTGAGGCTGGGATTCAAATGGGAGACAAAATAACTGGATCAGGAGAAGCGAACGACACTGGGTCATCTTCTCATTCTCTAGGAGGATGTGGACGAGGAGCAGTAATGGGAACCCTTGGAGGTCTTGGAAGTGGTTTTACATACATACCATTGTTAGAACAAAGCCAGCAAGGGCAGGAGTTGGCTTCGCCAACTTCGAGATCTACTTCCTCTTCTAGTATCCTTTTGCGTCCAGAGCCTCCAAACCCTCTAGACTTGGTCGATGGGACGATTGTGCCAGGCGAAGTGACGTCCTTGTACTTCAAGCTGCTCTGCTACGTTCGCATTATATGCAGTGCTGAAGTTAAGAATACATCATCTTCATAATCTTGTAGAGCATGTACTATTAAAGCCGATGTTGTTGCATAATGTTCATTTTGATTTGCTCACTGACGCCTCGTCAGGTTGATGAACAAGAGAGCAAACTGAATAAAGAACATACATTGATTTGGTAAGAATAAGAAACGCTCTTGATGTTGTAGAAGCACCTCCTTCCTTGTTCACAACTCCTGCTATGTATGCCCCCTCTAATAACAGCGTGGGTCAGCTAATCGCGACCTACTACTTGTCGTTCGTCCTCTTTTCCTTTTCGCAGTGCGACTCGGTCGTGTACTGGACGTGCCTCCCTCTGCTGATTTACTACGGTGCGCAGCCGTACGTCATGCTCTTTCTCTTCCTATGGCTTTTCCTCACGTTCTGGTTTGCCTACGTGTGGATCGTGCTCCTCGACTTTTCGGGTGGACCTTTCTTGCAGGGTCTGTTGTCGCTTTTTGTGGTCACGGAGACGCCGAATACTAGCTCGATTGAAAAAGACGTGTTGAAAAAAATTCCAGTGCGGCTTTATTCCGATGTTGTGCGTGATTTCCCGAGAGACATGCAAGAGGAAGTAGCGCGAGTAAGGCGCCAACGCAGCTCATCGGGTGCGGGGAGCAAGAGACCATCGAAGGAGTCGACGATAATCTGCTTATGAGGAGAACTTGTGCTGCTCCTGCTACTTAGTTGGATTAAGTTGTAAAAGATCAAAATGAATTAGACTGCTAGCCTTTATCAGAAAAGTAGCTGTAATAACATTTTACATCATCAACTACTAAAATGATTTTTTTGAATGACTGACAACTACGCCACATGATGTCAACATCATGATGTTGATCATGCTTCTTCTAATCTCTCCTCCCGTAGGAACATCAAGCAGCAATGTCGTGGTTCCTGATTTGCAGAGACAAGTATCTGGTGGCCTGTCCAATGCAGCACTTCCACCTGGAGAGAATCTAGAACCTGGTCCAGCCACACAGTGTAGTATCTGTTTCACGGAGTTCGAGGAGAATGATTACGTTATCCAATCTCCGTGCTTTGCCTACCATGTTTTTCATCCGGAGTGTATAACCGATTGGTGGAGACAGAGCAGGCTTTGCCCGTTGTGTCGGACAGACATACCAGAAAAGGTGACTGGGCACAAGTTTCGTCGCGGTTATCGATGGCGATTTGCAGCGGCAGGCAATGCTGGTGGAGAACAACAAGGCGGAGGAGAGGGTCCACAAACCGGTGCTGGTGTTGATACGGGAGTTGAAGGAGGTCGCGATGCTGGTCTCGTCCACGACAACAGAGACGGAGATGCTCCTGCATTTGCTAACGTTACAACCAACTTCAATGTAGCGTCAGGAGGAGCAAATGATGGTGCAATTGCTGATACGCCAGGTGACTATGATGAAGATCCGTATCAACCAGGTCCAGTGGAGGTAGTGCTGAACATGCCGATCAACGAGGCGGTGATGGAAGGATGAAGATCTCGGAGAAAACAGAAAACCATACGTACTTACATCAGATGAACTCCAAGTCCAATGTGATTTTCTCAGATCATTACGAATGCGCTGAGCTTGATGATGCACCTTATATTATCGATTTTTCATGATCAAACGTAGAGATTAGTTTTTCAAAATTTATTGAGTGGAATCAACAAGATGAATGCAGATCGATGCATATCATCGCAAACATACAAAGATGCCACTGGTACTACTACTACTAGGTTGTAGTGATTGCTTACGCAGCTGCACTTAACTGAGTAAGTACTTCCTTGAAGTATCCCTACAGTAGTTGTATTATATGTCCAAGCTGTATTGTCGGATTGTCTATGTGATCCAATGTGAAACAAGATCCTAGCAGGTACAACGAAACAAGATGTTCGGCGAGACTTCTCTGATTAATATACCTGCCATGGTTGGTGAGGTAGGTTCTAGTTTCCTCTTTCATCTTCATGAATCAAGTTCGCAATTTGTGTTCGGTTCGTTTTGATCCCAGTACTTCCTCGAGATGCGTAAGAGGGCCCTGGAGGAGTGGTGATCCGAATAAAGAAAGTGGTGGATCATTCTTAAGAACTACTTGACGTGAAGATCACGTGAACGAGGATTATAGACGAGATACTTGCATCAACTATCTACAACTAATAATAAACTAATGCATCTTATTAAAGTTGATTTTTCTTGATCAACAAATATAACATGGATGGCTTCGTCAAGCGTCTTGATTGGTACCGGCGTGTACCCAAGGACCTGACGGAGGCCTCATTGCATGGCGCTTTGGTTTCCGTGTCTACCATCTTGATCGCTTGCTACTTGCTAATTTCCAATCTCATCGAGTATCACACCTTACACACGCGGAGTGAGATGTACGTGGACTCCGATCGTGGTAACAAGCTGAAAATCAACCTCGACATCGTCTTTCCGAAAGTGCCTTGTCCAGCATTGTCACTGGATGCACAAGACGTGATGGGCAGCCATGAGCTGTCAACGGGCGGCATGTTGCATAAGGTAGCGCTGTCCAAAACAGGCGAAGTCCTAGAGAAGGAAGAAGTACATGGGAATCATATGACGGAAAGCGGGTTTCATGGTCTCAGTCGACACAATTGGAACCTTCTGCATGACCATGACAAAGACAGGCTAAAAGAAAAACTTCTGCAGCAAGAAGGGTGCAGATTACAAGGCTCATTAGATTAAGGCTTATACTTACTACTTTTCGTTTTTTCCAATTCCACATCAATCGCATCACTAACAATCAAAGAAATAACATTCCTGACTTTTATCTCCTAGTGGGAAAGACAGTCGTGAGAGTGATCAGGGATGTAGTTCTTCTAAAGAATACATGAGTCAATCTGTGATCGCGCAGGCTCATCTTCTAACAAGGAGTGAATCGCGTGCCAGGCAATATCCACATATCAACGAGCAGCGGTATTCTTTTCAACGGTATGCCTTTTCCTACTTTGGGCGGCGATATGGATGACATATTTGGTCGAGGACCATGGAGAGGAACTGGTACGGACAGCGCTGATAAGAAAATTAAGGAAACTACAACGCAGGTGAGTAGAAGAAGTGCATCCTTAATAACAATGCCATCATAATTCATTGGCTTCTATCTTCAGATAGTATCTTGTTTTCAAGAACTTCTGTAGAGAATGAAAAAAGCCAAGAATGCTACTTCGTTCATCTAGGGATGTTACTTCACCAGCTGCTCTAAGTAGAATAAGGCTGCTTCATCTTCATCAGCTTCACCATCTGGAAAGAACAAAAAAACAAATGAAGAACTCTTCGCTGAACTGTCTGAGGGAGAGAAGGTCCAGCGATTGCAAAACCTAGACTTGGAACATGAAGTTTTGCATCTTAGTTTCGGAGATGATCAGGACGTTTCTTGGGTACGCGATAATTTCCAAGCTTCTGGAATTCTGAGTCCTCTCGATGGCCTGAAAAGGACCGTAGATCGGAAGAAGTTCTCGTCGCTACCCCACTGGAGAACGCATATGTCTGCCGGCATCTCAATAATGATGACGTCAGATCATGATTCCGAGTCATCGTCCTCAACCTCGTCAACAACTCTAGCAGGAGAAACGTCAACATCCTCGTCAAGTGCTACCGCAACTATCGATAGAGTAAACACAGTGCCAGCAGCAACGATTTTCGAGTATTACTGCAATGTAGTGCCAACCACATACGAGCGGGAGAGTGGAGAGTTGCGACACGTCTATTAAGGCTCAACTTTCGTTGCTCATTGTTTGAGATTGGTCACTGACTTCCGAAGAGGAGACTCCTGCAGAGAACAGGGAAAAACTAAGGGAAAAAGGGCGAAGCTCTGTTAGGGGCCGCGTCCCTTCAGCATCAGTGACCACTGCGTGCCGACCTTTAAGTCTATCAGTTCACTGCAAATGGGAACACACTACAAAACACGCACGCGCCAGGTCTGTATTTAAGGCATGATCCATAAACCCATCTTCTGCTTGTACGTAGACGTAGTATGAGTGTATGCTTCCGGTCTTTGGTATAGCCTGAATTTGATCATAAGGGAAAGCAAGAAGAGAACCCTTGCGATCGAATTCAGGTTATCACAAATGCCGGAACCATTCAGTGGGGTCTTGTTTATTCCGCTTTTATAGTAGGAAAAGCGGGGATCGAGGAGATGCTCCCCTACCTGGAGAATGGGGATTTCTGCTACGACTTCTAATCTACGTGAGATATGGCATCTCACCTGTGACAGTCAAATTCGTGGAGGATCGGGTGCCCTTCTTCACCTTCTTCGTCCAGACGTTGGCGATCGTAGGTGGTCTCTTCACGGTTGCAGGTCTGCTGGAGTCCGCGCTTCACAGAGGCATACAGACCGTACAGAGGAAGCTGGAATTGGGAAAACTCACTTGAAGATGATGCTGAGCCTTCAACACTGAGGAGATACGCAAACGAGGATTGATGATGATGACAGTTTCTTGTAATGTTTCTGTTTGTGAGTTTGAGTTACTTCCTTCACACAGACATTGTAGGGAATCTTCGAAGAAGATCAGAGTTGGAATGGGCTTTTCACAAGCAGGGTTGAGCTTTATTTTGGTTAGACAACAAGATTCATTCTTGGGGAAATTATGGGAAGACAGATGATATTGCGACTACTGAACGACGCAACGCCAACGCAAAACAACGCAAGAAAATGAATGTGAAATTATATACTTAGTACAGAACACTCCATCAAGCTCCTCTATAATCATGTTGTCCGTTTTTATGAAAGATGTTCTTCGCAAGACCTCGAGATTTTTCGGTCACTTGATGACTCAACTACAAATGTTAAAACAAAGGTACTACTGCAAAACAAAAACAATAAGTATAGAATACTTACATAGTGATGAAATCATGAGGATGACGCCTTTTTTCGTATTTTTCTTTTCCTTTTGCTTCTTCCTCCGTCCTACGGAGCAAACGAAGTGGTCTGCTCCTCGTCCTCTCTTACAAGTCAGCGATTTTCGTGCTGCATGTCTTGACGAGAGTCCGCGTGAAATTGTCAGAAGAAGTAGTGAAGATGCGAAGAGTGCTCTTCTTCACAAGGCCATCTCATTCCTAGACCGCAACTTCGCACAAGCTGCACGTCGTTTGGGCGCACCTCTAGCGAAGCCGCGTTTTGTACGGCAGAAGGATGAAAACGGTGGCGCGGTTTTTACTCAACAAGAGTTTGGGTTCTTACCAGAATGCAGTTTGACGTTGGGTGCTCAGCAAGTAGAGGAAGAAGAGAAAGGGTCCAGTACTTCTACAAGGTCCAGCACTTCTACAAAAGTAGTCAACAGTGACATCGAAGAAAAAAATGTGGGCCCTCTACTTCTCCCACGCAGACGGATGCTCTGGATTCAGATAGAAGCAGTGTTTTCTTCTGGTTCACCTGCTTCATCTGAGATGAATATTCGAGAAGCAGGAATCTTGGGCTTTCAGGACGATTCAACATACGATGTCCACCGCGTGTCGGGAGATAGTTTTTTGGAAGACGTTTACCACAAAAATCTACAGAAGAACTCCACAAATTATAATACCACTCCGGCATCAACATCAGGACTATCGTCTGTGCGGGCCAAACAATACGACACTGCTGTGGTTGCAGTCAATCCCAATTCAAATAAGATGAGGGGTCTAGAAGTAAAGGAGAAGCTACGTTCCGTACTCGCAGCTGCAGCACTCCTGGTGGACAAGCTTTTTTTGCTGGTACATGACCAAGGAAGTGATGGTGATAATGATCAGAGCTCTAGCAGCACCACGCACATGCACCAATACTTGCGAAACGAAGTTTTACGCTTGAATCCCGCTAATGCAACTGCTTGCACGATCTTGCCTACGCATAGTCAAGGTAAAAATGATAAAGATCAGGGTCAACAACATCAATCCGCACAACTTCTTTTCGCTGTATCACAGATTTCGGCTTTGACTCAATTTCGACGGATAGCGCGTTGCGATGCTGATGAAGTCATTCATACAGCACGACTAGGAACGAACTATGCTGTTTTGCCAAAGATTAAGACTTGTTTTTAGTTTAGTCCTGTCCCCTTACGCAAACGCAGTAGAACCACCGAGACCGGGTAGAAGGCAAGCATGGCCCAGACCACCTAACTCCTGTATGCCTTAGATCTCTAAGTTTGTATTCTCCCTTTCTACTTAGCTTTAAACCCACCTGGCATACTCGCGGCATCGCGAAGCATCCTGGTTTTGACGATTTTTTACGAAGACTAAACCCCGGTCATTCCGTCCTCTCAGCGCAGGGATTGAATCAGCTGCATGGAAGTCTGGCAGGAGGAGCGCCAAAAGTGGTTGATCATCTTCAAGACTCTCCAGATGCACCCGCAGAACAAGATGATGCCAATCAACTTGCTTTTCTTCCCGATGCGTATAGCTACGCAACCTTGGACGAATTCGGACTGTTACAGCGACTGAGGCAAGCTGAATACCGATATGGAATCTGTGCTGACATTGCCGTGACGGATACGGTTGGTTAAGGCCTCCGCACATTTTTTATCCTGAAGAGCCAGGGCATCTTTGTCCCATTTTTGCGGACGAGAAAAACGGTGAAAGATGCGCTACTTCAAGATGAAAATAGTGACGGTCTTCTAAGTCGAGCAATGGTCTCAGGATGGCCAAGGCATGGTAGGAGGCGATCGCATGGCAGGGAAAGGGGCTGTCTGCAGCACGCACAACTTTGCTCCTCATTACATTCGACATTTACGACATCTTTTTTTGGACTTGGAAGATCTTGGAAGAGGAGGAAGATCTGAGGGAGATGGAGCTGTAGAAAGAGTAAATGAACAACAAGATAAACAAGACATCACATTTTTCCCACAGGAGATAGAGAAGCAAAAAATCACTGTTATAGAAATCGGTATGCTCCAAGGTAATGGGATAGCCTTGTGGCACGATTTTTTTCAGGGACGTGCCCGTGTAATCGGTTTCGATATCAACCTTCATCCCTTCTTGCGCAATCTTGATAAGCTCTGGTCCGACAGCGGAGCTTTTGGGATGCTCCAGGATGGCGAAGATCCGAAAACTAGAGACGGACGCGAACACTCTATACCTCGCATCCGGCGAAAGCGAACACCCCAACAACAGCAGATTGATAAAACTGAACATGCTTCAGCTGCTCTGTACAAGAACATAGACAAAGTCATGCGGCCTGTGCCATCGTCGACAAGAAGGAGACTGGAAGCTTCTATCGCCGACATCACAGGAGAGAATCTTGTTGACGACCAAGGAACGATTGAGCACGGGATGGAGATACCTACTCTGCTGGATAGGATCCATCCTTTGTTATGGCCTAGGTTACTACAACTTCTCGGGAATTCAGAGGAAATGAAACAAGTGATGTTAGAGTGATCAGAAGGGTGTAAAAAGGAGACGCCACAACGAACTAGAGTGATCAGAAGGGTGTAAGGAGACGCCACAACGAACTACAAAACAGCTGGTGCAACTGGTTATCATGTACACTCTAACGCCGCCCGTTCAGCATGTGCAATTGGACGAGTTGTATGGGAAGAACGAGATGAAAAAGGAACAAATCGAAGGTGACGAGGGTCAAGAGAAACGTCCTCAACGTGCGATAGTCGAAGCATTCTTTTACCACCAACTGGTTGCTTCGCCAACAACTGTGGACCTGGTTCTGAATGGAGTGGAAAGCTCTCGTATGGTGAGCCGAGAAGAACAAGAGCTCGAAACCACAACCACAAGCACAGCTAGTAACATTCTTGCAGGTGGAGCTGAACAACAAGCACCACTTCAACAAGCAGTGTCACCATCAGTTCGTCTTTCTTTCAATGCTCGTTATCCTATGCCACTGAGCCCAGCTCCAGCAATTATGCGCGGTCTACGTTTGATCGGCATGGGCATGGCAGGAGATAAGACGGGCAGTACTTCTCCCGGTGTTGTTGATGAAGGGGAACAAGTTCAAGATGAGATTACATCACATCAAGTAGGAGTAGAGCATGCTGGCTCAACATCTGCTCAACGCCCCGGAGATGAGGCAACTACATCTTCGATATCATCATCACTCGAAAACGAGGAAAACTTGGTAGAAGGAGACGAAGGAGATGCTGGCACTTTGCTTCCTATCTCCACACCTTTATTTATTGAGAATCAATTTGACAGAGCTGGTCGTGAAAAGACTGATCCAAAAACGGGTACAAGTAGAATTGCTCGCTCCCCAATAGTCCGCAACCCCCGCATCCCTGACAACATCAAGGTGATCATTGACGACGCCTCACATGAAGAGTATTTAACTTGGAAAACGTTCGTTTTGTTCGAATACTACCTCAACACGGGAGATGACTGGGTGTATGTGATCGAAGATTGCGCTTGCACAGGGTTGATGAACTCGCTAAGGCAGGCTTATCCGCGTCTCTGGCTGTACCAGTATACTGATGGTTCGCGATCTCGCATTCTTTTCATTCGGCCAACACCGGTCGCGCCAGAGCACGACCCAGCGGTGATGCTGGAAGGAATGGGCGGTGGACATGACCATGAGAGCACTACTTTTACTAGATTCAGTGCAAAAATTAGTTCTTCAAAGTCAAGAAGGTCTGAAGATGAGTTATCCGTGGGTGGACAGACACTCGTCCTGCTGTGCGTCAGACCCTGTTCGTGTCAAGAAGACGCACTTTATCTTCACTTTGTGTTCTCGGAATTTTTCAATGGTGTAAGAAAACGAAATGAAATCTCTGATGTAACAAGAACAAGGTACTACCTGACGTCGCCGGTTCATTGTTGGCCTTGACATCTTTGTCCGTACTGTGCGGAAAATCTGAAACTTTTTTTCGGAATTTCTTTAAGGAAGAAAAACACAACTGCGGAAACAAGTAGAATGTGCAGGCACTTCTGTTGCGCTGCATATCAACATCATATAATTCAATTATGACCTCGTTTTCAGCTCATCTCCTCTACTGTCCCACCTATATTATAGTATAAGTTCTGGCAGCACTTGTTGTTGTTTTCTAAAGCTTGTTAGTACCAAGAAGTTATTCACCCGAATTATACAACAAGGGTCGGCGTTGGCGTTCGTTCACCTGACTCACTTTACTTTCATACTCTATGTATATAATCTAGACATCAATCTATATCTTCTTTATTTTAATTTTTTTCATTTTGGCTTAAGAAGCATTATCCTATCGTATCCTATTCCAACACCCCGATTGGAGTTGAGCAAATCAAAAATGTTGCCTCTTTCGAAAATTCTGTTCGCTTCGTCGGTGGCTACACACCTGACGAGTGCGGTGAAGCTGCAAAGTAGGTTCCTTGCTGTAAGTGGCAAAGGCCATAGCGGCAATGGCCAACATGGCGGTAAAGGGCAGCATGGTGGTAAAGGCCAAGATGGCGGTAAAGGCGGCATCGGTAAACAGGGTCAACATGGCAGTCAAAGTGGCAAGGGTGACACTTTCAACGGGAAAGGCGGCAAGGGTGACATCAACGGTAAAGGTGGCATCAAGGGTGACATCAACGGGAAAGGCGGGAAAAGCGATGGAAAGGGGAGCGATCCACCACCACCAACACCACCGCCGCAGGCTGTTTCGCGACGACCGCGTCAAGATATATGGAAGTCAACACTTGTGCCATTAATTCAGCGAGTGGCGCCATGCAAGTACTTTTAAGAAAGCTTATGATCTTCTTTTTTGGTCTTTCTTGTCTACTTCTGGGTCTTTTTATCGATGCATATTCATATTCTGGATATGATAGACAACTACTTTATTTGTTGTTACAAGGATAGGCTCCATCATGGTGTACTTAAATATTGACGAGTGTTCTCAGTGTCTCTCTGTTGTGATAGATCACCGTGATAAAAAACGCACACAGGTGGATTGATGGGTCCGGTCGCGGTTGTTGGTTCGAGGGCAGGTGTCATTATGCGCACAACGTCACGGAAATGGATCAGCATAACCCTTGGAAAGCCGAGCTCTGTCGATGTGTGGAGCATTATGCTGATGCTGATGCTGATGCTCAAGGAGGCGCTCAAGCTTTCCTGACTCCAAAGCAGATGGCATGCAAATTTAGTCATGGCTACGGCGAATTGCGTCAATTCGGTGAATCACTTTTGGCGAGCTACCTTCTCTCTTCTTTTTCTTCTCCGCAAGTGCTGGCGCCCATCATCACGCCCCTGTATCATGTCTATAAGCAGCAACCTGCTGGACGTGAAGTGGATGCTGTTGTACTAGTAGAGAATAACGCAAGATATCTGGCTGAGCGTGTGACAGCGAGGATTTTGCAAGAGCGATTTGGCAGTGGTGGCGAACGACAACTTTCGCGTTGGCGGGAAGGGGTTCCCACAGATAGAGAGCGGCATCTCTACCTTGAAGGGGAGCCGATTTCCGACGAGGAGCTCAGTCAGCTTTTTTCGCTTATGCTCGATGGGAGTACAGCGGAAGAAACGAGCCAAAATTGGTCTCAGACTCTGGACAACTTTCTGGAGAGCATCACGACAGATGCAAAGTGTTCGGCATCATCTTCATCAGGAGACCAGCAGGATTCGGAAGCTTTTGAAGCTACTGAAGCAGCTTTTCCTAATATGGAGCTGTTTAAAGGGCAGTTTCGTCAGCAATTGGAGGCATTCAAAAAGTGCCCGCAGTTGCTATTCAAGTTCGTCGACGAGAAAAAGCAACCACTTCGGGCAACCGGCTACATCCAAGGTCCTAATGTTGCGGCAGCTAGTTCTTCGCGTGGGCATCATGGTGCTGGCACTTCTTCATATGGGCTGCATCAGGCTGCAGCTTCGCCTACTGGTGATGACCAGCTGCATCCTATCGCTAACTTACCTACTACAAGAGAAGAGGGAAACCTTTGGGCAGCCCAACAAGAAGTCCAGGGTCTAGAAGCAACTGCAACGGAAGCAATGCAATGGCAACAAGGGATGTACGGAACTCCAAGTGGAGGGATGGAGCAACCTTTTGATGGCAATTACTTCTACTACAGCAACTACTACTACGCTGGTCCTCCGGCTACTACACTTCATGTTCCCGGATTCGGATCCGGGTTCGGTATCTCCCAACAAGCATGCCAGTCTCCATCTGTTCTGTGGACCTACGGAGACGCAGCTTCGTCAGATGAACAGCAGATGACTATTATGACCCCGTTCCTCCAACAGAGACCAGAAGCAAATGCGCAACAAGCAAATGCTCAACAAGCAATTGTCCAAGAACAAGCAAATGCTCAGCAGCAGACACAACAGTTAATGGAACAAGAGCCACAGGAGGAGAAGGTAGTAGAGCAACTAGAAGTAGAACCCCAACCCTTCTTGCAAGAGACTGAAGATGAACGTCTTAAAAGATTGAAGACGGGTGACGTCGAAGACGAACACAAATTGTGGGAGTGGTGGCAAATACAAGAGCATCTGAACATGAGTCAAGGACCTCCACAGGAGAAGATGATAGAAGTAGACCAAGAACTACAACCCTTGCAAGACACTGCAGACGAACGTCTTGCAAGGTTGAAAAATGACGCAGACGATGACGATGAGTGGAAGCAAATGCAGGCGAACATGATTGGCCAAGCTGCGCAAACGCGCCAACACCTACCTCAATCTGCACATTTGTATCAACAACAGCAGCCCCCACAGATGCAATACCTGCAACCGGTGCGCGCTGTTCCGTCATGTATGATGACCCAGGGGAGAACCGTGTTGACGCCCATCTTTGCACAATTGGTGCCTGCGGAACAGATGCAGCAGCCGATCGGCCAGGGGCGTGTACGAAAAGCGGAGGCGGTCACTAATCATGCAGCACGAGTGGAACTAGAAAATAAGAAAGTCTTCCCTCATTCTCATGATTGGCGCAGTAACGAACCAAGATGGAGAGAAGAGCGTGGAAATCGGGAAACGCCATTAGCAAAAACGGAACAACAGGACGTCCCGCCACCCCCAGAACCAGTAGAAGTACGTGAGCGCAAGCACTCTGTCCCGCATGTTTTGAGAGAGGAGCATGAAGACGGCGGGCTGGTGCCACTACTTCCAACGCATCGCTTGTCTTACTTCCACAAAATCGTGCCGTGCAAGTACATGCTTTCTCCTGGTACCGGGTTCGGCTGTAAACATCAATTTCATCCAGAGGACTGCGCTCATGCCCACACGCCAGAAGAAATGGATGTCGGCAATCTATTCAAAACTAGAGCTTGCCAGTCTGCAATGTGTGAGCAGCTTGCGGGAGGACCAGATGAAGCTGTATTAAGCCACCAGCAGATGAAGTGCAGCCATTATCACAAGGCACTTGATCAACGTTTTTGTGGTGATCGTCTGCTTGCGCATTGGCTTCGCTGCGTCGCTACTTGTCCGGACTACATCGAGGAACTGCTGATGACGAGCAGTGATTCGATGCATCAGAACGGTGATTACAAGGATCGCCGCGTAGCCTATGCAGCTGGGTTTGCGCGTCGAGTGGCAGTAAGACTTAGTGTGGAGCGTGGTGTCATTCCAGACGGTTCCATTGATGCCATTCCGATTGCATCTGAGGAAGAGATTGGCTCATTTCTCAAACTTTTCACACTGCCGAAAATGGAAGGGATGGCCATTAACATGTTAGATCACTTCTTACTCGGTGTTTCGGCTCACAAGTGTTCCTTCAAAGACCACGATCGCGTTGCGATTAAAAGCTACTTTCTGGACGCTTTTCGTGCTCAGCTAGCTGAACTAGCCGAAAACCCAGCCTCCTTGTTCGAGTGTTCGCATCAGCAGCAACGACAAGAGCAAGAATGCTTGCAAGACGTGTCAGGCGTTTCTCCGTTGGTGTCTCTCGCTCCGCAGGATGTACCTTGGGCGCAGATGAATGTGCAGAGCTTTTTTCCTGATGAGGGTCAACTACATCTTTGCCAACCGTATGTATTCGGGACAGCAGGAGAACGACGAGGAAAGGCAACTAACAAGGAAGCGCCGTTTGCTCTTGAAGTATCCTCGTCTAGCAAGGATCATCATCTTGCATCATCAGGGACAACATTGGAGCCAGCAGGACCACCAGATGGAGCACCTTCACATGAGTCTTTCGTTGACGATAATAATAAGGATTGTCCGGTAGGGCAACTAGGTGGAGGTGATTTTTTCTCGATGAATATGAATTTCCTAGCAGGAGGATAGAACTGGTTCCTCGATCATGACGGTCATTACCTAACTAGAATGAACTACTTAGTTATGTCAGAGGAGTTTATAGCACGCATGGTGCATGGAGTAGCATGGAGCGCAGAGCTTTAAGGGGCGCAAGAAGCTCCCCCTTTAGCTCCATGCTACTCCATGTGATCCATGCACTCCACGCCATGCGAGCTGTGTTGAAACCTCAGAAGTTGCTCTGTTATGTACAAACATCAAGGCCAAGGGGAAAACTAGTAGTCATGAGGTTCCTTCCGGTTGTCATGGCGCTTCTGACCACAACTATCCTGATAATTCTTATTCTTTTTTATATAGTACATTGTACAAGTACAAGTTGTGTTGATGTTATACCTCAGTTCGGGGTTAGAAGTAGTGTTGATGTGATACCTCACTTCGTTATGAATTAATATGATAGATGAACCAGAAGATAGAAGCACAGAAATTTCTACTCAGGAGCTGTAAGACCTTTATTAATAGAAATACGGAAGGGTCACTTTACGACATACTAGAGGTGATTCTTCCACTGCAGTAGAAGTTAACAAATGGCCTCTACTGCTTGCGATCCTGGAGGTTGATGAAGAGTACTTTTCGCGTCGGTGGAGGGAAATCATAGGGACTTACATCTTGCCGAGGATGGCGCAGCCATAACCAGACGTACAACTATCAGACTGAAGTGACTACCTAACTAGTTGCGGCACATATGATGATGAAAATCTTCTTGATAGTCAGATATTTATGGAGCAATAGTACTATACGGCGAGGTCTTTACGCAAGAATACAGTTTCAATTGATAACAAAGGCGATCGTCCGTGATCGTGACCTCAGAGTGAGAACTCGCTGCACTACCTGCTTCCTCCTACGGTACTTGGCTTGGTACACTCTAATGATGGAGGTGGTAGGTGTCTTTCCTAACTGGCTGATTAAAGGAAGGGAAAGCGCAGCTGAGCAAGGTTTGCTCTCGTCTCCGGTTGGCACCAAGGACAGCAAGTGTGACATGCGTATGCATACTACTCGCTGAATCAGCCAAGCAATCTCAGTGGACTTCTAGTGTGTAGTAAAACTAAAAATTCTTGTCTGGCCGCCTAGTAATATTGAGTTTGTATTTGATGCCTCGACATTGTTCTTCATTTCGAACAATGGCCATTTCGTGTGTAGCAAAGAAGGACTTTTGGGTAGGATCTGACTGTTCTTGTGTGTAGTCTTGTATGTACTTATTAGAAAACATACTAGATTAATAAATCCGTTGTGGTCGGGCCACAGTGGATATTTGCTTCGACCTCTCCTGTTGATTCAGGACTACATTGTAAAATAGTCGCACCATCAAGACTTGCATGCTAACATCCATCTCTAGAAGAAGAGGAAGTAGAATTCCTTCCGGCTGATCTCATTTAGAACTTTCTCAATTTTTTGGCGGACAATTCCGAAGTTGTAGAAGGTGAATCTGAAGTACTCAGCAAGGTCTAGGTCAGTCTGGTAGATTCAGACAAAGTCGTCTCGGAATTCGTGTTAACACATGAGTACCTAGATCAAGACTTGATCTGTCTACCTAAACAAGGCGCTCCGGAAATACAAACACTGCCTCTAGTTATAACGAGAAGAAGTAGTGGATAGAAATTGTCCGTTTAGACTCCCACGCACATTGAATTTTGGATGTAAGGATGGCAGCAGGAAAGCGTTCTGACTGCAAGACTTCAGTAGGAGGCACACAGCTCAGCGAGTTTTCAGATCAAGTAGAGTCACAGGTGGCACTAGTAGAGACGCCGCAAACAGTAGCTCAGCCTCCTGTTCGAGAAACAGTGATGCTGCCGCTTCGAAGCCCCCAAGACTATTCCACTCGTTTCTTTGTTGACGACTTTTCTATTTACTTTACAGTTGTAATTAGGCCGTCGACGTTTTCTTTCGAGTTGCTGCTCAGGTCGATAGTACAGCTACAGGCTAGAGGTCTCCTGTTTGGTATTGAGGCTCGACACACCGTTCCGGAGAGCAGTGGCCTACAGGTCTTAGCGGAAGTAGACTAAGGCTGTTTTACTTGTCCATATTATTGTTGCGAGATAGTCTTTCTCAAGCTCGAGCTCAGCTCTGATTACAAAAGATGGAGAGTAGCGCACCAAAGGTTCCCCGTCCTCTGACGTTTTTGCAGACGGCTAGAGTTCGGGTCGCCGCGTAAAGGTCTGGGCTAAAGAGAGCTATCGAGCAAGTCGAACTTATCCGTAAAGATGTGGCAGAGGGGTGGCAAGAGCAGAAAGAGAAAGGATGGGTCTCTTCTCATGCTATTGTCGCCGTTGCCTCGTCAGAAGTAGAAAGGATGATAACGTACTTCGTCGACAGGTTTCTAGTTTGGTCGCCTCTAGCAGAAGTTTGTGGGGGACAGGACTCTCGTAACAGGGTCCCCCGTGTTGTTTTAAAGACGTTAAAGTGAAGACAAACTACATGTGCGATTCATGTCACGTTGGGAATCCGAGTTGGGGAGGACCGGATGGCCCATCACTACACATCAACACGCATTGAATGGGATTTTTGCGGGCTACAGACCGATTGCTGAGATGGTATTGAGTGACTTGAGAGCAAGTGTTTATCCTTGGCAACAGTCCATCGAGGTAGCAAGACAAAGGAACAGGAGGCAGAGCTGGATAGAGCGAACTGCGCCGCTTTTGAGGTGTAATATAATGAGGCACTCCGTGACGCTGCGCTCTGTTTCCACGGCGCGGGCGGAGAATTCACGCCCAGACTCCGTCTCTTGACAGAGCGACAACGTGAAGACGATACTCTACCGCAAGTCTCGTATCGCAAGCATTTTGCAGTCGTTCTGTCTAGATTTCGTGAAAGCGTGGAGGCCGTGCGCGTGTCTGTGCAAGAACATCGAGAAAAGGTCGTCTTCTTCATTTCGCATAAGAGAGAGTGCGCTGGTGTAAAGTACGTCGTAGCTGTACAAGGGTTGGCCAGTAAGCTATGGGTCTATCATAGTGAGATGGAACTCCACTGCTGGCCCTGGCCGTTCAAAGAGCAAATCGTACTGTGGAAGGAAATGTCAGTAACGTATCCTACTTTACAGACGACAAGTTGAGGAGTACAAAGAAGGGTGTAACCGGTTCAATTTTTGAGGAGTACTGCGGCGACGTATTTGAGCAAGGTAAGCGACGTACCCATTTTGGCTTAAGTCCTTCGGGGCCTCTGAGCGTTAGGTTATCTTAGGGCCGGACGGTGTCGGTGCACCCTTCTTCATGTTTTCCTTATTTACGATGGCTTGTGACAACACCACTCCCGGAATAAGAAAAACGAATCAGCGGAAAATATGGGCCTCGTCATAGACACAAGACCGACTAACGTCTTGCTGGCAGTCATGGTCCAACGAACTCCAGACGCGGAGCGGAAGCGGGAGCAACGCTTTTGATCAGTGTGACTAACTTTTTAAGCGGTCACAAATTTTATGCCGCGACTAGCAGTTTCAACCTCAAATAGCTCCTCCACAAGACGCAACTCAACCTGTACATCCACTTCAAGCACAGGGCTAATAATGAAGCCTTCATTTGTTATTAATTTTATGCCGCATCTGTTAAGTTGCTTTTGGTTTTGTGTACTTAGGCTTCCCCGCACCGTTCCGGCCGTTATTTTGCCCGACCCTAGGCACTCTTCCGAAGCCCGGAAAGAGATACTTTTTTTACAGTAGTCACTAGTCAAGTAGCCGGCTCTTCTCCGTCAGACCACCGCAAAAAGAGCCTACAAGTGCACCGCGATTCCTGGGAAAGGCCTTGAGATGATCGCCGTCCGCGATATCAAGTACGGGGAGCTGCTCCTCGAAGAGAAGCCCTTACTCATGGTGGAAGATCACCAACGCGCTGTGTTGGAATTCGTGCGAGGTAACGCAACAGGTTTCGACAAGTAGTTTGCGAAGCTATCAGAGACAGACCAAAGAAAAGTCATGGCGTTACACGACGTAAACAGCGAAAAGAAATCCGTCAAACTCGGGGGAATATTTCGCAACGATTGTCTTCAGAGGGGCGTGCGCGTGGTTTCTGCAGGCGCTGTTCTCTGTGCGGAGATCAGCCGGTTTAATCACAGTTGCACGCAAAATGTCGCTCATGCGTGGGAAGACCCCTACGAGCGAGTGTATGCTGCTCGCGGCATCAAAGCCAGGGAAGAGCTTTGCGCCGACTGCTGTTGCTGTATAACCGCGTGGCGCCTGCGCGCGAATGTCAGAGGGAGTTGAAATTCGAGTGCGGCTTCGATTGCAAGTGTGAGACCTGTACGTTGCCCCCGGAGTAGCTCGGAAGAAGCGATCGTTGCCGCCTAAAATATTCGGCTCTGGACGAGAAAATTCCGGAAGTTGGAGGACGCAACCAGCGAGAGGGCCTTGCTATGGTGAAAGAAGTGCTGGACGTGTTGGCGGATGAAAAATTGCTCTTGCCCGCGTTCGTTTTCCGGCACGCCTCCGATTGCTTCCGACTAGCGTGTCCCTTGGGGAATCAGATCATCGCCAAACGCTGGATTCAGCAAGCGTATGAGGCCTGTGTCATCGAGAACGGCGTAGATCATCCGAGATCCCTTGAATATTTCAACTACCTCTAGAATCCAAAGTCTCAACATAGAAATTGGCGCGGATGATTGAATGCTTTTCGACGTCTGGGAGGGGGCGCGCATAGAAGATGAGTTTTTCTTTTTTTGAATGTGAAACAAAAAGGTAAAAATGTGTCGAACGCAGAACTACAAGGGCTACAACTACAAATTATAACAAGTAGGCTGAAGTCTCTAGCTGCCAGAGTGAACCTTTGGTCTCTGAGTCATATGTTGACTCCTCATTCCTTATTCAGTCATATTTTGACTCCTCATTCCTCATTCAGTCATATTTTGACTGCTCATTCCTCGTTCAGTCATATGTATAATTTTGACTGCTCAACATTCTCTCGGGGTCGATCGTTTTGCAATACATAAGATATAGAAATCTACAGTGCAGCGAAATGTGTGATGGCATTGTGGTTTTGTGTTCCCTGTGGAGGTGTAGAAAGCTATGTGTTGGTATACACACTTGGGAAGTGTTTTCATGTCAACATCCATATAATTGGCGCGTCTATCATTGATTTTCATCGACGATCCATAGAGGCACACGCACACATGTGTCAAAGCTTAAATGTACTTGAGCAAGCATCTTCACTCGTGGTGAGGTGTCTGCGAAAGGAGGTGGGAAGATACGCACTCTTCATGAGGATGAGCAAGGGTCAACATAATTATGTTTGGTCGTGTTAATACTAATACAAGGTGGATTGAAAAAATATGAAAATGAGAAGCTAGGAGGTTTATCTAGCCATATCCGAGAAGTCCGGGAATGCATCACCTCGACAAACAAGTTAGTGCCTGTGTCTATCTTCCATGTTGAGTTTCTACTCACACGTGAGCTTATACTAACTGTAATGCTAATGATCCCAATAATTTGTATTCATTGATCGTTAATCGACAACATTTTTCAAAAATCTAAAGTTAATAAATATAAAGTTCTTCCCGATCATGAAAAATATCATGGGCTGCTTATCCTCAGAAGCTTGTTGCGGCGTCGCTGTGAACATCAATACGACTTGTTTGTTCATGGTCTACGCACGACGACATTTATCATTACGTTCACGCGTGCTGCGGTCGTCCTCATTTGCTTCTGAGTCGGAACTCATGGCGTGCTAGGTGAGCGACAGCGACTGCGTGCGCGATATAAAAATGGTTGCTGCAGAAAAACTCGACAAAATGAGAATTCTGTCGAGGAGGCGCAAAATCAAAAAGCCTGAGCGGAAGATGTTGTTCTCCCTAAGTAAGAGGTGCTGCAACATCTGCTTCCTGACACGACTTCTAGCATCGATTGGAGCCTCCATGATCGTGGGACCAGTCGAGGCCTCATTTCTCAATTGGCTTAGGCCATCGGCTTTTGGAAGTTCCACGAGCTCAAGTCCAGTACGAACGGAGCAGCATTCACCTGAGGAACTGGATGTAGATCGGCTTCCACCTCTTCCAGGAAACGAGACCGGCACCGGAGGTACTAGAAGAAAATCAGTTTTTTCTTTTATATAACAAACAACTACACCTGCAATTCATGATGTTGAAGATGTTCTTGGGTCTTCATAGAAGTTAGCACCGACTCTGAAACTACTTCGTGATCTCGTAACCCGTTATCTCACAGGTGAAAGTTACGGCCCGAGGACAGTGATCCATCTTGGGAGAGCCCCAGTTTTTAGCAGGAATTTTCCAAGAGCGGGTGGTGGACATCAAGGACATCTTCAGATTGGAACAGCCTCCTATAACAGTTTAGGCACATTTTCGGCAAACAATGTCCACAGTTTACCTCCACGCTTGCCAACTATACCTTCTGGCTCGGAGCTTTCTACACTGGGTGATGGTGCGCCAGGTACGCCAGAGTTCTCGTCGCAAGCGTCGGGTGCCGGTGAAGCTTCTGACCAGCAAGAAGTGGCGCGACAACTAGAAGGAGATGATGGAACAAATTATATAGGGAGTAGGAGTAGCACTACGAGACTTCTAGATCAAGATGAACATCAGACGCCGGCGCACAGTGGTAGTAGTTCCACTTCTTGTACTACAAGAATGAATGATAGTACAACAAGGAGTTACAACTCTACTAGTACTTGTAGAAAGAACACAGTACACACTCATACTGCTCGATCGCCAAAAGAACCGAAGAGACGCGATTCTAGGGCCTTTTGGAGTGGGCAGGGGTCGAGCACTTGTGCAAGCGCTGGCCCAGACGAGCTATCCTCGTCTTGTGAAAGCAGTATCGGAACCAGGACAACAAGCAGTGTGCGATCTCGGAGATACTATCGAGCGGCTGGTACGAGTTTTATCTCGACATCATGGTCAGATGACCAGGACCAGGAGAGTCGCTCTCGTGACCGAACTCCGTCTTCTACGAGGCCCTGCTCAGTAGAAAAAGAAACACAACCACCTCGAGGACAAGGATCAAGCACTGGTTGCCGTTTCGCGGGGGACGCGGGTAGGCAGGAAGCGCACGCTTTGTTAGACCTATCAGGAGAAGGGTCTAGTTTTGCCACTGGAGTTGACACCCAACTACATGCGACGGCTGAAGATCAGATAGTAGTTGTGCCATGTTTGGCGAATCATGAGCGTGTATCGTTTCATCCTAAAAAAAACACATCAACCTCTACAACAGCAGCTGGCACTACATCTGCAGCTCGTGGCGTAGAAGTTTCTTCTTGCGGAGTAGCCAGTCAAAAATCGCGAACAGTCTATCCGCGACCTCTTTCTAGATCTAGAGCAAGTCAGCCGCCTACATCTCGCGCCTTGGCTTCTTCGGGCCGTAGTCCACTCTCGTCCGCAGCTAGAAGGGCAAGCAAGACGAGTTCATCGAGAGTTCACAAGAACGCGAGAATCTTCAAAGACAAGCAGCCAGCACGCACATCTCATCGTAGCAGAGAGAGAGAGGACTATAAGCACGTGTCTTCTTCGGTTGCTAGTCAGGCCCTTCTGCTTCATAGAAGCACAGTGCGTGAAGCAATAGTTAGAGCTCTGCAGGCAGCGGAAGAACGGACATCAAACAAGAAGGACGACGGAGAACGTGGTGGAGAGCAAGATGCTGTTACGGGTAAACATGCTGAACGTGGAGAGACCTCCGGTAAACATGATAGAGACGTGGAGGTGGACATGAAGATAGACACGACCCTCACAGGCGACGTAAAGTATGTTGGCTATGAACACGAACAGAAACAACATCAACAAGAGCAAGCGTATCATGAAGAAGATGGAGCCTCCTCCAGTGGTTACTGTCGTATACGCAGTTCAGAATCGCGTGAGAGAAGTGCGAGGATTAGTGGACAAAGAACGAGTTGTTTGAGCGATTCTGATTGTGCCGAAGCCGATGATGAGCTGATGTTCCCGAGACCAACGTCGCGACAAACTTCGCCCAGCCAAGAGGAATGCACTTCTAAATGCGTAGGCCCTGCCAGCTGCCTAGTCGAATGCGGAACTATGCCATCTCCTAGGGAGACTGCAGATGTGGACATGGACAAGCAAGACGTTGAGCTTGTTGGGGAACAGGTTGGAGGTTTCACTGGCACTGCACTTGAAGAAGCTACTCCATGCCCAACAAGCCAGATACAACAAGGACAAGAGGCAGTCAGAGAACCACTAGAAACAACGAGACAGCGTTCTCAACATGATGGAAATAATGGATTGAGTTCAAGAGTACCACAAGAACCACATCAAGCACAGCAGCGCCCACTTGCCTCAGAAGCTTCTTTCCTGCAACGATTGTTGAAGCTTCAAGGCCACGCGGCGCTAATTGTTTGCGCAAACAAAGACGACATCCCAGATTCCGCAGGTGTAACAAAGGTACTACACTTGCGCGAAGATCCTGCTGGAGCAAGCAGTAGTACAGTAGCTGCAGGTCCTCCGGTAGTAGTTCCCAGAACAAGTCCTACTTACGACCGATCAAGCAGAAGTAACACAGAAGTAACACAGAGAAGTGCTTATGATGTTGCCGAACTTGATTCTGCAACGCTTCTAATGATGAACCATGGTTCACCAGGAGAACTTTCCTGCGGATCCAGAGGGCAAACAACATCCGACAGTGCGGAGCAAAGGCGTTCATCTAGTAACTATAGCGGATCATGGTCGTTGCCGGCTACGCCTCCAATGCCAACATCCTCGTCTGGAAGTCTGGTAGCAAATGGTTCTCTGCTACTAGCGAATGTCAGCTCGTCAGAGCCATGTTCGCGACAGACAACACCTGACCAGGCAACGCACACGCGCACTTTGAGAGAACTGCTAGCTGGGTATTTCGGGGCAGCTACTTCGTCGACATCTTCGGGATCGGGGACGGCAACGCCTTCGTCCGGTACGGGCAATCATAGCAGTATCATGGTTGCTGACCATAGTTCTAGGCGTGGATGTGTAGTTGAGCAATCCTCTCCTCCTCCACATATAGGAGGCTACTCCGATGAAAGTAGAAGAGGTGAAACTTCTTCTGCTTCAGAGTCAGGCAGGATATTACCTCGACCGCAAACAGCACCCGAAAGGCGGAGCAGAAAGGCGGAGCAGGAAGGCTCTGGTAATTTTGATAGTGAAATCAGTCCCCTGATCTTGCATCAACAGCATATGAACCAATTACTAGGGACAAAATTACCTTCCAGAAAAGCGAGTAAGGGTACTCGTGCCCAGCAGCACCTGGACAAAAAATCTACTGGGAGCATAAAGAACTTGCATCCTGAACGCAAACCAAAAGCGGGAACACCTGTAGTGGCACACCAGCCACGATCTCCGACAACCAGGCTGCATCAGATACAGATGCAAGGTCGTGGTAGATCCACCATGTTGACCGTGCTGGGTTCCTCGTCTTCATCCAGTGGAGTTGTCGCTGGTGGAGAAGTAGGAGGATCGTCAAGTAGCCACCATCATGCCAGTCAACATCTTCAGAGAGGTACAAATACAATGTCTTGTTGTGGAAGTGGAGGCTCTACCATTCCCGCTAGTGCGCCTCCTTCGCCCGCTGCAGGATTGTCTCCGGATAGCTCGGACGATGAGATAACGAATTTGCGTCACCGGCTAATTGCCTCATGCAGAACATCCCCGGGATTTAGGGGTGGAGCACCGCTGCCCCGTTTTCATCCTCGAGGTTTTTCAAGTATCTCTAGCCGCTTGCAGGTACAAGAACAAGGAGTGACAACTCACACCTCTACTCAAAGACGAAGAACATTTTCAGACCCTACCGAGGACACTAGCGAAGGGTTTTCTGAGGCCGCTTTAGCAAGTGCAAACGCGGCGCTTTCGCATCTCGACAGCTGTTTTGGACGGGCCGCTTCAGCACCTACAACATGTCTTTCCAGTCGTAGCACTACTGCCTTTTCCTCACATCAATCACATGAAAATGCTGATGCTATTAGGAATGAGATATCATCACCATCAAGATCAACTCCTGATGATCATAAAGCTACGCGTCATATTGCGTCACCTCCTAGTATCACGACTGGAAGTTTAGAAAGCCGAACTTCAGCGTCCGCCAGTGGACGCTCTCGCAAGTGGACCTGTAGAAGTGGTCTTCCCCTACAACTTCCCGAAGATGTAGTAAAAACAAAAAGAAAAACGTCGTCTTCATCCGCTCCACCAGCTTTTGATCAAGATAAACATGTTGATGCACAAGGCGTTTTCTTTGTCGGTGACGGATGCATCTTGTCGCTGAAAAACATGTCTTTCTCAAGAAATGTGACGCCAGAAAGTCCTGTTCCGGAACTGATGCCATTAGACTCTGAGGATTTGATGTCTCGACAAACTACACCTACCACACCTACCAATAGTCAGCAGGGTTGTAGTAATACTGGTAATACTGACTCGGTAAGTTTTCGGATGAATAATCTTGATCTTCATCGGCCATGCACTTCTACAGTGCCAGCACGCTCTTCAGAAGGTCGCGGAGAGGGAGAGGACACTAGCAGGGCCTGCTGTGTGTATGGATTGAGTGATACAACTGATTGAGGAAGACTACAAAACGTGTCAGTTTGGGGAGGATCGAGGGTCGACATTCTTGGAGCAACTGCAACATCGACATCCTCAATCAGTGATAGCATTCTTCATAGACTTGAGGAGAGCAGTGCCGAAGCCGACGCCGATAGTTCGATCTTCACGTGCAGTTGCGCAAGTGAGAACAATTCTTCATCACTTAATGAAGGCTCCTGGTGTTGTACATCGAGTCGTGACGGAGGTGCTGGTAGTGGTGGTGGTACGAAAGTGCAAAAATGTGAAGAGCGACGTCGGGGTTGTGCAGTCGACGCGACTCCGCGGAGATGTCCAGGGCTTAATTTTATCGTGTTAGACGACTCTGCACCACCTCCGCGAAGGCGATCGCTTTCTGCTCCCAGCGCGATGATGAGTATCGATGCCTCCACTTCAGATAAAGCTGCTGCTGTTCCACTTGCTGGTGGCGTCCCTTACTTACCAGTTGATCCCTCGCACCGTGTCCGTCTAGTATCATCTGAGTATTATAATGAAGGTACGACATCCACATCTACATCTTCCTACCAGCATACGATGCAGCCTCACCTAGTACTGGGGGATCTTCTGCCACAATGCAGAAGCCCGCCACCCCCACCGCCACGAGCTTCTGACGAGCCTGGCTGTAGAAACGCTATCTTGGAGAAACAGGAAGAAGATCGAGATGAAGCAAGGCCTACTGCAGAGAGTGAAGCTTCATGTACAAGGACGCCAGAAGTTGCGCTCGATGAAGATCTTCCTAACTTTACCGACAGCCTGCAGGCAAAAACGCGAGAACAGGATGAAGAAAAGGTATGTAGCAGCAAACCAGAACAGCACATTTCGATATCTATCGCAACCCCAGGCGGAAGTCGCACAACCTCTCGCGGTGATGACGATACAGCGACAACAACAGGAGGGACGCCCCCGCTTGATGTTGATGTAATCAGTTGCACAGAACTCGACAGGAGTGGGTATAGGAAATGGACTCCACCTGAGAAGATGATCAATCACGATGATGATAGCGCTCTTCAACATCGGGCTAGGAGTAATGGAAATATTATCCATGGTCTTCATGATCCACTGGCGCGAACAAGTATTACGAGTACAGCGACGCGGAGAGAGTATGACCTTGCTGGTCGTGGAGGTAGGGAAACGGTAGTTCCTGTGGCCGAACATAATGAAGTTGTTCTCTTGACACCACGGAAAGTTGAATTTGCTGTACGCCTGAATGGCGTTGTATTGGAAGAGACTGCTCCTTCTCGTCTGTCTGGTGCGTCCGAGACTCCTGAGACAGGACATCTTTCGCAACTAGAAGAATCACAACAAAAGTTACATCAAAGACAAAGTTCAGCAACTACCACGGCCCGTCGATTCATCACAGGTGGCTATGTGAAGCAGGTAGGGCTGGAAGAAACAAATGCTAGGACTTTCTCAACGACTCATCTATCACATTTAGCATGCTCCTCCGTTGACGCAGAGTGGAGGCAGAGCTCCTACTTGGCACAGTATACGCCTACGCCTGCTCCTACCAGTGTTGTTGGGCATGCGCTTCCACCTCAGCAGGGCTCTTCATCGCCAGAATTGAAGCTATCTTCCCGATCACTTCCATCAAGAATTTCCGGGGGAACGCTTGAAATGGCTCGTGAAATTTATGTCCCGAATGCCAGAATCTCACTTTTTTCCGCAACGCTTTCTCCTCAGCGCGGTACCGGGGAAGATACTAGTAGAGTAAAAACGAATCATATCATTAGAGAACAACATGAGGATGCCCATGCCTCTTCGACGTCCTCACGACCAGCGTCTTCTCTCAATACGCCCTCTCGATCCTTAGGGTACAACGCACGAGGAGCGTCGTCTTCTAGTAACTACTTCATAGAGGAAGACCAAGCATCTTCGTTTCTGCGATCCAAAGGCTTTCCGGCTGAAGAACCTAAGGTTGTAGTATCGGAATCGAGATTAGAAGAACAAGATCAAGCGAAGAACCCTCGAGGACAGGGAGGCCCCGCCATGCATAACGCGACCTCGATAAGCTGTAGATCGACCGGATTAAGCCTCAAGAACTGCACTAAGCCTGCTACGAGTGACGTCCAATCTTCTCACCACCACCAAGACGAATACATTGACAACTTACCTGCCGCTTGCAGCTCTTCAGCGCTAACACTAGTCCGCGATGAGGAGAGAGAACATCATGGAGAGCAACAGCATTTCCACCTCCCAGCAATGAACCAGAGTAGATCTATTCAGCACGTGCCTTGGTTACGAGACACTGGAGGTGCTCAGCACGTGCCTTGGTTACGAGACACTTCGTGTGGGGAGAGGACTTCTTTTGATGTGTCCTCTTTTGGCGCATGTTCGCAGAGATTCTCACCTTGGTCTCGTGACATTTCCGGAGCTTCGTCGACTGGAAGTGGTGGCTCTTCAACCAACACAAGGGGACCACATTATAATGATAATAATTACGTGAGTAATCGATTACTGGCGAACGGTTGGGAATTTTTTCAGATTTCGTCAGAGCATGATTTGGCCTCGTTCGCAAATCCCAGGTGTTCATCGTGGGAAGCACAAAATAGGGCTTCTGCTTCTCCTGCAGTTACCTCGGAGTCGGATGTTGATCTCGTTTTTTCCGATGATTATGTTTTGAAGAAGCGGTGGCACGATAGAATGGAAGCGTCGGACAATGGGATAGCGGCTGTGGAATTGCGTATATTGCAAAGTACAACTACAGTTAACTATGAGGGGGATCAATTGACGTCATCAACATCGTCATCTTTTGTGGCTCAGATCTACCCGCGTTTCACTCTAAGCCGGACGGCTTTGCTCGTCTTGAAGCGGGAGAATAAGGAACAAGTAGAAGGGAGCCTTGAGAATCAACACGTCGAATGGCATTACCTGTTACAACTAGAGCCAGCAGAGGTGCGCATCCTTCGCGAGGAGGATGAGAAGGTGGTTGGCAGGAAAATCGCCTCATTGCTCGTCCATTTTTTTGCAAATCGTCAACATCAATCGGCGACAGTGATGGGAGGGTAAAGGTTTGATAATATTATATGCGAACTTCATGATCATGATCGTATCTGTATCAATCTGTATCTGTTATAATTGTTGGTCTATGATAAGTAAACTAGTACAATATTTTCCGATGATCCATAATTGCTGCCACTATTACTACATTGGATCATCGAGCACTTTTTATATTCCACTTGATTGACATATGATTTGTTCATCAAGCACAAGCACATGCCGCTACTTACAGAGGAGTACTAGAAGAAGTAACAAACACAAACGACAAAAATAGAGCAAAGGATAGTTCTTCATTGATTTTTCGTTGGTGCGTATGAGCTAGTTTGGTCCCGATTGAACAATTTCAATTGTCCGTGAAAATTATATTCTTGTGAATATCATCATGATCATGGTCGAGGTCGACCACGAACACCACGAGGCGGGTCGTGGACGAGAGGTCACTCGCAAGCAAGACCGTAGTTGTGAAAAATAATGACGACTATAGCGGAGTCCTTGTCCTTGAACCACAAACAACATACTACATTCGTCAGGGGGGTCGTCTTTGTCTGTATAATAGCATATTGTCGTGCACCGTAGAACTAGTGTGATCAACATCAAATATATCAGATAGAAAGACTATGAGTAGCGTTAGAAATATTGCACGTAGATGATTCAAAAACGAATCGATAATCATCAGAGCTCTCGCATAAAACCGGGAAGATGCTTAGTTAGAGTTAGTCTTAGTTGTTAAGTTGGCTTGGACTTAGAGTTTTCCAATAGATGATACCACCATCATCCTCGTCGAGAAGCTCGAGTTGTCGTTTCTGTGTGTCTAAAACTGGTTACTTCGTTTTCGTTTCTAGTTCCAGTCAAGGTGTAGTCAAAATCAAAGAGACGACCCTGCTCTATATCATTCAACTAGCTCTTTGGAGTGGTTCCCCAGGGGCAGGGGTCAACGGAATTTCAAAACATTTGCTAGAACAATGAACTGCAGGTGAATGTGCAAGAAAAGCAAACAGATGCTTCGCCAAAATAAATGTGAAATAGCATCAGTCTCGTCTTCTGGACGAAATGCAAGGTCAAAATTCAAAATCCAGAATTCAAAATCAAAATTTAA